TAAATAAAAAGGACACACACGGTCAAAGTCAAAGGAAAGAGGAAAGGACATCGAGCAGTCAGTGGATACTGCAACATGGACTTACCGGTTCAAACGTTTCGTTATAGAAGCCAGTTCAACTCAGTTCATTTATTTCCGGTGTTCACATATCAGTGTGTGTGGTGTACAAAAAATCGCACCAAGGTCCGTTTCGAACCCCGGACCCCGCGGTCTGTGGACAAGTTCCCTACTAGGCTATTGTGCATACAGTAACTAATGAGTCTTAATATTATAGTTATAAACACTTGGAGGATTGTTAGCCCAATCTGCGCTTTGCATTCATACATTTATGTAAGAAAACCATCTATAAACTTCTAAACTTCCGTAATACACAAACGATTAAATGACTTGTAAACGAACCTGTTTCATTAAGGCACTTTTGCTGTAAGGCATTTTTTTTGTATTCGTATACGGTACATTCGCCGATTACAAAATTTATTTTGCTGAATGTTAACTTTGATATATGAAACTATAGTTATTTATTCCTTACATTCTTTTGTTGGCTTATAAAATTATTGATACGTACCCTTGTTTATCTTTGCATGTAAATTGTTTTCTCTGAACACAAGCATTTTGCTTGATTATTACTTGGTGTCTAACATTAGGCCGATGGTGTTATAGGGCCCATGCCTATATATACAACATGTGTTTTCTTATGGATTCCTCTATATGTTTTCACTCCTGTTGGACGTGTACACGTACACGTATACATTATGTACATGTATTTAACACACTGATTCGTGAACACTGGAAATAAATGAACCGAACTGAACTGACTTCTGTAACGAAACGTTTGAACAGGTAAGTCCATGTTGCAGTATCCACTGACTGCTCGATGTCCTTTCCTCTTTCCTTTCACTTTGACCTTGTGTCTGCTTTTCATTTATTTTGTTGTAGAATTTTAAGCTAACATTTGTAAGACAGGATCGATTTTCACTCTCGTTTTTGTTATCACGAATCGCAAAAGTATCTTGCTGAAGACATTTTGAAAGCGGCGGGCCCGGCTCACCGAACAAGTGCCCGTATTATTACATATTCGAGGGACGGTAGCTGACCAGTATATGATCAAGTATGGAGCATGTTATGTTGGTCACGATGTGTCGTCTATTCCTAGTATAGTTTGCTTTAAGACTGCGGGGCGAGGTTTCGGTCTCGTGTGAGCGACTCTTGAGCTTTGTTTCCGAATACGATTGTTCACCAGTTTCTTTGCGGAGGATCAAATCATTGGTTTCACCAACGTGGAAGAGTTGCTTTCAAGATACGGTCTTTGTTTCACGACGGGTGCAGCGCAATGTTCGTTTGTGCGTTACATAACTTTTTTTGTTATTTGAATGCGAAGCCTTCGCCTGTTCAACTTCTCCGCTTTTGTTCCAATATCGTGATACAAGATAAAGAGCGAGTGGGGCATACACTGGCTTTTATTAACCTGTGCTTCGGCGGTGTAGGCCTGATACGGTATTGAGACCCAGTAGTGTCTGCATGTCGCCCAAAAGACCTAAGACATAATGACGTCACGATTTGTTTACATGTGCGCTTTGCTATGAGAGCCAAAGTTGAATCGGAAGTAGGATATAAATCTGACGAAATTAATACTACAGCACAAAATTAAAGCAATAAGAATGTGTTATTTTTGCTCCCTGTCAATGCTATTATTTTAGGGTGTCATAAAACACGCGTCAAGTTTGATGGGAGCAGCTAAAAAAAACGCCATTTACGACGCATCTTTCATGGACGTGTTTGGACAATGTTTTTCGTCCGTTACGTAACTTTTTTTGTTCAAAAGGTATACGTTGTTGCAATGTGAATGGGAAGCCTTCGCCTGTTCGACTTCTCCGCTTTTGTTCCAATATCGCGATGCAAGAGCGAATGGGGCCGGGGCATATAGCGGCTGGTATTAACCTGTGCTTGGGCGGTGTAGGCCTGTAGCATGGAAAGAAAGATACGGTATTAAACCCCAGTAGTGTCTGCATGTCGCCCAAAAGGCCCAAGACGTAATGACGTCATGCTTTGTTTATATGTGCGCTTTGCTATGAGAGCCAAAGTTGAATCGGAAGTAGGATATAAATCTGACGAAATTAATACTACAGCACAAAATCAGAGTAATTAGAATGTGTTATTTACGCTCCCTATCAATGCTATTGTTTTAGAGTGTCTTAAAACACGTGCCAAGTTTGATGGGAGCAGCTAAAAAAGCGTCATTACGACACATCTTTCATGGACGTGTTTGGACAATGTTTTTCTCCTTTTTTTCTTTAAAATGTACCCAATTAGGCCCACCTTCTCGTTCTTTCATTATCGCTGTTTTTCTTTGGAATACTGCTCAACCCCCCCCCCCCCCAAGCATGTTTATCAATATTATTATTTTAATGGGGGGACGTCCAAATAAGTAGCGTTTTAATTCAGGTTGCATCTGCGCACATAACAAACAGACCTGTCGAGCAACTGAACTGGTTTCCAATCCATTCTCGAACATGATAGGTTGTTGGGTACCAACCTGTATCATGTCTTAAATATGCAAAAGTGAAGAACTTTTATAATGCTAGAAAATTTGCGATTTCACAATAAAATGTTTTGTTGTTGGGGAGGGGAGCGAGTAGAAGCCGAAAATATCACAGGTTCAAATGTTAAAGACGCGTCCCCTCGCTGCGTTTCACCTCGAACATTGACTGTCCAATTGCTATTTTCTGATAATCTAACGACGTTTAGAAACTGAATTATTTCTTTGATTATTGGCTGCCAGGTATTAATTCAGCTCACGCAGGGTGGGTTCATTTGTGTACAAAATGAAAACTCCTTATTCAGAAGGTTGCAGACGCCCAAAATTGGAATAAAAGTAAATTTTCTCTTTAAAAAATAGATGCACATCGAAAACTAGTTAGCCTTGATGAAAAAAGGTATGTAAACATCACGGGGTGTCATCTTTAATGTCGCTTCCCCCATATACCGTACACACCCGCGGGGGTTGCCTACGGAATACGAAAAGGTCTTCAAAGTGTCTGTCCGAAGAAATTTCGAAAGCCGCAGCGGCGGCGGGCCGGTTCACCGTATGGCGCGTCGTCGTTTGTTGTAAGACTGCACGGAGAGGTTTCGGTATCGCGCGAGCGACTCAAGCGTTGTTCCCGAAGGATCAAACCACAAATGCATGCACAATGGTTCGCCGTGGGAAAGTTACTTAATACTTTCTTTTACTTTTGGGTGCAACGCACTTCTCCCGCCGTTACGTAATTTTTTCGTGAACGCGAAGTCGCTGGTTTCAACTTCTCCGCTTTTGTTCCAACATCGCTATACAAAGAGCGAATAGAGCACACACCGCTTTACCCGATCAACCTGTATTTGGACGGTCGGTTCTGTTGCATTGGAGGCGAGATACGGTATTGAAACTAGAACAGAAACGCCCATATCCAATTAGCAAGTACACTTTTCCCAATTGGCGTCTTCTAAATTATCGAACAACCTACTGTTCATAAACTGGGCAGGGATGTGATAGGTTCAGTGGCGTAGTCAGGAATTTTTCAGTGGGGGCGCTGGGGGGGGGGCTGGAACATTTCATGGGGGGAGGGGGCGTCATGTAGGGGCGTCAATCGCTTCTCAAAAGTGGGGAGGGGGACATACCTTGATCAGAACTGATGCGAACGCGAAGCGCGAAGCGCGAAGCGCGAAGCCCTTACGGCGTGGGGGTTCGGGGCCCGATTTTAGGGCCCCGAAAAAAATTGGATTCTAGATGTTCTGTGGTGTGATCTGAAGCAATTTCTTACCACTTTCCTCCATGCTTTAACTAATATTTTCTTAGCAAAAGATAATTATTTGAACATCGTTTTCGAGGTTGGAGTCACTGAATCAGCTACCAGAATTCTGAGCTATAGGCGTGGGGTTCGGGGCCCGCTTAAGGGCCCCGACAAATTTTGGATTCTAAATGCTCTGTGGTGCTATCTGAGGCAATTTCTGACCACTTTAACCAATATTTTCTAAGCAAAAGATACATTGTAGTATTTAATAGGGCCCTGTAAATGAGACACGAGTTCAAAAATCGGGGGGGGGGGCATTTGATATTGTGTCCCCCACCCTTCAACAAGTGGGGGGGGGGGACCAGTCCCCCTGTCCCCCCAGGATTGTCGCCCATGGTGTCATGTAGATCAATGATAATGTTTTGTAAAAACTCAAAATCTCAGTGGGGGGGGGGGGGGATTGGGGGGTGACAAGGTTTCATGGGGGGGGGGGCTGTCGCCCTCCACGCCCCCCCCCCCCCCCCCCCCCCCCCCCCCCCCCCCCCCCCCCCCCCCCACCCCCCCCCCCCCCCCCCCCCCCCCCCCCCGTGGCTACGCCACTGATTTTAAGGAATTTTAATTGGTCTATTATTATTATTTAGCTTATATGAATGGAGGAAAAAGTTTGTGCGTGGCCGATTCGCGTGATATCGTTGACTGAAACTGTGTGACCCACGGACCACCTGTCTATAATACGTGTTCCGTGGTGTGAGCGAGCAGTGCAGTGGGTGTTAATACGCATTTTAGATTATCATTATGCGCTATGTCACGCCGGTTGTCAGCTTACTGGTCCGCGGTCGCCGGTCGAAGGGTCGTTTCTCAGTGGTCATCATGTGGATTATTCGCGACTATTTAGATTTAGATCAATGATAATTTTTTTAGAACTCAGTGGGGGGGGGGGGGGGGGGGCGACTGGGGGGGGGGGGGACAAGGTTTCATGGGGGGGGCGGTCGCCCCCCCCCCCCGGTGGCTACGCCACTGGTGGAGGGGGATGTTCATTTACATTAGCTTACCAAACCTAGTTTTTGTCAGTTTTAGATTTTCTTTTTTAAATTTTCAAGTTCATCCAAAAAACGATTAATTTTGAGTTATTTGAAGCAGATACATTATAATGACAATGACAATTTGCTTCCTCCGGCTCCACCCCCTTCATCATCACGCCGAATTTTCCTGCCGTAATTTGTACAGGGCGCCCTCACAAGTTGCTTAAACGTAACACGTGCGCGTATGATGTGTTGGTGGTTGTTGCAACACGACTGAAGCGATTGGAGCATGGAGAGCAGGCGATAAAAGTCTGAATTCTGTGGACTGTCGAGATTATCTGAATATGTGTATGAATGTGGTGTTAAAATCACTGTTTTGATTTTAGGGAGGTGTTTGACCTCGTTAAAATCTGCCAACGCCGGAGGAGGCCGGAGGCTCCGACAAGTTTGCAGCTGTTTACACGGTATGGAAATGCGCGTATTTCCGACACTAGAATAACTAACGCAATGGCTATTGTTACGGCACTCGGTCGTCATGTTCCCTTATCTAATAGCATTCAATGTCAGGATCTTTGGCCCTTGGGAACCTGACTATCAACCAAATGGTTCTTGGACTTTATTTCCCTTTAATTTAAAAAAAATGAAATCTAGGACGGCCTTCGTCATTAAAACGTAGGATTTTATTACAATTTAAAAAAGTATAAAAGTAAATAAAACTAGGCCTATTCATTACATGTAATGTATATGGAACAAAAATTTTAAAAAAAGTTTGGCATCTTTATTTTCGGGTCGCGTGTTGTCGCCATGCTGTCGTCGTCATTTTCCCCCAAAATTTCCCTCTAAAAATCAAAACTGATTTAAGGCGAAGTAAAAAACAAAACACAAGTTTCTCGTCCCCGCCCGCTTCCTTTTTAGAGGCCGCCTGGTTTTTTTTATTATTTTTATTTTTGAAAAATGTAGTAGAAAAACACCGAAAAAGTGTACAAATTCATCAGAAAATAAATACAAATACCAATACAACTCTAAATGACACTGTAAATATGTTCAGTTCTCTTGTCCAACTTTTCTTTCATCTGTAAAAGTGTCTTTGAACAGTGGAACACCAACGATTGCAGGAAATTTTGAAAAGGCGGTCATCTTGAAAAAAATAAAAAATAAAAAGCCCCGCTTCCTCCCTTTTTTCAAAAACCCCGGACGAGAAACTTTTTCTTTTTTTTTACTCGGCCTAAACTCAAAATTTGAATTTCTTTATTTTTCTTTGTAGAATGAATGAATTTGCCCATTGACGACAAGAAGTGATTTCCAAAGGAACCTCTGGTTGTCAGTTTTCTTCCGTCAAGTTTATCACATTTGGTCGGAGGACCAGATGACCAATAGCCGTGTCGACAAGATGGGGGATGACAGCGCCCTCCAGAGGAGTTTGAGGGAGAAGAACGACTACTTCAAGAAAATGGTCAACCTGATCCCTGCCAAATATTATCTGGACAAAGAGACCAAGAAAGCTGGGGAGAAATTCTATAAAAACATAAAAGGTTTGTAAATTGTGTTTACTGTCTTAGTGGGCTTTTTATCAAGAGTTTTCAAGAGTGTTTGTGAAAAAGAAAGAAATTGCACATCTATAACAAAAAAGAAATATATTTTGTCTGGATGCAGAGGAGGCACCACGGCAAGAGTTCAAGGACAAATCTACCAAACAGAGCCGAAAGAAGCAGCGAATGGACCCTGGTGCGAATCAGCAACTCAAGGTCACTGACCTCCAGGATGCCCTGGCCGTTAAAGAGGCGGAGAGAGAGAAGAGGAGACAGGAGAAGATCAAGCAGGAGGAGGAGGTAGCAGAAGAACTCAAGGCAGAGGAGGACAAAGATGAAGAGAGTAGTGGAGATGAGATGGATGGATTTGAGGGAGGACTACAAGGTCTTGGAGACAGTGGTGAGTGTATATTCGGAAAAAAATGTTGCAACCTGACGCCACTTTTTTCTTCATATATCATTTCAATGAGGGTCAGTCATTGCAAAAATGATGATAAGACATGAATCTTGGACTGAGAGACATTTCCAATTTTGTTAGGAAATACTTAAAAAAATTCTTGACTCTCCAATTGTACACAACCACTGAAGAAGCGTCAGGTTGCAACATTTTTTCCTTATATTCATTGAATACATGTAGTAGCTGGCTCCCTGACCAATGCCTACAAATTTTGCTTCGCCATCAGTTCACTGCCGAAGAACCATTTTACTGGCCACATGGGTACGAATGGTTTGGGTCTTAGATAAGAACAATAGAAACATTTTGAGATACAGGTGAGAAATAAGGAATTACAGATGAGATCTTGGCCATGACGTGCCTTGTTATGGATAGACATGGTCTAAGATTTTAAGCAAGGGTCAATATTCAGTTTTTGTCCATGGTTGACTTTTAGAACAGGGTGAGAAAATTCTCGTTATTTTATTCCATGATCAACCTTTTGTTCAAACATGGTTACTGATATTGTTAGAACTGAATTTCTTGTTTTGTTTGGGGGGGTATATAAAATAATTGTATCTGATCAAATACTAACTATAAGAATGTAATTGTCTGGTTTATAATTTACAGATGATAAGGACTGGTCTCAAAGGAAGGTTGCTCAGCCAGTGAGTGTTGAGAGGATTCAGAGTAGTGCAAGTATCGACGATCTGAGGAGAAAAGTTCAGGACAAAATTGAGCAGATGCGCCAACAGAGACACGCCAAGTCACTGGCAGGAAATGCCCTTATGTCCAAGAAAATGTCTAAGAAGGTCAAAGAGGAAAATGAGAAAAAACTGAGGAAACAAGAAACCTATGAAGCCATTAAGGCGAGCAAGGAGCAGAAGAGGAAAGAAAAGGAACGACAAAGGACAGTTAACGGAGGCGGTAATAAGGAGGATGCAGTCGACGCACAAGAAGGTGAAGATGAGGTCCCAGGACCAAGCAAAGTCTCATTCAGCAAGTTTGACTTTGAGGAGGAGAGCAGAGGAATGAAAAAGGGGGGGAAGAAAAAAAAGAAGAAGAGGAAAGCCGGGGAGGAGAAACTCAGTGGTCGGGACTATGAGGGTCTCCTTAAGAAGGTCAAGGCTAAGAAACAAAAGATTGCCGAGGTGAAAAAGAGCAATCCGGATGCTGCAGAGGAGATGATCAAACAGGACAAATGGCGGGCGGCGCTGGATCGCGCCGAGGGAAAGAAGGTCAGGGATGATCCAGAGCTCCTAAAGAAATCGATTCGGAAGAAGAAAGAGAAAAAGAAGCACAGTGAGAATAAGTGGAAGGAAAGGAAGGAGAGGACGAAGGAACTGATGGCGGAGAGACAGAAGAAACGTAAGACGAACCTGAAGGGACGGAAGGATGCGCTCAAAACCAAGAAGGTCAAACGACTGCAGAAGAAGGGAAAACTGCTCCTCAAAGACTCGGACTATTCTTAGTTCGGACTACGTTTAAGGATTCCCCATTAACATTAACCCCCTTGAGTGATTTACTAGAAACCTTCCTCACTCTTGCATTATCGAACACCATGGTAACTGCAACACCCAAACTGTTGGACCCATATGTTAAGCACAATCAGTTTAGTGCAGTACTTACTCCAACAGAATCAAGCAAAACTTGCGGTTTTTAAAGGGTTGGGGTGGTTAGGGATAACCCTTCTGTTGCTTAAGAGGTCACAATCGGTCAAAATTTTCTTCCTCACCTCCTGGCCTTGATGAGAGAATATGCTGCACAATGTGGACACCCCACACATACTTGTCAGAGGATTAAGGATACTGAATGGATAATTAATATGTAGCAACAAACCAATGGTTGCATGTTGTTCTTTTTATATAATGCTACATGTAAATGCTGATATTAACTTCAGTTTTACAACCTTTGCACTTCTTGTTCTAGTTCAATTCTTCTAGAATTGCTAAAGTTGATATTTATTGTTATGTACATCAGATTCAAATCAGCCAACTGATCCCGTTAGCTCAGTGGTCAAGTGGTAAGACATCTGCACTAGAAAGCAGGAGGTCGTGGGTTCGAGTCCTAACCGAGTGATTTTTCCAACTTTCACTTTGGAGGTAATTCAAGGAGTATACAGTGTTTATACGTCGGTGAAGGGCAAAACCATGTTTGATTGACATTTATTGCTCATGTAATCCTGTTGATCATGGGATTGTCCTGAAATGCTAGACTTGATTGTGTTCCTTAGTCGATCATGTCTGGTTAAGTTGGGTTTTAGCGCGGCTTTTGTCTGATAACAGAGGGCAGTTCGTCTTGGCCTTGCACCATGCTATGCCAAACTATAGCAATGTCCTCGGCTATAGTTTGGCCCATGCCAAGTATAATTGGGACTGTTCCAACTATTGTTAGGATGATGCTATAGTTGGGTGTAACAGATGTATTACTAATTGGCTGCTGTATACAACTTTACAGTTTTCACAAAGAAAACAATTTTGACATTTACTAAAAAATTGTCTCATTGTGAAAACTGTGGCGAAATGTATAAAGTATCTGCTTACTGCTTAGTGAAATCTGGACAATCCTGATTATTCACTGGTTTTCTAGCATGAAATCAGCAGTGATTAATGCAAGATCAAAATGCTGGCAAAGTTTACTCTTTTTAATTTCTTGATTAATGTGTTGATTTTTAATCATTTTATTGAATTGAAATCTGGCTATTATTAACTCGGCTCATTTTTGACGCCTTGATTAATTGAAGTGACGTTAGATAGGTGCCACAAACAATATTCAGTTGTACACATATAATAAATACATTAAAATATGCACAGTGATTTCAAAAGCAAAGTTCCTTCAGGAAATACTATTTCCTAAATGGTTCAATAAATATTTTAAATATTGAAAGAGAATCATTTCTGTTCAGTTTTATTCCATTGGTACATTTTATCCAAACTATTCATTTAAAGATTATCTACATTTGTCAGAAATGTATGCCTTTTTTAAACATCCAGAAAAAAGGGTTTCCATCGTCTTAACGCGGCATTGACCAAATTGATCCACTTGTTTTCAAACTTTGTAAAATTGTTACTAAAATGTGTAAAATGGCCTTTTTATAAAAAAAAAATGAATTTACACATACGACCAGTATTACATTGTTGATTGAAAGTGAATATAAAAATTATTGAAAAGGCACTTTCACCTGAATTTGAAGTGATATGGACCATTATTTTTTATGAATTACATCATTGAATTGAATTCCCTCCCCTTTGGTCACGTGTCTTTTTTAATTGAACATTTTATAATTTGAAAGTTTTGAACAAAACTTCAAAATCCCCAATTTAAGTTTCAAAAACTAACAAATTCCAATTTAAGCCCTTTTATTAAGGATAATGTGCAAAACGTTAGTGCTAATTCATCTTTTCTTGATCTTTTTCCGTCCGTTTGCTTCTTTCTTGACCTTTTTAGCATCTCCATAGTCTTGCTTTCTGCTGTTCCGCTTCTCCTGTGTTAAAAAACAAAATTGTATGAACAAAAGTTGTAAAATTGTTGAAAGCAAAATTTAAATTTGCCAACTTGAAATCCATGAGGTTGGTATACAGAAAACAAATTATACATTGCAATAACTGTGTCCTAAATACTCGAGAGGAAAAAAATGACCAATTACCGGGGATTTTTTTCCTTCAGATTTTGATTGGAACTTCTTCAGATCAGCACTGAACAAAACCTGCAATTAGAAAAGGCAGAATTCACAATTTGTATAACTGCTGTTATGAATTTAATCAGATTTTTTTCAGAAAATTGTTGAAAAAAAAATAAAAACCCTCCCTCAATCCTCATCTTCAAAATTGGCTGCTCTTTTTGATGTAATTTCACTCCTTCAATAAGTTTTTCATAAAACCATGCCATCATTTTGGTACAAAGGAAAACCTGTAAATTTGGACTCATTCAATGACCCCAAGAGAATGTGAACCTTGGACCGCAGAGATGAAATGTGAAGATAGAACCAAAACACCTTATCCACTCATTGACAACTTACTGAGTGTGCCCACCCAGCATATTCCCCAAACAGGCCACGGAAGAAGGCTCCAATCTCCTTGTAGACTTTGTCTGTTAGCGACTTGGTCTTGTTGAGAGAGGGCATGTAGTCACGCGACGCTATCTGCCAGACGTGAGTGTCTACTGGAATGGCGTCCGTCTTGTCCATCGACATGAGACAGACACAGTCGGCTACCTGAGGAGTAAAGACAGATATAGAGGTGAGTAAAAGACAAAGTGAAGACGGGGAGATGGGGAGATGCAATTTGTAACTTTTGTTATCTTGCACAACAATAAACAGAAAGGATGCAGAAAGGAAGTTTTCTAGCTGTAAATTTAGCAAAGAAAGCAAGGGGCTTAGTGTTTATTTTTGTGGCAAAGATTGGAAATCAAGAGAGACTTAAATGTCCCACATTCGCATTACTGATGAGCTAGGATGGATATTTTGTCACCAGTGAGAGGTGGTATGTCCACAGACGTGATGGAAGGTTGCCAATTTGCATGGTAATACCTTTGCTCCCACACCAGGCAGTTTCATCAGTTCAGCATGACACTCCTCATATGCCAACCCTCTTAGACCCTCCAACCACCCCTCCGGCTGCTCCTTGATGAATTTAGCCGACTGATTGATGAACTTTGCCCGGTAACCGAACCCCCTGTCTCGCAGCTCTTGCTCGATCCCTTCATGAGCCAGGGCAGTCGCAGATGGGAACGCATACCAAGGCGTGCCATCTAAGACAGCAAGCTTCTCTCCATACGTTGAGCAGAGTGTCTCTACCATCCCAGTGATGCGGGAGATGTTATTGTTGGAGGAGCAAATAAAGGAGAAGAGGTTTTCCGTCGGGTCTTGACGAAGAACCCTCACTCCAGGAAAGCCAGGGCAAACTTTTGTGAAGTTGGCATCGGCAGCCTTAAAAGTCTTATAAAGCTTCTCAAGACGGACATTGAGCTGGAAGTAGTCTTTTAAGATGGAAGAATACACTGCATTGTTGTTGGTCTCATCTCCTTTCTCCTTCTTAACATCATTGATTCCTGCATCCTCTTGCTTTATAACGACATGCTTTGATTTGGACTTTCTTCCTGTCACAGTGGGTTTTGCTGCTTGTTGGTCCTTTTTACTATTTTTAGGCTCTGTCTCCTCAAGACAATCTTCTTGCTTCACAGAGGCATCCACTAAGGATGGAGCGTCCTCGTGGACTTGATAGAGAATCTCATGAGCATTTTGCCTTAAAGTCCACACTTTATTGGCCAAGACACTCCTCCATACGCCTGGTTGAATCTCTCTCCATCTGCAATGAAACAAACATTTGGGAAAATGTGCAGTGAGCCTTGATCATGCATGATTGTGATGATGAACTTGTACTAGTTTTTTTGATAATGAACAAATGATGAAGAAAGTAACCAAATGATTCTTAAATAAAATGTAAAATTAATCGATAACACACTAGTCTTGAGAGAATCTGAATCATAAAATCTCCAACAATGATGATTTCAGATGATGGAGTTAACTAATTCATGATGATCATGATGATAATCACGAAGATGATGAAGATGATGTGCAACTGCAAGGCCTGTTTTAAGAAAGATGAGTACCTAAAACTCTGGCCACAATCTAAGGTGATGTCCAGCCGAAGTTCCGATATTTTACAGGGTAACGACCGCCATGCATTTGCCATAATCCTAGATTATGTCACTGATTCGAAATTTACTCGAAAAATATTGCAATAAACTATCAGATTTCAAGTTGCACTAGTGTCGATCCCAAAATCTGAAGATCAAGACCACACATGCATGCGGTTCATTGACGTTTCAATCTTTGACCTTTTCATTTGAATATTTGAATATTTACAACATAGTGGCTACCTTTTACTCACGGAAGCTAGTAGTGAGAGCATGCTGATTGTGCGGGCAGGGACGAGGTTGAACGCGTTAAAGGTCGTTGTCGCGGCTACGGTCATCAATAATCAGATAATGGCTGCTGTTCTCCATGCAGTAAAATGTAATTGTGCACAAACTGACGAACGGTCAACAATTTTGCGGGTAAGGACTCGTATTCCACTTTCAAATTTTACAAATAATATCTCAATTGAGAGATAAGTAATCATAGATAATCACGGCTGTAAAATATATTGTACTAACAGACGTTATTTTGGGAGTGAAATTAATGGGTGTTTTTGTATTAATTAGAAAAGTCACTAAAAAAAAAAGTCACTCGTCTGGTCTGTACGGCCATCATGCAGTTAAAGAGTGTAAAAAGGGCCTACCGCAAAAGAGTTTAGGGACGAATAAACATGCATTCAAGTATCAGAAATATGTTTAAAAATTAAAACCACATCCTTTCTTCTCTTGTGAAGTTGTTTGTATTGTCATGATTGTTAATGTTTATGTTAGGCCCACAAACTTTTTGAATTTGATTCTAACTGCAAGCATTTTTCCCTTTTCAGGAATTGGCTGGGCATTCAAATGAAATGACGTAGGCCTAACTGGGGGAAAAAGTGTGTATGAAATGTAATCAGTGTTCCCAATCTGAATGGTTCTGCACAAGAGGTCAAGATGAGAACTTAAGCTCAAACAAATTGAGATACATTGTAGACTCCATACTTATAGCAGACATTTCCAGGGAGTGAAGATGTTCACCATTCACCACCAGCCCCAACTAGCCCTATGGCTCAGGGAACGTGAGAAACCCCAACGATTGAAAGCCATCATGGAGAAGGAGAGAAAGTCAGAGTTCCTTCGAAATGCAGAGGAGAAGGGTTACCTTCAGTCGCCAACGAAGGATTACTTGCTCGAGCGAGGGCGGGGTAAAGCCAGTAAGAAAGAAAAGTCAGCAAAAAGGGCACCGTCAGTGTCGGACATCCATCTTGTGAAACTCTGCAGTGTGCATCTCATGAATCTCGGACAGATCCAGCTTCTGACGAGGTTGAAGATCTGCATCCTTCCCGGGAACTACATCACCGGCTTCGTTGCCCTGGCCAACTGTGCGGAGCTTGTGAAGTTGGACCTTCACAGCAATCAGATCTCAACCTTACCGGGGCCAGAGTTCTGGCGCTGTCTGCCCAACCTGAAAATCCTTCATCTGCACAACAATTGTATCGGGAAGCTGGACAGTTTGCAACACATGGGGCAGGCGGGGGGCATTCAGGTTCTGACGATGTATGACACACCCATCAGTTTGAAGAAAACATACAGGCACCATGTTGTTAATAGGTATGCTTAATAGTAGAAGACTTAGCAGTCTAAACTTCAGAATGTGAAAACTGAAGAAGGGTAACTTTTAATTTACTCCTCTTCTACTTAAAAGTATTTTTTTTCTGTGATTATGACCATGATGAAGTATTTGGCTTTTTGTAAACTTTCCTGGCACAACAGTTTATTAGCGACCAGTTGTGATCCACGGATTTTTCCTGTTTCTAGGTTAAAAGTCTCCTTAATATTGCCTTTCAGGCTGGCAGATCATAACTTAATTCAGTCTTGGTAATAAGTAAGATGGAAAGCTTAACCCAATCTACATTTCTAAAACATTGCATGAAAACTCTTGATTGAATATAGATTATAAACAGTGATTTAAAGCATCATGAATTGTTTAAAGTGTGTATACTGTTAATTACAATTTTGTTTATTTGGCTTATTACAGCATCTGGTCCATAAAGGCATTAGACTTCCACGTCATCTCAGATGAGGAAATCATCGAAGATGCTTCCTTTGGTGGCCACTTTGCTTCCATGAACCCATCCTTCCACTACAACCCAGTACCACACTCCAAAAAGGTATACATCTAAATCTAACTCTACGGTCTTCTGTACTGAATTCAACAATTACAACAACCATTTTCAACTACAGCTACTCAGGGAAGGAACATTTAAGATGATGCTAGCACTTTTTGAGTATGGAGATGTTCTCTTATCATTAAATTATTGTAATAATGTAGAAGTACCAAGCAAGATCTGACAGAATGTCTTTGAAGACATTTCTAAGTTGCCTGTGCACTCGTTCAAGTGTCCTCCTATTCTTCGGTTATTTTCAGGACTCAACCTTTGAGGATGAGATGTCGCTAGTCCAGCAAGTCTTAGAGGAAGTATCCAGCATCCAGGCCCATCACTCTCCTGTCCTCATCATCCAGAAAGTCATTAAGGGCTTCCTGGTCAGGAGACGACAGAAGTTACTCCTGGATACCAAAATATGGTAAGCCCTCTTGTCCTCTAAACTGTGTTCAGTGTTAAAGGGAATATACATCATTTGCTTTTGCTGTAAGTTTCAGAAATGGATGGAATTGGGGGGTTGGAAATATATAGCAAATATAGTTACACTGACTTTTTTGAGGTTTTGAGTTCGAAAATGCTATAAAAACCAAGAAAAACGATCATTTTCCTGTAGTCTGGTTCCCTGACTCCATATAAGAAGAAACAGAGCAGTTTACATACATGGGGAATTGTAAGGTCAGGGAACCAGTCTAGCTGGCTCGTACCCGTTCATAGGTTTGTAATAGATTGCAAACAAGTGCGAAGGTCAATTGGGGCCAGTATTTGAAAAAAAAGCCAGTTGTTTCCAACGCTGATCGGCCGATCAGCGTTGGAAATTGATACAAAAATACCACTTTTCTTGAAAATGACAGTATACCAGGTGCCATGATTTTACAGGATGCTTTACACTGTCATTCACTAACAGTCCAGCAAGGTATTTCAAGATGGTTTTATTTTTTGATGTTTGCAAATGTTGTATTTTCCCTTTAAAGAAATCAATATGCAAAAATTAGTCTTCGTAAATATTTCAACTTAATAATCTGATTCTTTTTTTTTAATTCTGCGTAGGGCTTCAGTTTGTATACAAAGATTCTGGCGTCACTTCAAGGGTCTAGAATGGAAACCCCCTGCCAAGCCAGCCACCCCTACGCACACCCCAGCCAAACCCCAGGCACAGCCCGCAGCAGCACCCACGCTGACCAAGGCAGACTCACCCCTACCCCCTGTTGCTCAATCCATCACCGATGCTTCCACTGTCACTCGGATTGACTACGATACCTATTTGGCCAACCGAAGACCTGGTTCTAAAACTCCCAGCATTGTGTCCTCTGCAACGGCCGACAGGAAAGCAGCAAACTTGGAGGAGATAAGAATGACTGGCTATTCAGAAGATAAGGTTGGTTGTTTTTTTCCTAAGCCAACTTAATTAATTTGATGCTTAGGAGTTAGCCTTGTAATAACCTTTTTTATTCAAGCCAGTTTGTTGTTCACAGGAATTTCAGGTGAAAAACAATTCTGGAAATTTTGCTACCAATTTCCTTGAAATCTGAACTGGCTTCAAGTAAAAGTATTTAGAAATACATTTTCTCAACAAGGTGGCTTTTGTGTTATTTTTGGTATTTCAACCATGTATCACAGAATATTGACCAGAAGGATCTTTTCGTTGCGTCTGTGCAACAAGGTCGTATCTCCTAAAATGGGCCATACGTGAAATGCGAGTTTCGGAATGTCAAAAGGTTGTATCTCACTTAAAATAACCCAGATGTACACACAAAGTCAATGGATGTCGAGATACGACCTTGTTGCACGGAGCATATTCTTGCGAGATACGTGTTTGTTGCAGAATGGAGTTACGACCTAGCTGCACTGACACAACGTTTTGTGTCAATCTGCATAATTTTTTTGTATTTTAACTATTTTTAAATGGTTGCCTTACAGGACACTGGCTTCAGCATGCCAGCAATGTCTTCAGCAACTCCTGGGATCAGCGAGCCCATGTCCTCCATGCGGAAGCGAACCAACCTCCACATTGACCTGACCAAACTCCAAACTGACACCATGTTCCAGTCTGACGAAGCCAGACAGGCCATCGTCTTTGAAACGAGCATCGAGGAGGGTATCAGTTCCTTCCTGGGTCTAAGCAAGCCCAGGGAACAAGGTTTGGAGCCAGTCAAGAGCTCAAAGAAACTCCAGAAGGACCGACGTCCTAAGGAGAAAAAGAAGGAGTTTAAGACAGTTAAGCAGATGCTGGGGCCGTTACCAAACAGCCAACTGGAGAGAGAACGGGAGGATGACATCGACTCTGATGAGGAGGAGCCTCCTGTCAAATTTCGCCTCTCAGGTTTGAAGTCGGTCATGCATGACGTGGATTTGCTGCAGGAGATGTTAATCGCTAGACGCGAGGCAGGTGAAGACATCCGCAATTCCCACAAGGATGTGATTGACAGGGCATTGCATGAATCCAGGCAGAAACCGATCAAGTCCAAATCAGTGAACGCAGACCAGAGATTGTTTGCAAGAGTCCAGGGCACCATGGGAATGTCTTGCTTGCGGGCCGTCCAGCAGGCTTACAGGGATCGTGCTAAGGCCGAGAAGCTTGTATCAACGGTCGACAAAGTGGTGTCTCTGCGGGAGATGAAAGAATCCTCTAAGCAGCGAGCCAGGAACTTCCTCGAGGAGAAACGCCTCCAAGCACTGAAGAAGAAAGACATGGATGCCAACAGTATTGCAGAGTCTCTCGAAAGGAGGGCTAACCTTGAGAAGGTCGAGAAAGCTCAAAGAAAAGAACGTCGCTCAAAATCTCATGAGATGTCTAAAAGTTTCAGCCAAGACAAATCTTTCGCTGTGGACTTTACTGGGCAGCATACATCCATCTCCAATGCTTTACTGAGACATGATCGCCAAGCAAAGGACGACATGGCACTCCAGGGCAATAGAGACACAGTTGAGGGAGAGCGGGATCACAACAAACGCCAACTTGAGCTCGTCCAGAAATACTTAGAACACAGACAGATGATGCGACAGGCTCAAGTAGCCGTTGAGCGAGCTGCTCTAGACACCAGGATGCTCCAAGAAGCAAATGAGCGTCTTATGGAGGCCAGGACTCGGGTAACTCAACAGAAACAGAAGTCTAAATCCGTCCAGGCTTTCTACCCCTTGCCAAGGACGGCCACTGACCCTGTCTTACCCCCTGTCAATCAGGAGGGTAAACCGGACCGCTTCCATACCCTCATCGCTATGTATGAAGGGAGGGTGGGAAATCACCCTACAGTGGTTAGGACATAATTTCCGGTTGACTCAATAAAAGGGTTTAGCTAAGCACAAAACATACTGTTAAATTGCTTTCTGGGTAGTTTTTGGGTAATTTATGCATGTGTTATTCCATTAACAATTCACTCATCAAAATGTTATTTGACTTCGTTTTTGGTTTTAATTTATTTATTTTCAAGAGGGGGAGTTACAAGAATCAGCATTTATTTTTTTTCTAATCGTAAATTTTGATTATGAACAGTTGGTGGCAAAATATTCTTGAATGATGCACCAGTTTATTCTCAACCATCTTTAAACATTGCAAAAATTGTGAATTATGAATAACCCCTTCATATTCTTGTAAGTCTTGGTTAAATTTTAGCAAGATTGTTTTTACTTAAATATTGTCACATAAATAGCTGCACCTTTCAGCATTCATTAACACACAAGTACAATTTAATAAATATTAATAACTCCATCATTTTTATTACAAAAATGAAATGTGTGTACAATGTATCAGCATTTTGTACATGAAATCGAAATAGATTTAACTATGCAAATATATATACACCAAGTACATGTTAACAATCATAATACTTTTTTTTGCAAATTAACCAGTTTGGCAGTTTGAAAAGAAAAGGTGTGTTGAAAATTTGAAATATAAAACAAGAATTCTTGCCCTATTTCAATTGTTCAAAGTGGTTGTTTCAATGTTGGTAGGGACTTTCAATTTTAGCAAAAAAAACCAGAGATATGAGCAGCATATACGCAAACTTTTAAATTTGTTTTTGCTTTATAAATATTTTGTGTACAAAAAGAGTAGATATTTTTGTTGTTGGTTTGTTCTAACTGTACAAAAATGCTGTATATTCCTTCCAAATACAAACGTAGCTACATTGTTAATTATAGTTTCATTTTTCTCATTATTTTATTTCACAGTTATTTGCTAAGTTTGTTGCAGTTTGCTTGAACGATAGGTTACTGTTCTCTTTTTGGTTAAATACATGTATTTCTCAAAATTACAACTACATGTACATTCAGGTGAAGATGTAAATAAATACTGAAATTAATCATAGATTTTGGAAACTCATGTCCTCAGAGATTGTTCATTTCTGTAATTACAGTCGAACCCTGATAAGAAGAGCACTGTTAATACAACATCCTGCTTATAACAAGCAAAAGTTTAGGTCCCAAGTCTTTGTTTTTCTTTGTTTTCCAATACTGATAATACAAAGTACCTATTATAACAAGGTGATGTGTAAAGTCCCAAGGACCTTGTTATAAAGGTGTTCGACTGTGTTACTGAAGAAATTTTGAATGCTTATTTGTATGTCATCAGCTTGGAGGGGGGAGGGGGCGGGGGGCTGGGGGCTACCACTTTTAAGCCACCAATGAACATCCATTATTACATGTATTCCAGGGGATATTGAACCATGGAGTGTGTTCCTTTTACCATGGAGTGTGTTCCTTCCTCCATGACTGTACTCAGTTCGTACGGCAAACAAATGTTTTGTGCGTTTTTCTTTTGGTGGCCCTGAACTGCTCTTTTTTGGAAATCATTGACCTGTGGCAAAGGAAAATTAGTGCATGTGCATACGTGCTTGTGTTGATTTGCACCGTATATGAAATTGTGCAGCCGTATACTCGCATTTGCCGTTTGTACATTTTACTGAAAATCATCATATACTCGCTCTGGTGCGTGACAGGGCAGAAAATAGTTTTGCCAATGTTCCTGAAGGATGTTTCATTCTTTCTTTTGATTCTCCATGTGACACTGAATCAGGTAACATGACTTTGTTTGTTTCTGTTGCGATGGTTGGTTGTCTGTCGGTTGGTTGAAGTTGGTTGTTTGTTTTCTATGGTTGTGTTGGTTGGTTGTATTGGTTCTCTTATTTTGTTAGGTTGGGTGGGTTTGTATTTACATGTACATGTAGTCCCCACATTTAGAGGAAAGATGAATCCCTCATTCATTTTATGTAGACAGTCGTAGAGAATGACTGGTAAACTGCGCCCCTCCCCGGCCGGCCCGAAAAATAAACTCGAACGTTAGTGCATAGTGGAAAACATGCTAGCACCATGCACGTGCACTTCATCCGTATCTATTATAACAGCGGGGTTGCCGCAGGCTTTTCACCACCCACCTGACCACCTGTTGTAACTAATTACATTAATTCATAGACACTAAGATTATAAAGAGCAGATGAATATTAGCGCCGTTATATTCAACCACAACCACTGTTAATTACCGTGTTTTGACAGTAGAGCAGGGAGCGTGGAAAAAAAGTGGTAAAATATTTTGCACACAGATAATTATAAGGCTACTTCTAGAACTAGAAGGCACTCCGGAGTGCCTTCTAATTCTAGAAGTATTAAAGTTTTAAGGCAGCCATCAAGTCTACATGGTCTAAGATTGACAGCTGAAAGATCTGTTCCTTGCTCTATGCATGTATGGATAAATATCCATTAATACGAAAATAATTATAAATGCAATATATGAAACTGTTTATTTCATAACCAACTTAGGCCAAAACAAATAGAAGTCGTATGCAAATTCAAAAGCCTATTGATTCTGGCCCTGTTAGTTTACCTTTTGTGCACCCTGTATTAAATGTCCTTGAAAAAAATCTTCTTGTGTGTGATGTAGTGGTGGTTAGGGTGGGGGGCTGGGGTGTGTGGGTGGGGGGGGCACGTACACTTACAAATTTGGCTTTGTGTCATTCCTAGGTGTTTTCATATCGCCTTTCTCGGATTGGGAAGCAACAGGACATCCAACACGCTTCAAACCAGCGACCAAAGGCAGGTAAAAATATGTCATAGTGATAAGTTTAATATCATTATCTGCGAATTTTAGAGACACACATTTAACTCTACTGAAACCCCTAACTTAACTTGAAAACATAAATGAATACAATCGTTGTAGATTTGGAAACAACAACTTTGTAAAGCTGCTCTTCTCCTATTTTAGTCTCACTTCAGTGTACCGTTCTTGAATTCATGGATTCTAAAATAGACAATTTCTTTTTAGAAAACAAAGATTGAAAATTGTTTTTATATGCCACTTTTCTCATGTCAATTTTTTTATTATTATTAAACTTCATCCCATTAGGTCTCCATCTTTCTGATCCTGACGTCCCCATTGCATCTCCTCCGAGACCAATTTCCCTGGATCTGCTTGTGGCTGTTGATACAAGTTCTTATCGTTACCATGGCGATGACACTGAGCATTACATCATGGAAATGCTGAATGTGGTAATATACCTCCGCCAAGGAGGTTATGTTTTTATCGGATTTTGTTGGTTGGTTGGCTTGTCTGTTAACAAGATAACTAAAAAAGGTACGGACGGATTTTTTTAGGGGTGGTCCTAATTGGTACAAGTACAATTTTGGTCTGGCTCCAGGATTTTTTCATAATTTATGCGAGTATTTCTTTTGGGTGTGCTGGCAATATGGCGAGCAATTGTTTAGCCTTGGTGGAGATTTTCGCTCGCTGAGTTTTTTTATTTCGTAGTTCTGTTTTCTTATCCAGATGTTTTGTTTTCATAGTTACAACATTTTGAGATACTTTTCAACTTAATATTGGAGGGTGCTAACAACTTTGTATTTATCTTTGATTCTATAAGCTTTGAGAAAAGCTCCTGACGATGACTAGAGCAGGCTAGTCGAAACGTTGAGACCAAAGACAAGTTCTTTTAGAACTTACAGCAGGACTGTTCTAAACAGAACAAAAAACTACTTAGCAAAGTTGATAATAAGCAGGACAAGTTCTTCTCAGAACTAATATCTTCTAAGCAGTAGTTATTACCACATGGTGTTACCGCAAACCGAAACGATACTTTGAGAAATTATTTGAAATTCCAGAGATTTGTTGGGAAATCGGTAAGTTGCGCTAATTTGATGCGTAATTATTATTATATTTTTCTTCTGCAGGCTGCAAGTCTATGGCAGAGTACATCATTGAATGCTGTTGTCAGACTCCGCGTTGCTAAAATCCACATCGTGAAAGAAAATCTGGTAGGTAGGCCTAATTGTCATGTTCCACAGCTTTTTTCTAAATGTCACCTTTTCTTCTTCAATTTTGTCATTTTTTTTTCAATGCTGTTTTTTTCTTCTATAGGTTGATTTGGAGCTTACAGACCATGCCAACTTGTCATTACGAAGATTCTGTCAGTGGCAAAGATCCTATTTCATGGCAAAGGATGGAGGAAAAGCTCAGTATGATGCTGCCCTTCTCATAACAAGGTATCTGAACTGTAACTTCACACAAGTATGATCGTAAATTTGTTTAATTCAGGACTTGGCACTCAAAAAAAAATCAGATTTTGATTAATGATTGAGTAGCAATGCGATTAAACTGCAACTGCGCACCCGCTGGCCAGTCTTGTAGAAATCTTCTGGACAGAAATATCTTTCCAGATTATAAACTGTTTCATTATTTTCTTTTTTCAGAATCGACATCCAGATAGGTGGTAACTACGATGCGACAGGCATAGCATACAACAATGGAGTGTGCGACTCGCAGTATCAGTGCGCCCTCTGTGAAGATAAAAGTCCCATGGTTCTCTCCCACACCATAGCTCACGAAATTGGACACCTGTGAGTAAAATCAATTATTGTTTGTTGTCACTGAGTGCCTAGACGGCGTAATTAGCAAGAGGTTAAAAAAGTGGGACTCGTTAAAAAAAACAGGCCGCTCGTGAAACAGGACCAGCAAATTTCCAGTTTGGGGAGGGGCGATGATTTTCTTATGGTGCGCCCCCCCCCCCACGCCCACCCTTGCCTACATTTGATCATAAATACATGCTTTAATAGGCTAATGATGATATATTATCTTGCCAGTTCTTTTTGTATATTTTATGTTCATAATTTCTATGCTTTATAAAATTGCAAATTTTTACACAATTCTAAAGTTTGTTAAATATCTCCTCCCTATCCATTTCAGCTTGGGTATGCGACATGATGGTGACCACAACCCCTGCCTAGACCGTGTCAACATTATGAGTGGGTATGCTACCACTGGACACCAGACATTCATCTGGTCACAATGCAGCCAACAAGAACTGGCAGAATTCCTTAGGTAAACAGCATTTTATTTCAATTTGTTTGTTTATATTATTTGTGTGTTTTTTGTATCTTTGATTTTTTTCTTAATTATGTAAAGTTTTTGAAATTTTTGTGTTTCTCCTCAGAAACCTGGCAGTTAGGCACAAACTGAGTTCTGTATTATGCCTTATCATCAGAAGGTTAGGGGTTCGAATCCAGCTGTCGAGCCAGCTGTATCATAGCAACCCACTTCGTATTTGCCTCTCCACCCAGGAGTGTAAGGAACTGGCATTAGCTTGAGTAACCTGTGATGAACTGGCCTCCTATCTAGAGGGGAAAATCCCATTCATTGTCAAAGAAACTTAGAAAACCAGACATTTAAAAGAAAACTCTTCGGGATAAAACTTTGATTTCTCCAACAGACCCTAGAGGATGGATGAGATCATTAAACTTCTGGCAGCATTTTCTTTTCTTGCTATAAAGAAAGTGTGAATTGACATGTAACTATTTTCTTTTCTCGATTGACAATTGAGCAGATCGGAACGGTCCAGCTGTTTACATGATTCCATCACTACTTCCTGGTCACCAGGCGTTGCCATGGATACAGTTGCCATGCCGGGGAGAATCTATGATGCAGACTACCAGTGTCAGATGATATATGGGGCACCAGCTAAAGCATGCAAGAGACAGAATAGACAGGTCATTTGGAGGTCATTTTTTCTTTTGTCTGTGATGAACTTTACGGAGAATGTTAAAATAAAAAGGAGAAAATGGCTAATTATTTCTTTTTTCAGATTTCTTCAAAAATAAAAAAACAGATGGTTTTGAATAGATGAAGACAATTTTCACTCCTACAGCAAAGCTCCTGCGGTAAAATTTTAGTCAGAGAGTCGGAAAAGTTCATTTGTGTACACTTCGTTTAAATAAATCAACAAAAATTTGGTAAACAAAAATACCCTGTAATTTACAACTTTTTAAAACAACAAATAATACTCTCTCTTTTGTTTTCTTTATTGAACCATCTTTTCATATTACTCCTACCAGTGTCAAACATTTTTTCTTTTTTCCACATCTAGCAAATCTGTGGCATGCTTAAGTGCCAACGGGATAGTAGTGGCACTGAGTGTGTGACTGATGGGAGACCAGCTTTGCAGGGAACCAGCTGTGGTTCAATCAAGGTAATCTGCCTGAGCATTCTAGAACAAAGTTTTGAATTTCATCGTCGTTGATTGCAACCTTTGTTTTAACAGCAAAAAAAGAGCCATTTTTATTATTCGAACTTTTCTCGCAGTGGTGCTCAAGAGGATGGTGTGTCCAAAGAGCTGCTCAGAAACAACATCCTGAAGTCTCTGTGGAAGATGCCACAGCTGTGCCAAATGGACAGGCTAACAAACAAACAGACAGACTACACTGCAGTGAGTGCAGCACATTTCCCTACATGGATACCCCGGCACCGACGATAGAAAGTGACCAAATACCAGTGGAATTATAAATCAGTTGTGTTCATTACCCCAATCCTCGGGGGAGAGTTAAGTTAAGTCGTTTTAAGGCTAAGTATTTATTTATTACTTCCGAGCCCTAGGATTTCATAAAGGTAGTGGTAAGCTCCGTGACTTTCAGGCTCTACATGTATATTCTGGATTCAAATCGTGGAGGAAAACAAGGGGTATTTGGGGTTTTTTTTTTAAATGTACATAAAAAAGTAAAAGTATTTCCAGCGTCCAAGATTCAAAACTGGGACATTGTGGTGGAAGTCCCAAGCCGTTCCAGTAGGCTTGTTCAAGTAACTTATGAAGTTGTCTCTTTTTTAATTTCAAATATTTCAACGCTTTATAATACCTTTTCTGAGAATTATACTTTTTCCAATAAAAAAAGAAGTGTCTTATGACTGAAAACACTCGGAAGAAAATATTTCGAAAGCATTGGTTTAAAAGTGGCCTAAACACATGTAACTACAGCGGGACTCGCTTTGCCATGATTGAGTCCCAAATATTCAACTTCAAAAGTTAACAAATGTCGACATTTTATGTTCTCACAGTTATACCGGGACTTAAACATTCAACTTAAAAAGCCAAGGCTTCTGGTAATTCTTTTAAAAATTACAAACTGGAAAATGTTTCAAAGGAGTGTTCGAAAGACGACATATCCCGGCCCAAGTTTCCCACCATTCACAATTAACGTATAGTCGGATCGAAATATAGAAGCCGGGCTATTCACCTGTTAAGGCAAGGATGGTCGTTCCAATTTGGAGGAAATTATAAGTACATCGAAGCTCACAAAATGACTACAGCATTTTTTGTTACTTCGGAATTTGAAGGTGGAAGATTATGTGGTACAGTGAAGTACATATAATGTATGAAAGAAATGACACAATTCGTATATTAAGACTGCAAATCAAACACGTAATTTAATTCTTTCAACCTGCTTTTCATTTACATCATGCCCGAGCAAAGGTTAACTCAAGTAGGAAATATAACGCCGTGCGCAAATTCTAATATATACACTACAGTATTTTTTTTTTAAATTATTTAGCTGATCATAACACTTAACCTCATAACTAAAAATCTATAGCATAATTTATATATACTGACATCAGAATTCTAATTTATACTATATTTACAAGTCAAGCTATTTACATCAGGCAATTATCCAAACAGACCAAACAATTCCAATGCCAAGGAAATCCATCACGAATGAACTTCTTTTTTTTTTTTACAAAAGGTTACATCTCAACTTTCATTGCCCCTATTCCATTTGCAAAAGAATGGGACATTGAAATCAGAGTTCAACATCAAAGCCCTCAAGTTGTGTTCAGTTGGCATGTCAAGTTTTTTCTCCGTATAAACGTATTTTAAACAGGAACTTTCCGTGTTATTTCCAGTATGAAAACAAGTTGAGGAGAAAATGTGAAGATGCACGCACTTGTACAAAATGAAACTTTTAACTTTCTAGACATTTTCACTTTGTTTGCTTCACACACATAAGTCCTTACGTTTTGATGTCATATCGATACAACAGTCAAAGGTTCCATAACGAAGCGACGATTGTCAATTCCGTTCAGTATTCTCCTGTTTTCAACAAAAGCATCTCGAGAAGGAACTTGTTCAATCTCCGCGTGTCCGATTCGCGCAGCCGTGTTTTGCTTCCAACAGATGAGGTTGATAGCCAAGGATAAAGCAAGCAAACCGGAAGCAGCAATGGCTGCGATGGACCATGGGCCGGGGAAACACTGGTCCGCTGAAAGGTCGGGTACTCGTTTCGTTGTCATCTCCCCGCATCCTTGAGGTTCGACCAGTTGACTTGGCAGGGTCGTTGGGGAACAAGGGCGGATCCAGAACACAATTTTGGGGGGGGCCAAAAAAATTACGGCGTGGGGTTCGGGGCCCGCTTAAGGGCCCCGAAAAATTTTTGGATTCTAGATGCTCTGTGGTGCGATCTGAGGCAATTTCTTACCACTTTAACCAATGTTTTTTTGAGGAAAAGATGGTGGTGTACTCATTGCCTGCCTTTATTGCGATGTCACTTAAAAAAAAAAAAAATTGGTTTCGTTTTGGGGGGGGCCATGGCCCCCTTTGGCCCCCCCTGGATCCGCCCTTGTTGGGGAATCGGATAGCCGTAGTTGGGCGCTTGACCGTCGTGGAGGGTAGTTGGCAGTAGTCGATCTCTGGCCAACACGGATCGGGCCGATCCTGCAAGCCCGGAGTTTATCAGGGTAGTGTGAGCTAAACATGACGCAGTTGAAAACCACCCCATCGTGAGTCGGACTTACTTGTAAGATGAAACTCTTCGTGATCGTGTCGTTGGTCTCCGTAGTGGAAAACTCCTCAGGTGACATCACCACGTCGTGTGAAAAGATGGAAAGTGAGACCGCAGGGTACCCCTTCGATGTTGTGCAATTTAGAGTAACAGCATCACCGCTAAATGCCATCACGGGTCCGTTCGTCACGCAGGCCGGGCTCGGCTCTGGAGGAAAGGAGAAGACTTTTAAGGCTACATGTGCCACATTGGAGACGACTGCACCCTGATGATCCCGTACTATTTTACAGCTGTACAAACCCCTGTCCCTCCCTACGACCGTGGTGATGGTTAGTGTGACAGCTTGGTCTCGGGAGACGTCGTCTCTGCTAGGTAGCTGGACAGATTCTAAAGTTACTCTGTCGGTAGAAGCGAGGACTTGGGTTTCATGCATCCAGACAAGCGAGTACCCAGATGTCAGACCAGCGGACTCGCAAACTAGAACCACCTTGTCACCTTCTTGAAGTCTGCTGAGATCACCTTCATCACCTGCATCTTGGATTGAAATGTGGACCGTTGGTTGTCCCGATACACCGACCCCACATGCTATAATAATACAGTGAAGACTTATGGCAATAAACTTTCTAACTCGCATACGAGCCATTTTCCAAAGTTTGTGATGGGTTCCAGATCTGTGTTTGACTATGCATCTCATGCGTCCCGCCTCTATTATATAGGCATCTTAGATACGCGCCGTTTCCGGTAACCGTCATGAGGTCCAGCGGAACTCCGGCGTCGATTTTCATGATTCGGGGAAATTTCTGTTCAAAATGGAAATGACGCCAATAATTTTAGGGCTGGTATTTCCTTTTTAAAAAGCATTCGTATCAGTGAAGCCGAATATAAATAGAATTCAGAGAAGGATTCAGGGGGTTTTTTTTTGGGGGGGGGATCTTTTTTCTGGAAACTCATCCTATAATGTTTGGAATAACAGACTTTCACTGTACAGAGCTAGAGATGGATAAAATGAGAGCAACGGTCAATGTATGAGAGTCACATTGTGATGGAATGTCAAGCTTTAAAATCCCTGCCCCAACCCCCGATTTACTGAAGCTATATATAGCGACCACTGAAGAGTCAATCCCTTTCGAAATGCTGTCAATCCCTTTCGAAATGTACATTCATTTTCAATCAAACGACATCTTCCAAGATAAAAACGTACATCATCATACTCCATGACAATCATTTTATTTCCATAAAAACTGAATGGATGCTTAAATGAGCAGTTGTCTATATAAGGTAATTTTGGCTTTAAATTAAGGCATTGTTGAAAAGCATTTGCTCGAGATTATAAGGGGGTGGAGTTCTAAGTTGTAGCGCACTTATAGTCTCGAAAAAGGATGGCGTTTCCTTGAAATCCCAGTGGTGCGTTCGTTCTGGCGGGTGGTGTCAAATTTGCCCAAATTTGCCAATGAAAAGGTAAATGTGTGGAGGTTTATAATTATAAGAGCCAGAAGCCCATCCATGGGCGTTGCGGGGGGGGGGGGCCGGGGGCACAAAATGGAGAAAAACAGGGGGCCGGGGGAAAAAAGAGGCGCGAAGTCATGGGGGGGACAATATGTCCCTGTCCACCCCCGAAAAATGATAAATCGAGAATGCCCCCCCGTAGAAAAAAATCCTGGCGACGCCCGGTGAATTTGAACATACGTTTAGCACAAACTGCCGGGAACCTGAAGGGGTCAATGGGTCGTTATTGATTTATCAACCGACTTATTGGTACTCAACAGATACTTCCGATGTGAATAAATGAAGTTACGGTAAATCTCAAGGATAAATCAGCACCGAGTACTTCTTTGTCATTTAAGTTATTACCTTTGCAAAAGGTACATAAACTGTGCGAGTGCATGTTGACTGATATGCTCTGCGAACCAGCGCGAATGGGTATGAGGCGGCCGAGTGTCATAGTGTACCGCAAATCTCGCACATTAATTAAGAGAACATGGAGGGAATACCCATACTTCGAATTTTTTTTAATCAACTTTGAGAAATCATGCAATACGGGAATTTTTCTGAAATTATGCGGGAAGACGTCAGTCACAAAGTATGCCAATTTCTTTCACTTTCAAAGGGGCACCCCGTTTCCATTGCTCAATATGTTGGGTAGTCTGGGTGAGTTTGGATGGTACTAAATAATGGTACCAACTTCCTCTATACCCCCTTGTGCATGCCTAACCTGACCTCATAACGTCCATGACTTCCAAGAAAGACGTATCATTACTGAAGACTCGGGGGGAGTGTCACCTCCCAGACACAGTTATTTTATTGAAAGGTGCAGAATGTGGCATTCACATTATATTTACGTTCAGAAAATGGAGAGAAGACCCATATTTGGATTTCTCAATCAACTTTGAGAAGTCATGCAATATGGATTTTTTTCTGAAATTGTGCGGGAATACGGGTCGCTAACAAACTATGCCAATTTCATCTACTTAACTTCGACGGGTAATTTCATAATTTCTATTGCTCAATACGTTGGGTAGTACTATGACGGGACTTTCCCCGAAGTGTTTTATTGTGTCGCTATGACCAGTATCGACTGAACGGAACAAATAGTTTGATATCTCCTGTAGAAAACTCTATAGCAACACGTTTGTTCACACACGTCTTTGTTTTAAATGGATAAATTGTGGTATTAAAATAAAATAAACTTGCCGTTTAAAATTAAACTGTGTTAACCAACAACTTTGCCATCCCCCTTTTTTTTTGGGGGGGGGGGGGTTGTTAACCCAACGTTTTACACTAGACAACGTCTTATAGACGATGATTTCGTAAACTAGTCTTCAAACTATATTTCCTAACTGGTTTTATCACAATCATTAAGTTCTTTAATAGACCACGCTTCCCACATACTGTTTTCCTCACAGTTTTGGTGGAGCGGGTATAATCTTGAGCAGCGATCCCACGGAAAATTGGAATGCTTCACTTCAGAGTGTTCGACGAAATGCCGGGGAATTCCCTTTCTTTCATGGGCTCTTGAAAGTCTCCATGCAGAGGCGATGACTCATCAGCCAAGCTCAAGGAGCCCGACACTCCTTCCCTCCCCCCCCCCCCCCCCCCGCGCAAATACCTCACAAACAACAACTTTAACATTTCTGTGTCGCTCTCAAACCCGTGAAACTATATACAAAATGATTTACAACAAATAAAGACTTTGTTCAGAACAAACAACGGAGGAATCCTCCATGCCTACACGTACGTTTTACGGTAGCAGACCAGTAAATAAACTTCCATAGACCCCAATGGTAAATGCTCCCACTTTTAGGAAAAATTTCCATCCGAAGATGATCACCCCTAAAAATAGTCCTGAAGCCCATCGCCATTTTGAAAAACGATGGCTACACTCCATTGCAAAATAGAGCGCTTTTAGGGTCCAAATTACATCCAAATTACACACAACTGCAAGCTCCCAGTCCTGTGCACGGCTTCCACCCATATTTTTTTTACAAACCCTCAAGTTCATGGCCCACAATACTCTCAAATACTGAAGATTTTGAGGGCATGCAAATCATGATTTGGCCGCCGGCGTAGGCAATTTGGGGCCTATTTACTGGTCTGCAACTTTTAATCTTCTGCAGTGAGAGAGATTTATCGCGTCTTCAACGCCCCTAAACCAATAAAACTTGAACCCGTGAACCCAACGGATCAATCACAAGTTGATACTTGCTTTGAAGCCGTTATCCTTTTAATCCACACGTCCTCATGCGATCAACTGCACTATTCCCGTGGCATTTTCTTTTATGGATTCAGATGGGTAAACATTCAATGGGAATTCCTTGAACTGCTCCTCACACTTAAAAATAGCAACGCAGGTGCGGGGAAACAGTGAGTCGATAGGTGTAATGGTCTTCCACCAAAAATAGTATAGTCTTCCAATCTCGGCATTCTTTCCCATCAGTGGCGTAGCCGGGGGGGGGGGAATGAAACCTTGTCGCCCCCAGTCGCCCCCCCCCCCCCCCCCCCCCACTGAGATTTTGAGTTTCTAAAAAAAATTATCATTGATCTTACATGACGCCCCCCCCCCCATGAAATGTTCCAGCCCCCAGCGCCCCCCACTGAAAAATTCCTGGCTACGCCACTGTACGAATTCCCATGAATGATCGGGAGACACGTACGAACTGAAACTTTTCGTATATTAAATGTGCCCCTCACCGAATAAAATTTACTACACAGCGCAACCGCAAAACTTTTCCGACTTCCGAGAATTGCGATTTTCAAACAAACCCAATTTAAAAAAAAAATCGCATTCTTAATTACGCCGAGTAGCTATAAATCAATGCTAAAACTCAATTTTTTTTTACGATTCGGAAGTTTCATCATAGCTTTCAAAGTTATTAATACATGGAATGATTGATATTAGCTCGACTATGCATGGGGTATCGCGACGATGCCCCCAACTGCTCACTTCACTGAAAGAGAAAAACTATAGTCTTCTCATAAAACCAGTTCTTGTGAAATCGTTCCCGATGCGGTCTTCCGAAAGAGTGATCGTTCATGAGAGAGTGATCGTTCATGAACGGTCGAAATCGTGACCATCTGGCCAAAGCACCAAACTTGGCAGATAGATCATAGCTCTAAAAAATGGATTCTGGATTAATGGTGGCGGGGTGTAATTTCAATTTATTGAAGGGTAACAAAAAATGTGTATAAAGCAGGGAGATTGCTTTATTGCTGTTCTTGAGCTTGACGCTAGAGGGCAGCAATCACATGAAAAAGAAAAGGTGTTGTCATTCTTCACCACTAGAGGGCGGCAAGCATTAATTTTTTTTGAAATTATGTTGTTCTTGTTTGTCAAAAGAGGGCAGCAAACAAATATTAACATGTTGCTTTAAAACTGTTAGCAAAATTCCCCTCAGCGATTTCGTCGGCCACAAAAACCGCCAACATCTGGGTCTATTTTAGCGTAGAAGAGCAGGCTACATTTTAGACCTGGGCCAGAGATTAACAAACATTTTAGATTGTTTTTTTTTTCGGGGAAGGGGGGCACATTAGAAAAATAATCGAATTGGCAATCTCTGGTAAAATTGAATGCAAAAATCTCGTATACAGGCCCATATTCCTCGGCCGGATCGCGTTTACCATGATTATTGTTCACCATAACATCAGAAATAATATTTACACTGATAGAATGCTGGAATGTGGTGCAACTATATTCAATATTCTCCAAGTGACGAAGTCAAACAGTTTTAAAATTTTGATTTGACGGCTTGCATTAGTAATTTCTTGAGACAAATGAGGTGTCCTGGCAACTTAGCAATTAATTATTGCTTTATCTCGACTGGTAGTCAGGAAAACAATGTGCACAGAAAAAAAGTTGGATAATGTTGCAACTATATGCACCATTCGTCAAGTTCTATACTAACATAGTTTGGAGTGACGGCGCGATGAAAATAAAATCCCGGGACACGCTTTCTCCAACGGGGTTTACAACAACAAAAATCTCGAAACATCTGCTAGCTGCTCACGTGTTCGAATGGAATATACACTACGTAAGAACGTGCAATGTTCAAAATTATCTATGAACAAATCATCCATGTTTTCGATGATTCAAAACAGAAGCTTGCTAAATTGAAAAGTTCAGCTTGATTCATGCATCTAGAAACTGAGTATATAGTCTGGTTCCCAGACCAAAAGATTCCGACTATTCCTGATGAATCTTAGGTCCGGTAGCCTCCGGTAATACAATGTATTACAATTTACGTCACGTGACTAAAACGGGAGGAATTCCTCCTTTTTCCGAAAATTTCCGAAGTTTGCCGAAGTCGTTTCGTCGACAATCGGATAGCACCCGAGTATTTCCGAGTATATAATATAGGTTTAATTAACTGCTAATTGCTTATTAATTGTATTTTAAATGAGTTGATGATTAATATTCATTGTTTTCATTTAGAAAACTTGAAATTCAACGACGATTTTGTGCATCAAATATATTCGGATCGTACGGGCGAACTTTTTGCTGCGTCATGTACAATTTTGAATTTGACGACCGTTACCGAGATTTTCCAAAACTCGGTCTCCATTCGGCTCGGCCTGCTAACAGTGCTATTGGGTTCCGTAATTTTGAAGATTCCAGATCAACATTACTCAATGTTATCTTACAAAAACATCAAACTGTATTATCATAACTGTATGATATTACGAAGCAAGTGATTTATTGAAAGATTTGATCAGAACATTAAAAGCTACAAGGGATAAAGCGATATCGGAAACGAAGCCGCGCTTTGAAAAAGGGCCATTAATGTCGTCATGTTTATTTTTAGCCACGGAGGCTGCCAGACCTACAATTCAAGACGTGAGCGTCGGGAATAATTGTCAGGTCTGGGAACCAGACTACTGAGTATACTAGTAACTGTCATTCATTTCACGCAATTTAACAGGTGCATTTTCATTCAGGACTATAGATGGCGCACTACTGAGCTTGAAGCCTCCAAGGTCTTCGAGACAGCCATCAAAGACAACCTTCAAGTTCATTGCCAACAAAATGCTGTAACAGCTAAAAATTTGAGGGCATGCAAATCGTAATTTGGCCCGCGTTGGCAATTTCGGACCTATTACTGCACCGTACCCAAAGATTTCGATTTGCTGCCCTCTACCCTTATTTTTGTGTGTAATCCGGTTCGTTAGTGTGACGTCACCTCCAGCACTTTCTGCACGTTTGGAACCGGAAGTTAACGCAGCTCGAGCGTTTGCAGCCAATGGGCGCTAGTAATCAGTGGTGTGCGCGCGTGTATGACGTTTTTACTAACGAACCGGATAGACTTCAGTGTTTGGCGCCCTCTTTTGACAGCAAAATTTCATATTTTTTTTGTATTTGCTGCCCTCTGTTGATGAAATGATTGCAACATGGCGGCCTCCATGCGGAATTTATTTTCGCAGTGTTCGCGTTTCCAAAGTAAGTTATTTGCATTGTAAATTATTACGATATCAACGTTAGTCAACACTTCATATGATTCTGCAGTCCAATTTAGTTGAATGATGGCTTTAGTTTCATTTTCAATTACTAGTTTTTGAACGATTTAACAAACATGACAAACGTTAAATTGTTGGTGCAGCCCAGTTTTCGGACAAATGAAACTGCAGTGCCAGTGGCTACGCCTAAAGTCCTATACGTAGGCTATACTATTACTTAACGCTGTCGAGCGCAAAGTGAGTCCCCCGCGCAAGTTTAAACTTGCGCGCTCAAGTTTAAACCTGCGCGCACGCAAGCTTAAACTTCCGCGCGCATTCATTTCCTTGCTACAAATTGCGCACGCAAGTTTAAACTTGCGCACTGCATAGATTTTCCCGGCCACGCATACAGAGCCGCTAAACTATTTTTCCCTGGTAAACTCATGCAGATATGATTGTAACATTATTCTTAAAGCAGATTTTTTTCTCCGATTTAATAGCATCACTGAGCTTCGGGAGACAATGCCTTAATGCCTTTTTTTGAAACATTTTATTAAATTCATTAATTAAATCATTTGCAAATTTATTTACTTTTTATAATTACCATTTTATATGCGTAGCGTTTTTAAGTTGTAAAGATTTTTTATTATGAATTATTGAGCCTGCAATAAAAAATATTGTTAAAGTAATAAATTTAATTAATTAATTAAATTAGTAATGCATTCATTAAATTTTTTTTCAAATTATGCATTTTTGAAGTGTACACAGCGCTCGAAATGTTATGCAAGTATTCTAAAAACAATATGAATTATTGTACCGTCCAATTTATTAATTGTTATATTAATTAGTATTTTTTTAAGAATAAGTTCTTTTTTAATACATAAGCATTTTAAAAATAATGTAAATGATTACTATAATGTCAAAACTTGAACAATTGAAGGGATCATAATCATTCTTTTTCTTATTTTTCTTCAGGTGCCATTGCTAGAAACAATTACTGGTCAAAAGCAAGCCTCTCTACATTTTACAGATCACAACAAAGGATTGGCACTGCAGAACAAGGTAAGTAGATCTGTTCACTGATCTAATTTGGATGAAATTAATTTTTTTTGGTAATAACAAGTTCAAAAATAAAAGTGACAAGTAATGGACACCTAATTTTTTGTTAACATGCTTTAAACTTCCTTAATACTTTTAAAAAGTACTTATCATCATTTGCAGATGATGCAACTAGTCAGTCCTCTTCAGAGATCACTGATTCCTTAAAGGACCCCGACTACTTCAAAGTAAAGGACTTGGTTTCACTCCAAGACCTCTTCGATGCCCGGGTTCACCTCGGTCACAAAGACGGCCTGATCAACCCGCACATGAAGAAGTACATATTTGGCATCAGGCAGAACCAGTGCATCATCGACTTGGATCAGACAGCGGGTCTACTGAAGGAGGCCTTAAACTTTACTGCTCATGTTGCGCATCGGGGCGGAATCATCCTTTTCATCAACCGCATGCCGCAGTTTACGTTCCAAATGGAGCAGCTGGCCAAGGATTGTGGGGAGTATGCCCACACACGCCTCTGGCAGGGCGGGTGCTTCACGAACGCCCCGATCCAGTATGGACCGGGGACACGCCTACCGGATTTACTCGTCTTCTTCCACACCCTGACAAACACCTTCACAGAGCACCTGGCTGTGACAGACGCGGCCAAAATGAACATCCCCACGGTGGGGGTTGTAGACACCAACTGTAACCCTAACTTGATAACGTATCCCATACCGGGGAATGACGACTCGCCTTCAGCGATGGAACTTTATTGTCGTCTCTTCAAAACGGCCGTCTTGAAAGGCAAGGCCAAGAGAAATGACACTGATGTGTAGAGATATGTATTCACATTAGTTTGAAGTAACAAAGTGAATTCCTTTTATTTTCGTGTGTTTTTCCCAAACCGTCAAAATTGTTACTGAGAGCAAGGACAAATTCTGAGAATTTTTTCCTTGTTGACATGTACAAATAAGCTCAAAATGAAGCAGTGAATTTTTAATCTTCAAAAGTTGACAGTCTTGCAAATTAACCCAAGCCCAGCCAGTTTTCTATTTAACCCTTAATAAAAAGTATCAATTTTTTTCAGCTTCCAAAGATATATTAACTGCCTGACAAGTTTAAGATGTACATTCACATGTTTTACTGTTTCTACAAAAGTCACTCAGTTAATATATTTGTGTGTTTAATCATGACATTTTTACCTATTCTCAAACACTTTATACTCTTGACACAACTGAGGATTAACTAAAAAATAGAATCCATTTTGTGTTGCACTGCATTTCCATTAAATTTCAAATGCATATCTGGAAAGATTTACTACAAACGCAAAGTCTTAATTTTCAATAAAATGTTCTATCCATATTGTCTGAGCTCTCATACATGACAATGTTGAGCAATGACTTGTGATGCTGTAGAAAAAGATAAATCATCATTTTGTGAGAGTTACATTTTCCATGATTCTAATCAAAATTTTCATGAAATTTATTGAAAAATGCATGGTCTTTGAAAGTCTTTACAAAAAATATACATATAAAAAGAAAAACAAAATTCTCTTTGGCAATTAAAAATTCACCATCCATTAATATGAAACTTGATATTAGAATGCAGTACGTAGAAAAACCTGAGCACATTTATCATCACAAAATCAGTTCAGCTCAGCATGATAATTGACTCCATTAAAGTGCAGCAATGAAGAAATACATTTTCCGTTAAACGAATAACCATTTCAGTTTTTGACCATAATTTTCACAACCAGTCTTTATGGAATGTATTCACTTCATTTGCTGACTGCGTCAGCCGTTCTTCGACTGACGTAAGGCTGGAAAATTTTCTGCACGGCGTCCAAATGTCGTCTCTCCACATCGGCACTCCGAGTGTGCAACAAGTAATGACTGTAATCCCTCCTCTGCTCTATCGCTTCCGTGCTCAGTTCCAAGTCTTGGTTCACTGGTTCCCGGATACATGAAGGCGTGGTACCAGCCTTGACCTTGATGACCTGGGGGCGGGGCTTGGGCTGACCAATAGCAGACAGAGTTTTCTGGGCCTGGGGGGTGACGGATTCTACGTGCCAGTTTTGGGTGTGTTGGACGTGGCGCGAATATTCTATGTGGATGTCACTCAAGCTGTAACGTCAACAAGTGAGAATAAAATATAAACATGTAGCAACAATTAACTTGTGGATGTTTACAAACAAAATATAATACTATACATATGTCTAGTAAAACTTGACAAAATAATTGAAGAGGTTCAAATCCACACAAGGGCACCACATGTATGGGTGGTCAGTCCTATTTTTTGCCTGCAAATTTACATCACAAATATATACAGATTGTCTCTAACTATTCCTATGCTTTTCTTTATGCTTTTAAGTCAATTATATTTTTCCAATTTTTCAAAAAACGGCTAAGAAAAACAGAGAAATTGCCTCAATTTTTTTTTTCAGGAAATATCTTTGCCAAAATGTTTTAACAGACATAAAGGGGTACTTCAAATTTTTTTTTTCCCAAATTCCAAAACATTTCATGACTTTAAATGATACAATCAATATTTTTTTGTACCAGTAATTATTACCTTCTTGCTAATCTCATCTTTTCTTTCATCTCCGGTGACTTGGCTGGTTGGCTCCACCACGGAGTTGAAAATGCAAGCTAGAGAAAAAGTAATACAAATTTACTTCAATTAGTGGAGTATCAGAAGTTCTGTTCAAAAGGGTTTACAAAAGACGGTTGTTTTTTGTTTGATTTGAAGTGCACACACCTTTAACCCTATACCAACGATTAAAAATATTTCCACTATTAAAAAAAGATGATTATATGTCAGAACTTCAATCAATGTTCAGCCACAACTCACAAAAAAAGAGCCCCACCTTGTTTTTGGACAACTTGACGGGATTCAATGAAGGCAGTGATCTGACTCTGGCGGGTTCCTCATCAACAGCCACCGGTGCCGTACGGAGTCTGACGGCAGTCGGTGTACGCGACCTGAGAGCGCTAGGGGTCATGGTTCGGATCGTGCTTGCCGACCTCAGGGCCGACTTGATGGGGGTCTTACGAGCCGAGCGAAGGATGGGAGTCTTGGTGTTGATGCCTAGGTAACGGATGTCTAGACGATGGAGCATGGCTCGTCCCTTCTCAGCCATGACAGAGCAGAGGACTAGCAGAGCAGCATGGAGGAGAGATCTGGACGGGTTGGAATTTAAACAAGAACATTTTATCCAAGAATTTGAGAACCCATTTTCATCAGGATATAAACAATATTGGAATGTGTACATGGCAAGTATGGTGATTCTAGAAATGTCTTCAGATAATCTCAGTTTCTAATAATCTCTTAAAAGAATCCCCCACATCTAAATTCTCCAAAAATAATCTATAAACTCTGAAAATTACTTTGAAACTACTGTTATGAAATCAAAGGACTTTGATTTTTAGTTGAGATTTTCCAACACTTTTTGAATCATTTCCTCAAGTCCCGGACCTCTGCTCTCAAATCATGGCTGATTTGTACAGTGAGATTTACACCTAGTGAGTTACTGATAACTATGGAATGCTTTTTCTACTAAAAGATAAAAAAAAGTAACAGTACATGGCGTTCTTTACTCACTTGTTAGCTATTTTTCCATCAAACATAAGGAGCTGGCCGACTTGAGCAAACCCCAGGCTGATCAACAGCGCCCTCGCTTGGTGATGACCCCAGAGGTGACTGACCCCCGTGTCGTTGACCTTCAGCTGGACCTCAGACATGTGCTTGGTGAAACTCATCTAAAAGAATCAAACAACAAATACTTAGAATCAGACAAGTCGTGAATGACCAAACTTTGGTCACCAGATGATCTCCCATTCAAATAAGCCGTTTCTTAAAAGTTGTCCACAAATGAGTCGAGAGTTGAGTAATTTATCCATACCACATCAATGAGTCCTGAGAGAAGTTTCTCCTGACCATCTAAGACTCTGGCCAGATTGTGGGCACACTCCGCATTCTCACAAATATCTGTAGAACAAAAGAGATCAAAAATAAACTGCTAACTCTTTTGATATTGAATAATTGTTGTCTACAAAGTAGTTTCCTTTCAGAAGCAAACTTATAGCCAAGGAGTTAAACTGTTGAGATCCTGAATCCATCAAAGTCCATCAACTTCTCAATATGTTGGTATCCCGAATCTATCAAAATCCTGCAGTACCGCTAGGCTTACTGTCCTGAATCCATCAAAATCCCCCAACCTTTTCAATATGGAGGTATCCTGAATCCGCCAAAATACTCCAAAACAGCGATGTGGATTTTGATGCATTCAGGTACGTTAGGGTTAATGAGGCAAGTGAGAAAAGAATTTCGCTTTAATAAGATGATTGATCTATTAATTACAAGGATTTTCATTTTATTCATCTTCGATCTGTGATTAACACTCAAATACAAACTTTCTGTTTGACACACCTTGTAATCCCTTGAGGGCTTGCAGTGCAGGTTCTATCATGGAATCTGGATCCCACTGTGGGAACACCACCTGGGGATCCTGGGTACCAGACCCGCCAGCCTGGAAGTGAAAGCCTAGCTGGTTGAGTAACGGGATGGCCGAGGGCGCTCTTAGGATGCATTGTGGGACAGGTTGGGACCACGGTGGTGTTGGGTGATCACTCTGTGGGTCTAGGAGAGGGAGGCATTGGTTGAGCTGCATAGTGGAGAAAAAGAAAGATAAGAGTGATCTTGTATCGTTAGCCACTACAAGTTATTGGCAGTGGATTGCAAGTAACTTAAAATAGTTAAGGTCATTTTCTAGGACTGTTAGGAATTCTGATGAGTGTTTTATGACTCGTCTTCACTGCATAAATTCTGAAACATTTTGATACAGACTATCCAAAATGCTTGTCTGTCAAATCAACAATCAAAGTTAACAAAAAAATATTTATTGTAATTTCTTTGATTTGTTTTAATCATCAAATATAGTTATCTTACCAGTTTGGTCAAGTTTGGTATGACATCCGGGTGCTGGGTGTGATGCAAAAGCAGACCAGATAAGTGTCTCCTCAGATTCTCAAGAAGGGACCCGGTACTGCTCTCTGGATGAGAAACAAGAAGGTCATCACTAGAAAAGTGAAATAAGCTGGGTTTTGCAGTTGAGAAAAAATGGTTTGAGGGAAACTTCAGAAGCAGAAACTGAAAAACAAACTCAAAGAGTTTGACTGACTTGAAGAATGAACTTAGGGAGGGTGGGGTAAGGTGGGCTGGCATGGGGTGGGGTGTTGTGGAATGTGGTTCGCTTGGCTTGGGTGGCAAGAGTTGATAGAACAATCGGGAAGGTGCTGGGTTTTCATTGTAAAAAAAAAAACTTGCTAAAGCAGATTATTATTTTCTGTTCAAATTCCTCAATTTTTAAGTCATTTCTTGGGGTGGAGATGGGGAGGATAAACAAGCAGAAAGTGAAGGAAGGGGCTTTGAAAGGAAGGAGGGAAGTGAGCAGAGAATAAGACAGTAAAGAAACAGCAAATTTGTTTACAGAGTAAACAAAGAGAGAAAGAAAATGAAGAAATGGCAAAACGACTGACGCACCCTGTGTGTCTGCTGTCCTCATGTTGAGTACGTCTTGCTTCTTGCTGTTAAGATATGTCTCCTCCATTGTGTTGAGTAGCTGATCCATCATGGCATGCTTGACGTCAAGGAGACTAATGAATGGATCTCCTCCTAGGAGACAGAAGGATGCCCAGTAGCGAGGAGAACGGAACCTGTACAAAGAATCAAGGCGGTTGATCAGGTGACAGTGTGATTGCCAGTCAAACTCTACTATGATTAACGGTGACTCAACCATTTCCGCACTGGGGTTTGAGTGGTGGTTTCAGGGGCTACAGCCCGACTACACAAAACTGCCTACTCTTAAAGTGTTCATGTTATTGTCATTTATCTTTCTCATCCCAAATCCTACCTCACATATTCCTAATCCTTCTCATTTAATACAAGGGAAAGAAAAAATACATCTCAGACCCATAATTGAGAGTAATTACACCCATGTTCCACACTGTACCTGCAACATACATCAAGACAGTGAGGAGATAACAGGCTGCATAATGTACATACTCCTAACATTTCGTGAAAGGAACTAAAAACATTTCGGTCAATGTCCTCATAAAAGAAAATGTTCCTTCATTATAAATAAATAAAACTGCAAAGAATTTACTACATTGGTTCAATTTAAATATATTCTTTCCCTTTTTAATTTGTACCTCTCATCTTGTCTCAAGCATTTCTTGGCCTGGGCAACTGCTTGAGAGACGTGACATCCCTCCTGCAATGCCAGGTAGAAATGGTGCCAGAATGTACTCCTGACGATGTCTGGTACGGACCACAACAGCAATAAGATGGACTCGGCACCTGGGAAGAAATATCAAACATAAGAATCAAGTATTTACAAAAAGGGTTCCATTTAATTGGAACATTTTTAAGTAGAAGCAACTTCAGTTCATGTAAATCAAAATCACATTTGTTTGACCTTGATTCTATACGTCATTTTTTATCGGAAACATTTTGACACAAAGATCATCAAAAGATTGTGTGATTGAGTTGAGCCCAAACATATTTTATGCACTTGGACTTTTCCCGCGTCGTCCAAAAAAGATTTGCAATTTAAAGTCATTACCTGCAACGAGAAAAGCAAGTGGTAGTTCTAGTTGGACATCACGGTGACGGTTTCCATAGCAACAGCTCATTACCACCATCTTAGCCTGGAGTTTCAAACCGATGATGTCATCAACGCCGATCATGTAAGCACTCTGGCTATTGGATCCATCAGGGAGTGGTTGGCTGGTTGGGTTTGGTGTGCAGGCTAGGCATGCTTGCTCCCATGAACCATACATTGCTGATGAGAGAAATTAAATTTGGATCTCAGTAATGAAATACTACTTCTTGAATTGGTTCTACTCGAAACTGTTTAAAAATCTGAAAGATTTGAAGTTGTCTTACCGAGGTGAATCAGAGTTGATTTGGGTAACTCGGTCAGTAGTGTCTCTTTGGTGACCTTTGAACCTACAATGGCCTCCGTTTCAAGATAGTGAGCCATCTTGTGAGCTTCTTCTTGTGCTATTTGCAACTCTGACATTGGCTTCCAAATCTGTAAATTGGAAAAAGTAAAATCCATACAGTTTCATCTTTTGCTCAACTGTAAAACAGATAAAGTCACTTTCAGGAAAGTTCTATAGAAATGTGAATATGTTTCATTTGACAAGTCTCTCACCTTGCCATGCAATCTCAGCTTCTTAGGAAGTGTAGGGTTCCCGACGACTAGCGCCCTCTGTCGACCACTCTGTTGTTGATAGTGTTGAATCTTTCCCCCACGTGCCGAAGTGAGATCTCGTCCACTCCACGTTTTTGAAATCAGGGTGCTTCCACTTAGTTCCCTGTCTTGTAAAAATCTGTCTTCCATCACGGAGACTTTGTCTCTTGGACTTTTGATGACGTGGTAAGAATTGCGGTCGAAACTGACGTAGGATGGCCTGGCGCTCTTCTGGGCCATCTTCGGAGCTTCGGCCTCACTCTCTTTGATGATGCTGTGGGGCTGCTCTTTGGGCGGGACGACGACTCTCAGCATGTGGTCCAAGTATATGGGATGCGTTGGTGATGATTGTGAGCCCGTGCCATTTTCTGTTTGGTCTTGGGTTACATCATTGCTGCTGTGCTTGTGAATGTATTTGAGCGCCTCCAGACAAGGAAGTAAAGTTAGAAGATACTTGTCGCCAAACAGACAACCTTCATCATCCTCTAAGGCATCAAATGGAACCTGGGTCAAGACACGGTCGGCTACAATCACTACCGAGCTACATCCTTGGAGAAGACACTCTACTTGGGATAGGAGAAGTTTGTGCATCTTTCTTGAAGGAGACTCTCTTGTCGTGGAGGTACTTTTCTCATCTTTGTCATCAAGAGGTGTGGTTTTATTGGTTCCGTGTTTCATCATAGCTAGGTTCAGGGTCTTCAATTGATGTATCTTAGAGTCTTGGAGAGGAAGGGCTCTGAATTCCGTCTCATACGCCTCATCTGCTTGACTCTCAGAGGCTCTCATTGATGAGATAAGCTCTTGGACGTAACGAGGACAATCCTGAATGGTATTATCTTGGTCATGTTTACCAGCCCAGCAACCTTCCCCTGGTCTGAAGACCCAGCTTAGAACACAAGAATGGCAGAGGGACAGATATAAAACTGCTGCTGATTCGTTATTTACAATCTTTAACATATCACCGATGTCTGCGCTACTGCTCAGCAAGTCTCCGACAGCCTCTGTTTGTTGGCCCAAACTAGCAATGTTCTTTACTAACGTGTTGAGAAATTCTCGTCTCATTTGGGTCTCGGCGCATTCCAGAGCTTTGTACGGCCTGGCAAGTTTCTTCAGAGCAACTTGGACGAGCTTGTAACTCTGCTCAAGAAGTTCCAGTGTGTTCTCTTTGTTATGCTTGGTGTCTTCTAGAGTTTGGAGATAATACTCAATGGAGTCTTCTGCCAGCATCCGGGCTTTCTCAAGATTTTTCTCGGCTCGAGAAACAAGCAACACCTGGGCAAGTTTTCCCCTGCTGGCGTAGGCCAATTCTGTTTCATGTGATCGCTCAGCTAGATTTAGAGCTTGCTCATAAAAGTGCTGAGCATGTTGTGGATTTCCGTCAGCCTGGTGCAGCTCACCCATGGCAATATATGCCCGACACTCTGTCTCAAACTCATCCAGCTTTCGGCTGATCTGGAGATACCTCTGAAGGCATTCCAACGCGTTATCTGTGTTGCCTTGGTCTTTGTGAACATCGGCAAGGCTTCTCAAAGCTGTGGCCTGCATAGTGTGATACGACAGCTTCTCCGATATGTGCAGCTGTTGCTCATAGAAACTCTGAGCTAACGAACAGTTGCAAAGCTTGTGATAGACTCTTCCAATACACCCGTAGGCCCTCCCCATGCCTGCACGATCCTTTGAAGCCTTGCTGATTGCAAGGTAGGACTTAAAGTGTTCAAGCGATGACACAAAGTCTCCAACTCCTTCATGAAGGGAAGCTACCGTGAAGTGAGCCTTTCCTAGAAGATCGCTAGTTCTAATTCCTTGCTTATCCTTGTCTCCGTCGAGTACCTCAAGATTCTTTTTGGCATGCTGCAGGGCGTGAGGATAATCACAAACCGCTTTGTATGCATTACTGAGGGTTTCATGAACAACGCGCTGTAAATTCACATTGCAGGACTCACCAGAGCCATTTTCTATCGTTTCAAGGTCTTTACAGATTGAGAGAAGTTTCACATAGTACACAATTCCTTGTTCCAGGTTCTCCTCCTGTAAGTAAATCTCGGCGAGGCGGCAGTAGACCTCAGCCTCATACCTCAGATTTTTCTGTTGGAGAGCGATTGACAGACACTGCTTATAATAGTCCTTTGCCAATTCGTAATCTGCGTTCCCGGCATAGCCAGCTCCGATGTTAAACAGTGCCCTCTGTTGACACAGTTCATCTAGGGTTTTCAGATCCAGGGCATACTGCAGCACCTCGATGCATGAGGCGTTCTGATTGGCTCGCTTCAAATTGATGCCCACCTCGAGTAACTTTTCAGCTGGTGACAAATCTATGAGAATCGAAAAATGAAAGAAGACTGAAATTGATGACTGACGCAATGCAAAGAACAGTCCAACCAAAAACATGCTATACTTTCTAATGGCAAGAGATGATCCAATCTATGTCAAGGATGCTCATATTAGCAAACTATTAAACACGAATGACGGCATTTTGTACTGAAATGGAAGGCACATTTGCACAGCAGAACTTTCTCATTCAACACCTGCACTCAGGTTCAAAACTAATCTGTTTCATCAAGTGGATCCTGCGGCTTTCTCCAAGTATTCAGTCTTTGACTTTCCCCCCATAAATCTTCCAATTTGGAATTTATTGCCTTAAACAGAATTATATCCGTTCATTGTCTCAAGCACAAGCAGTCACAATTTTGAGCCGATAGATTGCCTAGTTATGCACAGAGAAATAAAACCTCTGTTCTTTCGAAAAGAGGGTGACTTTTCTTTAAAGCCTGGTTTCCATATGGACGTTAAGCTTATGCAAACTGCGCAGAAAGTGCGCAGAAATTTTGGGCAAAGTTGAACCGGGTTCAACTTTACCGATCGACTGCGACATAGTTTGCGACTGTCTGGGTTGTCGGTGACATATCTGGATAAAATGTTTTCATATGTCTGCGTTGCAGTCTAGGTCTTGTTTTCGTTGCTTTCCGCATTTTTTAATGTCGATACGGAAACTATGCTTAAGTCACTGCAATAAAAGATGGAGAAATAACAGAAACAAATCACCGAAACTAATAGGACTCACTGATGAAAGTTGCGAGAGATTCTTCAGGGAAATTGCAGATATTTCCAGCTACAACAGCCACGTTGTCAGCGAGACGATCTCTGTGTTTGACATCATAATGCAAGGCGTTCAGGAAGGCACTAATTGCTAGGTTAAAGTATCGCAGGTTGTTCAGACTAACAGCTAGAAGGTAGTGACCCTAAGAAGATATAAAAACAAAACGTTGACCATCAGGATTAATGAAGTGATATTCTGTTTGCTTCATAAGCTGTAAATGGTTCAATACACTGAATTTGCAAAACTAGGACAAGGTCATAAAAAAACAAGTGCGAGTGCACAATCAGTTTTGGCCATGTTGCAAGAAGTCTTGCATGAAAGTCTTGCATAAAATCGATCAAAATGATCCATGCCATAGCTAAAAAATGCGACGCCGATGGCACATATGGACCACCATACTTTTGGTCAATTTTCCAGGGACAGCCAGACAGAAAGACAGACAGACAGACAGACCATCGGACCGACCAACCAACCACCAAGTGACATGTAGAAGCTCTTGCCAGAGCTTAGAAACAAAATTTAAAATTAAATAATTTGGATACAGACTGTAACAAAAGACAACATATATTTGAAATTGTTTTTTTCTTCAATAATTGTGACTTTGAAATGCCAGATATTTACATTCAACTTGCAATGGTTACGAAAATCATGTAAATGAAGAAAATTCTATGCAGCAGTCAAACCTAATTGTGCTAACACAGAAAACTGTTGCTTAGGCCTAGTAAAAAAAAAAAATAGTTTCTCGTCCGGGGTTTTTGAAAAAAGGGAGGAAGCGGGGCTTTTTATTTCTTATTTTTTATTTTTTTCAAGATGACCGCCTTTTCAAAATTTCCTGCAACCGTTGGTGTTCCACTGTTCAAAGACACTTTTAAAGATGAAAGACAAGTTGGACAAGAGAACTGAACATATTTAAAGTGTCATTTAGAGTTGTATTGGTATTGGTATTTATTTTCCGATGAATTTGTAGACTTTTTCGGTGTTTTTCTACTACATTTTTCAAAAATAAAAAATAATAAAAAAAATCCAGGCGGCCTCCAAAGAGGAAGCGGGCGGGGACGAGAAACTTGTTGTTTTTTTTACTTCGCCTTATCCAAATTGGGTCTCCAATGTATTCTGAGAGTTTGCTTAGCACATTAATTTCCTTATCAAATTTTTAATTTGGTTAGCAGCCCCAACTGACCATAAACACTCACCTGAGGTACGTGAGGGTTCAGCTTGATCAGATACTCAGCATCTTTCCTCGCCTCTGCATACTCTCCGAGTTCAATATTTGAGACGGTCTTCCGGGCCAGCAACTGAGCGTTGTCATTGTCTATCTCCAGTGCTTCTCCATAACACGCTGCTGCTTCAGCAAAATCCTTGTCGTGGAAAGCTGCGTCACCTTGCTGCTGAAGTCGCTTGACCTACGAGTTTGAGAAGAATCAAATATGTGAAATTAGAAAGATATATACAAATGACAAGGGAAACATTCAAATCAATCGAATCTTGACAAAACTGAAAAAAATCGGATGAAATTTTACAAATGGACCAACCTCATAAGTTTCTTGGAGTTACTTGGTTATGCACAGAAAATTCTCATGCTTTGAGGAAACTATATACACGGAACTTTAAATTGTAACCTTTTTTAACTTAGAAAATTCTAAGCTCAGCAAAGTTGTGTGTTGAGTTGCAACTCAATGAAAATTCCTTCAAAGAGAATATTTTAGCTTACACTTTCGATTTCTTCTGCTTCGCTGATTGCCTCACTGAACCCTGCAAGGCTCGGCAGGCTTGCCATACTGGCACTGTGCTGAAACTCCATGGTAATGCTACAAGTCGTCCCCGACTTCAGAACAGCTACAGTTTGGTTAACATGTGTGTTCTCTCTTCAGGAGTTAACTGGTGGTCCATTCTCTCAGTACTTTGGTCTTAAAGTTTCGTCAACACTCATCAGACTATCTCTGAATGGGAAAAACAAACAAAAAACATAATATTTGTGATAAACTGTTGCTATGTGTAAAGCCACGTTCACGGGTCTAGACTAAAGTATCCTCGACCCTCCGTTATCTGCGTAGGTAATGCTTGCATACACGCGCGCGTTGTCACACACAAATTGAAGGTAAATGCGTAGAAAAAGGACCACGTAGCTTAAGGGGGTCTGACAATTCTTTAAGTAGGCCTCAGTCTGAATTCATTTTCTAAAGTAAGTGATCCGTGGCTTTGGAGTATATTTTTTACAAAGTGGCTATCAGCCGTTGTTTAGCGCCCTCTACGATACTTTTTTGATACGCACGCAGGTATATAATTATTTGTTTCCCCACGTTTTAGTGAGCAGTGCGACAGCTCAGTCGATAGAGGATAGGATTTTGCACCAAAAGGTTGCGGGTTCGCATCTCAGTTTTGCACTCGAATTTTTTTCCTTTTCTAACCTGAGGCTTTGGAGGATTTTTTTTAAAAGGGAAATAAAGTCCGAATTTCATAACGTTCAAATTCACTTTTTTCCTTCTAATTATATATTTTCTTCTCATGTTTTTATAAAAGTTGCAGTCTACCGTAATGATAGCCCCACTAGTGTGGCCGTCGGTATGCTGCGCTTAGGTTCAGCGCAGCATACCGACGGCCACACTAGTGGGGCTACCGTAACGATAGAAAATGGGAAGTGCGTTACGGCTGCCGTAACAATAGCCACTGCGTATTTTGTAATGGAAATAAAGTTCCTGGAATATCATCATGGGTCAGGGAATCAGACGGTCGACTGCCGTAATGATAGCCATTGCTGAACCCAATAAAAAAAACACTAGTTTGTGTAAACTTAAAAGGTCAGTTATCCTCGAGTCACCATAATCGGCGCAGGTAACGCTTGCAACAACGCGCGCGCGTTGTCCAACCCAAGTTGAATGCGAGTGTGTCGAAATAGATCCTCGTCGTTTTAACTTTTGACTGACGATATACGAAAAAAAAATCCATCTATAATAAGTAAAAATGGAGTTAAAAACTATATAATCTTCAAGCCACAATCACATACAAAGCATACACTTAATACTTACCAAGTGTGTATCACAAAAACGACGAATATTGTTATTTTACTGCACATTTTCCCCAGCATGAGTTCCGTTTGAAGGTTCCTCGCGCGATCGCGCTGCCGGGCAACAAAAAGTTGTTGACAGAGTCTTGGTTTAGACGACTGTTTCATGTCGATGATGCAACATGCATAAAGTTGCCGTCTGGCTTATAAAAGTAATTGATTGGGGGGGCGCGCGCGCCAGCGCCTTGCCTGTACGACTGTTCCCTGCGACCTCATTCATGGGTGAAAGAGCACTGCGCGGTAAGTTTACTCATAATTATTTGTGATTATATGGCAATAAGACATTCACTACTGATCACAAATGTAATTTATTGATCAGAGTAAGTTGTATGTCTTTTTAAAGAGGTTGCGTTTCAATTAGGACAGTGAAAAGCGTGTTTACGCGATCAAAAAAGTTCAGAGGAAAAACATCCTGAATAGTCATGATAGTCAGATTCCTTAGTTCTAAATCTAGAATGTGTCGTCTGGGTTCCACGCTGTACAGCATGTAGTGTAATGCATGCATAAATGCATGCTTTTGTGTAGGGCCAGGGGCTAGGGCCTAAGCATAGAGCAAGGTCGGAACAATACTCAATAGTAATAATACTGATAAAAAAAAATTGTTCATTTCAAAAAACATGTTGTGTATTTGGATAACTAAAGTAAAATAGCTGATCCAGTGAAAAGGTGCAATAATTTGTGTTTTAATTATAAATTATGCTAGCTATACTTGTGTTTAAGCTTGTAAAAGTGAAATATCTTCTTTGTTTTTCCTAATAATATTCCACAGAGTGACAAATCATACCAGCTATATCCAAGCTCCCTCCATCCAGCGATGTTTTTACCTCGGGCGCCCAGCCCTACAAGAAACACGCCTCCCCCTGTACAGTCCCTTCAAGGAAACCAGCCAACGTCTCCTATCCTCATGTTACCCTCTCGGCACGACAGTCCACCCAAGGATTGTCTGGCACTGACGTGGCGGACTGAAAAAGAAAAGGTCAAAAAATAATCTTCTTGGAGGAGTAGTCTTTTAGTCAAAAATGTGTAGGATAGGAATAGTAGATCAGGTTGGCGTAGCAGTACTTTCCTCGCCTTCCACCGCTGTGACCTGGGTTCGAATCCCACCTGGGCCAATTGAATATGTGGATTGGGTTTTCAGTCCCTACATGTACCTGATTCCGTGGGTTTTCCCCAGAATATCCTTCTGGGCTGTTCCTCCCACCTCTAAAACTGTTATTTCTTCTCATTGTCTTCTCTCCAAGTTGGTGTGATGTTTCCCCCGGGATGCTTTGCCGACTATTACAGATACAGATATATAATGATATATATTTTTTAATAATTAAGGAAACATCCAAATTTTTGTTTAATTCTGGAACAAAATGTATCTTTTAAAAGAAAAATCATTTGACCCAGTGGAAGAAATGTGTATTCATGACATGGAACTGCAGTAAAATATAAATACACTCTGAACTATATTTCAAGAATGAAAAATGTTATGGAACTTACAAAAATTAGAAATTTTATTCCAATACCTGTTTGATTTTCCAGTGTACACACAACTTTTGTCTGTGTTATGACTTATTTGTTGTTTTACAGAAGATTCCTAGGCTATATTGGCTCTTCTGTTTGTACGGTTTTTTTCTTACTGTGACTATATCTTTATACTCCATCATATTCAGGTGTCCCCGTCTAAGGCCATCACACCTGTTGGAGCACAAATTTCCCCTGGTGCAACCAGCATGTACCAGCAATCTAGAGCTGTTGTGTTTGACTCCCCATCAGGACACAGAACAATTTGCCTCCAGAACACCCTCTGCTACACACTACCACCAAATGCCCCCAAGGGATCCCCATTTAGTCCCAGCCTGAGCTTTGGGTCTCCTGATAAAACCAAGCATGGGCCTGATGGTTCTCCGAGTCCTAGGAAGCATGGAGCAACACAAAGCTTGCCAGCTGGGAGTGAGTCACCAAGGGATGGTAGAGGAAAAGAGACGAGAGCTTCGCCAGGGACTAAGACATCACAGATGAGGAATCTTAGTGGTGGAAGCAGATCTCCCCAGGACCAGGGTGATAGTAGGAGATCAGCAGGGTCACCAGACACACAAGTGCGTCAACGACACCACCCCAAGGGCCGGAAGGACCTTCAACTGCCAAGAGATGGTCCTAGCAGGCTTGGTAGGAACCTTGCAGGCTCTGATCGCTACCAAGGCATCCTGGAACAAGACCATCCGGAGGAGACCGTGTCTCGAGGATTCCTAGCTTCCTGCTACTGCTACGTCATTCCTTTGTTTCTCCTAGTTTTGCTGTTTGGGGTACTCCTGGTTTGGTTTTTTGGAGCTCCTAGTAGCCTGGCATCCATGTTTGCTTCCAGCAGTTTGTGCCCAAGCATAAACATCACTGATGTAAGACATGAACTTGAAAAGGGTCTGATTGGCCAGCCTGTTGCATCTCATCTGATTCTTGATGCCCTTAGAGGTGGCAAATTTCAAGACGGAAGCAAGCCCCTTGTAATGTTCTTCCATGGGAGCTCTGGGGTTGGCAAGACCCACACAGCCAACATCATCACGGAAAGTGTCTTAAAAAGGCCTGAGAGAGACTCATGCATCCATCTGTTCAGTTCCGATGTGTTCATGAGGGAAGAGAGAGAGAGGTCTAAAGAGATGTTCATCGATGCCATTGAAGACTGGCTGAATGGTTCCAAGGAAGGGAAACCAGACACTTGCTGTTTTTCATTTTTCATCTTTGATGACCTACGAGATGACACTCCCCCTGACCTTACACAAGCACTTGGTCAAGCCTTGTCAAGAATCAACTCCAAATACCCATCACAATCAAAGACAGGAACTGAAATCTTCATCATAATAACCAGGACTGGTTCAAAAGCTATCCTTGAATTCCTCGTCGCCAATATGAGACGACGTCACACTCGGAACAGCCTCGCCACTCAGCAACCAAACTGGCAGGAACCCTGGAGGCACCTCATAGCAAACCTGAACAAGCAAGACTCATTCCAGGCCTGGCTTCCTCCAGAGGACTACGTCCGTATTCCCTTTCTGCCGCTGGAGAGATACCACATCAAGCAGTGTGCTAAACGTAGACTGGAGCACAAGAACATGACGGCGACTGAGGAACGATTGGAGTGGGTGGCCGATCAGCTGACATACTACCCTGAAGACTGGCCCATATTCTCATCCTCTGGCTGCAAGAAAGTTGCTGGGAAGGTGGACTTGCTTCATAAAGACAGTCCAAGAACATTTGAATTTAAGAAACCTTTCTAAAAAAGGAGAGAAAGATATCTTCATTCCCTCTAATTATACACATACATGTACTTGTATTTGTATATAAAGGTCTTACAAAAGCCTTGATTTGATGCAACATTGCAGTTACTGCAGTGAATGTTATACTAGTTTATTTAGATGCAAAGCATCAAAAGTTTAGTTGAATCAATGACAGCTTCTCGAACTGCACATTTGCGAGATCATAAATTTCTCATAGGTTTTTGATTTGTAAAAAAAAATGTGCCCAAAGGGCAGAAAATTACATACTTAAAATCGGTTTACATTTTTTTGTTAGTTACTATGCTCAGTACACATTAACCAGTTTATATTTCTGTGAACGTTAGCAGTTTTCACGTATGTGTTTAATATAATTTGGTACTCGACACACAAGTTCAACCAGAAGTCCAATTCGAAAAATGTCATAAAACTGAAGCATTTTTTCTCTCAATTTATTAACAATTTTAAAGTTGAATAAATTCAGCATTTACAGTCAAGTAAAAACATCAAGTTCAACAATTTATTTAAAATATCTTTGGGATTGTCAGACTTGTGTAACAAATGGGAAGTTTTGGAATAATGACCTTCGTGCCACTGCACATGTGATATACCATTAATCATACAAACTTCGGTTTTTCCTCATTGGAAATTTGATTAACGCAATTTAAAGAGTGCCCTAAAAATTTGGTTACAATCACTGCAATGTTCAATCACTACATTTTGTACAATTAAATAATTTGATTAAAATTTGAATATAACTACCTTTACATATCATCCCTTCAATTGTAATACACATTGTATAACCATTAACATTGCACAAATAACAGTACAGATTTTGTTTAACTGCATAAAAATATACATGTTTTTGTACACAGTACACACATGTCCATATCTTATACATTTGTAATACATTGGTAAATTTTCCAATAAAATGGTTGAAACAACTGTCGGAAGTTAACACAATAAACATGGTTGGCAAACATTCAGATAAAACATTAATTTTTATGAAATTGTTAATTTACAGGTGTCAGTGTCTCTACAGTTTTAATACTTTCATCATCCGAATAAGGTAATTCACACACAATTTTGTTTTATAATTTTTTTTTACGAAGAATATAACATTCTTTCATATTATATACATGTCTTTTTAGCTTTTATATTCCTGTGAAGAATTCTCCAAAAATATTACATTTATGCATTTCCAACAGCCTTGACAATGCTTGGGTCAATACTTGATCGCATGAGCTCTGCTAACAAACCCCAGGTTTTTGTGCACAAATCGATACCTCTTCTGTGCCGACATCCTAGAATACAAAATGTCATGTTTGGCACCACAATGATATCAGAGACAATTGGGTGGAATTACCTCATTCAAAATATAACCAATCTGACAAAATAAAAACTCTGATAAATTATACACGTATTCATTTTTTTAAAGATATTAAAAGTGCAAAACCAAGAGTTTTTGCATTGCAACTTAAACTGATAATCTGCAAAATCAACTTATCACAAGGTCAATGTGTGTTAACCCAATTTTTCTTTCACTCACAAAGAGTAAACAATATTTTGGCTTAATTCCTTCATTCAGTTTAAAGGGAGTATACAACATTTGCTTGTGCTGTAATTTTTGTAAGAAATGGATGGATTTCGGGGTTAGTTTTTTATATTCAAATATTGTTACCCTGACCTGTTTAAAGTTTTGGGTCATAGATGCTAGGGAAACCAAGAAAAAAATGTTGTTCTTGTAGTTTGGTTCCCTGACCCTATTTCAGAAGAAACGGAGCAATTTACAGACATCGTGGAATTGTCAGGTCAGGGAACCAGACTAGCTGGCTTGCATTTGTAACCGACTGCAAACAAAATGTGGACTAACTAAATTTGGTTAACTGGGGGCAGTATTTTTCAACGAGGGTCGGCTGGTCGGCTGACCATCATTGGAAATTGATTTAAAAAATTCACTTTTCTTGAAAATGACATCACACCAGACCCCCTGATTTCACAGGATGCTTGAGACTATTATTCACTTACTGTCAAGTAATGTATTTCATAAAATTTGGCAGTTTTGTGTTTCTTGATGTTTGCAAATGTTGTGTATTGCCTTTATATCTGCCAGGGACAATCATCAAGTTGTCGCTTTTACAGTAGGAGTAAATAGTGCCCTCTACGAGGTAGAACACTGAGCACCAAGAATATCCACAAAGCTGTTTTGAGAGCTGATACGCCCTCATTGTTCGCCAGTGTTGCTGCTTGTATTATACTTGTCCTGAAACATCTTGTGCAGCTTGTCCAACTGGTTGTACAGCATCATTGGTTCTTTGGGTTCATATTCAATCTGAAATAAAAATGCACAAATTGCTTAGTCAAATCCTGAAATCTCTTTCAAATTTTTTTTTTTAACAAGACCTTTCAAATTTGAGATGCCTTAAATTTGTTCAATTGAACAGGCATTTTCTCAATCTCAACAAGTCATTCATGTATTTTAAACTTGCAAAGCCTCTTCAAATTCCATGAAAATCACTACTGCCTTTCTGATAAACTGTAATAGCTAGTAAGTTGCTATACATACTGTTAAATTTTTATCATATTTTTGGTTGGGTTAAAATGTATTTTGTATTGATATAATTGTAATTTTGCAGCTAAGATAACTGTTACAAACAGTTATCAAGTTATCAATCCATTTCTGTAAATTAAAGAAAAATAGCTACCCTCAAATCTTTTCAACCCAAACCATAATGCGTAGATTCAAAATTCTGTGTACTACAGTCGCACATAATTTCTAGCATCATAACAGTACACGTGTACCAGCATCTCTTCAGGATTTGACAGATTTGAGAATTATGAGGGTTTAGTTACAGCTTGAGTTGAAACAGCTGTTATTTACCTCTTCCGGTACGATGTAACTGTTGCCAATGGCAGAGCTGTAGCTGGTGTATTTCCGATCAGATCGGACACTGATTCTGTCTTCCCCATACACCCACACCTAAAAATGAAATATATTCAGAAGAAAATGACATAAATAAGAGTATGTGACTGCAGTTTCAAAGTTGAAATGCAAAACGTCAACATTTGTATTGAAAGTCTAAATTTGTGGGAGAATAGAAAAAAGCTTATATGTATAATTATACATTTTTTTAAAATTTAATTGAATTAAAAAGATGAACAGAATTCTGTTCATATTTGTACATTTTTAAATTAAAAAATATGGACAGAATTCTGTTCATATTTTTAAATTAATTAGATAAAAAAAAATAATGGCCTAACATTATTTTACTTCAATAGTACAAAGAATCTCTTGCCATAATCAATTTAAATATGATGGCATCTTGCCAACAAAGAGAAAGCTCATGTTTTGGGTAACTTCTTACCATAGATTCGGCTCCTATACTGGGCTCAATCACAAACCTTGGAGCAAAAACTCGAACCTAGATGAAATAAGAAAACAAAGACAAATAAAAAATACCCAAACTGAAAGCTTCAATCAAAATTGTATCAAGTCCATCAATTGCCATATCCAGTTGAACAATAAATGATCAACAGGTCCCATCTTTATGGTCAAATTCATCAAATCTGAAAATGGAAATATGTAGGAAAATGAACAGGTGCCATGACGTCACTTTCCACTTACCAGCAGGAACACAGGGTACAAGACCGACCACATCCAGGATGGGAAGAATGTGCTGGTGATGTTGGTTGCCACGACGCCCGGTGAGATCAGGTGACTGAAGACCCCCCGGTTGTTGTACTTCTCATTCAGTGCAATGTTCAGAATGTCCATGGCGTATTTTGATGAACTATATCCCTGAGTGCTGGGAGGAACAAGTATAGGCCGTACATAAATATTTATTCATGTTTATACCACATGCAAGCTGAGATGAGCACTCTCCAGGCCTGGTTCTCATTTTTATTTCAACAACCACCATGTCAAATGTTACAAGTTGATTAAAGGGGCATTCCAGCCTGAAATCCCCGAAAAAGTTCATGTTTTGAATTGTTTACTTATCCTATTTCAAAGGTCTGGTTGAAAAGGAAACAAACCTAATGTCTTACCGTTTTCAAGAAGAGAAGAAAAAAATAAAAACCTGGTTATTTACATCAGACGGACATTTTGTGGCGTACGCATACGTATTTCAAGCCGTGTCTCTTCAATGTACTGTACACATTATGTGGTCACATAATACACACAGCATCAATACACAAATGTTGTTTCTTACACGTCCGCAGAATGCGAACCACTGTGCGGCAGGATTCACAACTAGCACTCAACAGTTCGATTTTTGAGAGTCAACATTTTGTCCCCCGAAATTCGTTCTCGCGTGATTCTCGCAAGAATAATATAAAAACACCCAATATTTTGAAAGGATAGTTGTGTAGACGTATATCCTACTTTTAACATGCTCTTTCCAATTAATATCATTTCGTAAAAAAAATGCGTTTTGTAGCCCAATTGGGCGCATTCCAGGCCGCAATGAGGGACATTATGGATTTTTTTGTAATGACTCTAAGGCCAAAAAAAAAAGTCTCCGGTTTCTGGTATGGAGCTTGCCCCAAAAGTGGTGCGGCGACGCCGCTTTTTCTTTTTTTTTACCTGTTTTTTTTTTGGGGGGGGGGGCTTCAAATGTCGGCTGATGACTGCAAATGGTGCCCGACTAAACTTAGTGCAAATATATGGGAGTCCAGAGAGGCCACATAAAGCTTATTCTCGACCATAACCCAATCTAAAAACACGTTAAAATTGTGCAGCAGCAGTATTCCAGTCAAACCAGTGAGTTTGGCGGTTTTGGGACATCATCTTTCATTAAAAAAAAACTTTTTCATTTTGCCGACGCGCATGGCTACGGCGACGCGCGCGCATACCAGAAACCGGAGACTTTTTTTTTTTTGGCCTAATGGGATCTCTTTCCTACCCATGTTTATGCTGTATATCTTGGAGGCTAAAATGCATCTTGTCAGCATTGCTAGATGACGTCCATATGATACGACTTTGTGACTGGCATAAGAGGTCCTCCAACTCTTGTATCTGAAGACATTTTATGAAAAGAGAAACACCAACCAAAGGATTACTGGATATGAAAATAAACGAGTACAAAATATTATTTCACAATTGTGAGAATTGCAAAAGTTGACAAAATTTCTAGTGTGGTGGAATTTTTTTATCAGGAAGGTGCAAGTTTTAATACTGCCATTCAGCAACGTAATGAGCTGTAAATTAAATTGGTGATGGACAACGATGCGCTGCGTGGACAACTTCCGAGAATGGCCAGGATGTGACACCACTGACATGAAAGCAGCAGCATTGGAAAGAGGGGCTGTGGTGGGAGCGGAGCCAGTGATCCCAACTGTGTCGAAGGCCAAGTTCGGGCAAGGACCATTAGTCGACTAGTGGTTGATTTGTGACGTACCTTACGCCTGCGCACTGATAGCAACGTGCGAACGTCTCTGGTCAAACGCTGGTCAAAATGTCATCGCAAAACTTCTGGATCCTGGCTCTCTGCTAGCGTTATGAATGCGCGCGGCTATTGGTTACCAGCGAAGCAACCAACCCCAGTAGGCTGGTTCCAAATAGTGGACTAGCGTAGTCAACCACCGTTGACTAGACAGAGTTCGGGCAAACGTTAGTTAACCATTGGTCAACTATAGTCCTTGCGCGAACTTGGCCTAATTTGAGGAGGAGACCACGGGCAAATGCCTATGTCTATTGAATGAATGACAAAAAGCCTGATGTTGAAATGTTGAAACAACTTGAAGCAGAGTCTAGGTTTTCTGACACATCCCTTCCCCTGATTATAAAAGATACAGAGTAAAAGTTCAAATGGAAACACAGGGCCAACTTAAACAATACAACCCATTTATTCATTAGTGGTGAGAAGCAATTGTGAAAAAAGTGTTTTACCAAAGGCAAGGGCGTCAATCGCTTTTCAAAAGTGAAGGGGGGGGCATACTTTGATTGGAACTAATGCGAGCGCAAAGCACAAAACCGTAACGGCATCTGGTTCTGGACCCGCTTAAGGGACCCTAAAAATGTTGGATTCTAGACGCTCTGTGGTGCAATCTGAAACAATTTCTGACCAATGTAACCAATTTTTTGAGCAAAAGATCATCACTTAAAGTTAAACATTATTTTCGAGGTTGGAGTCATTGAATCAGCTATATTCTGAGCTATAGAATCAAATGTAGGCTACAATTTGTATTCATGGACAAAAAAGTGGGGGGCAAACAATGTGATACCCCCCTCCCACTTTAAAGGGGGGGGGGGTAGACATGTCCTTCCCCCTCCCTCCCGGTCCCACACCGATCCACACCCATGACCAACGGACAAGTTCACCCATACCCTAACTCAACCACAGAAACCCACAATCTGTAGAATTATCCAAAAGTTCTTGAGCGATGGCAAGCCATTAGAATAGATTAGAAAATTTATCCAAATCCAATGAGATAAGCAATTAAAAATTAATCAAATTTTGACAAGATGGCTTACCAGGACAAAATGACCAAAGAGGTTTGTGCAGAAAATGGATTTGAGTCCGTCTTTGGTTGTGTCGTCCTGGAGATTGAGGAGACCTTCGCCTGTCGTCAACATGTCAATCAACTGCAGACTGTAAAGGATTTAAAAAAAAAAAAATCAAACAATTTCTAATCTATGACATCATCCACTTTTTTCAGTAGTTCACAAATAGTTCACGCAAATCAGTTGCGGATATTCTGCTCTGTCCAGAATACATGAATGCTGGGTGTGGGAGTTAAAGGGAAAATACAACATTTGCAAACATCAAAATATAAAACTACCAAATCATTTTGAAATACCTTGCTGGACTGTTAGTGAATGACAGTGTAAAGCATCCTGTAAAATCAGGGCACCTGATATACTGTCATTTTCAAGAAAAGTGGTATTTTTGTATCAATTTCCAAGGCTGATCGGCCAATCAGCGTTGGAAAAAAACTGGCTTTTTTTCAAATACTGGTCCCAATTGACCATCGCACTTGTTTGCAATCGATTACAAACCTATGAACGGGTACGAGCCAGCTAGACTGGTTCCCTGACCTTACAATTCCCCAATGTATGTAAACTGCTCTGTTTCTTCTTATATGGAGTCAGGGAACCAGACTACAGGAAAATGATTGTTTTTCTTGGTTTTTATAGCATTTTCGAACCCAAAACCTCAAAAAAGTCAGTGTAACTATATTTGCTATATATTTCCAACCCCCCAATTCCATCCATTTCTGAAAATTACAGCAAAAGCAAATGATGTATATTCCCTTTAAGATAAGCCTGCTGTTCATTTTGAAATTAGCCTTACTTTTTAAAAATTGATTACTGATGAAAGGAGCCATGTCCCTAGAGCAATGTGCATGAATTAGGTTACAAGTATGGTACTTTGTACTACTTTATAAGAATTTAACAAGTAATCATTCCAATCAACAATATGGTCATGTTCAAAACAAAAAAAATTAATTTCAATGTGCATGACTGCTTTCTGCAGTTTTAATAGCTGGAAACTTTCCAGGGTGCTGAGATATTCTTTGATCGTTTTTTTAACCGATGAGCAAGGGGTAATAATTTGTTTTCATTAAAACCCTAACTCCGTAGCATGAATTACTAGGAACCATACCCATCCTGGCAAATTCCAACACCATATATGGGAAACCACACACACATACTTCTGACTTTGATTCTGGAGGTGTGCCAACCCAATGTAAAAGACTGTTAGTTTAGGGGTACTGTACCCATCCTGACAGATTCCAACAAAACATGCTGTTTGGGTTTGATGGGTTGAGTTCTGTTTGGGTTAAAATACACATGTTGTGCCCATTCTTGAAAATCACGCATTCTCGAGAATGCGCATGCACATTCTCGAGAATGGGCGCGCATTCTTGAGAATGAGCGCCCATTCTTAAGAACGAGCACGCGTTCTTAAGAATGAGCGCTCATTCTTAAGATTGGGTGGGAATATCACGTGCACAATTTATGAATTTTGCCCAATCTTAACAATCATTGCACGACATAATTATGTTAAATGAATTGTATAGCGGTTAAAAGGGAAACAATTCATATAAAGAGGAAAGAAAATGTGCTATGCTTCTGTACTCGTATAACTACGATAATTTGAATCAAATTAAACCTGTTATTATTGCTTTTTTCTGTCCACTATGGGAAGTTTTGTAATAACGGAGGACTGGGAACTAGTCTGGGAAGTGCTTTGTTTAGGCTAGACAAGTTACAAGTCCCTGCATGTATCATATGCGTGCCACGAAAAAAACCCGATGTCCAGAAGCTGCCAAAATTACTCTTTTGACTAGATAGAATCCAGCTCTGCGACGTTATGGTGGGATGTGAACAATAAATTGGTGGCAATTTAAATGGGAAATAGCATTAGCACTATGGGATGTCGCAGTATTCATTCTCATTCTTCACATTCTTCATTCTTACGTCCCCCCCCCCCCGCTTTTATTATCCCAAAAATCAGAATTCTTTGCACTAGTATTATTATGTCTCTTATATTTTCCCGGTCCCCCGCCCCCCCCCCCCCCCATATCAATACGCCTTTACTTATCATATCCACTCTACTTTTCAGCGCCTTGCGTTGCAACAGTATAATTATTGAGAATCAGTGAACGAGGATTTAGCTAGACTTGCCAAGCGCAGCCGGTGCTCGGCATCGACAAGACCGTTATCTTGTCGCGCATTCTCAAGAATGTGCGCTCAATCTGGAAGAGTTATTTTTTGCCAAGATTGAGCAAGGATCCAGTTGCACATTCTCGAGAATGCGTGATTTTCAAGAATGGGCACAACACACACATTCTTGGTGTCTTATGAAACCTTTGAAGACAAATGTAGTAAGAAATTGCTCTTAGTTAAAAATGTTGTCCTCCAACATACAACAAATACAGTTTGCACGATAAAAACTGCCGGGCAAAAACATGACGAATAGAGAGGTATTAAAAGTTCAATGACCTTTGTGAAGTTTAAGTAAATCTACTGCCACTATCTTATCTAATCAGAAGGTTACGACCTCAAAAGTTTCAATTGTTCTGATCACTATTCTGGGCTGATATGACAGATATTAATTCTAATAATACTTGACCTCTTTCAAGTAAACAAGCTAGAAGAAGCACTTTTTGAACCATGTTTCCTGATAACACTCAAACGATTTTTTTTTAAAAGACTGAAAATTATCAAGTTTTTCCTTCAATAAGAATATTCAATGTGTTCAAACTTGTTTATGAAAAATGCTTTTAAGCAAGGAACTGCATGGGTCCAGTGGTTCTTTAAAATAGTGAATGCCTCAAGATCTTGTGTTATATTCAATAATGCTGGAGTCTTATATAGCGCACATATCTACCAACAATTAGGTGCTCAACGCGCTGGTAATTATGTCTATTTTTAAAAACAGGCCCTGAAGTTCATGAGAAATATGAGACCCATTATGTAGCACCTTTATAAAGGGTTACAAGGTGCTGCGGGGGATATTGCAGCCACTGTGCCAGAAACACCAGGGCAAACCCCTTCTCTTAGCGATAAGTGTTACATTACACAACACAAGGGACGTACGGCTTTACGTCCCATCCGAGGGATGAAGCAATAATGATAAAGTACCTTGCTCAAGAGCACAAGCACCATGTTCCCCATCAGGATTCGAACCCACGTACCACGGCACATGAGTCAAACATCGATACTAATGCCTCTTGTGCCGTGCCTGCATATTTATGACTACTGTTCCTGTACAGCAGCCTTTATTATTCCCACTGCGTACCACTGAGATAATGTCCTGGTACCAGTATATGTTTAAATGCAATACAAATTATTTTACTTGAAAAAATTTACAGACTTTGATACAAACACAAAATACATGCATGGAAGTTGTAGTTACCGAAACAAAGTCATCATGAAATTTTTGTTCCCCCACAAACAAGAATAATAATATCGAAGTCCAAAATTTTCAGAACTTACGGAGTGAGGATTGATTTAAACATGTGCTTCCAGTTCAGATGGGTGACTGGCATTATGCCAGCATTCAGGTACAGGAAATCTATCCTGGAATATCTAGAAAAAAAGAGAAAATATTCACAAACAATCAGCGGTTTTGGTTTACACAGGAAGAATGCTGTTAAATCATAAAAATATAATGGGTGACAAAGGTCTATGAATAACTTTTTCAATATTTCCAGAGAGCTTTATTCTAAATATAATGAAAGATATAATATTCTTAGTTGAACTTGTGATAAAATATAGATTATAATATGTATTCTTTTTCTTAAATATGCAGAATGTCTTCACTGTGGTGGCACACAGATTTATTCTTTCAAACTTTGAATCAGTTAGGTTTCAATTTTTAATTGTTGTTCTACAGTAATTTCACATGAATGTTTTCGTGCCAATCATATGTCATCTCGAAACTTAAATTAATTTCTCATCAAAATCATACTGGGGGAAAAAAATACTTACTTTCTTTTGATATTTTTGGCAGTTTCAAATATCCCCTTGATGTCGCTGGTGTCTAGTCGTACCAGGTCTATCCTAGCCGTTGGATGAGTCGCCAGTAATGTCTTTTTAGCAGTATCTGCCCTGCTAGGGTTACGACAGGCTAGGCACAGGACCACCGTGGGGTCGATAGTCAATAGCCGGTCAGCAAAACTCAGGCCAATGCCACTTCAGAAGGAACAGAAATAAAACGTTCTTAGTTGAAATATGATTTTTTTTTTTACTGTGAGTAGGCCTAAATCTACTTTTTTTTATAAAAGTGATAAAGTTTCAAAGCACCAATTCTAGGATATTTTGGTAAGAAAAATGAAATTTCGATAACTCAAAACCTGCTAACTCAAAAACCCTTCTAACTTAAAGTAAGAACTTGTTCCCATTGACTGTTGTTGCATAGCAGGATATCTATTTGCTTAACTCAAAATTTGAGCCCATTCCCCTAAGGGTTTGACTTACCGAGATTTGTACATGTATGAACTATGATGTAGCTCAAAAAATTGTCTAGACTTAAACATTTGAGAAATAAGGTATTGAGACTGAAATTCTGGTAATCCTTACCTTTAGGACCCCGTTCCTATATAAGGTTAAAAGACTCACCAAAATAGCTGACTAAATGACATTAAAAAGTGACATTCTGATATTTCCTGACACATCTGAACAGCCGGTATAAAATGACACCTTCTTGAATATCAGCAGGTTTTATTTTGTGGAAAGAGGGCAGGGCTTTGATTTATGAGGGAAATTAAGGGGTAAAAGATGACGATGTCAAACAGAAAACAGACTCAAAAACCAAGATGGCAAACTGCAAAAAAGGTAGGAAAGTCACATTTTCTTTGAAAGTGCTTTCAAAATTCCAACTAACATGAGTTTATCTGAAGAAAAACGACTGCTTTAGCCTGCAAAAGTCACTTTGGTACTGGACACAGTCATCTGCAAAGTCAGTTTTGAACAGAACTTGTAAAAAATAGAGGTGTCCTAAAGATAAGGATTACCGAAATTCTTAGATATTGCATCAATTTTGGTAGACGGTTGCAGCCGCTCAAAAAAGAAAAAATGTGGGGTTTTTTTTAGTCCGAGTAACTTGGACCCAACTTATCGCCTTTTTTAACATTTGGACATGGTCTGGCGATAGTAAGGTCCAAGCTAATAACGAGACCTAGACAACACAGTCCCAAAAACCAACATTTTCCAACAAAACACATCAGATTTCACCTTCAAAACGGCCTCCAAATTACTAGATATGTCACCTGAGGTACAAGTAGACATAGATGATTAAGATGGTTGTACTTAAGTTTACTTACGATCCGGAAAAAAAGTGAAATTTTCCATTCAATTCTGAAGACCCCCTCTGCCTAGGTTGTCGTTGTGCTCACGTTCAAAACTGCATGATAATGGCGTCTGACCTCGACCTCGTGCAAATGTCTGGACGGCGCGCTTGCGCATAATGCACTGCATGCACGGCAGATTCCCCTGCGCCGCGCCGACGACTGTTTCCTGATGTAGAGCGCCAGCCATGCGCCTGGCTAGCCAGCGCGACTCCTAGGCGTACCGCGAACTTACACAGCACTCTACATCAGGAAACAGTCGTCGGCGCGGCGCAGGGGAATCTGCCGCGCATGCAGTGCATTATGCGCAAGCGCGCCGTCACGACATTTGCATGAGGTCGAGGTCAGACACCATTACCCAATTGGGAACGCGTACACACAGCGTATCATGCAGTTTTGAACGTGAGCACAACAACGACAACCTAGGCAGAGGGGGTCTTCAGAATTGAACGGAAAATTTCACATTTTTCCGGATCGTAAGTAAACTTCAGTACAACCATCTTAATTATAGATGTCTACTTGTACCGCAGGTGACATATCGGGTCGCACTAAACAGCGTCAACACAGCGTCAACACAGCGTCAACACATGACAGAAGCGTCAACACACCGTCAACACATCCAAAACACATTCTGAATTGACAAAAAGGGCATATAATTGTGAAACATACAATAAAAGAGAATTTCCATTGGATTGAGTTTCCATTTCGTTGTTAAAAATATCGTATTTTCACGCGAAAAAAATGACCTTAACTTGCACGGCCGTTGTCCGCCATCTTGACTTCGCACAAAGCTTGGACTACACCATTTCAAGTAGGGGTGTGTAGGTAATGACATTATCTTGTCATAAACAACAGAGGGCGCCTTGCTGCAGACTAGACAGAGGGATACCAGATCTGTGTGAGGACTAAGGATCGGAGGAGTGGTAGATCATTATTTTGTGAGTTGTGTTTATGTTTTGGTCTTTGCAGATATTTTTAACACTGGCGACCCCGGCCGCGTCCCTCTCTGTTGGTTTATTGTACAACGCTATCACCCTTGAGAATAATGGTATGGTCCGCGCTGCCACTGAGGCAACATGGCGGGTGTTCGGCAGCCGATTTTGGAGCGGCACGGAGAGCCTATTTTATTGAACTAAAAATCGCGATTTTCAGACGTTTAACCTATTGATTTTAAGCACAAATTTTGTTTCTGTCCATACTGTATGGGTTACATACTGCTTTTGTCAATTTTAATGCATTTTGGATGTGTTGACGCTGTGTTGACGCTGTGTTGACGCTTTGGAGTGTGTTGACGCTGTGTTGACGCTGTTTAGTATGACCGGACATATCTAGTATTAATTTGGAGGCCGTTTTGAAGGTGAAATCTGATGTTTTTTGTTGGAAAATGTTGGTTTTTGGGACTGTGTTGTCTAGGTCTCTCGGTATTAGCTTGGACCTTACTATCGCCAGACCATGTCCAAATGTTAAAAAAGGCGATAAGTTGGGTCCAAGTTACTCGGACTAGGGTTTTTTTTGGTTGTAATTTTTTTTTTTAATGTCCACACCATGTTGACAATGTGAACATTTATAAACATTTATTAAGTCTAAGATCAAAAATCGAATCTGTTGAGGGAGAGCACAGGGAATACTAACTAACATAATTACTTTCAATAATTAATCACTGGGGGGGGGGGGGCGTTGGCAAGACAAATTTCCGCCCCCCCCCCCCCCCCCCCCCACCATCATGCCACATTACGTTACTGAATAGGCCTACTATGACTTTGCCCTACTCACGAATTTGCACCAGTGATAATCACGACTTTTTCTTCCTTCTCAGCCATTTTTGCTCCAAATGATATCGACATGAAAGTTGAAACTGCAACAAAAAAATCCCTTTCCTTCGCCGCACGTCCGTGTGTACGTGTGTGGGCGGCGTGCGGTTCGTTGCGTTGATCAATCCACGATAAAATAAACGTAGATTGAGACCCCACACAATCTACAATGTAAGTCCCGATAATGACGCCTGGGTACCTTGTCCCTTCCCTCGTGAAAAAAAAGCTGATAGAGGGCGCTCTTTCGTTTCTTAAACTTTTTTGGCGCGTGTGATGCATATGCGGCGTGTGGCCGTATTTTTCGCCCCCGGCCGTAAAAATCATTCGGGGGTGGGGGGGGGGCAGAATATCAACTTTTTAACAACGAATTATTGCAACTGCGGTACATTAGTATTAATTTTGTTGGTTGCGAGAGATTTTTTTTGCGTGTGAGAAATAAAATACTCCAGCCAAACGCGTACTAAACTAGCTATGCGCGGTTCCCTGATCATGGCGTAAGCGCGACTTTGGGTCGGAAATACACAGACTTTTATATTATTTGGGGGTAGAAATATACACTGACGGCCTAGACAAAATTGAAAAGGGGGCGATCCGTTAAAAAAAAGCAAAATGATATTTGCTGATGAAGGGACTCGATTTTTTACTATGATGACTGAAGGACCCCGTGTCTGGGTTACAGACTTGAAATTTAAAGTTTCCATCATGGGGAATCCTGGGGGGGCAAATTCTCCGTTGAGGTAGGGGACACAATATCCTAGAGGGGGATTTTGTTTCCAATAGGAGAAACTGTCCGGGGGGACACAGTACCTGCAGGCGCTGGCAAAACCAGGAAATCCGGCCGGGGACGGAATACATTGGGGACAGAATCTCCTTTTATATCGACAAACAAGAACCCATTGTGCAGATGGTATATTCAGACCAGAAGTGTGGCACGTATATCTGCACTTGAGGCGGCTACATTGTTGGTAGAAATGAAGGGTTCTAGCTCTGCACCGGTCTTTGCACTTGTATTTCTGTGAAATTCTGGATAAAATTGGACCTGGAAATCGCTCTTTTGCAGTAGAGGGATCACTTCTTCCAAATGGTGATGGGCTTTGGTCGGGATAATTTTGGAGGGAAAAATCACCCAAACGTCATTGGTCAACTCCCCAAAAATTGATCAGAAAGTGATCACCTGTGCAGGGTTTTGAGTATTTCGCCCGGTTTTTAGTGAAGTGAGGGTATTTATCTTTGGTGCATATGGGAATTTTTTTACATCCGTGAAGTAAAGTTTATGTGAAAATAAAGTTCATTTTTTACATCCGTGAAATAAAGTTCATCGCACCCATCCTTATAACATCGCATCATCGTTGGAATCCCTCATTCTCCTGACGACGGGCATTGCATACTGTTCGAAACGTTGAGTCCCTCCGGTTCTTTTCAGAACCACACACACTGACAAAAGAGATTTATTCACATGGTGCTACCGCAAACTTATCTTGTCAAAGTTCATGTACTTTTTGGTTGAGTCTGATGCAATCAAAAAAATCCCCCCCCCCCCCCAATCGGCACTAGTTCATAATTATGTTTCACCCTTCACGCTTCCACGCTCGTCAACAGAGTTTCTCAGAATTGCTGGGCAAGGTTTTTGGGGGTGCGTTCCTTATTGTTATAGGTTTAAAGTACGCAAAGCGTCGATTTCATACAAGATAATATTATCATTATGGTTGCAATACACGTATAAATTTTCGGTTGAGTTGATAAAGTGCCGAAAAAATTGACATGAATAGAACTCATCGCTCATCTCCTGCAAGTAGATTTTAGAGTTTATTATTGAAAAGCCCTCGAAGGTCTTTTGTTAACTCCTGTCCTTGCTGCTGACTAAGTGCAGATTTGTGCATTGTTAAACTTCAATTCATCGAAGGCCCATTGAGCCTATCCCCAAAACTTTTCAATGGTAAAATTTAAGTCGCAAGTACGGGCCAATCATGTGACAACTCCTGTGGGTATTATTTTGTGGGCTTAAAGATTGGCCACTACCGCGACTCGAAGTCTCGAACCCTTCGAATTTGACTGTTAAAAACGCATCTGGGTGAACCGTAATACACTTATGTTTCCAGTGCTAAAAGACATCACAAAAACTCCACAACAAACCGTTACCTGCGGAAAAATCGTTCCCAGTGAGTAACTCAGTCTTATAGGTGATGTTCATTCCTCAAACTGTTAATTTAGGTTGAACATACGCTAAGCGTTATATTGTCGTTACGTTGCGGGCAATATAAATTTTCGGTTGAGTTCATAAAGTGCCGGGGGGGGGAATGGAACCTGAATAGAGCTCGTCACTCATATCATCCACTTCAAGTAGATTTTAAAGTTAATTGAAAAGCTCTTGGGCCTTTTGTTGATTCCTGTCCTTGTGGCTGTTTAGTGCAGAGTTATGCATGGTTAAACTTCAATTCATCGAAGGCCCATTGAGCCTATCCCTAGAACTTTTCAATGGCAAAATTGAAATCATGAGTACTCGTGAGCCAATCACGTGAGAAGTCGTTATTTTATGTGGTATTTGGGGCTTAGAGCTTGGTTAATTCAGCGTGACTCGAGCCCGACTGATAAAATCCCATATAATCGTCTGGGTGAATTCAAAACCCCCACTTGCGTTTCCAGACTGAGTGCGGAAGGACATCACGGAAACTCCACAACCATTACCTCCGCGAAAACTCAGTGTCACAGAAAAAAGTAAGTCCTCAATTGTGTTTGGTTGCTGCGTGGCTCATACTGGCCATGTTCCCAAATTAGAAAAGCAAAGTAAAACTTAACTTGTCGCTTATTATTTTCCTACCATTCAGACGGATCGGATTTGACACTCAACAACAAGAGGGGCTTAGGCTAATTATCAGGCATCAAGCAACATGAACCGAACCTTCGCATTGATGGTCCTACTGTGTGGTCAACTAGTAGTTACAGGCACTGCAGACCGCAATGGGAATGACTATGAAAAGGTATTGCGTTGAATTGTAGGCCCCTAAATACTAATGTGAAAAGCCTAATCAAAATGAGGTTAATTCTTGCATTCATACACATGGACTGCAGGGAATCTGTGCCTTTGCCTTTTGTGATCAACTTTTTGAAAATCCGTTGAAACTGTTTTTCTCATCAGCGACAAAAGTATAGTGTTGGCCTAATTTTTCAGTTTGCCGACCCATCGTTCTACGGTTGATAGTTTTTCTATAGACGCGCTTTCGTATTCTGGAGTTCTAAATAAACTGAGCCAAATAATAGTTTTTTTGTTTTTTTTAAGGGCGGATTCTGCACCTGGGATATAAAATCACTTGACTTGGTAAAGCTAAAAATGGGGTTTTCCTACGGAATTAACCACAACTTTCATCATGAAACTTAACACCTTGTTTCTCTCTTTTGATTGATTTTAGTTGAAGAAGAAACTACAGGACTCTCTAGCTGACAAATCCAAGCATGAACAAGGCAAGTTTCAAAACTATTTCAAAAAAAGTGATGTTGAATGCATTTTCTTCATGAGAGATACTTATTTTTATAACCATGGATGTTGTAAAATTAAGTTCTGCATGGAAATAACGGTTGATACATTTCAAAGGATAATTTTACAGACTGCAAATCAGCCATAGAATCACTCAGGCGGGGACACCTCTTGCGTTGTGAGTTTGTTTCTGCATAAGTGACGTTGAACAACAAAGGACAACAGGGTCCCCAATTCCCGAAGGTCCTCAATTTTACGATCGTGTACAAAACATATGGGAGGTCTTCCTAAACAGTTAAAGTACAAACAAAAGAGGGACAATAGGGGTCCCCGATTGCAGGGTGTATGTGTGTTTTGCGATATCCAAAAGGAAGAAATTGACTACATGTAGCTGTCACAATACATCCGCCATTACTGAGGTGTCCAAAGAGAAATGTGTTCATATCCGACCTCAGGTATAACCGCATAGGTTTTGCATGCTCCCATTGTAGCGCCCCAAGATGCCGAAGCACCTGCGGCGGATGTGGAGGAGAAACTCTCTCTGACAGAGTCCGTAGTGAGTCGATACATCACCACCGAAGTGTACAGCCTCTCTCAGGACCAAACCATCACCTTCTACGCTCCACTCTGCCAGGACGCTGCCAACAAGGCTGTCAATGTAACACTGCTTCTCATCCACAACCCCGGATGGGAACCAGTCAAGGGCATCATCGAGTACCATGTAGTGCGGGCAAACGAAGATGTAAGTTATCAATTTCATCAATGTCGTTCCCAGGGTGTCGAGCAGTACGCTCCCACCACTACCCCCACTCTTTCGCCCTGGTGTATTGGAGCATTTTGCATAATTATCCATGTTTTAAAGCAAATTCATTGGATCTTGTATGCAGTCTGCACCTGTTGAGGGCGCTATTCATCGCGTCAGTATTAAATGAAAGGGTTCATTGGTGCAGTGGTTTACGTTTCGACTTGGGCAGGTGTATGAGACAGAAAGTTTTTTCCATGTGATATATTATAGCATACAACAAAGGTGCGCATAACCTGGTGCATTGATAAGAATGGGCCTTATTCACGAGTCGGCCATATTGGATTGAGAGTGAGGTAAAATCTTCATTTTTGGAGCTTGTGTAGGGAAATGAAAGTAATGACGTTACAAATTAATACCAGTCTGCTCTGATGAGTAATTTGAAAGTGGTGATTAAACATACCGTAATGTTTAAAGCCACATTTAAAAAAAAAAATGAAAGTGAGGCTAGAATGCTTAAATAGTCTGGCACCATCCCATTCAACAGTTCACAATTTATGAATCACATTCAGGGAAAACGACAAAAATGGCTTCTTCGTGAATAAAGTCCATGATAAAGCTTCGAATTTCACCCCTTAAAACTTACTCAGAGGGTATTATTTCACAGCCTTAGGTTCCAACTCTCATAGTTTTCCCTGTGCTTTAAATTTCTGATATCCTGATGCAGGCGGAGCCTGAGGTGCTGTGCACCAACTTAGCAGACAGCGGCACAGCTTCGCCAAGTTGTCTCATCGCCTCCTGGCCCGATAGCAGTGATATGACCATCATAGCTACAGCAGGACCCGTGTCTGGCATCTCAGTAACCGTCCATGTCGAATTATTTCACCCGGTAATAGGTGCACCTTGCTATCCCAGACTTGGTTTCGTCCTTCTATATCGCTGAGTCTTTCAGGGATGGATACATTATAAAGTGCCAAGGGTTTTGAATTTTTGCCCATGGGCCAGACACCTGCAAACAGACTAGTGCAGCACTTATAGCTGCAATGATAGCAAATTTTCTCGTTTGAATAAAATTGATGTATGCGTGCTTTTTCAAAATTTCGATTTTATTTTTCTAACGAAATTTAAAGGAATCAATTGTCCTGTAACAAATAAATGTGCTTGTTTGTTTTTGCAGGCCTTTATACAGTTTTAAAAACTGGTTTTAAATGGTGCACTCCAGTTTAGAAATTGCGCACACTATTCAGAACGAATTAGGAGCGGCACGCTCTTCATTCAAAAGTTGAAATTAATTAATTGATTACTGTCTTGTCATGGGCCAATTTTATCGTAAGATGTCTAATTGGAAAGCTCACAACTAATGTAATGCTAGAAAATTATCAGTTCAATTTGAAAATCTATTTTTGCCACACCCCAAAAAGCACTTATTCACCAACTTTGAATTAAAATGATTAAATTGCATCATTATGTCCTTCATTCAACAGAGAACCGAAACTGCCTCTCACATCCGAGCTAATGTCCCTAGCCGCCTGAAGTCAGTTCATGTCCAGCCATATGGTGGGGCTCCGACCGCGAATACACTGACGCTGCTGCAGACGGCGACCGTCTACCCCTCCGTGTCTCTCAGCTACCAACGGCAGGCCGTTCTGACCCACATCTGGTGCAACACCTTCGCCAATCACGACGCTGCGTTCTCCGTGGAGTCTACTGTCATGGCCACGGATGGGCAAAGTGCCTTCACCCAACATATCTGCGACCAATCAGATTGCGAGGTGAGAGCAGTGATGAATCAGTGGGTTAGACGGTTTGGTGCGATGCTGGCACAAAGCCACGTATAATACGCAATAGATCTGTCATCCTCGTTCCCAACTCTCCACATACCACGAGCGTTGGTACAGGCTAATTATAGTTCTCACATTCACCCCACAGATTTGGTGAGGTGGGGAAAAACTACATTTGAACGAAGACTATTGTTTCATACTGATATTGGCTTAGTATTTTTGCGAAGTCACAATTACTGCAATCTGATTATTGCTTCAAATATTTTGGTACAATAGGCCTACACTTTGTTTACTCTTTCCAAACAGGTTGGTAGAAACAACATCGCATATAATGGTAACCAGCTACCAAGCAACACCGTGGTAATAGACAACCTGAGGTATGCGAAATTGACTTTCCTCATCACCAGCTGGGGAGGCACGTACGATCCCAACCAGAACGACTACATCGGCCAGTTTCTGTTTCAAGCCGAGGTTCACCTTCTATAGATCAGCACGAAAGCTTCAGGCTTACGTACAATCCAGCGTCATCAGGCTTTTTAATTTAGCCCTCAGCTTGCACAGACCATGTACTTTGATACCGTAACGTCAAGTCCTACGACAACAGGATCCGAGCAGGCCACATGACCCACATTGCCCCGTGGTTTGTATGTTTAGAGCCCCGTCGGCGGATTGTCATATTTCCGCTCGGATTCGTGTACCGGCGTTGCGTCTTGTCCAGGAAATTAATATTTGTCCACCATCTAAAATATCACTTGAAATTCAACAGATAGTTACGTAGTTGGAGATTTGATGTCACGAAGCAGTCTCGTTCGATACTTTCACTATCTCACAAACAACCGGCTAATACTATGCATTCGTAATAAGACACGATTAACTCGTATCTGTAGATCAGAAGTTTTCTTCGTTATTAGTTAATGAATATTATATTTAAATGTAGACATTAACTTAGGGTTAGTTAATGGATAGATCGGTGATTAAGACTTTACATAGTAATACAAAAAAATCGTTCTAATTTGTTTTGTTAATGATAATGAACTGGGCCTTATAATTTCTAGTGAAACTATGGTTTTCCCGATTCTGTAACAGATGCACAATGGTGCATATTGTTACGTTATCCAAGCTCCCGTGTTTTTTTTATAACTGTTATTGTCTTCATTTTAATGCATTCGTCATTTTGTATGATTAGGGTAAAGCTGCTCTACCCATGCTCTTAGAATTTTTTTCTCCTAAGTATTTCCCAATTTGTATATTCCATTTAAACGGAAAAAAACCCATATTTCTAGTATATTTTTGATGTTTACGACTCTCTGAAAATACGTTTTTATTTGGGTTTGCTTTTGCGTCCGTAACGCACAAGACATTAATTATTACGGGGCCGTAAATGATTCGACATTTGTAAGTAATTATTTCATTTTTAATCGTTGGCGCATTTTGTTCGACGTTAGTTAGTCAAAAGTCAATAAGTTTTGTATTGATAGAAAAATATATAGCAATTAAAAAAACAAAACCTGTGGGGTGAAAATCGAATATATCAGAAGTAGATAACTTTAATGTTTGATGGTGTACTAATTTGGTATCTTGAATTAGGTCTGGTGATGGTCAATAAAAAAAAAACAGAAGACAAAAGAATGTTAGTCAATTTCAAATTCTTTGCCCTCCATCATCATTTCTAATCGTATAATTGCGAAAATTCTTTTGTTTAATGCTTCAGCTGAGTGGTTAGAGACCTATGAATACGTAATCCTAGTGTTTGTAAAATGATTTCACAAAGACGTCATCGATCAAACGCTACAGTCAAGCAAACAAACACGCGCATGGCGGTTCTTGATCAGAATTGACAGCCGGAATAATAACATGAATACTATGGGAGTAAATCCAATTAATTATCGTTCACACCGGAGTTATTACTCGACGTAGTTGCTGTTGCGACGAGTATGAGTCAGGTAAACAGGTGTAATTGGGTGGGGGACGTAATGGGATGCGGAGCACCGTGAATGAACTGAACGTCCCACGGTAAAATAGCTCCCAAGGACGGCCTGACATCGGACAGCACAGACGAGCATGAACATTACTATGAATTAAAGGTCTGCAATTGTTTAACATAAATGCAGTGAGTGACTTAAATACCCCCATGATGGCTACAAACACACATGTATATGTAAAATCACCAGGTATGACGCTACATAACAATGATTGTTAAACATGATTTGCAATTTGTTGGGTGTTAGAACAAAATTGTTTAAATAGCGTTCTTTCGTTTTGCCCTCACATGTGTCCATTTGCACCTGGGTGGGGAGAAGCAATGAGTGACAAATTAAGTGCCTTGCCCAAGGGCACACGCACCACAACCCCAGGGCGAAATAACAAGAATTATTTAAGTCCATACACTTCTCTTTTTTTCGCCATAACGGATTGCAACGGTGCCTCATCAGTTTTCCTCTCATACCTAAACGCAGAAGTTTCAGCAGTTCGCACAATGTAGCCACGAACCATTCCTTCGTTAGCTCAGAGCAAAATTTAATGATGCACTGCAAAAACAAGAAAGCCATAAATAAAAACATGTATTTTTAGATGATAAGCATATGTTACATAAATTCCAAGGACTTAGAGGCTCCGTCAAACTCCAAATTGAAGTCTACCGACGCTGTGTCTGTTTTTAAGTAGTCATAATGTGAACCAAAAATAAGAAGAAAACAAATTAAATCACGTCTCCGATATTAGGCAGCCGTTTTCTGCTTCTCATACTTTGACTGAATGGCTGGCTTTTGAAAAAAAAACAATTGTCATCACAAATTAATATTCATGAGTAGAAACGAGGAAGCACAACTGTTCAGTTCATCAAAGACAAATGGGCAATAATTTCACCCTCTCATTTCCAACAAGTCTCCTTCTACAGTATCAGAGGGGCGGTTGCAACCCCCTCCGCCGTTCAGCAGCTGCCTAATTTTATAAACTATTAAAATGGGACCAAAATAGTAAATGGAATGCTCAAATTCTTAAATGTATTCTTGAATTGCCATAGAATGCAAGACAAACCATCGTACATTTCAGAATTTTCAGGGGGCGTGCCTTCAGCACGCCTAAGACTCAACCCCCCTTTATATCAACCCCCCCCCCCCCCCCCCCATTCTTTCGATAATTCAGAGCAGAATTTTATTACGTCTGTGCACTCCACACACACACGCAACAAGTTGGGGAAATGTGCTCACACAAAAATGCCATTGGTTTCACATAATCATAACGCGCGCCAAACCCCACTTTATTCATCTATCGCAAAGTTATATTTTCTTTTAAGGTTGACCTCTATTCTAGATCTGTCAGAACTGAAGACGAACTGTCTGCAAGTACAATGATCTCTCTGAGTTGACGTGTTTGGCATAAATTTAATCCCAGGTCCACGCTACTATCCAATGAGACAGGCAACAGTCATGACATGGGGTGTGACGTTGCGATTCGCAGACTAATGAACGATCGATGGTTGTGAATTGCCTTGCGATGGGTTAAGGCCGGCCGTCGTTATTGGCTGCACTGCCCCCGCGATCACTTCATTTATTACGGTGACTGGAGCATCAAATAAAAGCGGTACAAAGCTCCAAGTTGATTCAGCCAAGCCGGGATAGTTTCACGGATTTTCAACCTGTTGCCGAAATTTCCTTTTACTTCGCAATTCCAGAGAGTAGCAAAAACTACACTTTAAAATCTAGGCTGGTGTTTTTCTGATTTTTTTTTAAAGATGCTGAGTGCATCACTGATTCTTCTGTACCTCATAACGGGAGGGTTAAACTATTCTGTGGACAGTTTGCAACATCCAACATTTCCGTATCGCCTGCTACTCGTTCCCGAGGGACGGGGCAGTGACCGAGCGGCCGAGCTGTTCTGGGCCGTCGATTTTGACACGGAGACGGTCGACTTCAGATTGAGCGTACCGCTGAGGCACAACCACCGGTTGAGGAAGAACGGAGAATGGTTCGCGTTCGGCTTGTCCCCAGACGGGACGCTGGTAAATGCAGATCTTGCGGTGTTTTGGTTTCCATACGGGAAGCCTAAGCTGACGGTAAGTTTTATGTGTTATTTATGTGAAATTCTAAACAACAATTAGAGGAAATAGTGAGAATGAAGACGTCTCTTTCAGTTTCTAACTTAGAATGACGGGGTTCAACAATAATTTGTAATTTTGTGTTTATTGAGTTCCCGATGCGAGCTTTCAAAAACTATAGGTAATTAGTGGTTCGCACTTCGCATCCGATAAAGAACACATTGACTTGCGAATTAGATGCAAATTTGGAATATGTAAAGTGTGAGTAATGGTGCACGACTTAATAGATATGCAAATCTATTCGTACAGTTCAGATGAACTGGTTGGGCTAAGCTGTATTTTCCAACGAAACATAACCTAATATAATATACACTCAATCACTATTTTTGCATCTCGTGCCAATTCCGATTAGACTTTCACCAAATAAAAATAAGAACTTCTTCTACCAAAATGCACAAAACGTTAATAAATTTAACTTGCATAATAATGTAGGCCTGGGCTATATGTCTTCTTTTTTTCTGGGACCGAATCAGCGGCATCGTGGTAAGACTATATAAAGCTATATAGCAGACAGCCTAAAGCATATAGCTTATCGATTGAAAATCGTCACCAAATCTCAAGTATCACGTACCACACTCCTGCTAAATCAAATCCTCCTCATTTTTTTTCCCATCGCAAACTGCATTCTGTCGTCGCTATGTTTACTGTACATCTAGCGTTTCTAGAAACTGAGGGAGAAATGTTCTTCCGGATAATATCAACGGGGATTTTGAAATGAGCAAAATTCTGGTTTTTGGTGTCATTACCGAATGTTTGGCAATTTGAATATGAATATGTGTTTTATCGCAATGATTCACCAATGAGTTAGGAAATGAAATAACGGAGTTCAATAGAGACGGAATGGTACATTTAAAGAAATAATCAAACTGGCGGATGCCAGAACAGGCCAAGTACTATTGCAAATACATGTAATCGTGTTCAAAAATGAAATGGAAAATAAGGAATATTTCCATTTTCTCTAAAATCGTGTTATACACAAATCTATGATAATTCTGCATTTTTCCTCAAGGAAGCGTACACGGACGATAAGGGGGCGGTGTACAAGGATGGGAACACTCGTGACTATATCCTCCTGGATTGGAGGATTGTACCAGGAGGGGGCGGGGATGACGAATCCCCCACCAACCTGGAGGTTGAGTTCAGGAGAAAGTTCGACACTTGTGATCGTCGTGATTATCGTATTGAGGTATGTAGGAATCATAGATACATGTATATTGTATTATACATTATAGCCCATTTCGTTTAATCCTATGTATCACACAAGACGTGGGTTATTAAAGATTTCAATAACTAAAAGTTCTTGCTTTGGTAAATTTCAACTAAATGAATTTCACACTTATTTCACGTCGTGAGTAACACGTTCTTAAGTAAGGAGGCGAGGATCAATCAATCAATCAATCAAAAGGAATTTATAAAGCGCCAAAATCAAAAGGTTTGCTCCAAGCCGCTGATGGGGCACCAAAAAGAAGAAAAAATTATTGATGGTACACCTCCTGAAACAGGTGAGCTTTCAGGAGTGTCTTGAATGTATGCAGTGAGGTGGTATCTCTAATGTATTCTGGAAGTTTGTTCCAGATTCTGGGGCCCGTATATAGAAAATGATCTATCAACAAAAGAGACACAATGGATATGCACGCGAAAGAGGAATATCCTAGGGCTCTTAAAAGGAAATAAATTAAAGTCAACGGTACACTGCTGGCGACCTTTCTTAGTCCTGAATCACACGTTAACTCGACAGTTATCGAACCATCAGGGGTATCTGTTTCTCCTTGTCGGGTTGAAGATCTTTTCATGAGTGTTTTACATATTAGCTGTATATACATGTACTGTATATAGGTCCCGTAATATGTATTGTATTAATCTATTCCAGTGAAATCTTGAATCACTGGAAGACACGATAAGTTTGCGGTGACACCATCCGAATAAATCTCTTCTGTGAGTATGTGTGGTTCTGAAAAAACCGGAGGGACTCAACGTTTCGAAGAGTATGCTCTGCCCGTCGTCAGGAGAAAGAGGGATTCCAACGATGATGCGATGTTATGAATATTGGAGCACATAATTATCGCTTATACTATATATGACTTGAAGCTTTGCATGGTAGATGAGACAAAATAGAGAAAACTTTCAGGTAACACCATGTGGAAAGAAATGTCTTCTTGGAAGAAGTGTGGTTCTGAAAAGAACCGGTTGGTTGAGTGTATAACTCGACGTTTCGGACAGTGTGCTCTGTCCGTCCTCATGAGGGTGAGCTTATTGTATAGGGGTTTCTGCATCATGTGCATGTACTAGTTCTATTTTTCAAAACAAATTGGTAAAATATTATAAAGTCGAATAGAATAAGCAACATTTACACATGATATTTGTCGTCCTTTATGCAGAGTGGTACGGTGGACTTGTTTTATCTACGGGGGAACCACTCCACTCTTTCATCTGGGTACATCGACCCGAGTAAAGCGGAGATTGCTAACCAGCGTGCTCAGCTTCTTAGGAGCACGAGACGTGCACCCCCGCTGCCATCCACTGTCAAGACGGCAGATATCACTATGCACAACGTGAGTAGGTCTATGCTTAAAACAATTTTTTTTTTAATGTTGAAGTTGAAGTCGTGGTTGTCCTGAAATATATGGGCGTAGTATATGGGTGTCTGTATTAGTAAAATTGTATTGATGGAATCCCAAGAAGATTAGAGGATTTGTGTTTCAATAAGTGGTCACAGTGATACAGCGCACGATTATTTGATTATAAATAAAAAATACCAGATTCCATTTCTATGATTTCAAATTTCGTGCAGCACCTGTAAAAGTGTTTTCCAAGTTTTCCTCCCCGGCCCGCCGCGGGATATTTTCGCAGAATTTGAAATTATTGAACGTGTGATGAGATTCGACCTATACTGTGAGTGTTGAGCTTAATTAAATCAAAACCGTGATTTCAAAATCGCATTCCATGTTGGGCGTTGTGATCGGGTCTGCTTCAGGCTATAACTATCAAAATATTGGATTCCTCTTTCTTCCAGTGTCAATTTGTCTGGGTGATCAAAGTCATTCCATTCCGGACAATTAAAATGAAACACCTAAATCATATTCGTGCCTCAGACCACGGCGCGATGCACGCGCATTGATTCTCACCTGTGCAGCTGTAACGAGTGCAGGCAACGTTGAAATAACCTTGCCTGGTAACAGAGACGCGGGGAAAAGCGCGCCAAAAACTGACGGCGCGCAAAATATGCCACAGGGAATAGGTAACTTTATCTTCCCGCCAAATCAGTGCCAATTTTACCTGCGTGTACAGTACATGTGAAGCTGCATGGTGAGTGCTAGTGTGATGAGCCAGTTAATAGACTCGTTGTCGATGGGTTTTCTTTAAAATTATTTATGAAAAACAATAAATCAAAATATAGCTGACTTAGCAACTGGTCCATGTCGTTAGGTTTTATATTGTATTTGACAGATTTTTGCCAAAGTATTATTTTAATATTATTGTGACGGTCTTTTTTTCTTAAATGACATCGCAGACAGAGGCACCTAATCAGGTTACCACGTACTGGTGCAGAGTGCAGAAATTCCCGGATGCTGTGGAGAATCATCACATAATTCAGGTACTACTTTAAAAACACCATTTATGTTTTTGTTTCAAAGTAATTAAAAGAGACGGATAAAGTATTCCTTTAATCACTCGTCATTCCTACAGAACTAGACGTTTGTTACCCAAATGTCTTTCAGAGTTTTATCAATTAAAGCTGAATTTATGGCACAACTCCGTGACCGTCACAAATGGCCTTCGTGAATTTGTACCAAAACCATGCCTGCCATTATGTGCATAAAATCTTGAGAAGTATGGCAATTTCTCCCGCGCTGAATATCTCGAACCTCTATCTGCAGTACGAATCGGTAATTACCCCTGGCAATGAGGACATCGTGCATCACATGGAGGTCTTCCACTGTATTCTTCCCGAGGGAGTCGAGGTACCAGACTACAATGGCGAGTGTGAGGACGAGGACCAGCCTCCTGAGCTAGAGCCTTGCAAGAGGGTGATTGGTGCATGGGCCATGGGAGCACCGGTGAGAAACCTCAACCTTTATGCGTGAACCTTTCATGAAAATCAATGCAAGTTTCAGATTCCTTCCTGATTGCTAATAGTTATTTATTTGATACTTTTTCGTATATATATCCTTAGGCCTTCTCATACCCGGAAGAGGCAGGCGTCCCAATCGGTGGGTCTGGTATCTCATCGTACGTCATGCTACAAGTCCACTACAACAATCCGAGCATCAGAGAAGGTGAAGTGCATGTGACCTGACTAGTCTGTTATACTAATTGAATCAGGCCTCAAACTGCATCGGAAAGTGATCGGAAGGGCATTTTGTTCCATTTGAAGTAACCATGCATTGTTACAACTGTTTAACCACATATAATATAACATATAACATTATAACTACAAACTGCTTTATGGAGGGTGCTATCTCCATACCGATCTGTACTCAACTCTTCCAAAAGGACCTTTACAAAAACGGAGGGCATTTTTGCTACCTTCATTTCTACAAAATTGTTATAGTATATTGCTCTCAAAATAAGGGGAAAACACACTTGACACAACTACTTGCAAGCTGTGGTCGTCAAATTGAAGGCTTTCGAGGAATAAAAAAATACGTTTTAGTAGGTCCTCAATGTGAATAATTCTCTCCTTGAAGGAGTTGTGGACAGCTCTGGTATCCGCTTTCGCTACACCTCCTCACTAAGACCTCACGATGCCGGTATCCTAGAAGTTGGTGCTACCTACTCACCAAACCTGTCAGTACCTCCCACGTCCGATGGATTCTACTTGACAGGATACTGTACACCAGACTGCACTGACAAGGTAAAATCCTCATGGCGATAACGAACCTCGTACACCTCATAAACCTCATTGAGGTTCGAAATTGTGACTTGAGTTAGGCACACGAACTTCACACTGTGCAGTTTGTCAAATCCACAGTCAGTCGTTCCAGGTTCTCAGAGTATATGGGAAAACCTATTAAAGACGACACCATGCACGTTTTCAACTTGAGGTCACCATTTCAAGGCACAATATACAAACGAAAACCCATTCCTTCTTAGGCTTGAGGCGCGAGCACAAGTTCTTTTCACCGTTTTGTGTTTCAAGTCAACCTGTCGTGGTTTAAAGTTGCAAAAGAATTTTACTGGCAACTTGGTTCTACAAAATGATACTAACAACTTATAAGTTGTATATAACTCTGTCAAGATTGCCGAATTTTGATGATGACAAACCGAGGACATTAATATAATGAGTTCGATTTTCCATCCTCCCCGTCTTTAGGGAATCCCAGACCAAGGTATCCGCGTGTTTGCCTCACAGCTACACACTCACCTAAGCGGTACGGCGGTGTGGACCAAGCACATCCGTAACGGCGTCGAGATACAAGAACTCAACAGAGATGATCACTACAGCTCAATGTTTCAGGTCAGGAAAAAGCATAATTAGGCTATACATTTCATCCATCAAACCTTAAATTCAGGATAACGTATTCTTGTGAATCATATCCCATGAACATCACTTAACGGAGGAATAAACCGAATTATAATTGATTATAAAATTATTAGCCACACAATAAAATATACTGTGCATAAAACGTAGTGCTAAACTTTATTTTTCCTTTGATCAGGAAATTCGATTGCTTCAACAAGACGTCGTTGTACTTCCGGTAAGTTCTATATAAAAAAAATACAAGTAATATTCCTAGTCTCATATCTGGATTAATAGCACCAGCATTTGTTTTTCTTCATAATCCTGAACATTCTGCTGTAAGTTCGGCACTCACATTACCTAACCGTGTGTCAATAATCATTCTGGGCAAGGACCGATTTTGATGTGTAAGACTCGTATCACAAGTGAAAAAAAAAATAGCACGAAGCACCAGACTACATCAACAACCACCGGCGAAAGACGCTGCATACGACCCAGAGCCAGGAGTCAGCACAGCACTTCCCATATCGATCCCTTCCTCCATCATGGAGCAACACACATCTTTTTTCCCCTTTCATAATCTTTGGTCCATTCTCTTACTTGCTGTAGGGAGATACTCTGATAACGACTTGTAGATACGATACATCGTCCAGGCCTAATGTTACACTGGTGAGTAGACATTTGTGATTAATGAACGACTTTTTCCTAGTATCCGTTACGTCTTAAATTTACTGTTGCAATATCTGCAACAAGTGTCATTGAATATGATGAAAGCAATGTGTAGAGTATATACCGTATAATCATACAATACATGTTTTGGTATTATAATTTTGTAAATAAAAGTTGTTTTATGATTTAGGGCGGGTTTGGTATTCAAGATGAGATGTGCGTGAACTACATGCATTACTACCCCACGATGGGTCTTGAGGTATGCAAGAGCACTGTCGCCAAGACGGCTCTGAAGACGTTCTTCAAGTTCGTCGATGGCAGGTCAGGAGAAACAAATGCTCAGTTTTTATATCAGTCAGTCACTGCAACGATATCTTCAGTCAACTCGTTAAATATAATTTCCTCCTCATGTGCATTGATATGCCAATCGTGTGATACCCTAAAATTACAATGGTCTTTGATGTACTTTTATACGCTCATTACAAAAAAAAAACTATTCTCTTCGTGCACAGCCCACTGAGGGCGCGATGACTGACTTAAAGAATGAAAGAGTTTTGGAATTGGCTGTGAGGTATCTTATTAAGACCAAATTGTGACTTCTAGGTCAGCCCTAGCTGTTCAAAAAATGTTTTGAACTGTTTTGCCTGTTTCCCTTCCTCCAGAGCTGGGGACAAACCTTATGACGTCACTCTGACATCGCCCTCAGCGGTGGCCGGACGATTTCGGGACGTGACCTGGACGCCGAGTGTGAAGTTGCTATGGCAATACGTCATCAACCAGGCGCCAATAGACATCGAGTGCCTGCAGTCATCAGGCCGACCATTCCATGTGAGTCACGTTCGGGTTATATGCGGCACATCGATTTCCGGTTCGGCCAGAATTTATTTAAAGGTCTTTTGTGTTATATATTGCAAAATGTTCGGGTGCTCCAAAATGATACGACTCGTTGGCCGAAGCTTGATTTTATGCACGGTGAATAGACTGCTCTGCTTAAGTTTCAAACGGCAAGTTTCCATCATGATGATGATTTCTGCGATGGGGTTCTTCCTTCAAAGCAGCAGAAACATCTTCTCTTTCAGCAGTGATACACTTACAATGTTTACCCAGAATGAATTAGAAAAGAAAGAAATAAGCATTATGGTATTGTTTTGACTCATTTGTTCATCAGGGCACGTGGAAGGACCAACTTCCCCCTGGTGTCAAGTTTCCTTTGCCGAGGAGGAGACGGAAATGCCCCACGAGGAGGCTTCATCCGTTCCTTAAGAAACTTCCATGAATGACTTCCGAGTAAAACAATCTACACGTTTTGAAGACCGCAATCTTAACAGGCTTAATATTTATTTTCAAAATGATTTTACATTGATTTGATCTGAGTAAAAATTACGCATATTATTTAAAACTTAATGTTCAATCGGAAATAATTTTGAGGTGAGGAGCAGTAAAATTGAGGGCGCCATAATTTTATCATAATATAGGTTCAAAATCATGAGATCAGAGTTGCGTAGGCCTACATAGGGCTAGGGGGCTTAGTCTACGTGAAAACAAATACCGTAAGTAAATCAGGCAATCGTCATGAACGTTCACGCACAGTATGAGTGACGTACGAATAAGCTACTCTCTAAATTCTAAAGAGTGAAAATTCACTCCATTCGAGTGAAGATTCACTCTCACAGTCGGAAACTAGGGACTAGACGTTTTAGAGTGAAATTTTTTCAATCGTAAAGATCGAGGTTTCACTCGATCTTCGACTTAAGTGGTTCATGTTTCAGACTATGTCAATCAAAAATGGGAGTGATTTTCACTCTTAAACGTCTAGTCCCTAATTTCACTCTTTGGAATTTAGAGAGTAACCAAGACATAGGCCTAAAACCGTTATCATTTGGCTAATAATCTCATGTTCCGAATAGCATAATATTACCATTGCAGTGTAACATAAAAATGGAATCCTTTAATTTCACGAAGAGATAAACGGTTTTGATCATTACAGTTCTTTGTACATGATTTTTTTTTCGAGAAAATATTCCCTAAATTCTCCTATTCGAAAACTATAACGAAGAATATAGCGTAAACGAATGTAGCGTAATAATTATCATGTAGCATAGTAATTATGATAGTTTAGTACAAGGAAAGCAGCTGTACGTGTGGCCTTCGGTTTTTAATTTCATTTCTGTGGTACAGTTTATTTTCAAATAAGGTTAAGACAATACAAGCCCTAGGTTTTGATAACAAAACAACAGGTGTTAAGATATAATTGTGTTCAAGGCACGAAGTGATATTATACGAAATGTTTCAATGAATGTAACATAATGTTGCATAGTGGAGGTTTAATTTATTATTGTAAAGTTACGTCGGAATGATTCCATGGAGTATATGACTAAACAAAAATGAAGAATAAAAACCAACACAGGTTACACTTATTTTTGTTTTCTATGAAGGAATACTGTTATTGAATAATTATGGTCTTCGATAAGAGGAAGATGTAATACTAATGGGGATGCCATTTTCCTGTTTTGGGGGTTGTAAAATTCTTTTGTCCTATAATGAGGCCGTACAAATAGATATGTTTTTTTAAATCCATATTACCGTCGGTCAGCATTGAAGTATGTCCGAGTTACCGATGGTTTCAAAGCAACCGCGTGGTTACCAAGAGGCAGAGTACCAGCATCACCAGCGAGACATTTGGCAAAATGGCGCCGTTATCCGTAGCTGCGTAAAAGAGGGAACAAGTAATGTTGTTAAATCACATTACAAATGGCTCGCTCCTTCGCTCATGATGCCTCTCGAGACTATAAAATGTACAAAATTTGTTGTTTTGGAGTTTTGATCGTTTTCGAAAAAAAAATGTATACGTCCTTATCTTTGTAGCTCGGCCTATTAGTGATTGCTTTGGTCATTTTTATCTGTTTATTTGCATAACTCCGTATGATTGTACTGCTCCGCTACAACATCAAACTTACACTGACCTTGTCACTGATGTCATTTATGGGACCTCGTCTATAAAATTAATCTATACGGTGATACCAAACACATACAACACCCGTATATCATTTCAAACATGCAAAGAAAAGTATTGAAAAGCAAGAACAACACCATGATCACCGAATATATGGGAAAGAATAAAAGAATAGGAAATCAAATACTATTGGGAAAGAGTATAAAATGGAAAATAAATAAACATAAACATCCTCGAATAAAAAAAAGGATTTATATTTGTCATGCATTTTGTCGAAGTAAGGAAAATGCTACAATTTTTTTCAGTTTACCTTGTAATCTGAAAGTCATCGATGGCCTAAAAATAAACGGTGTAAGGAAAGCATATTTTTAATTATTTTGAGAATCAACTGAACGCAGTTCAGAAAATCAGCGATCCACTATTTGTGATCCATACTGTTGATCAGGATTTCGGCTCGTTTGTTTGACTTGAACATAACCACAGATCATGAACTTAATTTTGTTTTACAGTGCCTTATTCGATGATTCTCGCTATCAATTCTGTTGCAGCTTTCCGCCTTTTCACATGCCAATATTTCAGAGTTTGCTGTTCCCGATGGGTTCCCGATGAAAACCATGTTGATTGAAAGGCCGCTGGATACCAACGTGTGTTTAAGCCCGCTTTTGGAAGACTCTAATTTCATTGGTTGAAACAACACACTGCGCAGTAGTTAATAAGTGACTTACCCGGCCATCCAAGCTGTTCTCCGTTCTTCTGATTGGTCTCCTGGAGCCACGTCATCAATGGCGCAAAATAGGCGTTGATGGCGTCGGCTGACATTGACCTCTGACCCGTAATGGCTTCCATGGCATCCGGCCAGGGCTTACTGGTGCCTAACTTCAGCATATCCCTGTAAAAAAATAACGAGAAGTTAGGTAAAGGTTTTGTTTGAAATAGTGGGCTCTCCAAAAGTTTGTCAAAGTGTTTCCGGAAACAGGAGGAAAAGCTCATTGAACAAGTCTCATGTGACATTAATAATGGCCGACTGTCGAGCTCACGTCACGAGCTCACGTCACGAGCTCATAAAGGGTGGAAACAAGATAAGGTAATAACGTACACCTATGGCTTCAAGGTCACAAGAACGCATAACTTCGACGAAAATCATGGTTTTTTTTTTATCAACATCACAGGAGATTCTTACGAGAGTTTGGTTCCTGCCGCCTGTGATTTGTAGAAGTCACAGCGGTGGAGAGGTCCCGTGTGGCCCGCCGCTTCGCACAGGGCTTTCTGGAACTGAAACTGAATGATTGTGCGGATGTAGTAGCTGCAATAAAAATAGTCATAGTGAAAAATTACATTAAAGTTTTCTCTTAAAGTTTTCTTTTATCTGCGTGCACGGCCTGCTTAAGGGAACAGACTGTTCACTGCATGTCAGAGACGTTTTCATTAGCAATGACAAAATTAAATGAATGACCGAAAAGCCGCTTTCTAAAAGTGATCTAAACTTTCTATTGCCCAAGTTCTTTTTACCAGCTAAAATTATACAGAATTAACGTGAAAGACACGGACATTTGAATGTCAAATTCAGATTTCGTATTGTTTACCCCAGGAACGGATAGGCCACCACGATGTGGTACATAGCACCGGGGTCGAAATCGTCTTCAGTCCGCGGGACTGGTGCCTCAGTGCCAACAAGATCATGCCTACATAATCGAGACAAAATGACAGAAATTAGATTACAAAGCGGGAAAACTACAACTTAAGGTGAACTCAAAACAGCGCCAGATTTAATTGTACAAACTTATAGGCCTTTTGGTCTAAGAAAAAAGTTTCAACATAATATGTGACCCACTTGAGTTGCCACCAACGTTCGGTCCATTTATCCTCACTGATGGCACCAGCGAAAACATCCCATCTCCATTGATCCAACGCTAGGCTGAAGGGAAGGGTACCAATGGTGTTCAGTGCGGTCTTCAAAAGAAAATTGATGTCGGTTTCTAAAAAAAAAAAAAAAGGATAAAATAAATATCAGCCTGCTGATAAACGAATGGTCACAATCAAGAAATAAAAACGGCTGGTAGATGTAGTGTAAAGAAAGCAGGGAATTTGGAGTTTAAAATCTGTTTTCTTATTAACTTACGGAACCTAGAATAATCCCAGGACACGTGTCCTTTATAGGGCGTGGCGAACGGGTGGAGTGGGGTGACACCCTCAATAATTTATCTCATTCGGCATTTAGAATCTTGTTTTTCGCAAATGAGCCACCATTAAGCCTTTGTTAATGAGTGAAATATCCGTCCTTCCGCAAAATCGGTTGTCTGTCTGCAAAATATGCCATGACGAAGAGCCCCACATATTTTTTTTTTTTTTGTCCGATTTTTTTTTTTTTGTCCAAGATCGCTTGCTGTGAACAGCACCTCTGAATAACTAAAAAAACTGACCGGATAAAAAAATACAGGTTAAACTTTCCAGCAAGTAGGGTTTGTCGTATGTGTCGTATCGTTGATAGTTTACTTAGACATGCGCAATTATGGTCGAGTCCGATCCGTTGCCGTGTCAGAATTAACACAAACAGTTTTACCGTTGTCAAGACCAGTTCCCTCAGCCAGCAGCCCAATGTCCGGGTGTGAAAGGTGAGTAGGGGTGGATATCGATAGGGTCATAACCTCTCCGACTGCCTCATGGAAGGCACCATTAGCCCCATCACGGAACGGATATGGCTGGTCGCTATACTGCATCTGATACTGGGTGTGGCCCAGCTCATGGTGGATGGTCTGAAAGAAATCCATGGTGACCTCTGTGCACATCTTGACCCTGGGGAGAGGAAAGATGAGAAAGACGAGATGAGTCATGAGAAGACGAGAAGAGACGAGAACCTTGCTTTGAATTGGAGTTTAAAATGAGCACATTTTGATTTCTGAATCAAAGGGCTCATGCAATGTTTTCTTTTAATGCAATCCTCGATAATGCATCTTTTGTGTCCTATTTAACGTTTTTCTCAATTTTCGTATTGCCATTTTGAAGGGTATTTAATTATACCTTTTTTGTTTTATACTCAGAAAATGCGAATTTCCATTTCCATGAGCAAAACTGTGATGTCATTTCATTCCGGGCAGAAACTAAATGGAACAGCTATTTAAGCACAAAAAGTTGCTAGAATTTTGGATTTTTTGTGCAGTCTTAAATTTTCTTTTCTTTGGTAACTCGTTGTTGTGTCAGTCCATGGAGCTATGGCAGTAAGCCAATGGGCAAACGTTTCTCACAAATGTTTTCAATGAGCATATTTTGGGTTCAATTTGAACAGAAACCCCTAAACCTAACAGTATCTTCCTGAAATGACATCACAGCAACAGCGTCCTCGGTTGTCCGGAAGAGCATGGAAAATGTGCACTTTTCAATCAATTCAAACAAAAAGGGATGTCAAATAGCTTTCAAAAGGGAGTATACATTTAAGAGGGAGTATATACATGTAGTTGCAATAAAAGTGTTTCTACGAAGAATTCATCACATGGACCCTTTAAAATGTATCGTCATTACATTTTATACAAACTGTTCTGCTGTTCCAGGTCATTTGATACGCCAATGGATACGCCCATTTGTTTATGCAAGCCCCGCCCTTTTCAACTCACCTGAAGTCCTCCCCGTTACCCATATCCCATGCCGTGGGATGGCACACCACATTCCTGCCGTCCGTGGGTCTCTCGATCATTGAATTGTTCCAGAAGATCGGCTTGACCCGAAGCAGACCCAGCGAAGCGAAGAAATCGTCGGCAAGCTCGAACATTTTGCGCGGATTGTAATTCTACCACATTGAAACAAAAAGTGGTGGGACTTAAAATGACTAACTATATATGGAACGTTTGCATAAGTTTTTGTAGTAACAGCTATATATTTCATCAGATACAATAACAGTCAAATAACAGTCAAAACAGAGAGTGTGACAAAAAGCCACAATACCAATTAAGGCCTTGTTGAATACAGTCTGGACTTTGCAAACATTGTGTTTAACAATTAAAAACTTTTTTAAACACTTTCTTGCTATCAGTTGAACATTTGAACATTGATGTTTAGTTTTTGAACACACAATGTTTAGGCCTAGCTTCTAAGCCTGTTTACAAAGTGATATAGCTAAATTGTGTTTAATTGCTGCATACAGTGTGTAGTATGAATAACCCTTCGTTCTGCGGTTTAGTTTAAATATTGCAGCAATGCACTGATAGCTATAGAATCAGTTTTGAAATGTGATTAGTCAAAAGTTATCCACTCTGGTTACTGATTGGCTGAAAGTGCTCAAGTGTCGAAGTGTTTTTCCCGACCTGCCGGATATGCATTATATTCTTTATTTTCTGATAACCTTGGTATTAAAGTTAAAGACATCAGTTCGTATTTCTTATTTAATAGAATTTACTGATTATTTCACAGGGATAAAAAAAAAATACAGTCCTTAGGCCAAAAAAAAAAAGTCTCCGGTTTCTGGTATGGAGCTTGCCCAAAAAGTGGTGCGGCGACGCGGCTTTTTTTTTTTTTTTAACTGATTTTTTTGCTTCGAATGTCGGCTGATGACTGCAAATGTTGCCCGACTAAACTTGGTGCAAATATATTGGAGTCCAGAGAGGCCACATAAAGCTTATTCTCGACCAAAACCCAATCCAAAAACACGTTAAAATTGTGCAGCAGCAGGATTTCAGTCAAACCAGTGAGTTTGGCGGTTTTGAGACATCACCTTTCATTGAAAAAAAAACATTTTCATTTTGCCGACGCGCATGGCTACGGCGACGCGCGCGCATACCTGAAACCGGAGACTTTTTTTTTTGGCCTTAGTTGAGGCTCTGACCTTGGCAACCATAGCATCAGTAACATCGATATTTGGGCGATCTGGAAACGGCACAAGTTGGGGATAAATATTGCCCCAGAAGCGCCCCCACATATCACCTGCATGCAAACGAAATGAGATTATCACACGAACAGTAAATCAACATTGTCGTTTTTAAGAGCCGACAATAAATTGAAATTTACAGAAAGCACTGGGCTCACTTAAGTCTTGCACATTCAAAACTCCTTTTTTTTAATCATGAAAACTATTCTGAAATTTGTATTTGAAAAACAAAAGGGATTTACCAAGTAAACAGGATGGAATATACCCCTTGACGTCCACCTTTGAACCATGAGTTTTATGCATGGTGCGTCGTACATAGGCATGCAGCTGCTTATAAAGAGGCAATATCTCATCGTATATCTCGTACGCCTTATCGATGATTGTGTCGCTCTCGTACTCAGAACGCCAGTACGCACCCATGTCGTCATGACCTTGAGAAAAAGGAATTAAAGAACATTGAAATGATACTTTGAATCAACAAATGATGTGTTCTCAGAAGGAGGAAATGCTTGGTATGAGGCATAGAAGCAAAAGGAACAAGTTTTATTGTTATTTTGTATTTACCATTAGCCACTGCCGCTTCGTTAGCCAATTTGACAAAGTCCTTGTAGAGGGGCTTGTTTGGTACCCCGACTTGGTCGCGGAAGCCTTTCCAGGCCCAGACCAATTCATCCCAGTCCCTAGAGGTGGCCATGATTTCTGCCAAACCTGTAAAGGGACCACACCAAACAGACGGTCAGCTTGTCAAGCAAACAGACAATAATGTCTATTATGCGAATCAGGGAAGCGATTTTTGTTTTCCAATGATCTAGGTTTTCACTTTTTCTCATTTCCCCCAAACAGTTTTCGATCCCCCATAACATTACTGTTATTTTCAAGTCGGATCCCAATTTTATCGCTGAAAAGTTCTTTTGCGTTTCTGAATCGAGGCCCCAGATGATTTTTTTTTTTTTTAAGAAGTATTTAGTCCGAAATTTCGATAGGCCTAAAATGAATAATACTAAACTCCACTCAAGCACGGCGCTAAACCATGCTCCCATATAGGAAAGTACACGAAAGTGTGGGGTGTATCCAATTGTGGTTGTGTAAAAAAAAATCGCATTCGGGAATCCAGAATCCGGAGATAATCGGACAAAACGACCAACAAAAACCAACTGTACTGTTTAACGCCGCCCATTTTAACAATTGATTTTCCTGCAGTGCCGATGCTGTGCAATATTTACTAACGATGATATATATTTGTATGAATGTTTATATACGATCACCATCAGGCCTACTCTTACCAGGTTCGAGTTGCATGCAGTCTGTTGGCTGGTCTTCTTTACACACAGTACCAGTACTGTAGTTATCCGTCATCGTATTCACCACGTTATTGTACTATGCAAAATAGGTCAATAAAAGTAAACAGGAAATAAAATATAATATTTCGTCTGTGAATATAATTATGAACGTTCTGTTGGGCACCACAACAAAGTCTTTTCTTTATGCATGTACATAAAATTTATTTTATTTTGGAATTTTTATTATTTACAGAAATGAGAATCATTTGAAAAAAATGGTAATCATTGTGTCTATTTGCAGATACAATAAACCACACCTCTTCAACCTTGCTAGGCTCTAGTGCAGCCGTTCCGATGTCTTTGATCTCCTTGAACTGTCTCTTGACGTCTTCGTCGAAGTCTGTTACGTCAAACCGACTTGCGTTCTGGTACGCCTCTTGTCGAAACGCGGCTGAGACTAGACTAGCCTCCACCTTCATGCAACGAAATCAAATGTTAATCTTTTCTAGTTTAATTTTTTGTGTGATAGAATTTTAAGTTTGTGATTCAATTTGTGATTCAGTTGCAAGTCAATAACATAGATCTACACGGTGATACAGGACGGTATCATGCCTGTACAAGAATTACCTATATATTGGTGATCACTGTATAATTAGACAAGGAACAGTTTAAATGTGTGATTTCATCTATGATTCCAACCAAAGAAACATCCCTTTTTCCTTTTCTGACCTCCCGCAAACCAGCTCTGAAAACCAGTGGTTTTTTTGTTTAGGTGGGGACAAAAATAATTCTGCTTTGCGAGCAGACTATAGCTCTCGTTGTCCGTACATTATCGACACTGATTGTGGGCGGGAACCAGCCCTAGCCCGCAAGAACGGGAATTATGGTCTACCGTGGCAGCCAATAATTCGAACTTGCTAAGTAATAATTCAATAACTAAACACGGGCCGATTGTATTTGGGGGGGGGGGGTTGATGTCTCATTTTAGTGAATAACTTGGTAATTGCTAAAAAAAATATATATAAAAAAAGCAGTTTAGAAAAGGAATCTATTTCGGGATGAAAATCGAAAATAGAACGAGAAATGCATCTTAAGACCACCCTAAAATGAATGCTTCGTTTTCTTAACTATCTGAGTATAAGGGGGTGTGCGGATCAACGCAAAATACCCTAGTTCCAAAGTACATAGCACCAATAAGCAGAGGCACTACAATTTTTTTTCAGGGCTGTTGTAAAACAGATTAAAAATGGTCCTGTTTATATCCTGGAACTGATTTCAATAGAACATCTCGCATCGCAGTTGATAACATCACTCAAATTGCATGCAATTCCACCGTGTAAACACAGTGTATTATTTGAACAATGATAACTCCTTTGACCGATGGAATCAGTATATAATGCAGATTGGGCTTAAAGTTTAATCATAGGCTGTAATGTTGTTTTAAAAAAAAAAGCCACCCAGTTGTCGTGCAATTTCATATAATATTCATCAATGTGTCATTTTAGTGGCTTAATTGAGTTGTCCTTGCAAATATAGATTTATTAATACGTTCATGGATCTGCTGTCATTCATGTGTGTTTCATGAAATATTAAATAGTTTGTTATTAATGATTCGCACTCGTTGGATTCGTAGATCGAGTGTCTTATGTAAATTCATGTACACTTCGCTGTAAGCTTGTAACATTAACCCTGCGCAGCGTTTACAAGAAATGTGTATTCGAAGGAGCCACCTGCGTACACTTTGTACGCAGGTATACTTCCCCCACTACGCGAGACCCTATCCATGTCCAAACAACACAAGAACATGTGCCAGACCCTCTGCAGGCAGTTCTTCGTGCATGGCATGGTGTCCCCCCCCCCCCCCTTGCCCACCGCCACAAAATGCACCACCGTGGATTGTTAACTATGGCACTGAAATAAAAAATGAAAACAGTCTGTATTCAATACTGACCGTTTTGCTGTTTTTCAAAGTTATTTGTGTAAAACTGAAAAACAAAAATCATTGATCGTTATGCTATTATGAATTTTACTAAACTGATAAAACGAAATAAGTGTATCTTAAAACCGTCTGACCGTTTTACAAAACTGTAAAACGACATAACGGTCAATGGTTTCTTTACTGTTTTTGTTTTTGAGGAAATCCAAAACGGTAAAACGAAATAACGGTGTGTCCCGGGATTGAAAAGATAATTGCGTAGTGTCTGAGGTTTCTGGCTATGAGGGGAGGTGATGTCGGGTCACAGGTGACGAGTGACAGATATGCTTAAAGGTTGACTTGGCAGCAGTGGCGTAGCCAGGAATTTTTCAGTGGGGGGCGCTGGGGGGGGGGGGGGCTGGAACATTTCATGGGGGGGGGCGTCAAGTAGGGGCGTCAATCGCTTCTCAAAAGTGGGGGGGGGGGGGACATACCTTGATCATAACTGATGCAAGCGCGAAGCGCGAAGCCCTTCCGGCGTGGGGTTCGGGGCCCGCTTAAGGGCCCCGAAAAAAATTGGATTTTCGATGCCCTGTGGTGTGATCTGAGGCAATTTCTTACCACTTTAACCAATAATTATCTTAGCACAAAAGATAATAATTTAAACGTAATTTTCGAGGTTTTCTCAGCTAAAGGCATAAGAAAATTTTGTGAACATTGTTTTCGAGGTTGGAGTCATTGAATCAGCTACCAGAATTCTGAGCAATAGGCGTGGGGTTCGGGGCCCGCTTAAGGGCCCCGAACAATGTTGGATTCTAAATGCTCTGTGGTGCTATCTGAGGCAATTTCTGACCACTTTAACCAATATTTTCTAAGCAAAAGATACATTGTAGTAAATAAAATGGGCCCATGGCGTCATGTAGATCAATGATATTTTTTTTTAGAAACTCAAAATCTCAGTGGCGGGGGGGGGGGCGACTGGGGGGCGACAAGGTTTCATGGGGGGGGGCGGTCGCCCCCCCCCCCCTCCACGCCCCCCCCCCCCCCCCCCCGGTGGCTACGCCACTGCTTGGCAGGAGGCCTGGTGGAAAGAATTTTTTTACGGCTCGGGTGAAGCCCGGGTTGCAAAGTTCATTGAACCAGCTGATTTGGCAAGGGTTGAATGAGGATTAGATGGAAGGTGAACGTCATTGGCCCTAATTTTTTTTTTTTTTTCAAAAAATTCGGTCACCTCCGTACAAAATATACGGAGGTCACTCTGCGCAGGGTTAAGTGTTAAAGTGCGCAAACACTTGCATGACGGTCCATTTCAAAATTATATACCAAACGCAAGCAGTAATCAGTAAAACGACCTTCATTATACAATTTTTTTTATAACACTGAGCCTAAGTTATTGAAGTTGTAATCAGTGTACATTATTCGTTATTTTTCTCACCATTCCTCTCCACATTCTCAAATGTAATGAACCTGTCTGTGCTTTATGGGACTTGCATTAGCCAGCTGCTCATGATGGAAATATGAATATTTGTTTTAGTGCCAGTACCATACCAGCACATTTTTGCGCATAAAAAAACACACACTAAACTACGTACACAGGTAGGACAATCTAATTTGCATTATGATAATGTGGTCGTCCAAATAAATATACAGATGAACCAACTTGAAAGTTCAAGTTGACAAAGAGAGATCTCCATAAACCACTGCAGTTTTTGATTATTTTTCCGAATGTCGCAGAAAATAAAATACCGAAAGTAAATATTCTGTTTATACAGAAAATATAATGCAAGAATACACTGGTCAAAGTACGTATCGTTAAAAAAAAGTGAGCTTCCTTTGATCATCTGAAATTGAAATACAGTTATGTTCCCCAGACATCGATTTTGTTGGAAATAGGCCTAATGCATAGGCGTAGCCAGCGGGAGGAAAAAACCTGTCTACATTTTTACCACGGATGTGCAAGTGCCCTTTTCAAAAAAAATTTAACCCCCCCCCCCAATAAAAATGACCGTGCTACGCCACTGTAATGAATATGATTTACTGTGTTCTTTATCGTTTTATCAGTTCCAAAAACTACAATTAAAATCTCGAAGAAAATATTGGACCTACGTCTTTCTGCTGATTGTAAGCGGTAATGTTGGTGTTGTATCGCCAACTCGCCAGGGCGCCAGCGTAGAATATCACTTCAGCTTGTTTCGTGTAGCTTCTAAGAAACTTCTTGGCCTCATCTTGGTCTGTGCTTAGCCCAGAGTCCGCCTGTCGAATGGAAGACCCGGCCTGAACAGAGATTAGGCCAAGGAGGAGAAGAGAAAGGCACTTGAAGAGGAGAGCTGGAGACATGACTACCGGTGGCTGGCGTCACGGCTGATGCATATAGGCTAGCAGGCTTCCGGGTCGTTGAATTTGTACTCCACGTCGACAGTACATGCAGCTTGTGGTATTTACACTTCGCGATCAATCACGCGTAAAATTGCCCCGATTTTGAAAAGGGTAGGCCTATCAATGTCGATGTTACATATATTTAGTTTGCTTTTACGGAATGGCTAAAAAAGAAATATTCGTTATTCTTTGGAGTTTTGATCAGAGTGTGAAAATACTCATCTGTAAATTTATGGGGCTTTATGCCATCGGTCTTTGAGGGAGGTGTTGGGACTGAGGGGGGGGGGGGGGTCTAGGATGATTTGCCACTTTTTCCAAGAAACAAGCAGTATCAAAATATTTCGACAAATATAATTTTTTCATGATTGATATTAAGATTATAATGGATACTATTAAGGCAACTGAACAGATCGAATTATAGCAGTATGTGATACAATTCTAATTAAGCTTCATGCAGATGTACTGTTAAAAAAAACCTTTTAAAATGTTTTTAATCTCAATATATGTAACAGTTATTTGAGGAGGCAAAATTTTCTCAAGACAAATTTTGAGTGATATTTTATTTTAAGTTATTTAATTTTTTTGACTCTTTTTTAATTTAGTAGCCGCACACGTAACTCGGCTTATATGGCGCCCTCATTCGTTTGCTTGCGCTTCCGCAAGATGGAGTCCAGTTTGAGGAAATCTGCCCGGCCTTTTGTAAGTTTTGAACAATGAAAAGTATATTGGTTATTAATCAGTCCAGGATCAAGGGGGAAACCAGGGGGAAATGTGGTATTTGTTGGCTCAACGTTTCCCTCCTTGCTATTCTCTGTGCTCGTAGTATAGACTAGAGGCTTAGGCATTCAGGTAGAGATCACGCTTACAAAAATTAGCAGACGACGTGCGAGTTCGCTGGCGCTTTCGACTTTCTGACACTGTGCTGTCGTGTTCGACCGGGGAACCCGACCATTAAACACGAACCTACTACAATTTGTACAAGGGTTGATATAATACTGCAAACAAAGTGTGTTTACCTTACTTCCTTTGCAGCATATAATCTAGACCCAAAGTTTGTGCTTATAAATTATAAACAGCTAGTGGTCGATTCTCCCCCCTGTCGAAAATACCCACTCTTTCTTACCTTCAAGTTACTCAGGCTAGGCGTACCACCACCAACACTCAACAGTGACTACATATGTTCAGAGCCATGCTAGTAGTACTACTACTAGTACAATACATGTACATGTACTTAAAACAATCGGGGACCGGTTCACGGTCAAATATTGGAAAGAATGTAGTAATCGTAGACGCCACTTCTTTGTTTGTGTACAGAGTCTATGGAGAGTTGAGTGCATTTTCAAAGTATTTTCTACAAATTACAATGTTCTAACAAAATGGGAAATGTTTCTCAGTCCCACGTTCATGTATTTTCAAAATGTTTGCAAGGACTGAGCTTCATTGAGATGATATATGATGATGATGCAATATTCGTTCGAGACAGACACTTCCTTATTGTTAATATCAACAGTTGTGTCAATTTTTTTAGTTAATTGTGACGTTCTGTATAATTTTCACCATTTTCAGAAGGGATGGAGTGCTAAGTCATTGAGGAGGCACCATGATGAAGCCAGCAAGCTCCTGTCAACAGTCAAGGAGTGCATGGACTATGAAGATTCACAGCAAGTCAGGGAGATCATGTGCGATGAGGCGTACAAGGTAAATACAGGACAGAAATACTTACTTGGCCATAGTCCCAGCAACTGGGGCGCTAGAACTCCTTGTTTTTCAAATTTTGACGTTGGTCGGTCCTACTAGCAACCGACCAAAGTCAAAATTTGAAGAAAAAAAGGGGCTAGGGAGTTCTAGTGCCCTAGTTACTGGGTCTAGCTTCGCCATGGCCTTTCGTTTCCAGTGGCTAGGCATCAAGTCAAATTTATGGCATTAAAAAGTCTTGATTTTCAGTCAAACTAGATTGCATGGGAGTCGAGTCCCAGAGATGTTTTCTCTAGAAAGACGTGTCTGGCATCTGACATGTCTTACATAAAAGACAACATCCTTGTTCTCTTGGATTGGCATGTATAGACAATTTGTATGACCTGCACTTAGCAAGGGCAATAGTGTTCAATTGTTTTTGTGTGCAAGGGTAAATCTTGTACTGTTACCTTTCCAAAATAGCGGTGTTCGTTATTGCGGCGTTTCACTGTACAATGTATAAACAGTCGTTTTAGTGTACCCTTGTAAAAGAAATCTATCTTGTTATCTGACAGGGTTTGGTGGAGTACATCGCGTGGGACCTGCTGCCAATCCTTGGTCCTCACCTCTCAGACAAAGAGACAAATGAAGAGATGTACCAGAACTGCGTCCAGATTATCATCCGACTTGCCGAGGTGAGTAAATCCTTATTTCAAAGTTGCAGGGTCGCTGTGGGAATGCTTTAGGTACATAGTGGACCATAGTTTATTATAATACTACAAGAAAAACATTCAAGTTCATATAGTGCCATCAGTGTTTGATTTATCTTTGTTTTTCAGCTTGGTAATCCTAAGGAGATGTTTATCGGTCTTCTGGAGCAACTGGATCGATTCCTTGACAGCTTGGTCCACAATGATCTCTTAGGACCACTTCAAACAGGTGAGCACTCTTCAAAATAGACAAAATTTTAAGAGGGAAATGGAGAGTGGAGGCATTTTACTGTTTAATTAACCCTAATCCCCTAGGGTGATTTACTGGGAACCCTTCCTCATCCTTGCAAATTCCAACACCCTGTGCTATTAAACTGTACACTAAACAGCAGGACTCCACCAAACCCTTGTGCCGGTGTTTGGCTGGATGGGGATCGTTAAGGTTGATAATGGATGATTTGTCTTGATGCATCCTCAGTTATCCGTCGTCTGGGCCTCGCCAAACCACTGTACTACAATCAGCTCTTAACCACCTTATATGCTCACATGGAACTACTGAAGGTACCCAGCGTCAATGGCATGGGTGCTATGGAGCGTCGACTGATCAGCCAGGATCCAGACTACTCCAAGGTGGAAACCACCTCCTTGGTCTTGCTGGAGTTCTTGGTGCCGCTGGTACAAGATGTGGAAGAGGCGCTGGTGACAAACGTGCCTTCGCAAAACCCGTCCCCTAAGGTAGGTGAAACTTTCACTTAAGGACTTGTGCATACTGCCGCAAAACATTGAGTGTCACAAAATCATCGAGTCTCAAGTTTACTCGCAAACTATTCAATTGAATTATGCATTTTTTCGTTCTTGTTCATTCCCTAGCTGTTTCTTGTGACTGAATTAGTAAATTGATTTGTGATTCACTTGTGATCCAAACACAAGGACGACTTGAGGAGATGCTGGAAGACATTTCTCATCGCAAACACAAGGAAGAAATTATTTAAAAGGACATTATGGCCTGGATGTGCCCAATTGGGCTACAAAACACGTTGGAAGGAGCATTTAAAAGTAAGATATAAATGTCCACACAACCGTCCTTTAAAAACTGGGCGTTTTTGTGTTATTTTTGCGAGAACCATGCGTGAACGAATTTTGGGGGTAACAATTTTGTCTCCGAAATATCGAGCTGTTGAGTGCTAGTTGTGAATCCTGCCGCACAGTGGTTCGCATTCTGCAGACGTGTAAGAAACAACATTTGTGCATTGGTGCTGTGTGTATTATGTGACACAGTTCATTGAATAGAGACGGCTTGAAATACGTATGCTTATACCACCAAATGTCTGCTGCGTCCGATGTAAACAACTGGAGTTTTTCGTCTTTTCTCGCGAACGGTAAGACATTTGGTTCGTTTTCTTTCAAGCAGACCTTTGAAATAGGATAAGTAAACAATCCAAAACATGAAATTTTCGGGGATTTCAGGGCGTAATGCCCCTTTAAGCCTTCCTCAGCTTGAAAATGTTGATTTACTGACTGTGACTGCTGGATCTCTTTGTTGCAGAATATTAAGGACATCGAAGCCACAAGAACAGAGATTATGAAATTGTAAGTTCGAGTCTCTTACTTTCCTGACAATGTAATCCAAGATTATATTATCTGTTTGGTATATTAACAATATACCAAACAGATAAGATTTGCATGATGAAGGTAGCAATAAGATAAAGATTTACGGTAGCACCATGCGACAAATCTCTTTTGTGAGTTTGTGAGGTTCTGGAAAGAACCAGGGGAAACTCAACATTTTAGACGGTATGCTCTGCCCGTTGTCAGGAGACTGAAGGTATTGCAATGGTGGAGGGAGGTTGTGATGCCTCCTTTACTCGCTTCATGGCTTCCAGTCACACTACATGACCTCCCTCCACCGTTGGAATCCCTTCAGTATCCTGACGACGGGCAGAGTATACTGTCCGAAATGTTGAGTTCCCCCCGGTTCTTTCTCAGAAACTCACGAAAAGAGATTTCTCATATGGTACTACCGTAAATCTTTATCTTAAATCTACCAAACACTGACTTTTCTGAAATGTGACTGTGAATATGTGATTCAATGTTATTATGTTAATGAGATTATGAATATGAAACTTTTTTCCCCCATTTTTATGTTTGTCATAAATAGTTTCTTCTTTTACATTCAGCGTGTTGAATATTCTTGAACATCCCCTGATTGCCATTGAGTTCAAGTATCAGGACGATGCTGATGAGGAGGAAGAGATGAAGGAACTAGGAATCAATGCCGAGGCCAGACAACAAGTAGTCCCTAGGCAAGAGGAGTACTCGCTCAGTAAGAAGTCTGCAGAGCAGTGCATGGTTAGTACTTGGTACTTGGTTGGTTCTTCTCCTAAGGACTCCACAGGGGAGTATTAACAGGAGGCCAGAAACACCGGAGCAAACCCCTTCTCTTAGCGATAAGTGTTACTGGGTGCTTTACATGCATTGCATTACACAACACACGGAGCCTACGGCTTTAAGTCCCATCCGAAGGATGAAGCAATAATGGTTAAGTGCCTTGCTTAAGGGCACAAGTGTCCAGACCCGGGCTCGAACCCACGCCTGTTGCTTCTGAAACACCAGAGCATGAGTCCGGTGCTCTTAACCGCTAGGCCATGACACTCCAGTGCCTTAAGTTTACATCCGCTACCGTTTAGCTGCTCGAATCAAATTCTAGTTGGCCAGCTAACCAGGAAGGCCAACAAGTGGTCAAGAAGTGTGGACTAGCAAGCTGGAAGTTGTGGGTTCGATTCCCACCCTTGCATGTTTTTCTTCTTGGCTATCAGAAAGCACTTGGCATACAGAGTCGAGAAGTGCAAATTTCTTGTTATTAATTCACAACAAAAAGACGGTTTATTCTCAGTAATTTTGACAACATCACTGACCATCGTGCATCTTTCACAGCTCTATTTGGAATTGATGGGATGCAGTTTCAGCTACTTGTTACTCTACGCCAGCCAGCGCTCAGCAAATCCGGACGCGATCAAGGAACAGCTCAAGAAGAAAAAGAAAAAGAAAAAGAAACATGAAGATGACGGAAAGAAGGAAGAGACGCTACCCGTTCTGGGGCTGAGCTGCTTCGCTTACATGCTCCTAGTGGAGGGTTATCAGACCAACCGCATGCCGTCTATATTCAGGTAGTTGAGGATTTAATCAAGTGCGAAAGTTGTCTCACCATTTTGGCACCCCTTCCAATCCATATCAATTGCAGCTCCATATTATTTGTTGACACCTCCTTTTCCCAAAATTGTAACAATTTGGGTGGGGGACAAGCCCTCTTCAAATTGTTTGCATTCTTCTTTTTGTACTTCAAAAAAAGAAGAATAAGAAGATGAAAAACAATTTCCATAGCAACAGTTCTAAGAATGTCTCTTTTATAGTCCCTGTACAAATTGAAATCCATCCCAGGCAGCCCTTCCTTCGTAACAGTCAATCTTGACTTCTTGTACGTGTAGTCTTGGGAAGAGATAGAAGTAGCTAGAATAACTGTTTAGCAAAATGTACTCAATGTCTTTTCATCCTACAGTACTGTCTACATGATGGAGGTGGTCATGCCCTACGTTGAAGCCATGCTGAGACGACCTGAAGAGCCTATCATCTTGAAGGGCTTGGTAAGCTTGAAATTTGGTCTGTTTTGGTCCTCTTCGATGTTGATGTTTCACTGGGAAGACTTGTTGAAGGCCCTAGTTCATTGTTAGTGTTGATTGTATCCTCCAGTGATGACCTGAACGATAAATGGTGACGTGACACACTCTTTTATGGGCTCTGACGTGTATGGGCTCTTAAAGATATAGTCCATCATTTGTATTTTGTGCATTTTGTTCGTTTGAAGCAACAAAAGTGTTCAAAATCTAATGAAGGATACTGAACAAGTAACCTGATGAAGTTTCAGCTCAGCTTCAGCTGTATATTCCGAGAAAAACAGCATTCTAGGATCTCAATTTCAAATCAAAAGTTGCTGAATCATGTTTTGAATTGTTTTGAATTGCAGCTATACGCGATGTCGCGCACTTATCCGACGAATTATAGCAACCGTGCGCGCCTGTGCGTCGTGCCAGTGCTTGCGCGCCCTGCGCCGAATAACAAAACGAACTACTAACCTACGGTGCGTCTTAAGACGCACCGTTGGAAAGGCCTTCTTTCGTTGATTACTTCTAAATGTTAGCTTGCCAGAAAAATTAATTTCACAGGGAGTTTAGTCCACTTACTATCTTTCAACCAAGTATGTTTTTCAACAATAATACGCCAGTTACTTTTTCGGATGGCTGCAAATGATGGACTATAGCTTTAATGTCTGTTTGCTTTGTGTACACCTTGCAACAAACAAGCAAGAGACAGAGACAAAGACGGGGTTTTTATATTAGTCAAGGTGAAGGTGTATTTCACTGGTTCACACAACTAATGCCTCGTAACAATTACTCTGAGACTCTCTGTGTCACACTTAAGCAAATTGACTTGTTGCTTTTTTAAAAATGGAGGGAAAAGAAGACCTGAAATCTTACATTTTTTTCTTTTTGTAGGAGCTTCTGAGATCAGTGGTGGACAGACTGGATGAGCAATCCCTGAATTCAAACCTGCTGGACACCAAACAGAACTTCCTGCAGGTTACAGAGTGCATGGTGCAGATCATGGTCTACTGCCCGTCCAAGACAATAGTATGTAATTGCTCTGATAGAAGTTAGAGTTAGTGTCTTGCTAAAGGACAAACCACCAGAATTCTTCACTGGTTTCCACAGCAATGTCCCTGTATAGATCCACAGAAGTAGTGAAGTTCTGCATGTAGCACTTTCAAAATCTAGGATATGAAAGCCCAATTCATGAGCTTTCTTCTAGTACAAGAATCATTTAAATCACTCATGTGATTTTCAAGTTACAGAATTTTAAGCACAACCACCGTTTTTAAAGTTCTGTCATCGGATCACAAAAGGGTATAGTGTTCTTTCAGCAAAACCAAAACAAATCACATTGGGGTGTGTGAGTTGTGTTCATTTGCTGAAAGAACACACAGTATAAAATGACAAATTTCATGTAATTTATTTTCTCGTTTTGCTCGACAGCGAAGGATTGCTGTCTCAGTCTTGTCGCCGTACATGGATCGGTTTGATTGGAAGGGACGTTACCACATTCTCCGCTCTCTCTTCATCTCAACCACTCACCCTGGTGCCAAGGGAATGCTCATTGGCAAGCTCAAGGACTACGTCCACTCAACACTGCAGGTTTGGAGCTCTTAACTTCTGAAAGACATTGTGTAGTATTTTTTTATTTACCTATAACTTATTCAGATTGCACCAGATTGTAACTAATTTTAAATTTTACAATACCGTAAGACAATTTACACACAACTGAAGCAACATTTTAGGGGCGACAATGATAACTGATTTTTAACCAATTCGCGTCGGAGTATGTGATTACACACACTGGCTGTTTTTATACACAGGCACGGCTGATGGGTTATTAAGACATCAAGATTGCCTTAACTCGCCTCCGGGTGACGTCTAAACACGCTAATCCCTCGTGCCTTTTGTACACACACACAAAGTCCTTGGAATCTGTGGAGGCGGACCATGTGTTGATCTTGAATTGGCCGTTGTGCACGGCCTATTGTTGTATAATTTACGCTCCAGTGCGCACCCTGGAGTATTGAAACATATAAGGTTTTGGCTAGAAAGATTGTGCAAATACTGTTGAAATGACTCTTGCGAATCAGTATTTGTGGCGTTTGGCTGTATATCAGAAGTTGGCTGGAAATTTCCGAAAATCAAAATTTTCGGCAAAAGTCGAAATTTTCAGCAAAAATAATCCCGGCGCGAAGTGGTTACTGGCCTACTCTGTTTAGGAATTTAAAGAAGGATCTTTTTCAAGGTCCATTTCAAGAGTGAAGTAAAGCATGAGTGAAGTTTGATCCTGGAATATTATCTGAATGTCTTACGAACTGGGTTGTCTATCTCTGTTGTCTTCATTCACTGACATTTGCATTCAGTGAAGGGAAATACTAGGTAGAAGACAATGAACCTGTCGAGCTATCCAGCCAAATCACGTTGGAGCATTAGGGTAACTATATAATTTGTGTTTCATTCTCAGAGTGACAGCCATAACGATTGGTTCGTTGGTGTTCGTTCACACAAGCTTTGGGTTATGATCTTCAAGCTTGATAAAGGCGAAAGAACAGATTTACTGAACAGTGCTGACAAGTAAGTAAAGATCGCTAGGCCGGCGACCCATCCGGTAGTCTCCCCTGGACTCTGGAATGTCAGGGCTGATTCAATCTGCCGTAAGACGACTGTCAAAGTGGCTTGTCCGTTGAATGGACAGGTCTGTGCAGCATAGCCATGACTGCAATAAAAGTATCTGATATGCAAGAATTTATGCATGATATGCACTGGCTTGAACATACCGTTCAGCAGTGGGAAGATGCACTTGTTGGTTCCCATGTGTAAAGTTGGTTGGCCTAATGCCAAATAAAATTACAAAATTGGAACAATGCCCTGCTATTTCTACACTCAAAACTCTGTCTAAAGTTGACTGCTGTATTGGATACGTTATCAGCAGGCAAGGGCGGATCCAGGGCCCCCCCCCCCCCAAAAAAAGTTTTGTTTTTTTAAGTAGTGACATCGCACAATTTAAAAGGCAGGCACTGCATACACCGCCATCTTTTCCACCCCAAAAATTGGTTAAAGTGGTCACAAATTGCCTCAGATTGTATCACAGAGCATCTAGAATCATCATTTTTCGGGGCCCTTAAGTGAACCCCGAACCCTTTTGGGGGGACCAACATATTTTTTTTGGGACCCCCCCCCCCAAAAAAAATTGTGTTTTGGTTCTGCCCTTGTCAGTAGCTCATAGTATTGTGTTCATTTTTATCCTCATCCCCTACATGTCTCTCCACAGAGAAATTGCCGTCCTGAATTTCCTACGTTACTTGCTCCTGCGAGACTCCGGAGGCCAGGATCTGACCGGTATCTGGCCGTGGCTCGGCATACTCCAACAGGTGTACCTTAATCCTCTACAGTCCTGTCTCAGTGGCTCCAGGACTCATTACACACTCAAGGTTGAATCCACATGGAAAGAAATACGGAGGGGTAAGCTTTTCATTTTGTTTGCCCATGCTTTTCCAGGCGTGGCAGCTTAAGAAATAAATTTCAGAAACGATTTTGCTACTTTCCAGCTGGAATCTTGAGCAAAAAATGGTAATTTTTGTAATCACCTTTCCGAAAGATCTAAGTTTGTAATAGAACGTTAAAATGTCCACGTAGTGATTGCAACGCATACTGCATCGATGTGGTCAAGTAAGGTGTCCTTTTCTCTTGGTAACTATTGAAGGGGGACGTGTGCATTGTGTCTCTTGAGCCAAATGGCTACAGTTATGTTATTTTTTTTTATTTTTTTATTTTACAGCTGAGATGAAGAAAGAAAATCTGACGGGGATACTGACAGTTGGAGGGCAACAGTTTCCCATGATGCCATTGCCGGAGCAAGTCAAGGTATGACTCTTTCCGACTCTCACCTCCCCACAGAGAAATATGGAGAAAATATGGAAATTTGGAGAAATATGAAAATTGAAAGATCAACCCTAACCACCCCAAGTCCATCAAAATCCATCCCCCCCCCCCCCCCCCCCCCATTTTGGTGGATTTTGGGGGACTTGGTCCAGGAGGCCTGGCGTGACTTAATATTGATGGAGTATGATGGACTTGGGCCCAATGGCCTGAAGCAGTGCTAGTGGTATCCGATTGATTTTGCCTAGCTTCCTGTACTGTTATTGTGATAAAAGCCATGTGTAGCAAGTCCATGAATGTCATCCAGTGCGTCAGTGGTGGATTCCATTATGTCATGTACAGTTTTGTATTGGACGCACAGTGATTGATGGATTTTGATGGACTTGGTACAGTTCCTAGTAAAAGACGCTAGGGACTTTGGGTTAGAATGTTTGTTTTAAAGTTAATAGCCATGTGCTTACAAATTTCTCTTAATATGAATTTGTCATTTTTTTTTAAAAGTCGGGAAAAAACATGATCAATTTCCTGCAGATGTGACATCAAACGACCAATAGTTCTTTCGCCACTTCTAAGAATTTTTCACTGTGTATAAATTATTATGTACTAAAAATGCATTTCATTACAAAAAAAAGTTGACGTGAGATTATGAACTGTTTTATCCAAGGTGTTGGAAACTGCCGTTTATACCTTCGACCTCATCGGTAGCATTGTGAGCCGGGTCAACGAGATCATTAAAACCTACAAGCACTTGCTACCAGTAGAGGGCGATACATCACCAAGATCATTGTTGGCTGATGTGCATGGTGCTGGTGATGTTGACATGGATATCTAAAGGATGAAGACTAAACTTACAAGAACATTTTGATTCAGAGAAACATGAGTTTTGATCAAGGGTTATTGCCACCAAGAAAAATGAATTAAAACTTGTAAGTATAAATGACTTTTAACGAGTCAACGTATTGTTAATACAAGAATTAAATTGAAATATTAGTTTGACAAATGTGATATGAGTAAAAAAAAATTTTAATTTACGTTCTGGCCAACATCAAGACAAGTTTGTTGACATTGGTATTTTGTTTTGAGAAAAACTTTCTGAAATGCTTAAGAACCGCTAGTCTGAAATATTACATGCACTTCTCGTTTTAAAGCATACTTCAAATAATATGCATGTATATGTACAGTGTACTCCCAATCAGGATGTCCAAATCGTGTTTTAACATGCATTAAAATCATGTATGTGTAGTCAGTGGTTTGTTCTCAATGAAGATGTATGCGTTATTTAAATACATTGTACAATTCTAAAAAATCTGTATAGATTCTGTGGCATGCTATACATGTACACTACACAGATTGAAACATTGGTAAAAAATGGGTTTTGCAAAAATCAACAAGTGGTAAAAGGATCAAAGTAATAGTCAATAATCGATGCTCACTATTTTATAATAGAATTTAAAACAATGTAATCATGATTTTGGCTGTTGCATTTGTTATTTTAAGAGCATTAATATCCGTTTTGTGCCTTAGATAATGTCATCCAATATGGCTCAGTGGCTGTGTATTAGTAGTCTATATTTTTGGTTTAAAATCTAATTTTTCGAAGCAAAGACAGCTTTAGTAAACAGTAAAGTAAACAAATTTGATTGTAAATGCCATTAACATAAGCGTTAACAATCTCATCCTAAAAAGAAAAGATACAACAATTAAAGGTTTGGAGGAATTGCCAACCAAGACATTTTTGAAGACATGATTTAGTATATTTCTGTTCTGCACAAGCACACTTTACAAGATGTCCTTTTACCCTACAGCTCACTACATGTATGTATTCCACAATTCTTATAAACCACATACAACTCTTTTTAGATTTAAAAAGAAAATACTGCATGCAATAAATATATAGGCATGAAATCGATCCAGTGTATCCACGTCATTATTGAAATTGCTCAACACACTGATGTTTCTTCATTATTGATGGGCGTATGAACCCCTTACCACACACCACACAGTGGTATGGGTAAGTACCGGTATGATGGATCATGTGGTCTCTGAATTGACGCTGGCGAGTGAATGGTTCCCCACAGATTTTGCACGTAAACCGGGGAACACTTGAGTGGGTCAGAAGATGTTCTTTAAAGGTAGAGCTATACTTGTAGCTTTTGCCGCACAAGTGGCACAGGTGGCCTGTTGAAAAAAGCCCAAGGTTTCTAATGTACGTAATCTGTTGGATTCCACCTTGTGTTACCGCAGCAGAAGAGTCTGAAGTGTTACGGTTTGAATCATCAGAAGCTAGTGAGGCATCTTGCCAGGACATCTGATGAGAGCGTCCTTCTCCGTCCTGATTCTGTTCCTCTGAAGAACTTGGATGTTTCGTGTCGCACTGGTCCTCGCCGTGATTTTGTGCGTTCTGAGGAAAGATCGGTATCGTCCTACTCGGTCCAGGGAGTGACGGGATGTTAGCGGGATAATCACCAAGCTCAACAGCTTCGCCCGGGATCTTGTCTGTCGTGTCTTCTGTAACATGACCCTCTGGCTGTTGATTCTCACTAGTTGACATCTCCGGTGGGCTGAAGTCCTGGCTGCTTGTCCTACTCCCCTGCGCAGCCAGAAACTGGTTGCCCTCATTCAGCTGTTCGTGGACCTTGACATGTTTCGTCAGGCTGGTGCCGTTGAAGAATCCCTTGTTGCAGATCGGGCAGATGTAGGGCATGACGGAGTGGTGCATCCGCATGTGGCGCTGTAAATGCTTGGCTATCTTGTAGCTCTGGCCGCAGACGTCACAAGAAAAGCTCATGCGCTTATCCAGCCCGTGGTTCACCTGGCCATGCCGACTCAAGAACTGTATACTTCCAAATGTTTTCCTGCAGATCCCACACTGGTAGGGTTTAAGAGCCGGTTTATCAGCATCATCAGCACCGCCTGCATTTTGCATCACAGCAGGTGCTGCATTTTGGGCTTCCAAGTCATCCAGCACTTGCCCGGGGAAGATGGTCCTAGCATTCACGGACTTGGTCTGGGCTTGAAATTTATTGATAGGGAAGCCTATGGAGTAGGTAGCAGCAGTTCGGAAGAGGTCAGTACTGGTTGGGACAGCACCATCCTTGTCTTCAAAACCAAGACCCGCATTGGGTTGGGCCTCATAAGATGCATAGCTTTCTCCTGGTCCACTTCCTCCAGGAATTGGTTCATTACGTTCATAAGGCACATTACTTTTGGAGTCTCTGTCAGGTTGGATAAATGAGCGAGATGCGGCTTGAGAAGTATCATGTTTGTCTGCTCTGTAGTCAGGAGGGCAGCTATCAACTCTCTTTTCACAGTCCATCTGAGAATCACTATCTGCTGACAGAATTCCAGATGCTCTTTCAAAAGATCCAGCCTGCTTTGGCTCCTGGTCTTGCATACTCGATTCTGCCACATCAATCTCCTCCTTCACTCTCAAGTCAGCCTTTACGTTTTCTTTCCCACCAATCTGGCATCCTCTCTCTACTAAGACGGCTTCTGGAAGGCCGGTCAACCCGGATACTTTGATATCCCAGGGTTGTTTGCACAATCCCTTGCCCTGGTACTGTAGATGGAGAGTCTGTGTGGCATAATACTGGCTGGAATAGCTGGTTGAGTCCTGGAGCTTGACCATCACCTCACAGCCTGTCTGCACAGCCAACTCATGTGCCTGTAATAATACGATTTGAGTTCACATGTTAGTTAACAGAATAAGTTAGTGAATAATTGTGCCCCATTATATTTTTTAGTACTACTACAGCTCTCGATTCTACACCATACATGTTATGAAACAAAACCAAGAGAAGTCTTTGACACTTACTTTCTGGAACACTGCCCGACGAAGGCTGTTCTTTACCCATTCCCTCAAGTCTGGATTCTCAATAAACCTCATGATGAACCCTCAGAATGTTCTGAAAATGGAAGACACAAATTAATGCCATTACCTTCTGACCTTGCAGAGAGTTTTGTGAACTTTCTTCTAGAAAATGGGGGGGGGGGGGGGTTGGAGTTGTAGACTTTGTCATGAATATTTTTTCTTTCCTCATTGCATGCATAGTACCCCTCTCGTTTTTTCGCCATGTACAAAATGTATATTTTTATGCATTGCAAGTCGAGTCCATAGATAGACTTTGTACACAATCGCGGAAGTGTCGTCAGGTTGCAACATTTGTTCCCATTAATAAACAAATTAATCTGGCCTTTGCCAGCTGTCTAAGCTTGTGTTCTAACCATAGTTGGGCCTTAAATGTAACCACTGCCATGAACAGGTGATGAATATTCTTCAAAAATGCTTTCATGAATTAGCTTTTTTTCTCACGAAATACGTGCATCACACTTCAGCATTGTATTACTATTTGTAATAAGTGCCATCAATACCATCATCTCGTTTGTAAAACTACACAGAAGTATCAATTTATTTTCACTGGGGTCCTTATTTAAATTAAACGATCGGTTTTTACCTCAATTCAAGTAGTGAGACTTGGTAAGATCAAGATCGCTCCAATCTCATCCTTTGTACTCCACGAAATCTCGCTTTGCTCTGGCTCTCGAGCGTTACGGCGATATAGGGGACTGTTTACTGTATGTTCCTTTCCTCGCCCGCTAGCAATCACATGCAAGTCGCGTACCGGCAGGTTCACACATGCAATAGTCGTAGGGAACCGCTTGGCAAACAAAATTTGCATGTTACCACGGGTATTTAAACTTATTATGACAGCATTTTAATTGCCACCAATATTCTGTGACACTAACGTCAATTTTTTAAATTTATTTATTTTAAGTAGAAAATAAAATACGACATTCAATACAGGCAACAACAGTATTTTGCTTCATCGTGGACTGACCAAATTAAATCCTCCATGGATTGACTGAATCAGTGACTGACTCACAGAATGAGTCATCGACTAAATTTGTTAGCCAACAAATAATGTCTGACCCTTTGGGGTTCAACTTAGTAAGCCTTTTTTGTTTACTAAGCATTATAACTGGCAGATCTAACTTGCAGGAACTGGGGGATGAAGGGGGAGGGGCAGTGGGTGTCGAGTTAAAGCCTGGATCTATAAAAAGGACCGTGCCCCATTTGGGGATTAAAGATCCACAACAAGGATTGTTTAATTAAAGAAAGTGGGCACACAATGTCACACTTCACTATAGAAATCAAATCACCATGGTCACCTCATTTATGTGAAATTTATTTCTTTTTACAAAACAAATAATCATTTGGAGAAAAAAAACAGGTTCCCGATGAATACAATCAAACTTTATAAAATGCAAATTATGACACTAAAAGTTTTGAATTTATGAACACAGATTAATATCCACCACTTGCATTCGTATTAATGAAATGTCTTTGAAGAATCTTTGATTCATATTGCGCTAATATAAATGCTGTTTTATTATTATTATTATAAAATCTCTTTTATTGGAATACTGCAGAAATACCAGCAATCAATTCCCATTTCAAAGTTTGTCCTTATTTTGACTGTTCTGAACAAAACATATACTTTTTATTGACATTTTTTCTATTTGCCAGTCACTTCCAAGGGAACTTCATAGACTGTACTAGACAAAAAAAAAGATTCTATCAAGTTCTTGAGTAACTTTGAATACGAACGATTTTTACTCTTGATTAATATTATATACAAATACATACATAGTTGCTGAAAATATAAAGATGAAATTCAGTTCAAATGTATGGCCATTGCACTGAAAATTCATTGAATTTTGGCAGACATCTGTAGAATACATGTATATACAAAAATGTTATGGGTAATTTTTGATAGTGAAACTTTGCTGGAATAAACTCTGCAACATTTTATTATTTTTATGAATTCTATGATGAATTGCCCGTAAAGACAAAGGCAAGATTATGGCAGTGTAGAGGCTAACCCACAAACTCGAATGCGACAGCTACAAAATTGAAAATATTTCCATCACTTGTAACATTATTTTAATGAGCACCACAAGTAAGATCCTTGATTTTGGTCTGAAAAGCCTTTACAGCGTTAATACTTTTCCAATTTCAACCAAAGGCATAAAAAGGCTTATCCACATAGATTTAATTTAATTTTAATCTAATAATAAGGAAACACGGGGGAAATGCCTTTGACAAAAATATAGGAGTCACCCTGTGTGACCATTTGCTGATGCCAAGTTAGTCAGATTGGACTCTCTATTCCAAGTAGACATGTGTCCTACCATTTATTAATTCGTCTCGTCTGAGGATGTTGTTGATACCGATGCTGCAGATTTGTCTTTTTGTTCGGTTTCTGTTTCTTTAGTTTCTTCCTTTGGTGGTGCTGCTTTCTTTAGATCTTTTTTTCTCACAGACCCACTTTCCTTCTGTTTTGGTTCTGCTGAGGAATTACTCTTTTCTTCACTTGTCCCCGGTTTGCCTCCTTCCACTTTTGGTTGCTCCGTCACAGGTTTACTTTTTTCATCTTTTGTCGCAGGCTTAGTTTTGTCTTCCGTTGTTTCTGCCACGGGCTCGGTCTTCTGTTTCTCTCGCTTTTGTTCGGGGGCTGGTTTGCTTGTTTCTTCTTTGTGTTCAGTCTCTTGGTGTGGTTCTGCCTCTTCGATGGACTCAAGTCTCGGTGTCTGTCGTCTCTCTAATGCGCAGGCAGTGATCATTTCCTTGAGCTGGATGTACTGAGGGTGGTCTGCCCCGTGAGTAATCAGAAGAATCTTTTCAGCCTGGAACAAGAAACAAGTCGGAATGTAAATAACATTGGATGGGGTCAGACGAATATTTCCCCCAGCGTCATACAGGCTTTGTGACTGGAGATTGTTTTTGTTCCCCTCACACAAACGTTACACACATCTGGTAAGTGGAAAGAAGATGATTGGAGTTAACTATCTTGCTCAAGGACACAAAATTGCACAGCTACTGAATTCAGGCAAGAAATGTATCTGTTGATATAGGCTACAAAGGTTTAAGATTTGTTTGTTTATGCTGCAAAACAAGCCTCCTTCCTTGTAGTTTATACTTTACCTTTTGTAGGTTCTTCATTGCTTCGACAATCATCTTCAAATACTGCTGAAGCTTCCCAACCCTCATCAGCTGAATGGCTGCCGTCGCATTGTTGCCAGGGCAATGGAACCTGCAAAAGAAGAGTAAATAGCAGCAAATAAGTCAATGTTTATGGATTTGTGGTAATCTCAATGGATTTGTGGCATATTTAGGGGGGGGGGCATGGTGCCATGGCAGGGTGACGAGAAAAAACATCCTGACTACCTTCCAGCCCCCCCCCCCTCCCCCGGAAGCAAGTAAATACTTACTCCAGATGTGCAATAGAGCGACGGCCATATTCCAAGGCCTGTTCCCACTTTTCCAGATGAATGCAGGAGTCCATGGCAAAATGGAGGGTTTCTACCACCAGGTGGTGATAGGGGTGAAGCATCCCTTTTTGAAGGGCCAAGCACTGTTCACTCAACTCCAGGACCTTCTTCCAATGTGGGATTTCAGGGTTAAGGTCAAGATTAAGAAGGCGAAGAAACAAAACAATCTGAAGATTTTAACTTGTGTTACATTGGAATTGAATAAGCACGCAATCGGTGATTAAATGCCAAGACTTCTACACTATGAATCAAGAAGCAATAGGGTCGAACGCAGTCCGAGCAAAACTTATTTTCAGCAAATTCCTCTTCTTTGAGATTCAAATGTTGGTCGTGATTTTTTTTTAAGTAAAATGAACAGAAAGTGTCGGATTTGGCATTTCTTGGTGTTGATGCTTGCTACTATAAATGACATAAAAAGGTTGTTTTTTTTAAGGATATTGCCAAAGTTTGTGATCTCTTCTGCTGCAGACAGTTTGGCCATGCACTGCTGCTCAACAGTCTTTAGCTGGTCTGGGAAACTGGCAGGGAATCCTTCAAAGTTACACAAGCTGCATTTCTTGACGGTACCATCTAGTGAAAACAGAAAACAATTCAGAAAACTTTGAAGGAAATGTATTCATTGTTATTAACCCTCCTGCTATTTAAGCAGTCACGGACAGTCAAAATTCACCTCCACTTCCCCTGCTATACTTTTAACGAAGGCTGGTCACCAGCAGTCAGATAATGTGTCAAGCAAGCACTGTGACTAGTCAAACTGGGTCAACAGACAAAGCAGGCAAGTTGTGGTCACAGCTGTTTTATCACTCTCCTGGAGTCAAAGCATAGCTGTATCAAGTTACTTTTAAGCAGTCACAGCCAGTCGATCCTGTTTTATGTGGGCTGGCAATTCTTACGGGTTGAAAACAGTCACTTGATTGATTTTGACTGCAAGGACAACTTGGCACAGAATGTATGTTTGCATAGGAGGGTTAATAGATGCATTTCACGTGGATCAACAAAGTTTGGCAGATTTTTTTCCATATTATTGAAATTTAAAGACCACTGAACTATTTCACTGCAAACTTTTAGTAAACATTGTCAACCATTCTAACAGAAGTTGTTATCCACCCAATAAACAATACAATTAAAACAGAGACTCTCATTATCCTTACCTGGATTCACTAGGACAGCCTCTTGGCATTCTGGGTTTCCACATCTGACACTATGGCGCAGGTTGTCCTAAAATAAAAAATAAAAAAGCATCGAGTGAAATATGTTACAAGAAACAAAATCAATGGAGGAAAAAAACAAGATTAATTTTTATAAAACTTTTTTTTGGCTGCATTATCTTTTGCTTGTTTTGATAGTTTTATTTAAATTAACATTAAAAAAGTGGGGTTTTTTGCCTACCCGGTTGGCATCCCTACACGTAGGGCACTTGCACGAAAACTGGAAGACGTTTCTCAAAATGTTGTTCCTTGTTGCCGTCGGTTTTAAGACATCAACATAGCTGAGAAAACACTAAAAGGAAAAGAAAAAATAACACTTTAATACAAATCATAACATATTTATTTTTCATGCCCAAACAAAAAATATTTTCATCAAAAAGGAAGGCCTACAGAGCTCTGCTCCGGCCTATGGCCAACTGCTGAACCAGGCCCGTTTATGGATGAAGTAGTCAATGTTTAAGAAGAAAACTATTACCTCTTTGTTTGCAGGAATGTCCCTGGTTGTTCTGACATTGACCGTAGTCCCCGTGTGGATGGCAATGCAGTTATAATCACAGCTGTGGTTGAACATGGAGAACCTAGTGCCGAGAAATTGTAATCAAGATGATTAATTTCCTGTTTTGTGTACAATTAAAGTTGAATCTACATGTAATAATTCTGATCGAATAGAGTGTGTATTCCTTCCTCCATTGCGTAGAGCACAGATTAAAGGCAATATACATTTGCAAACATCAAAAAATGAAACTACCAAATTGCTGTGAAAAACCTTACTTGACTGTAAGTGAATAAAAGTCTCAAGCATCCTGTGAAATCATGGCACCTGGTGTGCTGTCATTTTCAAGAAAAGTGGCATTTTTGTATCAATTTTCCAACGATGGTCGGCTGGGGATCATTGGAAAAAACTCATTTGTTTCCTCAAATACTGCCCCCAATTAAGTTAGTCCACATTTTGTTTGCAATCAGTTACACATCTGTGAATGGGTGCAAGCCAGCTAGTCTGTCCCTGACCTGACAATTCCGTGACGTTTTGTCTGAAGTAGGGTCAAGGAACACGACTACAAGAACATTTTTTTTCTTATTTTTTTTCCAGCATCTCTGAACACAAAACTTTAAACAGGTCAGTAAAACAATAATTGCTATAAAATACTAATCCCTAAATCCATCCATTTCTGAAAATTACAGCAAAGAAAATGCTGTATATGACCTATAAATTTGAGCAAACTGTTTGCACCAATTTTCACATTAATAAATGACTGCTGGGAGTGAAAAGTTTTAACTCCTCAGCTAGGACAAACTGCCAATCTTAACTGCACATAATCAGCCTACAATGTGCCCCAGAAACATTTTTCTGGAATAAATGTACACAAAGTATTATAAATAAAAATCATGGTGGCCTCACTTTACAGTATCTCACACCCACAGCCTATATAAAAGGCAGTTCAGAGACAATGGAGTACTTTTGGTTCCTGGGTCTCTGAAAGATGAACTCACTTGAGATACAGCCCAATGCCCATACTGTGCAGTTCCCCGTCGGATATATCGCACGTGTTGCATCTCATGCGACCAAACATCTCTAGGACCTCTGCAGGCTGCATGTTACTAGCCTCTCCATCCCCCATGAACCGTCGCAGCGTGTAGAGCCAACTAGAGAACTCCAGCTGGGTGTCACCACGCAGGTCAGTGGGCACTGCCACAACAACAACAACAACAACAAAATCATTGTGTTGGCTCATAATAATTAGTGAACTCGTCAAATGAGTCATTACAAAGGCAAGTCCGTCTGGCACTATGGTGACTAAATTGAAGGATAGTTCCAAGTTAGGTCAAAATGGTGATTGGTCACAATTTCAGTTGCTTCCGAGTTGGTAATGGTACTGTTGATAGTGAGAGGAAGGAAGCTAAAACCCCAAGGGCGTATCCAGAGAGGTTACTGCTTGGGAGAGGGGGCAGAAAGGCTCTCTCAAGTAAAAAAAATGCCTTATTTGCAAATTTGTTTTTGAAACTCAAGAAAATATCCCAGTTTTTCTGGTGGAATATGCAGCAGCAGCAGCAGGAAAATTAAAAATCTGGATCCCTCCAAACCTTTCCCCAGTTAACCTACCTGACTGAAGCTGGTCTATGTGGGTTGGAAACGTCGAGGATCCATTCAATGCAGGTGCCTGTTGCTTCTTGAAGACAAAAAATAAAACATTGATGACTGCATTTAGTTAAACTTAAGATAACAAAACAAATTTGGCTTCATATATTTAATAAATTTATCAACAGTTAAAAGAAGAGCTTAATCGTTTAAAAATATAACTGTCTGTTTAATAGGTTCTCATAACAAAATATTAAAAGCCTCTTGGTGAATTACCTTCCTCTTTCGACTGAGTCTTGCCATCAGCCTGATGTGGTCTGACGGAATGTTAGGACTGACTCTGGTGATACCTTCACATTCTAGTTTATGTGATGTCCACGCTGCCCTCTATTGTTGGGAAATGTTGAAAGATTTAAGTTTTTACTGCGTCTTTGAAATGTGATGGGTCAAATGATTCCGATATCAGTGAATGTGATCTTAAGGGTTTACATAGTTCGGAAACTTTTGACTTATTCAACGGAATACAGAAGAAAGGCGAAGAAAAGCAATAATTAGAGGTGGAGAGTTTCAGTCTATTTTGAATACATTCATTAGAAAAATGAAAGATGAAAATAGAAGATATAGAAGACATTTATTCACCTGACAATCCTTGTTACAGTAATATGCAAACTTGCAGGCTGAACACTTGTGTAAAATTTCATCCCTGGAGTAACAAAAGTTCCAAAAAAAAAGAAGTTAGGGCATAACCTTCATCAGAATATTGACTCGCCCTCACCAGCCGCATTTCGTGACAGCTATGGGTGGGGGTGGGAAAAATGTTCTTATTTAAAATATATGAGACATTTTCGGTCAATGGCAGGGGGCAAGCACCCCCTCCGCACCCCCTGGATCCGCCACTGTCATGACTGTCTGTAGACAACTGCAATACATATTATAGCGATAACCATTCAAATAAAATTACATCCCACGAAGCTGGATGCCTCCTTAAGTACACATTGAAATTGCTGATAAACGATTTAATATGCACACAACATTTTCATTATAACTATAACAAAACACTGTATAGCACTGCAGTAATCAGTATCAACTTCGGAATCGGAGTAATGTCACTAAATCAGAAAAGAGCGTTTCACTTTCAGTTCAGATTCAAACTTTAAGGTTTACAAATTACGGTAAAAGTGAAACCTCATAAAGTACAGTTTTCCGCACCTTTTTGTCAGGCACTGATCACAGTAATACCCCCTCTCGATATTCTGAAGAACGAACTCGTACGGTTTCTCCGTCAGCAGGAGAGTTCCAGCTTTCACATCACTCGTCACACGGACTCCGCGACCCCTGTTTTTGGTTGTAAAAACCTCAACAATTTCGATCTTCTCCTCCTTTTCCTCAGTGGCCATTTTCAGAGCAATGATCCCTCAGTCCTGTAAGAGAAATTGCGCAACTTTGTCCCTTGTATTATTGGCTAGATCCTTAATTTCTTTTGAAGGCGACGCACCTCCTTTCCTTCCCGCGTTTCGTCCCCAGCGAGTCGGGTTGTGAAGTTGTAAACACGTGTAGACTAGACAGACTATAACCTAACCGTACAAAATAATGCCCCATTTCCGCTGATTCCTTTGCACGTCATTTCGTGGGATGAGTCAGTGACTAGACTTAATGTTTTGAAAGGGCGCCCTCTATACGAGACTGGAAAATCGGGTACAATGTCAACCCCAGGGTGTCGAGCAGTACGCGCCCATCACTACCTGCTCTCTCACTTACTATTGGAAACAAGATTGAAAATAAAGTAAGCACTGGGGACGAGGTGGGGTAGAATGTATGAAAATGCACCTTTCATGCCTTTGGAGACTCGCATTACATTTTACTTTGGTTTTGAATTGATATACATGTACACTGTAATACGGGGAAACTTTCCACTTCACTAAATAATCTCAACATTCCAATGACGAGCAGACAAGGTTCTTAAAACCATGCTACAGTCGGTCCCGTACTCCTCCCTGGTCAAACTCCCCCCCAAAAAAAAAAAAAAATTGCAATAGATATTCATCAGCCATTGCAACTTTTTTGGCAAAATTGATCATCAACATTCCCAGTTTATTGTGCCCATCAGTAAATTAATTGTAAAAAGGAGAAACATGAACGAACTGCACACTAAAAACAAATCCATTCTTTCCACGTTTATTCAACAAATTAGAAACTGTTAAAACATCTTCAGCTTGAAACAAAAATTAGTTTGAAAAACAATATTATAAACAATATAAATCAGTGTTGGTTCCGGGGCTGTGGAGGGGACGTATGCCCCCCCCCCTTCAAGCAGTGACCAAAATTGTCTCAAATAAGGCTATTTTTCAGTTGAGAGAGCCCTTCTGCCATCTGGCACACCCTCAGCCCCGGCAGTAACCTCTCTAGTTCCACCCTTGATAAACTTTAACAGATTACTAAATTTAAATATTTCCATCATGCATACTACAAATCAGTGTCAATGATTACATTTACATTGTATAATCAATGGCAAGCAATGTGGACGTGTTGTAGAAACTGGGGTCTCCAGATGACAGTTATATTGGTTGCAGTCAAAGCAGAATGAGGATGATTCACATCAGATACTTCATTGGCAAGTCTACAGAACAGACCGTGGTACAAACTGCAAAAGATATAACAAGATTCAAAGCAGCATCAGCAAAAAGCAATGCATGTACACTGACATTTTCACGAAGTTATATCCACATACATGTACTAGGATAATAATTACTGTTTGCAATAAATCACCAAAATGTCTCAACATGTATTTCTATAAAAGCTACAAGAAAGCCAATCTCAACTTCGATTTCTCGACAAGTTTAATTCCAGGCAATGAAGGACTACAGTTTAGGTGGACATGGGCAGGGGATCAGATTGCATTTATCGCAACAAAGAAACGGGCTAGCAAGAGCCGTCTCTTCAGACAGAGAGTTCAAGAAGATGCTTTGTTTACATCACTTCCCCAAAGTCCCATCCACAAACTACAAAAATACATCAAATTCACACCTTAGTGAGTAGAGATCCTTTCTCAAGACTTCAGTGGAAGATCCTCGTATTTCAAGCACACCTACGAACAGAATATCAAAATTTGGGGATAAGTTTAGTGTCAAAAAATGCCAGGCACAAAAAAAGTGTTTTGAATGTCCAAGGCAATCTAAAAATTTTGAGAGCTTTGTGGCAGTCTGAATCAGTGTGTCATGTCAAAAAGCTCCTCATGGTTATTCAGAGAGATTCCCACATGTTCTTATGTCATCATCTTCAGACTACCGTTTATTTTGCTGGTTCATCTAGGACTGTGCACTAATGTTTGCAAATGTGACCATAATTTTTGTATTTGAGACCGCCACCACAAAGTATTAAAGGGAATATACATCATTTGCTTTTGCTGTAATTTTCAGAAATGGATGGAATTGGGGGGTTGGAAATATAAAGCAAATATAGTTACACTGACTTTTTGGAGGTTTTGGGTTCGAAAATGCTATAAAAACCAAGAAAAACGATCATTTTCCTGTAGTCTGGTTCCCTGACTCCATATAAGAAGAAACAGAGCAGTTTACATACATTTGGGAATTGTAAGGTCAGGGAACCAGTCTAGCTGGCTCGTACCCGTTCATAGGTTTGTAATCGATTGCAAACAAGTGCAATGGTCAATTGGGGCCAGTATTTGAAAAAAAAAGCCAGTTGTTTCCAACGCTGATCGGCCGATCAGCGTTGGAAATTGATACAAAAATACCACTTTTCTTGAAAATGACAGTATACCAGGTGCCATAATTTTACAGGATGCTTTAGACTGTCATTTACCAACATCCTATTAAGGTATTTCGCAAAAACTTGGTAGTTTTATTTTTCGATGTTTGCAAATGTTGTATATTCCCTTTAAAATGCATGTACATGAAACAAGTGCGAGTGCACAATAAGCTCTGGCCGCCTTGCACGCACAAGCCATGGCCGCCGTCCCACGCAAAAATCACGCACTGAAAATTGACCGAAATAAGCCCTTAAATTTCCCATAAAATTTGAGGGGACAGCCAGACAGACAAAGCCCAGAGATGAAACTGGCCTTGGCAAAAAAATCTGAAATTGAGTTGGTGTGTTTGGCAAAGTTTGCGGTAATCAATGGTGGGCCATCCATGTGGATGTTCCTACAACCTCTAGTTTGAAACTATAATAACAACAAAATGTTTTGTGGACAATTCATAAATAGTCATTTTTGTGGGATCGTTAAAAAAATCTGGAATCCCACTGGAAAAGTTTTTAAAAATCTGCTTTCAGATGAAAATCTGAAATGTTTCATCTCTGAAAGCCACCAAGTTACATGTAGAAGCTCCAGCCAGAGCTTAAAAGGACTTTTCACTTACCAAGTAAACAAGATGTCCAGCTGCTTATAGATGACCACTTTCGAGTCTCCTGAGCTGAATTAATTTTAAACAAAAACTTTTTAAAATTTGATACGCTAAAGCCATTTCAAGACCTTCCAAAAACGGAGTTCCCTGTCAATTTTAATACCAAAATCTTTCTTGCACTGTACCTCAGATAAGGTTGAATGGATTATTATTACGGGCTATGGTTGTTGCTCTCATCGACTCACTCGGATTGGCAAAATCAAGTCATCATCATTGGCACAATGCAGTTTAAGAGACAAGCCTTTTTAAGCGGACACAATACGAGGCTATTATTTGGGATGGGGAAAATATTAGAGCTTAATCAATTCATGTTGAGGTCTTTTGTTTCCACCCAACTCCAAAAGGCTAATACTACTTCAAACTAACAGTTTTGAGGAATATTCAGCAATATCGAATATTTCATTAAGTTTGAGAGAACCTTGAAACCACTTTAAAAGGAAATGAAATTTTTTTTTCGTTTAAAAATTATTTGACTTGACCTACCATGTAGAATTCCTTCAAGTTGAAGTGTGTACTCCTGATGTCAAACTTCGGCTTCAGACAATCCTAGGAACACAATCGACAGATTTTTTTGGTCAGAATAATTCATCATTCACATCGTGAGGGAAACATAGAGTTTTTTTTCTTTCAATTTTCAATATAGATAGTTGAAGAGTTAAATAGGTTTGTTTTTTGCATTGTTCCTCAGATAAGGTTGAATGGATTATTACGGGCTATGGTTGTTGCTCTCATCGACTCACTCGGATTGGCAAAATCAATTGATCATCATCGGCACAATGCAAAGATCTACAACTCTTAAAAGGATTGGAAAAAAATCCTGCTTTGATTTCTTCACATTATACTTACATTCACCACTGCGTCAATTCCCGTGTAGGATTTCTGCAAAGTCCGCCTCACACTCTCTGCAATATTGGATAAATATACATGTTCAATTTGTTGTGGGGCAACAGCATTTATAGTCTGATAGGATTTAGGAGTTAGCCTGCATGTTGAGTACTCAGAGTAAAAACTGACTGTTGAATAATCAGTCATGGTATATCAGACTGGGGCATTCAATGTTGTCATCCTTGTACTACTATACAGGAGAATGAATTAATTTTGAAGTCAAAATGAGAATGAATTTATTCCTAAAGTTTGGAAATGGATAAAGTGTACATACCTGTCTAGAGAAGCTGTACAAATGGAGATCACATCTGAAAAAAATTAACGGAAAAGCAAAAACAGTTAAAAAAAAATCAGTTAATGTGAGAGGATTTTGATTATTGAAGAAACTGATGCCATTCAGTGGAACAAGACCTAGTTCTCTTCACCAATTTATCTGATAATACATGCTTCATCCTTATGGCATCCTCTCAATATTGCAAATTTGGTTAATGTTTTTACACTTTGAAACTTAACTTCCTTTTGAAGCTCAAATGCTTCATGTGTTCATTGATTATTTTTCGGAAAAATGCCTACCGGTAAGGTGGATCCCGCGGGTTAATCATGATAGATTGCATCAACCTATGGATAAAAACAAAACATAGAAACAATTGAGGGAAACCAATTGAAGCACTGAAGAAGCAATACAAATGTTTTTCTGATTGGCCATCAATGTCAGCAAAGACGGTAACATCAGTCTTCAGAAGCAGGACTGTCTTGTTTGTCTCATCATCCAAACCAATCACACAGCAAATAGCCACTGATGCAGCAACATGGTTGAATTCAAATCACAACTTACCAATCAGCTGCTGTTCCATGTCCTGTGTGATGCTTGTCCAGATTTATGAGTGCAGAGTTCACGGAATCTTGGAATGCAATATCAATCTTTAGTGAGAGAATGACAAAGGGCCCCGGATAAGAAAAAAAGAAAACAAGCGCAAGCACTGTATCAATAATAGTTCAAGAGCTGTTTCTTGATTGGCTATTTATGTCAGCAAAGACGGTAACATCAGTCTTCAGAAGCAGGACTGTCTTGTTTGTCTCATCATCCAAACCAATCACACAGCTTGGCCACTTATTGTAACCATAAAAGTTAAAAACACAACTTACCAATCAAACACTTGTCCGTGTCTTCTGTGATACTGGTCAAGGGTGACGGTACAAAGTCAACTGGTTTCTGAAAGAAAATGTTAAAATTGCTTTGAGTGCCATAATATCAACAAGACCAAGAGATCTGAAGACTGATTGCAGCAATTCTGCTGAGGGTGTGAGTGTTGGTGGCTTTCGGCACGGCACAGCTGACAATTACAACCTTGCCGCTTCATTGGCCATCTTGTTTACTTTTAGCCGTATTCTGGCATCTCGTTGTTTCATGGACTGAAACAGGGATGTGGCAATCCAGCTTGATAAGAATGTCCACGTTAAATTTGGTACAATGTCGTATTAAAATTAATGTGAACAGCATATTGTTAACAATTCACACATCACAACTTTCTCAAGGATAAAGAATACACGGTTTAACAGCTACATACTTGGGTTTCAAATGAATGTTAACAATTCTCAACCAACCTTTAATCGAGTTTAAAATCACAACTTACTTACCAATCAGTTGCTGTTCTGCGTCTTGGGGGACTGTCCAGATTTACGAGTGCACAGTTCAAGGAATCTGGGAATGCAAAATCAATGTTCAGAGAGAGAATGACAAAGGGCCCCGGGTAAGACAAAAAGAAAATGAGCGCAAGCACCGGATAAATAATTCAAGAGCCGTTTCTTGATTGGCTATTTATGTCAGCAAAGACGGTAACATCAGTCTTCAGAAGCAGGACTGTCTTGTTTGTCTCATCATTCAAACCAATCACACAGCTTGGCCCAATTATTTAACAATAATGTTAAGTTCAAAACACAACTTACCAATCAAACGCTATTCTATGTCTTCTGCGATACTAGTCAAGGGTGACAGTACAAAGTCAACTGGTTTCTGAAAAAAAAAATGTTAAAATTGCTTTGAGTGCCATAATATCATCAAGACCAAGAGATCTGAAGACTGATTGCAGCAATTCTGCTGAGGGTGCGAGTGTTGGTGGCTTTCGGCACGGCACAGCTGACAATTACAACCTTGCCGCTTCATTGGCCATCTTGTTTACTTTTAGCCGTATTCTGGCATCTCGTTGTTTCATGGACTGAAACAGGGATGTGGCAATCCGGCTTGCAACTGACATTAAGAATATAATATCCACGCTGAACTGTGAACAATGTCATATTACTTAATTAACGTATAAACCAAATTGTTAACATTGAGGCATGCAACTGGGAATTTAGAAAAAAAGAGGAAACTCAGTACTTTTTAATTTGTAATGGCATTCATGAGAAGCAAAAAACAAGAGAAAATCAGTGGATCAGAAGAAAAGTTGCATGCATGTAACATTTGACATATCACAGCTTTCTCAAGGATAAACAATACACTTTATTTTACAATGTAAATTTACATGCTTGGGTTTCAAATGAATTTTAACAATTCTCAACCAACCTTTAATCCTCATATTCCAGCCATGACTGCCCCACCTGTAACAAAGCAGTACAATGTAAAATAACGCTGGCATACAAAACAGTTTTATTATGTACTATCTTCACGTTATTTTGTCAATTAGTTAAACTCAAATATTACACCCAGACATTTTTAATGTGCTTCATCCTCACTACTTTTCCTTCAAAGAACACCTGGGTCACACTTTTGGTTTTGAAAATTGGTTTAGACAATTGGTTCCAATGACTTTCCACCACAGATCAGATAGGGGCGAAAGACTAATTTTACCCTTGATTTCATCACAGTCATCAGCTGAACTATGCAGTCATCACTTCCATGGTGGAAACTTGAAAGAAATTAACTGGTTCCAATTCTCCAAAAAGATTTACAGACCTTAACTCTCCTGTGGTTTGACCATTCAAAACACCTCAAAATCTGGGTTCTGGCAAATTGGAGGACAAAAAATGCAGGACCTTTTAAAATCCTCCAGAATCTATTGTTACTGCACTACCACACCTTTCGATTCCTTTCGAAAGGTATTGAAAGGCAACTTACTGAATTTGCCCACAGAGTTGCTTCACCTTCCGAAAAGTTTCAAAGTTCCAGCACTATTTCACCTTTCAAAACCCTTTTAGTTGGGCAAATTTAAAATGTTTTGAAAGGTCTGATAATTCTCTGCCAACTGCACTGGGCAGAGCAGGGTTAAGGTTACAAAACTACATCCCAAATTGCCTAATAATGCACATAGAGGAGAGGGTGACATCTTATACAAACATACCTTTGATGTGGTTTGTCGACCCCTCGCGGGAAGGTATCTTTGCGAGTTGAATGTCTAAATAAAAGACAAAAGAAAGCAACAATACAGCAATATTTATGAGAATGTTTTTGGTTACATAAAAACTTCATATGGCAGTTCATCTACTGGAAAAATATTAAATGGAATTTAAGGTAGCACTTTTCCATTGATTCTGCCCGACTAACACGGCTGCCCACCACTTATGCACAAATAATGTACACTTATTGCATCAATTTCTCATGGGGTTCAGTCCGTCTAGTAGCAAGTTTGTCATCAACGTTTCAAACCTCAGACCCGTCTTGGAGATCATCATTACCCCACCAGTGTACATCAGTTGTACAGCACATGATAAAATTGCCAACAAAAAGTTTTTTGTTGACTTCAGCAAAAAGGAACAATTAAAAAATTCTCACCTTTTCACATTGTAGAGTTTCTGCAGTGCTACCTGTTTACAAAAGAAACGCAAATGAAGAAAATTGAGATTGGTATTTGAAAGACAATTAGTTACTTGTCGGCATTTGGTTTGAGGGTAGGGATAGGGTCAGAAGGCGGCATCGGGGGCGAGAGAGGGGGAGGGGTTGGGTGTGTGGCATCATTGTGCTAATAATCTGGCTTTATCTCATGGAGTCTGTGTTTATGTGTCTCAGCGATCTTGGTGGTTTGTCGTCACTCAAGACTGTCAAGAGTAGCAAATATATTGTCATCACTGACACACAACACAATGTGGATATTTTACTGTTCGGGAACTGGTCATAAATGTTTTAAAAAAACATGGTGAAAGAATGATACTCACCCTACATCCCCCAGTCAAACTGCCAACTGTGAAAAATAAAAACAGACTTTTTCTTATTTAACTATTTGACCATCGAGGACATGAGCGACAGGATTGCTAAAAATTCATTCTGAAAGTTGTGAAGACAAAATAGTTTGCAAACAAAATCACTCTCAACGGCTCAAACCAAGGGTCAACACATTACAATGTACGTTTAATATTTTTAATTCTTTTAAGGTTGTAAGGAATTTGCTAATTAAAATTATTTTTAACTTAATAAATAAATAATGAAAGGGGTGTGTCAGACCGCCCTAGTGTCGCTGAATCTCATCATCGTCCTGACTACGAGCGACTTGTATCATCATGTACACCCCTCAACGGCTCAAAATAAACGGGCAACAGCTCCTTACAATGCCAAAAACCCCATGTGGAATCTGATGTACCCTGATCAACCACAAAGGTTGTATGAATAATTACGACACCAAAATAATGAATGATGCAGGATGAAGTTCAGGTAACAAAGGGGTGGACTGCTAAAACTCAAACTAACCTCCAACTTTGAAAAATTCTTCTTTCATTGCAACTAAGGATGCCAGCCTGTAAAAAAGAATGCAACAAAACATTAGTCTTGTTTGAATTAAGATATTAGCACTGATGTTGCTTCCACTTTGGGAAGTGCATCAGACCGCCATAGTCGCTACATTTTGTAATTTCTTCACTGTCATGAGACTTGGACTGATTTCATTCATCATATGCACTTCTCCTTGTTTGAAGTCCCCTACAAAATCTTGTCCGTTTGAATAAAGCCAGCATCACTTGACTTACCTGTTGAAAAACAGGAACCAAGGCGCCCCTGCATTATCGTCACATCCTTACTGCTGCATCTATAAAACAAACAAACAAAAACCGAAATCAAGAACAACTTTAAACTCAGTATCACCTCTTCATTCTGATATATATACGAGGGACTTGACCCAGCATGCAACAAGCTTTAACCTAACCCCTGGGCCCTTTTGGCTAGGAACAATAACCATGATCCTCCAATTGCCACCAGGTAAACAATTTGATTCAGCCTCAATCCTCCAATATCATCACTTGTTTCTTGAATTTAATCATTGCAGTAGTGACCAATACTTCAATCCTTCAAAATCCTCCAATTATCACTGATGGGTTGAGGTAGTGCAGGTGACATTCAGAAGCAAAGCCGATGATTTCAAGCAAATTGCAGGGGCTCAATTATGCATGGCTGAACATTAACAATGTAGGGTACAGCCTACAAACTTAACACCATGTGTCCTCCAATATCAACAAACTTTTTTCTGTGATTCAGCCTCGGTCATCCAAAACCCTCCAAAACTTTCAGGAGGATTGTGGAGGATTGAGGAAGGGTTAGGGTTATATTAGAAACACAACTCCACTTACCTGGTGAAAAATGAGAGTCAATGACATCCAACATCATGACACCTGCGTCAAGATCCACAAGCCGTTCTAAGAAGAGGTATTGGCAGGAAGAAAAGACACCCAAAATAGACACTTGTTAATTACTAATTCTACTGCTATCTTGAGGTTTCCGGTATCAAACTGTCCTTGTGAATTGTCAGCAGCACCTCAGACCTATCGATCCACTGTTTAGATATGTATAATCACAGGATCTCATTGTCCCTATCTGGTAACATCATTGTGCTGGTGACTTATCACTAAGGATTGCAGATTGTTGCCACGCTATTTCAAGCAAATCCTGCTTCTGAAGATTTGTGGGCTTTTTGCTGTACTCACTGCTTACAGTTTCCATGAAATTATGTGCTTGGTAGTAACACCAAAATATTGAGCCCAGATTATAATTCACTGGTAAGATGTTGGACTTCTCAACTTATTCAGCACACAGACTTTTTGATCGCAATCGAGAGGGTGAAATTATGGTCAAATATTTAACTTCTGTAAAAACATACGGTACAACTGCAGAATACCCTGCAACTCGTGTACCCACCGTGTAACCGGCTACGCCGCTACAAAATCAGTCAAAAACTACCAGGAAATTTGTGGAGGATCGAGGGTTAGTGTTGAAATCGGAACATAACTCCACTTACCTGGTGAAAAACGAGAGGCAAGGGCATCCAACATCATGATACCAGCATTAAGATCCACAAACCGTTCTAAGAAGGGGCATTGGCAGGAGGAAAAAAATATTTAAAAAAATTGTTAATTATTAAGTCTTCTGCTATCTTGACGCGTATGGTAACAAGCTGTCTTTGTGACCATCAGCAGCACCTCAGATATATCCACTGTTTAGATTTGTATAATCACAGGATCTCATTTGTCCCTATCTGGTATCATCATTGTGCTGGTGACTTCTCACAAAGGGTTGCTGATCGTTACCTCCCTATTTCAAGCAAATTCCACTTCTGAAATTTGAGGGCCGTTTGCTGTGCTTACTGCATACATACACGTTTCCCTAAAGTTTTGTGCCGTGAAAGGGTATTCTGGCAGGGTATTCTGCAATTACATTATCCCAGGGCCTACTCCTTTTTATGCTGCAACTTACTTTCTAGTGTACTTGTGTACAACTACAAAGTCTACAGAGAGTCAAGTGTATTTTCAAAGACAAAGTAAATTTGAAATATTTTTCAGTCATTTGTCATTCCCAATCCCAGTCTCATAGATTCTTTTCAATATTTTTGAAATGACTGACCATGCCGACATTCATTGAGAATAAAATCCATGAATAAGGTGTTTCACGGTAATATAAATAATATTAAAAATATGCGCCATCTTCAATCTTGCCCGCGGGGCAATTTTACACGCATAATATAATGTAGTAATGTAGGACCCACTACTTCATTTCCCTATCTAAAACCAACCCCAACCTTCCCACTCATTCCGTCTTGGATGCGGGGATGCGCAGTGGGCATGAAGTAAATTTTAATCAATAGAGGGCGCGTTATTGGAAGCCTGGATGCGGGGTGGGCATGAAGTAAATTTTAATCAATAGAGGGCGCTTTATTGGATGCCTGGATGCGGGGTGGGCATTAAGTAAATTTTAAGATGGTGGATATTTTGCCGGAGGTAATGACGGCAAACTAACGTTTACTAAAGGTTTGCCGGCGGCAATCCATATCAACAGAGGTCGCTGTACTCTTTAAGATAGGGCTGCATTATAAGATGTATTAAATTCCCACCAAAAGTTGTGAAGCACGTTTGGTGCAGTGGTTAAGCAAAAGCTCTAGTGAGCGGGACGACTCGAGTTCAATCCCGATCCCCGCCACATTTTTAAGGTTTTTTTTCCCATCCCCAAATAAATAAGAATATTCTTCTTTTATTATTTTAATATGTCTCAAACATTTTATTGCAGAGTATTACATTTTCTTTTTCAGATTTGTGGCTCTGGAGGATTTTTTTTAAAAGGGAAATAAAGTCCGAAATTATATAATGGTCTGAATCCCATCTTGTGAATACGAGGTTACAACGATAATATTGGCATGGAGCCAGACTAAAATTTGTCACCGGAAAATGTGTAAGTACAAAAAAACAGTAACTGCGCATGTTCAGTGCATATCCGGCAAACTAACGTTTACTAAAGGTTTGCCGTCTCCGGCAAAATATCCACTGCCAAATTTTAATCAATAGAGGGCTTGTAATTGGAAGCCTGGATGCGCGAATGCGGGGTGGGCATGAAGTAAATTTTAATCAATAGAGGGCGCTTTATTGGATGCCTGGATGCGGGGTGGGCATGAAGTAAATTTTAATCAATAGAGGGCGCTTTATTGGATGCCTGGATGCGGGGTGGGCATTAAGTAAATTTTAATCAATAGAGGGCACGTAATTGGAAGCCTGGATGCGCGGATGCGGGGTGGGCATGAAGTAAATTTTAATCAATAGAGGGCGCTTTATTTGATGCCTGGATGCACGGATGCGGAGTGGGCATGAAGTAAATTTTAATCAATAGAGGGCGCTAAAAAAAACCGTCTGCGCATCCACGCAGCAATGGATGTGCAGATATAGAACGGAGTGGCCCTGTATTCTATAGTTGTGCCATGGATTTTTTCCCGATGGCGCATATTTATAATTTAAATTTTTAATAGTAGGCCCAATACTACTACCGTGAACATAGTGAAACACATTGATTATTGAAAATATGATGAAAAAAGAGGCATCAGGATCTAGGATGCAACATTATTTCCAAAAATACTTCTTGCAATTGCATGTCTTGTCTGGAACTTACTAAGTGAAACATGTTGTACTTGTTGAATGAATTAGCCCAGTTAAGTCAGTTTTTGGCTGGTTGGATTTTTTTTGTCAAGGTCATATTAGTTTTCATCATTCATGGTCATTGTGCCTCAGCTCAACAGTTGCGCTAAAAAGTTCCGTTAAATGCTCTGCTTTCCAAACGTTTCTTCCTTGGAGCATATTGTGTAGTTGTGTCATTCCTAAAAAGTAACATAACCATGAAATATGCCATTGGAGTTATTAAAGTTAAGTGACTGAAGTTACTCATCAAGCATGCACATCTTTTAAAATGAAAAACCAAGAAATGTTCATCCAACTTCAGTATTTATGCGTGCAAAATACGTTTGACAGTGAAGCTTAAGTATTACAGAAAGCAATGATAGTCATACTTATCGAATTATTGCCAATATCAATCAGATGATAATGGATTTTAATGCCATTTCAAAAGTTGCTTTCTCACATTTCACTCACCTCGACACAACGCACTGCAGTTCACGAGAAAATGGGCGCTCAATCCACGTGTGCAGCTTATATAGATGATGTGACTGGTACTCTGGTACGTACAATCCCCTAACGTGTGTATTGAGTACCAGCTATACCACGTGAGGCCACTCAATAAATAACACACCGTTTATCATGGATAGTCTTTCCGAAAGAGGCGACACACGTTTTTTTGTTTAGTTTTTTTTGGGGAAAGATGCAGCTAGGCTTAAAAGGCTAGGCTTATGACTGAGGCTAGAAAGAAAATATTAGTAAAGAACGGCTGAATGAAGATGGCACAAGGGAGTGGGTGTTTTTTTTAGTGCACTAGCTTTCAGGAAACGCATTTTTTTTTTTATCATTGAGTGAAGGCGTGCACTGTTATTTTAGGGGTCCGCTCATAAGTCCCACGCCTCATGGGTCCGACGCCTCATCATAGCTCCGAAGCCATAGGTCCGACGCCTCATATTAGCTCCGACGCCTCGTACGCTTCGTTTTTCCGACGTCGGACTTATGAGGCGTCGGACAATGAGGCGTAGGACCTAGCCTATGAGGCGGATTTTTGTATGCCTCATAAGTCCGAAGCCTCATAAGTCCGAAATGTCGGACTTATGAGGCGTCGGACCTATGAGGCGTCGGACTTATGATACGGCCCCCTATTTTACCCCCTCTCCCCCATTGTAAGGTAATTTGAGAATAAAGTTAGGAACTTTGAGTCAAATTTGGTAATTTTGGGTCCCATTTAACAAGTGTCATAACATTTTCAGCGTCTAAGGGGGGGGGGGTGAATGGGGGTTGGGGGGGTTCAACCTGCTAGATCCGCTACTGCACTGCTAAATGTAAATTACCTGCCGACAAGACCACAGCCTATAGTTGTAAAATGAAACTCAGAATAGCACGAAATTGAACATCACCACTTTTAATTGATACATTGACATTCTAAAGAATTTTTTTATTGTATATTTGACCTTTTTTGGCCACAAAGGGCACTCGCACATGGTGAAAATAGACACGGTTTTTTCTACGGACACTAATTTAGTAAGTAGTTCAGCTTGGCCTCCGTAAAACGTAAAATCAAAACGCGGGGGGGGGGGGGGAAGGCGGGGGCAAAAACCGACGATTAGGCCAAAAAAAAAAGTCTCCGGTTTCTGGTATGCGCGCGCGTCGCCGTAGCCATGCGCGTCGGCAAAATGAAAACGTTTTTTTCAATAAAAGATGATGTCTCAAAACCGCCAAACTCACTGGTTTGACTGGAATTCTGCTGCTGCACAATTTTAACGTGTTTTTAGATAGGGGTTATGATCGAGAATAAGCTTTATGTGGCCTCTCTGGACTCCCATATATTTGCACTAAGTTTAGTCGGGCACCATTTGCAGTCATCAGCCGACATTTGAAGCTAAAAAAAAAAAAAAACAGGTAAAAAAAAAAAAAAGCCGCGTCGCCGCACCACTTTTGGGGCAAGCTCCATACCAGAAACCGGAGACTTTTTTTTTTGGCCTTATGCACACTTACGGACAATATATGGTGCTTTTTAGGGCGTTACATCTATGAAATTCAAAAAGAGGGCATCCGGAACGGCCCTTTTTTAAAGGGTACTTGTTCAGAAAAAAAGGTACTCTTTACAAAATTACAAAATATTGGGAGGTAAGCGCTGGTGAAAAAGGGCATTTGAAAGGAAAAGGGCACTCTTTACAAAATATTATATACCCCCTTAAACCCCCCCCCCCCCCCCCCCCCCACCCGCTGACTACGCCTATGAACTTATCACTAAATCCACCCCACGGCATGTACCCTCCCCGTTACTAATTTCAGTTCGGTGTAATGCATGTGTATGCGTCCTTGAGCATGTTGCACACAGTGCTAGAGGGAACATTCCTTTTCTCTCTCTCATTTCTTTGAAGTAATATGCGTTCAAGTTGACGTCTCATATGTCCATCGGGTCATGGCGGAAGGGGGGGGGTGACGGATTTGGGCTCAATATGAGAGCAGGCACCCAAACGTTGAACACCTGATTAATTTACACCAAAACAGGGCCGGATCAAGCGACATGCAAAACGAAGCACGCCCTGCGTGGGCTGCGCCCCCGGAAAATTTAATCTATATAGGATACTTTCTCCTGTATCATCAGGCTAAGGCAATTTGAGCATACATTTAGGAACTTTAGCTTCCGTTTAGTATTTTTGGCCCCATTTTACGAGTATTCATAACATTTTTAGTCAGCGGCTGAAGGGGGGAGCAACCCCCGCCAAACCCCATGATGAAGACTTATTATTCTATCAGTAATGCAAATTCCGTCTGCAGAGATTGTAATCAATAATACCTCGAGATAAGTCCTGCTAAATCAATACATGTAGATGCAAATTGCAATGTAATGATACGTCGTTTAATTGACTTTGAATAACATGCTCCGGGGTATGACGTGCGATACGGAGGCCGCTTGATATGCATGTACTGTACGTACGTATACGCACAGCGTATTGTCTATGATGACTGCATGATAAGTTTGTCTCTGGAGATGAGTGGACAAATATGCAGGCAGATCGCAGGCACAAGGTCCGTGAGGGGTATGGCTTTCCCCAGGCTTTTGAACCATGTTGCCACCGTGCTGGTGATAAAAGATGCGGGTAGGCATGACAGCGAGGATTGAGACTGTGACGAGCAAGCTTAATTCGACCCCGGAGAGAAATTGCGGCTGAAACAGCGGGAGCTCAGGCGATACAAACCGATATTAAACGCAGACGATGACAGGCTTTGGCCGCCAGAATAGTAGGTTTGTGTGCTGCGATCGCTTTGCGGTAGATCTCCACACAGATGTTCGAGGAGATTGCTAGGAAGTCCGGAGCGATTATTAACACGCGACACGTGTAGGAAGACACCACTTCACGCAGGATCTATTGCAGCACATAGAACGTGACAGGAGTGTTAATTGTATAAGGACATCGCTCCATCTACTTGTGTAAACGTACTGTCATGTCGATGTGCAGTATCCTCTGGGCAAAAATAATGGCCATTGACAACTCGCATCATATATCAAGATCTCGTCATAATTATCAAGTACGGACATTAACAAACGTGGAATCCGTCACAGCCAGAGGCGAATTGTGAACAAGTTGCTGTACGTGTACATGTCCCATAACCAGTTGCTTCTATAAACGATCTAATCTAATAAAATTAATCTCGACTGGCTGGAAGTCGTCCATCTGCGTAAATAAAACCGGCCAAGAAACACATGATTAACATTCCCAAACCAGGTTGGAGTCTGTTAACACGTCGCCTGTTTCCCATCTTCGACTAACCATGATCATAATTATCAACGAGTTGTGATGTTAATACAAACATCGTTTATAGGTCATCGTAGCGTGCCTTCCTCCATGCTGACATTATAATATATCCGGCATTCTCCGTACCTCAACCTCCACCAGAACTCAAAAGGAATCTGCATTTGTCACAGTGGATTTCAGTTATTTTGTGGAGTGTTTGTTTGTGTATACGCCTTCATGTCTATATTTACACGCGTATAATTTATGCCCCGTGCTCTGTAAGATAAAGAATTCGATCGGGGATTCTTATTCAGGATGGAGACTGAAAAATAATACATGACTCGGTCTCATATATCATGTGCATGAGGCAGTGCAGCACGAACTATCCATTGATCAGAGGAGGGATATATTCGCGAGAGCTATATTTATCCATGCAGGAATGACAAGTGGACTACCTGTATTTTGCCACTGGGGTATTGTTTCGTAATGTGAAATATTCCCCTGGGAGGATGATGAGCCAGATCCATCAGACACGAATGACGCGCTCGTTCTTCATTGTACGCTAAGTGCTCTTGTGGGAAATACTCTAAATTATATATGTACAGTTAATACAGCTATATACCATCTGTTAAACTATTGACGGCACCCATACGATAAATATATTACGCCATTATACCTCCGCTTCTGACGTTTTCAAAATCATTTAAGCTGTAGCCAACAAAATACATCACGAGATGAAATGCTCTTAAGGAAACGGGAGACGAATAAAATCGAATCTTGTAAGGTTCAAAGCAAAGTAGCAAACACAAGAGCAACATAGCTGGTACTGGCAGGTAATTCTGCGAACCGACGCCTGCTCGCATCCGATTTAATTTTGGCAACTCCAGATGGTCTGACTGCCACGGTCAACATCAGATTTCGACTTGTGAGCTGATATCGTCAGACGGGATGGCTCCGAACTTGGTCACTTGGCTGTGCGGTGCCGATGAAGATAACCAGAACCCAGGGAATAACAGCTTGTCCTTAAATGACACCCTCATGGGGAACTCCACCGTTCCCACCAAGGACCTGGGGTACGTGGGGCCAGGCGACCCTATGCTGTACATCCTGGTCGTGCTGCTCTTCTACGCGGGCAGCATCACCCTCTTCATGGTCAAGTACATCAGGAAGCAAAACGAGGAGCGGGAATTGGATGAAGATTACAACACCTTCGTCATGAGAGTCGGCTTCGATGAGAAACTGATGCAGGCAAAGAACACGGCGGCCATGAGACTCAAAGAGGTTGCAGCCGGTTATAAGAAACCGACTGAGCTGGAGGAGGTATTAGTGACGAGTACCGTTTGATGGACATCAGTTGATGCAATTTATAATGTAAACAATGACGTCTTTATGTATATTATGCTGCTACATAAGCTCACTTTGCGCATGGTTGTGACATTATTAAGAATGAGACACATTTCCGAGCTATTTTAATTGTATGGTGGATCTTCACGAATAATGTTTGCTAATGAAATTGCACAACGTTGCCGTTGGCGAAGAGGATTAGGCCTACCTATTTCATTATTGAAATTAGCTTGTGTATAATAGGGGTATTATTAATAGGCAACTTTAATTGCGGCGGCCATCAGTTTGTTTTGTACAATTTTCATCCCCTGCATGGAACTCAACCACAATGCTCGACCCGACACCGTGTAGTTGTTCATGTCCATATAATGAGGACTGAGGTTCACAAAATGTCCCTGGTATACTGTGCAGCTCCATTGTCGAAGCTGAATTTCAAACATGACCTAAGGCCAAAAAAAAAGTCTCCGGTTTCTGGTATGGAGCTTGCCCAAAAAGTGGTGCGGCGACGCGGCTTGGTTTTTTTTTTTTACCTGATTTTTTTGCTTCAAATGTCGGCTGATGACTGCAAATGGTGCCCGACTAAACTTAGTGCAAATATATGGCAGTCCAGAGAGGCTACATAAAGCTTATTCTCGACCATAACCCAATCTAAAAACACGTTAAAATTGTGCAGCAGCAGGATTCCAGTCTTGGCGATTTTGAGACATCATCTTCCATTGAAAAAAAAACCTTTTCATTTTGCCGACGCGCATGGCCACGGCGACGCGCGCGCGCATACCAGAAACCGGAGACTTTTTTGGGGGGGGCCTAAATCCTCGTTCTCTGGTTCACGAATCAAGCCTTCGGATTATTACAAAGAGTAGGCCGTAGTCAGATGCTCGAGAAATAACTGCGTATACGTGTATAATAAATACGAAGTGATATGGAGGCCAGAAGGCAGAATTACTTCAAGTGCTCAGGGAATCATACATCGTGATTGTGGTTTGTATATTGTTAATGATATCTATGTGTTTTTGTTTTGTTTTAATTCAATTTCTAATACTTTTTTTTAATAAATATTTATGTAATACTAATATGAGCCAGGGCCGTATTATGGAAAGCTGCATGATTTTTTTTTTTTTTTACTGAAAAGGCCACCCTGTATATTTAGCACAGCAAATAGATAATTAATTTTTGATTTTGCAACCAGCAAGAGTGTATGATACTCATAATAGCCTTCGCTGGTATAGTGTTAAACAACTTAATAGTATTAAAAGATCAAAGTTCAATCCACTCCAAAATGAGAAACTATATGGACACGATGATATCATTTCAATGTCTTTGCTCGATTTACACTAAATTTCCTCTATCTCCTACTTCAGTGGATCAAATTGAAACGTAGAAAATGTTTACATTTTATTTAACTATTTAAAAAAATAATGTCATACCATCCCAGCTTTGAGAGGGGCACAGCTATAAGGTTTGAATGAATTTCTGTACAGGAAGAACATCATAAAATTTACATCTTGCACCACAATGTTTTACAATCTTAATGTAATTTTACCAGACATGTGAAAGAGTTTAGCATAATCTACAGACTTTATTCAGAAAAGGTCCGTGTTGAATCCAACTACGTTATGCTCGCTCACGCACGACCAGCAGATAAAAGCCAATCTGCATATATTGCGAAGCTCGACAAAATTTAGCGGCGTGACGTGCGTATATGTATGAGGTGTGTGGAAATTCTGGTCACTCCTATAGCTCATCAATATTTTACAGGCACAGATGCGCTACTCATACTAAGTGTTTTATTATTCATCTATTCCCGCTCCCCATACTGCTCCAATTTACCGTGAAAACCAATTTAACAGTCAGGACGGTAGTTCTCTCCCGAAATGTTCAGTCAAAGGTTATTCAAAATGTAAGAAGCCAGCATGCAGGGCACAACATGTGTGATTTTATATCACTAGAGATGGCTTCATTTTAATTCAGACAGTTTACAGTTTCAATATCACTATTTAAATCTTGAATGGTGGTATTATGCAAAGAGACATTTTGAAAATTAAGGAGGGAAAAAACATTGTTGTAAATGCCTATAAAACATTTGTAATGATTTTTCTTACTTTACCTAAATTTTGTTCAGGACAGGCGATCGTTTGAGACTTTGTATAGTGCATGGAATAATAATTATCAGATAACGAACTTCCAGTTACAAATTGGCTTCTAGTGCACTTCTATACTGTTCTTTTTCTAATTACCTATCCTACGGCACTTCCGGAGATGGGGTGATTTTGTTGACGTCAACGGTGTTTGTACTGAACTCGCAACACTCAGGGGCGGCGGGAAGCTTTTCAAACTGAAGGGGGACACCAAAAGGGGCACTTGCTAAGAAAAAGGGGCACGGGGGGGGGGGGGGTGCTGATGGCAGATTGATCAAGTCTGAATTGCTAACTTTTGCACCACATGTATTTTTTTCGAAGGTGTTTTCTAATAAAATGTCTTGCCGAAAAATTAATAGTCTATCTGATAAATAATTATTGTCCTTTTTCTGTCTATTTATTGTTATATCTGGAGTATCAAAAAATTATTTGTAATACAAAAAGTGCGATTGAAAAGACGTCCTCTGGTGAGCTGTTTTACGCAAAACGAAACTGGAGAACGATCGGTCACAAGAGGGTTTTTTTATTCGAGCTGAAGCACGGACATGCGCACAAACCTAATGTCGCCCTGAGAGTGCAGCATGAATGAACTAATTCAAGTGAAAATAAATGAAAAGATGAAGGACAAAACAATCATTTAATTTTTGTTTGAGAAACGCCAGTGATGTCGGCTTGCATGTTATTTGGCCCTGAACTTTGTTAATTTGACATTGTTTTCAATGGGGCTTGAATTGGTTCAGTGCACCCCTAAAACAGCGGTGGGATCTCGAGCTCGCCGCACCCCACCCCATGGTATATAAATAACTTGGAACCATATTTGATGACAAACTTAGATGGGATGAAAACATATGTGGTGTTGTCAAGAAATGCCAACAACGCTTTTTTAACGTAAATTGAAGACTTTTTCTGTTGACAAAACCATTCCGAGTCTTTTTTTATCAGTCGGTCATTGAAAGTGTGTTGCACTTTTCATTTATTTCCTGGTATTTTAACCGAAGTGCAAAGCACGAGAACAGTTTGCAAAAGATTTTTGACCTGGGGTCTAAAATTATCGGAGAGCCCCAGAGAGATCTTAGTCAGTCCTGCGAACAAGTGCTTAGGGTTGCAGACCAGTAAATCGGTCCGAAATTGCCTACGCCGGCCAAATCACGATTTGCATGCCCCTCAAAATCGTCAGTATTTGAGCATGCTGTAGGCCATGAACTTAAGGGTTTGTAAAAAATATGGGTGGAAGCCGCGCACAGGACTGTGAGCTTGTAGTTCCGTTCAATTTGGATGAAATTGGGGCCCCAAAAGCGCTCTATTTTGCAATGGAGTGTAGGCATCGTTTTTCAAAATGGCGATGGGCTTCAGGACTATTTTAAGGGGCGATCATCTTCGGATGGAAAGTTCTCCTAAAAGTCATCAGTTGACCCCCCGTAAATTGAAAAGAAAATGAAAGATGATGAAATAAGCTTTAATTTGATGTGTGTCTCGAACACCTTGGAGAGTTGTGAGTATTTTCCCCGAATATCTGAAGTGCGAACATTTACCATTGGGGTCTATGGAAGTTTATTTTATACTGGTCTGCAACCTTAGGAAAACCCAGTCTCCATCTATCACGTGTTGTAAACCATGTTTCAGTGTCTTCCATCAGGACGCCGTCTCAGATGCCCTCCGTTGTAAAACTAACAGAAGGAATTTGTCATTCATTCCAGTGGCTAGACCTTTAATTAGTTGATATTTTTAGAGAATATTTTTAGGGAAGTTTTACATCAATTTAAATCTGTATAGGCCTAAGTAGATTTGTATTTGTTTAAAAAAAAAAGTATATTTATGCGACTTGTAATTTCTTTCAGTTTTTTATATAGTGAGCTGTCCAAACCATATGTAATTGCCAAGATAAATAAAGGATTTTGAACTGAATTGAATTTCATTGAATCCTTAAAAAAAAACACCTTTCGTTCCTCTTCAAATTCCGCTGCCACTTCTCTTTGTAACAGCGCCCTCTTGCAAAATCGGGAGGAGGAGAGTCACTGGTTTCCGATCATCGTAACCCTGTTAACTAAGGCAGATCAAAGCTTACCAACGAAAAGGGAACGCGCGATGACATTCTAAAAATAGAAAATGACTTAATGTTTTCCTGCGAGGTTAGTTTTTAACACGCTGCAACAAGGCTAGGCATTGTCTTTGCATGCTGGTGTTTTTTGCAGGATTGAAAAGTTTGGATAAAAAGTCGGTGCATGCTTACCTTAATCACAAACTCGCAAGCCTTATCTCAGCTGAATACTGTTAGCTGCAGAACAAACTGCACAACATGTGTGGAAGGACAGCTTGGTAGGTGTATTTGAGCTGAAAGAAAACCTCATTTATTTCAGACTTGATTTGAACCTTGCCTAGTTTCCGGACAACTTTTTCTATTATTTTCAACGCAGAGCTAGAGGGCCAAATATTGGTCACACTGGGGGAGTGTTTAACTGACTCTGAGTGTAGTTACGAAAGAGCCCCTCTTTCAGTTTCATTATGGCCCTTGGACTAGACGAGACGAGTGCTTAGTTTCAAATGTTTATTTTACTGAAACTGTTAGTGTTAGTAGGCATGGTAGGCCTAGTATTAGTTACTAATAATACTGTATTTTCTAATTCTAATTCTGATAACCCATTTTTTTTTTTACTTTTACTTTAGTAGAAAATACTTTTTTTTTCATTTTTCAGTTGATGCCATGCAAATCAGCATGGTTTTGTGCAATAGTGGTGCGTCACCATGGTCACAGTGATCGTCATCGTTATTTTCATGTTTTGTTGCATTATCTTAATGTTACCGCAAGCTACCTAAAAAAATTAAAACCGGCGCATATGCCCTCTGCTAATGTTATATATTACCATAATCTTTACACGTCCCAGTCGCAAGATCAGTTGACTGGAAAATGTTACTTACACTTTAAAAAATATTCAAACTCATTTCAAAACAGCGATGCATTGACTTTTTAACATATATCGCAAATTGTATAAAATTCTACTTTCACCTCCGGCCAAAATACAGAGAATTGCACTATGACTGCTGGGCTAGATTGTACACACTACATACATCATATTTGTCCATCATTCGTTTGGTAAATATTCCATTGTAAAGCATACATGTACAATAGCTATAAACAGGAATTATTAAATTGAAAGTATGATTTTGAATTTGACAGCACACTTGATCCGAACCAGACTCGACGGGCCTGCACCTACACCAACAGGCAGGGCCGACGTGTGCGGCCCAGGTGGCGCAACAGCCCCTCTGGTAACCAAGGCAACACCGGCAGCACTGGGGGCAAACAGCAACAAGGCGGCAAGCAGCAGGGCAAGCAGCAGGCTCCACTGGAGGGCAAAGGTCGCAAGAAGTACTACCCTTCCTTCAACCTGACGCCAACGGCTGTTACGTGAGTAAATCTTAATGTTAATTGTGGAATTTTTGTAGGTTGTTGGAAGTGGGAGGGTACCGAAGGGGGTAATCCCTCCCCCCCCCCCCCCCCACCCACCCACTTATTTAATCCCATGCTACAGTGACATATAAACTCTGTTGTTCTACCTTTCAGAAACATTCCACAGCCATTGCCTAGAGGCTTCACTTTTAAGGTCTCAAGAAACATGTATAATATGGTTGTGTTGACTAAATTGGATATTTCAAGTTCGCTGCATTTTTTTTACTTGTTACATTCTTGAAAGGAAATTGATTTCTCTCATTTGTGATAAATGTAAATCAATGTTACAAAATGTTACATTCTTTAAAAGAAATTGATTTCTCTCATATGTGATGAATGTAAATCAAATGGAGATCTGGTCGTTGGAGGTTCAACTGGTTTGAGCGCTTGTTTAAAATCTGATGTGCTATCGAATGTTTCAGGCCTGTGCTCCTGTCAGCCAAGCATTTTGACAGCGAGGCAGCCGTGGACGACCGGCAGCTGACTCCAATGCAGTGGGGCCTGGTCCCTTCATGGCACAAGGGGGACCCCACGGGCCTGAGCTACAAGATGAACAACTGCCGACGAGAGGGCATAACCCAGAAGCGATCCTTTAGCCGCCCCCTGGACAAGGGCCAACGATGTGTGGTTCTTGTTGACGGGTAAGTTAAAAACCCAACCTTCTCCGAGCTTTTCGCTTTCTCCGAGCTTTTCGGGTGTCTTATGCACACCTTTAACACTAGTGCAACAGGTGTAAAAGTCTGTCGGACCTTGTTGTATCTGGCCATGTCAGTGAGACACTTGGAGCTCGCTTTAATGAGCAGTGTCACTGTTATATTCTGTTGCAGTTGGCAACCGTGGGCTCTCTGGCAGTTTGGCCGTTGGATTTTTGACCTGTTGAATTTTTACTACACTGCGCAGGCTTCTCACTTTGACAAATTTTGCAATTGCTGCGCATAGCAGTGTTTCTAGCCAAAACACCCTGGAGTGTTGGGTTTCAGCCGTTTTGGACACCCAATTTTGATAATGCAAAACCTTGCAAACGAAGATCAGAAGATGTCCAATTATTCAAATGTGTCAAAATCCCTTACGCTCAGAAACCCATTCTAGAAGTTTCTAGAAGTTTGCATGGGGTTTACGTCCCTTGAAAACAGACCACTGAAATTAAAAACTCCATTTTTTTTTTTTTTTTAATTAGTTTGCCGTTTTCACTCTTGAGAAATTTTGAAATATTATACCATTTCCTTTTGTTTTTAACATCTCGTAGCTAGTTTACATGTGGTTACATTTCCTTTCAGTTACTATGAGTGGTTGACGTCAAAAGATGGCAAGAAACAGCCTTACTTCATCTACTTTCCTCAAGACACTCCCATCGAAAGCCTTGCCTCCAAAACCTCATCAGCAGAAGCCGAGGTGACAGAGATGCCTGACTTCCTCCCAGAGGAAGAGGTCACCGAGGGGTCAGAGTGGAAAGGTCACAAGCTGCTGTCGATGGCTGGATTGTTTGACCGCTGGTTCCCACCAGAGGTTGGTATCCAATACTCTTGAAAACTTGAACAACTTCTGAATTCTCCAAATTCCTCCTATGTACACCACTCTGCAAGAATCAAGTGACAAATCTTCACGCTTAGAATCTCAAGATGCATTCTCTGTGCTGTTTCGACCCTAGTCTTGGATCAAGATGGGAACAAAGTACTTTATTTGTTAAAGCAAAACATACACATTGGAAATTTGTTTGGAGAAAAAGTTTTATTTTGAAGAGCACAGGGAAAACACCTTTAAAGTGACTGGGCTGCACATTGCTGAATAATGAGCGGAGCATACTGTCTGAAACGTTGAGTTTTTCCAACAGTTGGACTCAGAACCACACAAAAAATAATTCCTGTGGTATGGTGTAATTGTACTTACTCTTATTGCCGACTTCGCCATGCAGACCTTTCAAATCTTATCTTCCTAAATCCCGCAAAATGCTTTCAAAATCTTACGATAGATGTCGATGGATCTTCAAGGGCTAGGGTGAAAATGATACAACTTGTGATGCTTAGAACATTGTAAACGCTCTGGTAAGGCCAAAACAAAAATACTAGTTCTGCTTCCGGTTTCCCTACCTTCCCTATTCTGAAAGCCCCTACCCTAATTTTTTCATTGGAAAAATGAGAAAAAAACACCCAAAACCATCAATTCCCACCTTTTACCCTTGACTACACGCAGACGTCTCCATATGATCATACACACAAAAAAATTTGCAAAAAAACCAAAAAAACCCTATTTACTAAAACCTACCTACCCTATTTTCGAATGCCATGTAATCGGAAGCAGAACTGTTTTTTTTTTTTGCCCTAAGCTATCACAGTGAATGAATTTGTCAATTTGAAATTTTCTGTTTTATTACATTTTCTGTTCTCTCTACAGGGTGGTCCACCATTGTACACGTACAGCGTCATCACTGTGGAAGCGTGTCCCAGTATGAGCTGGTTGCACCACCGCATGCCGGCTGTTCTGGATGGAGACAAGGCCATCAGTGATTGGCTGGATTATGGAACGGTGCCAACCAACAAAGTGAGTGTGACATTGTAAAAAAAAAAAACGATTGCCATAGTGAACATTAAAAATTGCCAAGGTGAACAATGTACGTTGTAAATAAAGTAAATAATCCTTGAAACGGAAGTGCAGAGAAATTTCCCACTGAATAGGCTGATTGCAGTAAACAGTGACAAATGACAAATCACCCCGACGCAAAATTCCATCTTAAAATAGTTTATGCGGTACCCGCTGCTTTGTACATCAGATTTGAACCGGCCAACCGATCCCGTTTGCTCGGTGGTCGAGTGGTAAGACATCTGCACTAGAAAGCAGGAAGTCGTGGGTTCGAGTCCCATCTGAGTGATTTTTTCCAACTTTCACTCAGGAGGTAGCACACTGAGTATACAGTGTTGAAACGTCGGTGAAGGGCAAACAAAACCTAGTTTGAGTGACAAATGAAGTTTTCCCCGCAAGATTCACCACTTTATGCAGAATTTTCATTGAACAACAAAAAGCAAATTTATTTTTGTGTAAGGGCCTGTCTCAATCCATATCCTGGACGAGTTCCGGACATTGAATCAGTTATAAGTTGCAGGATTCTGAACAACTTCCTCGTCATCTTCTCGCAATGAATTGATCAGTAATTGTGAGTCAAGCATTTGCTAATGAAAATTTCCCCCGGAACGTGTCCAGGACAAATGCAGAGCTTCTTCCAGACGAAGTGAATGATTCTACTCGCAACTTGTGTGGAATTTGTCCAAGAAATGACTTGAAACAGGAATATTATTCCCAGTTATTATACTGAGATGAGACTTTAGAATGGCCTGCCGGAAGTTTTGTCTGGCCAATCACATACCTTGACATAGAAACTTTTGTGAAAATTGTGAAACCTCCGGGGAACAGTCTTCCTATTGGCTATTATCTGGCCAATCAGCGAATTGGCCAGATAATTCCTTCCTGTTTTCTGCAGAATACTCACTCTGGAAGCACTCATTTCTAATCTATACTTGACTCTTTCTTTCCCAGGCTCTGGAGCTTATCAAGGCAGAGACTTGCTTGACCTCTCACCCCGTTTCATCGCAGGTCAACAACTCCAGGTACAAAGGATCGGACTGCATCGTACCAATTGATCTAGAGTAAGTGTGTGTAGTCTTGATGGCTGTTTTTTGTTCATTTCAAAATAACAAATTTCGGATAGCCTGGGATCCCTGACAAGATTTCTGAATAAAATTTGTCATAATAATTGGCATTAAAAAAACAGCAGTTTTATAAACCTATTCTCCTTGACACACTTCAAAAGATTTTAAATTCTGTGAAGGTTTTTTTTTTCATTTGGCAAACATAATTCCATGTTTGCTTCTTAAGGTGTGTAGTTATTGGCATTTCATTGTTCTTTTTGGCCTCACGTTCATGGACAGTGGCTGGCTTGTTCAATTTTACAGTATATGTGCATACAACAACTTTTCGATGCTTTGATAAAAGCGTACTTCCAGATTGTCAAATTGGAATGAATGTAAATTATCTTGTTAAAAATGTTTACTTTGACAGGAAGCCGATGAAAGAGACGGCCAGCAGCAAAATGATGGGTGCCTGGCTGGCCAAAGCAGCCAAACCCTCCCCAAGCAAAGACACCAAGCAGGGAATCAAGCAAGAGATCAAAAAAGAGGTGGAGTCCTCATCGCCATGGAAGCTGGGGTCATCACCACGGAAACAGGAACCAGGCCTGAGGTCATCGCCACTGAAGCGTACAGCCATGACGGACTGGCTGAGCAAGACCAATCCAGAGCTGAAGGTCAAAGTTGAGCCTGGTTCTCAAACGACGGGCCCCTCACCAAAGAAGGCAAAATTGCGCTGAGGAGGTTCGGCCCAGGCTAAGCATTTTATTTTTTTAAAAGATGAAGCATCACTTAAACAGATGAAAAGCGTTGTGCTTGTTAAGAGTACTTATTAGTTAGTAAGCATCGTGCAACTACAAAATGATGTTCTATTGCTGGTAGGCATGCAAAGTTTAGCCATGAAAATAAGTGTTGCCACCTTTTGTTTCTTTCTCCTTACAGTCCGAAACCCAAATGTTGGGACCATTGTTTTAGTGAAGTTCTAAATGTGGCACTTTCAAAATCTAGGATATGAAAGCTCAATTCATAAGCTTTCTTTTATATACAAGAATCATTCGAATCACTCATGTACTTTTCAAGTTATGGACTTTTAATCACAACCACCATTTTAAAGTTCTGTCCACGGATCACAAAACAGTAAGTGCTCTTTCAGCAAAACGAAAACAAATCACATAGGGATGTGTGTGAAATGTTTTCGTTTTGCTGAAAGAACGCACACCTTTTGTGTGATTTGAGGACAGAACTTTAAAACGGTGGTTGTGTTTAAAATTCCTTAACTTAAAACCTACATAAGTGATCTGAATGATTCTTGTACTAAAAGAAAGCTTATGAATTGGGCTTTCATATCCTAGATTTTGAAAGTGCTACATGCAGAACTTCACTAAAACAATGGTTCCGACATTTGGGTTTCGTTTATTTTTACTCACCCTGTATTGGTAGTAACTGCTCTAAGAAGTTAGATCTCTAAAACACATGATGCACTGTATCTCTATGCAAGTAAACATGCAGCAACTTTCAGAGCCGGTTTTAAAGGTGCTATTCTTCATGGAGTAAATTGGACAAGTTTATAAGATGCTGGAAATACACTGCCAAGTTACAATTATCTGACCTGAAATATTATTGTAATATCTTTTAACAGTTTAGTCCTGTAAAATTGTGTTAACATATGAGACTGAAAAAAATTAATAAGTTCACTTGTAAATTTTGTACAAACGTTGTTATTAACAAGCTGAACTACTAGAATAGATAGAAATCTAGGGTGTTTTTGTAACATTTTTTCATCTGATTTGATAGTTTTAGGAAGCGGTAGATAAATTGCATGTTTAAAGGAACCACCAATGGTGAATTCAAAAGCAGCTGAAAGTTTGCATTTACCCAACAGGCTTAAGTTTGAAAAAGTTGAGTTTGATGTTTAAAAAGTTGTTTAGAAGTAGTTGTTCACAAAAAATTGCTCACAAAAACTTAATACAAATGTGAATGATTGGCTCTTTGAAAAAAGAGATGGTTGTGGATTTTCAATCATTTTCAGGTTTGCAGATTATATCGTTTCTTTCAAATTTAATTTTGAAAAGTTGTTACAAAGATAATCGTCAGCTGCTCAATCAAGCATTATCTAGTTATGCAAATTGTTTGTGTAGAATGTACTCTAATAATTTTTTACAAAGATATCAGTGATGTAAATACGTATTATTTATATAATCAAAAGAACAAAGTATTCACCTCTATCATCCATTATACTTGTAATAAAAAAAATTGTTGATTTCCAACTACTACCTTTTTTGAGTATTAACAGGGAAGATTTATTTTGACTTTGTAGCCTGAGGAAGCTACCAATAGAAAGGTGTCTTAGGGTCGGAATAATCAAACAATTTCAGGTGTCACCCCTTCTAAGTATCTTTCCCTAGGGCCATAAGAATCTATCTGCCAAGTTTGGTGCTTTGGACCAGTCGGTCACGATCTTGTCAAAAATGAGGAATATATTTCAATCAAACCTCAAACTCAAAGCCCCCCCCCCCCCAAAAAAAAAACCATGGTAATAATTAAATGCAAATAAACAACTTCAGATACAAAAATAATATATATTTATGTTTACAAATATCAAAAAAATCTTGAAAATGATTTCACATTTGGTACCAATTTGTCAAAAGTTTTAGGGTATTTTGGCACGAACAACCGCCATTCGCTCGTTATAGCGCCCTCTATTCTGCAGTGTTGAAATTAATGTACTTAATTGCCTCTTGGTGGCGCTATTATTACTCCAATGCACTCAGAATCGAACTCGAACTTCGAAGTAAGATACGTTTTTAATCCGTTGAAAAAATACCCGAATACTCACACCGAACAACAAAATGATTGAAATAACTTGTAACGACAGACTTGGAAAGAAAGTCCGCATCAAGTGCAAGTATCCTTTGCGAACTAGGGCCTAATTGTATTACTATATTATGAATTGAATTACTATTAGTATTACTAACTAGGCCTATCGTCCGGGCAGTCATGGCAGTAGTAAAACGACGCACTTGTGTAATGCAATGACGCACTCACCTTTCACTTTGAATAGCGCGGCGCCCCCCCCCCCAGTCGCCCCCCCCCCCCCCCACTAAGATGTTGAGTTTCTAAAAAAATTATCATTGATCTACATGATGCCCCCCCATGAAATGTTCCAGCCCCCCCCCCCAGCGCCCCCCCCCCCCTCCCCACTGAAAAATTCCTGGCTGCGCCACTGTTGATGATTAAAATCAAGGTACTAAAGTATGCTTATGAGTCGGATGAAAAGTGAAATTTCCCGTTGAATTCCGAGAGCTCCCCTCGCGATCGATCGTGAACACGTTAAATTTCCGACTCGTAGTCGTATTTGAACAATGCGATGTGGACGTACGGGTCATTCAATGTTCCCAGCGCGATTCCATTACCGAGTGCGATGCATCCATTATGATAATGAGTAGACTGGATCTCGTTTGTACAAGTGCATATCGAACAATAATACGGAGTCGGGAACTAGCTTGAACTGGTTTGCGCTGATAGCTGCCCTAGTTCCCGACTCTGTATCATAGTTCAAAATGAACAAGTGTGTACAAACGAGATCTAGTCTACTCATTATTTTAAATACTCATTTTTCCCCAGTCATCTAGCATTAAAATAAATTGTTTATCTTAAACGCAAGTTTAGCTGAGTAGAAATAGCCCATGGTTTGAGTTTGATCCTTAGCGATCGTTTGAACAGTGAAGATGATACGATTGGTGATCTCAAGAAGCTGATATCTGCACAGACCGGCACAAAACACGAGAAGATTGTCCTCAAGAAGTGGTATACCATCTTCAAGAACCACATCACGCTCAGAGATTGTATCCTTTGATTGAACTGTCCCAGATCTATCTGTGGCCAATTTTATGTACTATGCCTAGACTTTCTGTAGACTGATTCAATAAACCCCATGGTCTTCCACCTTGGTCCTGGAGGAATCTAGTTAAGGAAAGAAAGAATTAACCCTAACCGCCCTGCATCCTTCAAAATCCTCTTTGCCAAAGTGGAGGAATTCGGAGGATTGAGGTTACATGCACTTTGTCAAGGTCTTGGGCCGGACCTTGTGTTGTTTTTGCTCAGCCATGCATAAATATAGGCCTGGATTATGCTTGAAATCCTCCATACTGCTCCAGGCTGTCACTGGCCAAGCCTCAGCATATTGACAGTCACTGCCGCAGGATTTTGCAGGATTCAGGCAGTGGTCACCCCTCCACGGAACATATTCATGAAATAATGGAGGAATTTGCAGGATTGAGGCTATTACAGTCGACTCTCGTTAGTACAAACTCTGTTAGGCGAAGTAAAAAAAAAAACATGTTTAGCGTCCCCGCCCGCTTCCTTTTTATTTAGAGGCCGCCTCCTTTTTTTTTTTTTTTTTTTTTTTTTTTTTAAAAGACAAAAATTGATAAATTTTAACAATCTCTGACAAAAGAAATCGTATTTTTAGACTTTTATACCGTGTATAAAGCTGTGGAAATAGTCAATGAGTCCAAGTGGCGGCCATTTTGAAAAAAGCAGGTAACCATCTTGAAAAATAGCCCGGCTGCGTTGTCTTGAAAAATGTGTCGGGCGGCCATTTTGAAAAAAAAAAAAAAAAAAAAAAGGGCCTCCTCCTTCCTTTTTGTCAAAGAGGCAGGACGCTAAACATGTTTTTTTTTTTATTTTGCCTTAATACAAAATTCTGGTTATAACAAACATAAAGCCAACTGGCTTGCAGTCATTTAGAAACGAAAATAATGTATAGCTTATTTCCAACTATCAGTTAAATGCCTGATTTTTGAAACAGAGTGCTATTGACAAAATAGCGTTTCATGATCAAAGGTTTGTGCATGTTTTTTCATTGTTTCTTGAATTTCTTGATTAACTGAGCTAGAATTAAAAACTTTAGTGTTATTATCAGAAACGAACAAAATACAGGAAAAAGCATATGATCCTGTATGCCTTTAAGGCTACATTGTTTGGACATATTTTGGTCTTCTGTAGATGATTGCGTGTACACTGTATCGGAAGTCCAACTTTCAGACTCTGATGAGTTGGTTGCGATTAGGGGAGGGGTCTGATCCTTCCACACCTAAAACACTGCACCTGCAGGACCCTGCCTATTCAAATACCCAAAGTTTTCCTTGACCCAGAACCCTGTCTCTTTCCACAGATGAAATCAACGATGGAATGAACTTAGAACTGTATTACCAGTGAGATATGAGGCAGCCTGTACATACAATTAAACTCGGAATGGCCCTGCAAGGCTTACATATGGTAAAATACAGACCCCTGGTGACCTTGATTGAACCGTGGCAGTTTTGAGGTTGCAGCAAAAGTTATAAAACTGTGGCATCCAAACGTCTCACAGCTCATCAAGTCAGAAGGAGTTGCTTTAGGAGACTGAAGTTTCATCATATCTGGATTCAGAATTGTGTCCCTGCTGCGCCGTGTTCATAAAATCCACCACAAGTTGTAGGATTTCAACAGAAATGCGAAGACTTGGAATGGGAATCATTGTTATGTGATTCAATTGCAGCATCGGGCCCAAGTGGCGTAGCCAGGATTTTAGGGGGGGGGGGGGCGGGGGAACAAGGGAGGACCCACAAGAAAATGTGCCTAAATTTTCTGGGGGCCGATTGGCCAGTCAGTTGCTACAAATTTGAAAGGGGGGGGGGGGGAACTGACCTCACTTGATGCTAGGAGTCATTTCCTCTTTTCATAAATTCTTTTAGTTGGGTGAAGGGAATTGGCATCAAGTTAATTTCCTTCATCTGCATTCCCATTTTGGTGAATTTACTTTTTAAAGAACACTTCTTTGGCAACGCAAACATTTTAGGGTTATTAAGGGGAAACACCCCCCCCCCCCTTCCTGGCTTCGCCACTGTCAGGCCTACCTTAATTGTTAACTTCTCTCTATTTTTTTTTTCTGTCTGTAAGCTGTATACATATTTAAAAAGCACTGGGTTTCGGTGAAGATTCAAGAGTTGTCTTTTTTTTATCATCACCATCAAACAGGCCTTTTCTTTAGTGAGAATATGGGGGTTTTTTATTGAGAATGAGGGTATTTTGTTTTAAGCCTGGTTTTTTTCTGTAAAAGTTGTTGGTTGGCAAAAGCATACATTTCTTGTCAGTCATGTCAGTAAGATTCTAATTGTGCGTGTATCATGATGAAGCAGTTGGGTCAACAGTTCTCTGGAATTCATCTTGAGTTTCATTCATGTAATTTATAAAGTTTGCACTTGCTACAAGTGAGTTTGTTCATGGACATCCGTTGTGTTTTAATGAAGGCCTCAAGTAGGTAATGCCACCATGAATTAGCTGCTTAATTGATTCCTGTACTGATTGAATTCACTGGCAGTTCGTGGCAGAAAAGTTACAGGCAAGTTGATTTCAGCTTGTTTAAAATTTGAGATTTCCCTAAAACTTTCAATCCTTGCTTGTTTCCACTTGAAATGCTTCAGTTGGTGCCGTATTAGATTTACTTTGCTTTTTCGACCAATTCATGCACATTTGTTTTTTGATTGCTGTTTTGTTTAATTTATTTGTATGGCATAGTAATTGTGAGTTCTGAACTGAGTGTCCCAAAAGTAAAACATTTGGAGCTTTTATTGATTTTAGAAATGTGTCAGTCTAATTAAGGCATGAGCAACCCAAGAAACTTAGGCAAAGTCAAACATGAACACGTTTTATATACTCTTCACCAAGTTCTTGTATTTAACATTAAATAACATGGACAACCGAGGTCTTTTGCTTTGTGTTCCGTCTTTTATCTTTACCTTTAAAAATGAAAATTTGGCTGCACAATTATGTACAAGTTACTTTCAAAATGTGCCTTCAAAAATGTGTGTACACTACTATTGAATTAAACTGGTTCCCAGTTGATACAGGGGGTACAAAAATGGGAAGTATATTTTGTGATATTGAGTTTATCTTTCCTCAAAAAAGAGGTGAGAATTTTGTTTTCTGTCCCCGATATTTCTGTTGTTTTTGTGGTCCCCCACCGGACCGTAAATCGTGTGTAGCGCCCTCACCATGCAACCTCTCCCGAACTATCGTCTCGCGCCGCGCTATGCATATCCCACATGTCCCTATCCCATCCCATGGGCATGCGTACACTTTCTAAAAATAGTTCAGCAAACATGACTGAGATGAGAATGATGTTATATTTTGTCACCAACATACGAAAACACTTCGTGCCTGCTAACCGAACAAACCACACGCTCGAGTAATTAAGTGAACGCGGAACTTGATGCTGGAAAACAATCATGTCGTCTTTATTGCGATTTCACCAAATCTGTGTGGTTCTGATCGGGACCGTGATCGCTGCAACCCTGGCCCGGGGAATTGCGCGCGATCCACGGTACGGTCGCCCGTCGTCCCCCGCTCCCAAGTACTTGCCGGTCATACTGGTCCACGGCATCTTTACCGGGACCAGTACCTTGAACGACTTGGTAGCGTTTATTAAGGAGGTAAATGCAATTTATGTTGTTTATGATTTTTTGAATGTCGATTTTCATTTGGTATAAAATTATGCCTATGCTATGGAGAAAGACTGTCAATTTTGTCATGACTGTAGCGTTTGGGGGTCTATACATGTAATAACTTTTATTTATTATTGCATGAAAAAAAGCTGAATTGAAAAATATCCTAGACGCGACATTTGGGTACAAAACTCTTAGCAAAATATAGCCCCACTTGTGTGGCCTCTGATTGCTGCGCTGTACGTTGGGCCACACGTCTGGTTTCCCCTGAGGAGTTTAGTCTGAAAGTGAAACTGGCACACATTGACTCAAGAAAGATGTCTAAATCTCTCAAAAAACCTAATCTACCCGAAGGGCAAAAGATGAGGAACCATAGAATACAACCATATAAGTGGTATGTAAAAAAAATGCCAAAAACTAAGGGTGTGCCAGTGTTTGGACTAAAGTCCTCAGTAGGTAAGGTTGGAAAACCAGACAGTGCAGCAATACGGAGGCCACACAAGTGGGGCTAAGCAAAATACTGCACGTATAGAACACTCCTCATTTACATGTGAGTCAAAGTCTTGGCCGTGTGACGCAGCCTATATTTTGCTAACAAAATTCACAACATAAACGCACAAATGTCGTGTCTAGGTTGTCTATGGTTACTCTGCAGCTGGACCATGGTCCCAACTTTGGCTGAAACTGTCCCAACTATCTTGTATTGAAATTTCAAAAAAGGAAAAGCCACCCTTTCTTTAGTTTGAGAAATTTCAATTTTTGTGCTATCTTGAATCTGCAATTTGGTGTAATCAAATTTATAATCTTCCTTTCTCGCCCTCCCCCGGCCCCACCCCCCAATTCTGACAGGCCGTCCTTGTCCTACAGGTACTGTAAGATCAAAACATCCACAGCTTTTATTTTGTAGAGCAAAGTCTGGATGTGGTAACGAGAATCCCAAAAAAAATTGAAAACGTACCAGGAAAAAGACAAATATTTTTCAGAAGTGTTTACTTCTTCCTTGTTTACAATGTAGTTTCTATATCTTAGGCCAAAAAAAAAAGTCTCCGGTTTCTGGTATGGAGCTTGCCCAAAAAGTGGTGCGGCGACGCAGCTTTTTTTTTTTTTTTACCTGTTTTTTTTGCTTCAAATGTCGGCTGATGACTGCAAATGGTGCCCGACTAAACTTAGTGCAAATATTATGGGAGACCAGAGAGGCCACATAAAGCTCATTCTCGATCATAACCCCATCTAAAACACGTTAAAATTGTGCAGCAGCAGGATTCCAGTCAAACCAGTGAATTTGGCGGTTTTGAGACATCATCTTTCATTGAAAATTTTTTTTTTCATTTTGCTGACGCGCATGGCTACGGCGACGCGCGCGCATACCAGAAACCAGAGACTTTTTTGGGGGGGCCTTATGTAAAGACCTTTATTGGGCTTGTAGTATTTCCTCCATTATTGAAACTCTCTGTTGTGAATGTGCCTTGCAAGTTTTGCTTCCTGGTAAGTAATGGGATTTGAAGTCTGCATGATGTGCATACTTGAGCATAATCCAATATAATGTTTGTTTTTGAAAAAAAAAATGCATTTAAAAGCACCAAACAGGTACCAAGTAGATATGCGCTATGTGTTCCAAACATTTCTTTTGTTTCATTCAGAAAAAAATATAAGTAGCTTCGGAGTACATTCTCTATAACAGCTTTTGTTTTTGTTTAGTCTGATTGACTTCAGACTTCGTATACAAATAGAACACTACCTGCAGATGGTCAATCTACCTGCAGATGGTCCAGAATGATGTCACCAAGTGTCAAATTAAGTCACATTAAAGGTGCATTTTTCAAAGCCTCGTATCTTCTGAAGTACAAGTCCAATTGGGTTGAATCTTTGGAGGCACATGTACTTACATAGGGCATGTTACAGATGAAAATTAAAGTGACACCATGATGACGTCATCGCAAGTCATGTGACTGACGTCACATTAAAGGGGTAATTTTCTAAGGCCTATATCTAAAGAAGTGTAGGTTCGATTTGGTTGTAACTTAATTGACCTAAACCGGGATACGTGTTCGAAACAGCTTGTGTTTGTCCACATGCACATTTCTAGTTTCGTTATCAGTTTTATGTGCTAATGGGAACATTGCTTTATTCAGGCCCACCCAGGGACGAACATCAGTAATATTCCATTATTTGAAGATTTGGACAGCCTGAAGCCGCTATGGGAGCAAGTCCCCAAGTTTGCTGCCGCCATGCGACCCATCATGCAACAGGCCCCGAATGGTGTCATCCTACTCTGCTTTTCTCAAGGTGAGTTTTAAAAAATTACTTTAGTTAAAAACTCCCTGAGGCTTTTTAAACTACATGTATTGCAAGAAACTTCAAAGGCATTCTGTAACTTTCGTGTTTAAACCTTCTAAGTGGGAAGTCGATATGTAGAGCAAATGTGTAAAACCCTTTAAAATCCTGCAAGTCAGTTTCTGTTTTTTGTGTGTCTTTTGGGCACAAACAGGCTTCTGCGCATAAATACATCCCGTAACTGATGCCTATCTCTTGAGAATAGGAATTATTGTCTGGCAGTTGTATATTTCAAAATTTTAAGTAATAATTCAATAATTAAACATGGACCAGGAATTTTTTCAGTCAATGACTCATTCAAAAGTGAATAACTTTTATATTGCTAGAAAAATAGCAATTTAGAAAAGGAATCTAAATTTCGGGATGAAACTCAAACATAGCACGTGGAATGCATCTTGAAAGGGTAGAGAAGAGTTTCTTCGAAATCTTCCTGGTTTATTCAGTTCAAGAAACCTGCTTAAAGAGAAAATACAACATTTGCAAACATCAAAAAATAAAACTACCAAATCATTTTGAAATACCTTGCTGGACTGTTAGTGAATGACAGTGTAAAGCATCCTGTAAAATCATGGCACCTGGTATACTGTCATTTTCAAGAAAAGTGGTATTTTTGTATCAATTTCCAACGCTGATCGGCCGACCAGCGTTGGAAAAAACTGGCTTTTTTTCAAATACTGGCCCCAATTGACCATCGCACTTGTTTGCATTCGATTACACACCTTTAAACGGGTACAAGCCAGCTAGACTGGTTCCCTGACCTTACAATTCCCCAATGTATGTAAACTGCTCTGTTTCTTCTTATATGGAGTCAGGGAACCAGACTACAGGAAAATGATTGTTTTTCTTGGTTTTTATAGCATTTTCGAACCCAAAACCTCAAAAAAGTGAGAAAAATTACAGCAAAAGCAAATGATGTATATTCCCTTTAATCTCTTCGTCCAAAGCAGAAAGTGAAGATAAGAACCTCATATCTTCCTGGTTTAGGTTCAGAGAAGATGAAAGTGATATTCCCTTATGCCAATGGGCCACTTTTCAAATCATGGCTTTGTCAAGCATAATGCACACAGTTCCTTTCAAATGGAAAAGTACTAAGCAAACAAAATAGGAAAATCATACAGAGAAAAAATGGTCTAAACCCCCTCCTCCACCATTGGGCCTCAAAAATAAAAGAAAAATCATGCAGGAAAAGTAGCACATACCGTTTAAACCTCCCTTCCCCTTTGACAGCTAACCCCCTCCCCCCCCCCCCAGCCCAAACGCTGAATCCACTCCACTGTACATGTTGCCTCAGATGTAATATCTTCCCATGAAATATCACAGGTTTTTGAGGTCAACTTCAACGCTCTTTTGGCAAAACCCATATAACAAATCTTGAGGCAAAACTCCATCATTCCAGATATTTAGGAGGTACATGTACATGTATATATGCATTGATTACACAGACCATAAGCAGTGTACAACATGTACAGTATATACGCGTGCGTGTGCACATGACAGTGACTGAATGGTGAATATATTTAAGATGTATTCCCGGTGGTCTTTTGAGTTTCACCCCCAAAAAGTTTTTTGTTGGGTTTTTTTTAATCCCAATTTTCCTAGTAACAAAAAGTGATTCACTTTTGAATGAGACATCATACAAAACAAATCCACTGACAATTATTTATTGAATCATTTCTTTTAAAAATTTGAATAATTTTCAGCCAGACAATAAGTTGGCTCATGCAGGTTCATTTGTGCGCAAAATAAAATCAAGTTTTCAGAGGGTTGCAGACGCCCAAAATTAGAAGCAAGTATTTTTTCTTAAAAATAAAACGTACGAATTGAAAATTCATTAGGAGAAAAAAATATTTTATAAGAGCGCTGGGCACGAATCTTCAAAGAAGAAGGAACTATCCTCTCCAGGGCCATTAGGTCAGTTTTGTTTCCCTGATATAAACACTTGAGGTTGTGCAACAAGGAAATAGTTCTTGTTACAAATTCATCATGGACAACTTATAAAAACAGTGCAAAGTATATGCAACACTTGAACCTGTTTCGTTTTCGTTTCTCCTCAGGCGGTATCATGTGCCGTGGTGTGTTGGAGACGATGCCCGATCACAACGTGCACACCTTCATCGCCTTGTCAACTCCCCAAATGGGACAATATGGAGGTATCTGTCAAAAAGAACAAATTGGGAAGGAAGAATGAGAAATAGTTTATTTATAGTTCGTTTCTGTATTTTAGTCCTTTATTTATCAAAGTAAAGACCACACCTTTGAAAAGTAGTTTTCAATAGGATACTATAATATGAGCAGATGAACAGTGGCATATTTAGGAGGGGGGGTACCATCCCCCCTCCCCAATCAGTCTCCTCTCAGACGAGTTTTAAAATTAACATGTTTTCCAAAGTGTGTCTTCCAGTCAAGGCCAAGTTCGGGCAAGGACCAAAAGTCGACTGGTGGTTGATTTTTGACGTACCTTACGCCTGCGCACTGATAGCAACATGCGAAAGTCTCTAGTCAAACGCTGGTCAAAATGTCATCAAATGTTCCAAATAGTCAACTAGCGTAGTCAACCACTGTCGACTAGACAGAGTTCGGGCAAGCGTTAGTCGGACTATGGTTAACCATTGGTCAACTATAGTCCTTGTGCGAACTTGGCCCAATATGTGGCAAGGAAGAGCACCTCCTATTGTTCGATAGAGTCCTAGGTCGTCTGCTGTGAACAGCGCCCTCAGTAGACGGATGGAAAAGGGACTACCCTCTTGCTGCCCTCAAAATGCCCCCCCCCCCCCCCCCCCCGCCCAACACACATACACAGAACAAAGATATTTGAACAATTAACGTAGTGATTCAATATTTAATAGGTTGTGCACTTCACTGACGTCTAAAACCTAATATTGAATTTACATCACCCCGACGCCAATTCCATCTTCTGAATAATGTAATAATGGTTTATTCACAGATACATCATACATTCTACCAGCTCTACCATTGCTCAAGGAAGACGTTTACAAGTGAGTGTGAATTTAAAGTTGTCTTTAAAGGGAATATACATCATTTGCTTTTGCTGTAATTTTCAGAAATGGATGGAATTGGGGGTTTGGAAATATATTGCAAATATAGTTACACTGACTTTTCGATGTTTGTAAATGTTGTATATTCCCTTTAAGTTTAAATTCGTGTTTCACCTCCGAGTGGTGTGCTTTAAGCACGTGTTTGTTGTTTGTTTGTTTGTTTTTTAATTCAATTAATCGAATGTATTAGAAGTATTAGCACTCATGTATCCATGTGGTACAAAAGAATTAACCTAAAACAGGGCTGCAGTGCACAAGATGTGAAAAGAATTTAATACAACATCAAAAGGTATTAAATTGAATGTGCTATAGAAAATACAGGGTGATTAAAAAAAAAACGAAACCCAAATGGCTATGGAACGCCAAAGAGGCATTTAATGTGATCATCGAATCGGTGATACACTTTTGCAATCGGTGATGCATATTCACGATCGGTGATGGACTTTCGCGATCGGTGATGGACTTTTACTGGTGATGCATATTCACGATCGGTGATGGACTTTCGCGATCGGTGATGGACTTTTACTGGTGATGCATATTCACGATCGGTGATGGACTTTCGCGATCGGTGATGGACTTTTACTGGTGATGCATATTCACGATCGGTGATGGACTTTCGCAATCGGTGATGGACTTTCACTGGTGATGCATATTCACGATCGGTGATGGACTTTTGCAATCGGTGATGGACTTTTGCGACCGATGATCAACGACCCATCACCGATTGCAAAATCCATCATCGATCGCCAAAGTGCATCAGTTATTGAACTTGCATGCCGCTGTGGCTTAGGGTTTCTCGTGTTGCCCCTGACGGTGATATTTGTTTACGGTGTTTTTGTGTTTGAAAGTGTCTTTCTCATATGTGAACTGCATTTTTTTTTAAATTAATGTGCGTAAAATGTTTGTTGTTGGTGTATGCCGCTGTGGCTTTGAGCTTTGGTGCTGCCCATATTGCAACCGGTAAATGCCCAATCGATGGTATCCGGAATAAAAACACTCCTCTGTGGATGTGGCATAAACACAGTGATTTGTTTTTATCCAATAAATGGTAAAACAATTTTTGCACCTGATGATTGATGGGTGGGCCATCGGAGACAGCATATGGCGGGGTTATTGGGGGGCCTGACCAGGCATCCAGGGGCCACAGGAATGCAATCACATCATCATCATCATCATCATAAATCCATCTAATAGCCAATCTTGGTATAGATATGTGGGGCCCTCTGGTCACTTAAGCACACTTAAGCGAGCACATGATGGACAGTACACAGAGGAACTTTCCTTGCAAATGTTTTTCCACCACCACCCCTTACATCCGCCAGTTATAGTGCTCCAAGGTTTCAAGAGACTATACAAATTACAAGGATTAAAATGTTCGCAATGTTTAGGATACAGACAGCCTGCTCCTCATATTTATGGGGCAAATGGAACCATTCAATCCCTTGTTTTTCTATTTTGTTAGGCTAATTTGATACTTGCCGTAGCGATCTCACTGTGTCACGAGGCTATGATGTTTTCCTGACTGATGTACATCTGTGGGAAGCTATTTTTTGTTATTCAAGTTTAATTTGCATTTGTTGTCATTTATTGCCACATATATCTCATTTTCATATAGGCCTACATGTATTTCATTTATGGTCAAGCATATTGTGTATGCCGTGGCTTTGAGTTTCTTGTGTTGCCCACTACTGGTCGGGCCTGGTGTTGCCCCTAAATTGTGTTCATACGGTTATATGTTTTATAATGTCCGTTCTCACTTACGAACTCCATTTTTTGTAATGTCCGTGAAATGTTTGCAGTTAGTGTATGCCGCTGTGGATTTGGGCCTTTGGTGTTGCCCATATTAACATAACCATAACAATTAACAATTCAAACGGTATATGCCATATCACAGGTATCCGGAATAAAACACTCCTCTGTGAATGTGGCATGAACAGAACGGGAGACACTTTAGCGTCACACATTTAGAGGCAAAATATTATCGTCGCAAATAGACTCGATTGCTCGTGGTCGAATTAGTAAAAATTACCCGGCGAATTAAGGTAAAATTGGAGTTACGGGTCATTAAATTTGGGGGAAAAATGTGTGCACTAGTTTATGGGAATGTTCCCCAAATAGCCAATTATGGGTTATTATAAGTTATTATTTTTTATCAATATTATTATTAACATTATTATTATTTGGGTTGATTATCACCATCAAGCAGCTCAGACGCTGAATTGCACAGTGATTTACAGTAAAAATTAAAATAAATTAAAAATAAACACATTTCACGAGAAATCGAAACACATACAAAATGCACAACAATCCATTATTCTCAAAAACATATACACTCGGATAATAGCAATTAAAATTGTATACATTTGAAAATCCTATGTTGAACTATTGATGAGTCTGGGCTATTTCGAAATCTCTTGGATGAACTGGGATACTCCTTGAGTGTTCTACTCGATCTAAGATTCATAGTGTGCCAACTTTTTGATTGAGGAAACCACTCATTAAATTTGCCTGATTTAAAAGCACCTAGAGCAAAGTTTGTACACATAGTGGTTCTTCTATCATAAAGGTGATCCAGAGATAGAGTAATACGGCAAACTCTTTTGGATCGACTAAATTAGATTGGTCTGTTTGAGTGTAATGCTTGAGTGCCAAACCGGTGTCACGGTCTCACTTCTCCGGCGTGCTAGCTTCTCCGGGTGGATTCGGCGGATAATTGAGCACGTTATAGTGCACGTTACATGAGCACGATTCATGCTCATGTGTCCACTGTGCTTACTTTTCCTAGGGCTGTTGAAGTCTACCAAGCCCATTAATAACACAGTGAAGGACACCTAAGAATGTGTTATGTAACACTTCCTGCGGGTCAAGTCATTCCATGGTCTTGCAAGCATTCTGATTGGTGTTCCCAGCGTCATGCATGTGTGTGTGTTCATGGAGGAATAATTAAGAACGAACTCCTTGGTCCGTGTTCCTTGCTCGTTCGTGGTCCATTTTGTCTTTATTATTGCAACCATGGCTTAAAATAAATGTGCATTTCAAGTCTTTTTTTGTTATTGGGAGTTAATAGTGCGTGCCACGAAAATTCTGGATTCGACTGATACCCTGTAACCATTCATACAAATAAGATCTTACATGCACAAGTACAACCCCGAGGAACTCGGCACACTAATACAGTGACGAAAATGTACACTACTGCGCAATTTTGTGCATGCGTGTTGAAGCGAAATTTTCCTTTTGGAGAAGCTAGCACGCCGGAGAAGCGAGACCGTGACACCGGCGATGCGTTTGCTAGGACTGGTCTAACATAGGGTAACAAGTTCTTAGAGTAAAACCAGTTTCTTTCAGTTTCCTGAACATGAATAATTTTCTATTAGCTTTACCAATCATCTCAGCAATGTGTTTCTCATGTCCTTAAATTTGAGTCCGAGTATTTTTTTACCAATACGTGATAAAAGGTTTTTGCATAATATGATGATTGATGTGTGGGTCATTGGAGACAGCATATATGGCGGGGTTATTGAGGGGTCTGAGCAGGCATCCAGGGGGCACAGGAATGCAATCACATCATCATCATCATCATCATCATTATAAATCCATCTAATAGCCAATCTTGGTATAGATATGTGGGGCCTCTGGTCACTTAAGCACACTTAAAGGGAATATACATCATTTGCCTTTGCTGTAATTTTCAGAAACGAATGGAATTGCAGGGGTTGGAAATATATAGCAAATGTAGTTACACTGACTTTTTTGAGGTTTTGGGTTCGAAAATGCTATAAAAACTAAGAAAAACAATCATTTTCCTGTAGTCTGGTTCCCTGACTCCATATAAGAAGAAACAGAGCAGTTAACATACATTGGGGAATTGTAAGGTCAGGGAACCAGTCTAGCTGGCTTGTACCCGTTCATAGGTGTGTAATCGATTGCAAACAAGTGCGATGGTCAATTGGGGCCAGTATTTGAAAAAAAACCAGTTTTTTCCAACGCTGGTCGGCCGACCAGCGACCAGAAATTGATACAAAAATACCACTTTTCTTGAAAATGACAGTATACCAGGTGCCATGATTTTACAGGATGCTTTACACTGTCATTCACTAACAGTCCAGCAAGGTATTTCAAAATTATTTGGTAGTTTTATTTTTTGATGTTTGCAAATGTTGTATTTTCCCTTTAAGCGAGCACATGATGGACAGTACACAGAGGAACTTTCCTTGCAAATGTTTTCCACCACCACCCCTTACATCCGCCAGTTATAGTGCTCCAAGGTTTCAAGAGACAATATCCATTACAAGGATTAAAATGTTCGCAATTTTTAGGATACAGACAGCCTGCTCCTCATATTTATGGGGCAAACGAAACCATTCAATCCCTTGTTTTTTTGCGTGAGTTTTTCCTGGACAGTGAACCGTGTGAGCCAGAGCCTTTTCGAGTCAAGAGTTCATGGGTACCCCCAAGAATCGTGTGCCAGCCATAGAAACATACGTTCAAGTTATAAATTCCCAAGTCACTAACCCAGACAACTTCCCCCACAGGACTCATGATAATCTCCCCAGAGAGGAGCGCCTGGCTCTCAACTCCTTGCGCTCTCGCACCGACATCATCATCAAGCCAGCAGATAAAGGTTCAGCTGTGGTCATCATGGATCGTCAGCAGTACATTGATGAGGCCCACCGTCAGTTGGATAATCGTACTAACTATACCCTCCTTGACTCTGACCCCACAGGCACTTTCTGTCGAGATATACAACAGGTACTCGACGATATGCGATCACGTGACCAGTTGTCCAAGAAAGCTCACAAATTTCTTTCTCCCTGTGATTGTAGGACTGCCAGATTTTACCTTCTACCCAAGATTCACAAGGCTGGCAATCCCGGTAGACCCATCATCTCCGGTAATGGCTCACCCACGGAACGCATCTCCCTGTTCATTGACAGTTTTCTCAAACCCCTTGTCCCACAGATTTCGTCATACATTCACGACACCCCAGACTTCCTACGCAAGCTTGAAGGAATCAAGGACCAGATTCCCAGCACAGCCATCATTGGGACTTTCGACGTCTCATCTCTGTACACCAACATCCCACATGAGGAGGGTGTTCGTGCTTGCTCCTTGGCTCTGGCCAAGGCAGGACACACGACTCCTCCCATCAGTGATGTTGGCACCCTCATGAGACTTATACTAACGAAGAACAATTTTTCCTTCCTTGGTGAACACTATCTACAGGTACACGGCACTGCAATGGGCACTCGCATGGCCCCATCCATGGCTTGCCTCTTCATGGGTGACCTCGAAGAACTCATTCTTGCCTCGGCCCCATGTCGCCCTTGGATCTGGTGGAGATATATTGATGATGTTTTTTTCATCTGGACCAGCGATGAGGACAGTCTCTTGACCTTCACTAACCACATCAATTCCTTCCACAGAACCATCAAATTCACATCGGAGTTCTCGGCTCACCAAACCCACTTTCTGGATGTCACCGTCCGTAAGCAAGGCAACTCACTAACCACTGACCTGTATTCCAAACCCACAGACACCCACCAGTACCTCCACTCCTCCAGCTGTCACCCCAGGCACTGCAAAACTGGCATAGCGTTTAGCCAGGCACTCAGACTCAGAAGAATTTGTTCTAATGATTCCGATTTCTCCCGCCATACACAGTTACTGAGGAACAACTTGGTGGCCAGGGGTCACAGCTCTCGCCAAGTTCATCGTGCCATTGCCAGAGCTAAAGCTATCCCCAGAAATCTAGCTCTCACGGGAAAGGCCCCTGATGCCATGGCCAAACCCATGATTCCCTTGGTTACCACGTTTCACCCCAATCTCCCTCCCCTTCGCAAAATCACTAATGACAATCATCATATCCTCCATACTTCAGATCGCCTTGCCCGCGCCATCCCCAACGGCCCCACATTGGCTTACAGGCGTCCTCGAAATCTACGGGACTTGATTGTTCGAGCTGAAGTCCCATCCTTAGATGCATCCCCTCCCACCCAGCATGGTACTTTCAAGTGCAGTTCCAGATGTGTTGTCTGCCAGATTCACATCCAGGAGTCTGACTCCTTTTCTGGCCACTCTTCTGTCACTACCCACAGAACCATTGGTAACATCACTTGTAACACCCCTAATGTCATATATCTCATTTCTTGCAGGGTCTGTGGAGTGCAGTATGTAGGTGAGACTAAGAATACGCTCAAGAAGCGTTTCTATGCCCACCGGTCAACGGTTAACACCAAGAAACTAGACACCCCTGTTGGTCATCACTTCAACCTGCCTAACCACTCCATTTCTGATATGATTTTGCAGGGCATTGAATTTCTTGGCCATCGCAAGGACTCAGTTCGCCTCAGCAGAGAGAAAGTGTGGATGAATCGTCTTCGAACTATTCAACCACATGGTCTCAACATCCAACTTGGAAATGATTAATCTTTTTCTTCCTCCATTGTCTTCTGTTACAGATAATCCACCTGGTCTTCATTGTTTGTGTTTACCCATCTTCCACCATCTTTCATCCCTTTCCACCTCCATACTGTTCCCCCCCCCCCCCCCCCCCGGCATAATCCCCCTTCACTCCCACACTCTTTTGTCCGTTCCCACTCCCTGTGACCTTTGATCCTTCCCCTTTCTGGTCCCTCCCCTGTTCATACCAGACCCCTTGTGGTTTGCCATCTCCCTTTGTTTCTTTGTTCTCTCATCCACCCTCCCCTGCATCTTTCCACACCTTTCCCACCTAATCCTCCTTTTGTGTTTCTTCTTTCATCCCTGCATGTTTGTGTGCACCCCCTTGTTAATGTTTGTACCTCTGTCATTTCTGTTTTAGCCTCTGAAGAAGAACTTGCTAAGTTCGCAACGTCAGGCCACATTAATTTTTAGATTCCTTGTTTTTCTAATTTGATACTTGTCGTAGCGCTCTCAAGTGTCACGAGGCTATGACGTGGGAAGTTATTTTTTTGTAATTCAAGTATGATTTTCATTTGTTGTTATTACTGCCACATATCTCATGTTCATGTATTTCATTTATTGTCAAGCATATTGTGTATGTCGTGGCTTTGAGTCTCCGCTGTTGCCCACTACGGTTTGGTGTTGCCGTTATTAATATAACCATAACAATTGATAAGTCGACCGGTTTTCCCTATCATTGGCAATGTGGCTATAAAACACCGTGATTTGTGCGTCGCCAGAATTTTTTGGCAGAGGGGCAAAACATTTTTCTCCCCGAAATACCTGGATTTTTCCAGCATATTCACGATTTATCATTTTTCGAGGGTGGGCATTTTTCAAACAATATTACTTCGCGCCCCTTTTTCTGTCTTCTTCCCCCATCTTTTTTTTTTTTTGGGGGGGGGGGGGGCTTTTCCGGGGGGGGGGGGAGCGCTCCCGTGCTCCCCCCTTGTGACGCCCATGGGTGATGGTCTTTCACGATCGGTGATCAACCTTGCATGGACTTTTGCTATCGGTGCAGAGTGTTTTTTTTATATTATCAAAGTAAGTGGGTGAAAATATCCCAGCCAACCCCCCCCCCCCCCCCAAAAAACCCACTTTCTTCAACTTAAATATGCTGTGATTTCTGGGCGACGGAGGCTGCCGGCGTCATGGGCAGACTAAGCTTTGTTTAGGTTATCGGTACATAGGTAACTGTTGCGGTTGTACTCCTTTTGGAAAATTTTAGTGTGTTTTTATTTATACATTATTCAATATTTTCCTTTGATAACTCCGATGTTTAAAAAGACTGTGCACACCGGTGAATAAGTTATTATTCATTAGTTAAAGAATAATGTAACCAATTGGGTTAAATAGCGAATGTCTGTTCTGTTTGTGCACTATACAATTGACAAGGCCACTTAAGACAAGCTCGAAAAGATCTCGGAAGTTGCGGCTCGATTGTAGACCGTTGTAGCCTATACATCATGTACATGATGTAAAGGTATATGTTCTTAAAATTGAAAAGGATTCCATTATTTTGCTGAACGTCAGTTGGTGCATGGAACGCGTTTGCATGTGGAACACCCAATTTGTGAGCCCCCATGTAAAAACGATTGACCTCGATCGTGCCCCAATTCCACGACTGCAAAAAAAAATGGTAGCTGGTAAGTGGAGACCTGAAGCACGTGTTGTTGCGAGGGCTAAAGGGACAAGGTGATTGATTGCCAAAGAAGACATGGCTGGCACAAACCATAGAGCTAGCTCTATTTCCCACAGTGGTCTTAGCAGATTGAGTACCATGCTGCATTACAAAAATGTACACATCGAATCATTGCTCTTTGAAAAAACAATGATAATATTTTCTAATCTTAAAAATGATTAAATTCTAAATTTAATTCTTATCAAACACACACACCATGGTTCGAAAATTACATCGGTTACGCGGAAGTAAAATTTATCATATTTTCGCGAAAGGTATTTAAAAAACAGAAGAGCAAAATAAAGGCTCTGCGCATTTGCAATTAAATTTAAATTGCTCCAGAGCAAGGAACATAGATAAGTATAATACGTGCAAATGATTACGACGCAACACACAGATGCGACGGTCGCGAAAGTCCATCACCGTTTCGGTGATCACATTAAATGCCTCTTTGGCGTTCCTGTTTCGCCAAAAGCGGCATTTAATCGGTGATGGACTTTCGCGATCGGTGATGGTCTTTCGCGATCGGTGATCAAAGCTGCGATGACCAGTCGTTGAGTAAAAGTCCATCACCGATTGCGAAAGTCCATCACCGATCGTGAATATGCATCACCAGTAAAAGTCCATCACCGATTGCGAAAGTCCATCACCGATCGTTAATATGCATCACCAGTAAAAGTCCATCACCGATTGCGAAAGTCCATCACCGATCGTGAATAAGCATCACCAGTAAAAGTCCATCACCGATTGCTAAAGTCCATCACCGATCGTGAATATGCATCACCAGTAAAAGTCCATCACCGATCGTAAAAGTCCATCACCTATCGTGAATATGCATCACCAGTAAAAGTCCATCACCGATCGCGAAAGTCCATCACCGATCGTGAATATGCATCACCAGTAAAAGTCTATCACCGATCGCGAAAGTCCATCACCGATCGTGAATATGCATCACCGATTGCAAAAGTGTATCACCGATTCGATGATCACATTAAATGCCTCTTTGGCGTTCCATAAATGGCAGGACCAATTTTTGAATGACGTTTTGCCTGTAGCACTTTCAAAATCTTTTAATGAGCTTCTTTCAGTGCAAGAATCATTCAAATCACTCATGTACTTTTCAAGTTACGGAATTTTGAACACAAACACTGTTTTAAAGTTCTGTCCACGGATCACAAAAAAAAGGTAAGTGTTCTTTCAGCAAAATGAAAACAATTCACATGCATCCCTATATATGCGAATTGTTTTCGTTTTGCTGAAAGAGCACTTACTTTTTTGTGATCCGTGGACAGAACTTTATAACGGTGTTTGTGTTCAAAATTCCGTAACTTGAAAAGTACATGAGTGATTTGAATGATTCTTGTACCAAAAGAAAGCTTAATGACTGGGCTTTCATATCCCAGATTTTAAAAGTGCTACATGCAGAACTTCATTCAAAAATTGGTCCTGCCATTTGGGTTTCTTTTTTTTTCACTCACCCTGTACAGAACAATATCACTTTCATTATCTACAATAAGCACTTTTTCTCTGTGGTTGATGTCGTTCCAGATTCTGCTATTTAAATCCATTTGGACAGGATGTGTCTGTGTGCAATTACTGGAATGGTACGTATTTGGTTGACTTCTCACAGAAAACTAAAATCACCTCTAACTGTTTCTTAGTTTTTGTCGGGTATGAAGGACTTTTGTCGCATGGATATTTCAAACAGATGTAGTTTGTTCAAGAAATCGCAAATCTTCAGAGATGAAACTTTTCTGGATTTAATCGAAAATCTGACTTTTTCAAATTTATTTCCAATATTCCATTTTTTTCTGACGATCTTTGGACCGCACAATCTGATTTTTAAAATAAACTTTGAATGGAATTTGATGAAAATGGTACCGCAACATCTGTATTGCGAGGGCAATTTTAATCTGTTCTAGCAGTCATCAGTACACAGATTGTATGGTAGCCGCACATAAATAAGCCTGGGTCGGAGTAGTTCGAAACTACGTACAGCCCGAGGAGTTCGACTACCATGACTGACCGTCTGACAGTAAAATCCACACGCTGCACAATTTTCGGAGGTTTCCGATTTAGTTGTACAAAATGCAATTTTTTAAAGAGGTTGTGGAATGCTGAAGGTCGTTTTGTTTTTTATATTTTTTTTATTGTAGAGTAGACCAATATATATCATAATGACAAACTCCCATTCTTTTGTAATGTGCGTTTATATGTTTATAAAACTGAAATTCATCGAGTAATTTGTTGGTCGGCGAGCGCATAATTGAAATCAACAGTCGTCGGGCTCTTCGTAAAATCAGAAAAATCATGACGTAATAAACAGGACTCGTTTATAGTTCGCTACATAGGGAGTCCTGTTTATTACGTCACGATGTACTATGTTTTGTTTGCTGCCCCCAACGACGACTTTTACACAAATTGCACGTTCGGGTCGAAACAGGACCTGAAAAACAGCTCTCAAAAGTACCTTTTGTATTCATTTCATGACAGAAACAATAGTCGTTTTTATTTCATAACACCTTAGGCTACATATACCCTAAAAATGACGGAATTGTCTTCGAGCATTCCACAACCTCTTTAAAAATCACAATGATAACCTTGAGGATGGCGAGGAGAGCATAAAAGATCAATTTCACTGGCGGTTGTTGGAAGAAAAAGACGATATTGCCAGCATTTTTCCACCTGCATCAGTACAGTTGTTGTCTTGGACTTTTTCCTCGACTTTTTCCAACTTAGAAGTGAACTCCTTTGATGATGAGTCTGAAACTCTAACATTAATTCAGGCCTTTTAATTTTATGGAAATACATAATTTTTTTCACATCGTAAAGTTTTATTTGGATCTAAAATAAAACAGGAGGTGTCTGGAAATTGGCACAAATTTTATTTTGCATACATGTACGTAGGTTTAACTACGGCACGACCCAAATTTCAGACACAGATTTTTGTTCAGACTATTTTTCGACTTTTTCCCCCATAGGCCAGTTTCATCACTGAATCTTGAGAAAGAAAATCAAGGATATGTCATCAAGATTGATAGTGAACTTTAAGAAATGGATGACCATACAAAAATGTTTGAAATTTATTCAATGATTTCAATAGGGTTTTGATGTGTTTTTATGCATCATTGAGGAATATACATATAAAATTTGTGATGGTAAACAAACTTGATAAATTTTCCAGATCTTGGAGGCTACATTTTTTTTTACCAAATAATGATACTTCTTGGTACATCTTAATTCAGTCTTGCAGAAAGATCTTGCCATAAGAACTGCTTTTACATGTTAAGACCAAAAATGACATGTTTGCTCAAGTTTTAAGAAGTGGCCAAATGTTGTTCCCTTATTAACTTTTCTGATTATTTCATCCCCACAATTCCTGGGTGTAGATCCTCATCACCATAGCCTGTACTTGCAGCACAACACATATCTTCCTGTGGTAAACAACGAAACAACCAATGCCAACAGTAAAGGTGAAGAATATGTGATGGGATCAAGCTAAATGAGTCGTTTGTCAGGATTTTTTTATGTGGAGAAACAGGCCAAAATAGGGCCACTTCATCACATCACCTCATCACATCTCTTGGTGTTGCGACTTCCATAATTTTTGAATTAAAGATGGTACCAGCATGCGGTTTTCACAGCAGTAGTGCTGAGATTGTGCTCTTTTGAAATCTGTAATAAAAAAAAAATTGACCAGGGTCGACAAACGACTCATGTAGCTTGATCGCATCACATATGTCTTTGGCAGAAATTAAAGTTGCATACTCAAAAATATGGATTTTGTTTTTCTTTTTTTACGGAAAAAAACCTTTATTCCGATTTTGGGCGTCTGCAACCCTCTGAATAAGGGCTTTCATTTTGCGCAAAAATGAATCCGACCTATGAGAGCGGAATTGTTGTCTGGCAGCTGGTTATTCCAGTTCTGTGCAGAAATAATTCAATAACTAAACGGTGGTGTTTATTTTTTCATTGGATATCTCTTTCAAAAGTGAATAACTTTTAATATTGCTAGGAAATAGCAAATGGAAAAAAAATGTGTTTTTTCGAGGTGAAACTCGAAAATAACACGTAGACCCAAAGTGAACCCATCAATTCCAAAAATATAGATGAAGGGTCTTGTTGATTTACATGAAGCCTATTTAAAGAGTGTGATGTTTCCTCGCTTTTTTCCATTTAATGTTTGCGAAATTCATGAAAGTGACTAAATTTTCAAGTCGGTCTTTGCAAACCATAGCCCTGTGCATGTGAGAAAGACATTGTCAGCAAATGCGAAAATGATGTTGAAGTGTCCTTTCATGACAGTAATGTTTTCAATTTTGACCGCCCAGTATAAACCATGAAAACACCACTTTCATGAACAGTATAGATAGTGCTTTGTGACCAACCATGACAAAAGTGTTGAAGGGGACTCATTGTGATGGCGTGAAGAAGCACGATTTATTTTGTGGACCTATTGCATGTGTTATAGCTAAAAAGTTCTACTCTAGTTTTGCGCAAAGTCAAAAGACTCATTTTCTGTTTTCTTTTCTTCTGCTTCAGCATGGAAAGAGAACTTTCTTCGTCTGAAGCAGCTGGTGATGATTGGAGGACCAGACGACGGTGTCATCACACCCTGGCAGTCTAGGTAGGCTGCGTCAAATTACGGCTTTTCACACTATTTACTCTACTAACCAGTAACAGCCAGAAATGGGCAGTACTGGCAAGTAGCAGCCAAAAATTGCTAGAAGTGTCTATTAGTGGCCAGAACTGGAAGATGGAAGTCAGAAATGCCCAGTACATGTGGCAGCCGCAAATGGCCAATAGCGACAGGAAGTGGCCACCACTTGCAGTAGCCAGAAATGGCCAATAGTTGTTGGAAATTGTCAGTGGAGGACTAAAATGGCATGTAGCTGCCATAATAGGCATTTGCTCCCAGAAGTGGCCAGTGGCGGCTGGAAGGAAATGCAGACAACTAGCGTTTGCAGCCTCCTTTTTGTTAGCAGCAGACAAAATGTTTATGGTTTTGTATCCTAATGAAACATTTTGAATCCACCCCCTATCATTTTATGTGGCGTTCTGTATCATATGATAGCTATGCCGCTAGAGTAATACTGTGATGTTTGACAGAAACTTTGCTGCAATGGTAGTTCAATTAACGAACCTTTTTTTCCCTTTCTTTCCAGCCATTTTGGATTTTATGATGCCAATGAGAAGGTTGTTGAAATGAAAGATCAAGAGGTATGTGCCTGCAAACTAGTACCTGTGTGTACTCTAGTCAAAGGTCACATTCCCTATTAAAGGGAATATACAACATTTGCAAACATCAAAAAATAAAACTACCTAGTTTTTACGAAATACCTTACTAGGATGTTGGTAAATGACAGTCTAAAGCATCCTGTAAAATTATGGCACTTGGTGTGAAGTCATTTTCAAGAAAATGGTATTTTTGTAAAATTTTCAAACGGTGGTCGGCCGACCACCGTTGGAAAAACCTAACTATTTTTCAACTACTGCTCCAAATTAACCATTTTTCTTTCAGTCCAAATTGTGTTTGCTATTGGTTACATGTTCATAAACGGGTGCAGGCCGGCTAGACTGGTTCCATTACCTTACAAGTTTCCGGCATCTGTAAATTGATCCATTTTATATTTAGTGGAGTCAGGGAACCAGACTACTTGAACATTTGTGTTTTTCTTGTTTTTTTTCCCAGCATTTTCGAACACAAAACTTCAAACATGTCAGTCTAACAATATTTGATCTATTATACTAACCCTCAAATAGTTCATTTCTGAAAATTACAGCAAAAGCCAATCATGTATATTCCCTTTAAAGTGCAAACACAATCATTGGGCCTTTTCACAGAGCCTCTCAACCCCGGTTGAACTCGGCCATGGGCAAACCCAGTGCCGCCCGGGATGAGTTTTTTATTTTTTAACCTCGTTTTGTTTCACACTTGTTTCGTGCAAACCAAGCATATTTCTCGCAGTTACCACTGTTATGAACCCTGGCGAGAGTTTCAACTGGGATTAAAAATCTCAACTCTGGTCTGGAGCAGGGTTGAGTTCAACCCGGGGTGAAATCAATCTCGGGGTTGACGCAGGGTTGAAAATGTTCAAGTGTGAAACGCTGCTTGTTTTCAACCCTGCGTCAACCCCGCATCAACCCTTTCACCTCTGAAGGAGGCATCTTCCCGTAAGGGTCAGGCTTCATCGGCAATGCGTTCAAATGTCTCTCCCAGTCACAGGGTGATGTTAAATAATATAATCACGACAAATGTAAGCTCCCAGTAGTCTCCCCCAATGCTCCCCTTTCTACTGTTGAGGGGGTACTTGTATATGGAGCTCATACCTGACTTCTTACTATGTCGTCTTTTTTTTTTTCTCAAGGTGTACAAGATGGACTACTTTGGCTTGAAGACCCTCGATCAGCGTAACGCCATCAAGACTTACACCATACCGGGAGTCAAGCACACCAACTGGCATGGTAACAAGACCGTGTTTGATTCCTGCATCAAACCGTGGCTTATATAGTCCATGAAACCATAGCAGCCCTTGTATGCATTGCATTTTGGGATCATATGTGATGTCATGTGTACCCACGGATCTCTATAAAAAAATCTTGATAGTCCAGTAGCTGTTAGAAGTGAAGTCACTGTCCGCCATATTACCACTTCCATTACAATGGAATTGCAACAAACAATTATCCAAATTTAACCGCAATCTTTACCTATGAATTAAATATAGTTATTTTGTAAAAATGAAATTGTGACTTTTTTTTCTAACTTCTGTTTAGATTAAAATGGGTTAATGTACTTAGAATTCATTCTTTAAATTTTATTGGAAAATGTACGATGAGAGTAGTTATACTGGTTCCCATACTATATTAGAATTGAGAGATTTGAAACCAGTGTGTAGCTTCAAATGTGTGTACAGCGCGCAATGGTCGATGAACTATCCAGATTTTTAACAAGGAGATCAATGTTTATATCATTAGACATTGAAAAGTTGTTGATTGCTGTGATGTCGGCCATGTATTTTTTTATTCACCCGAGGGAGGCATGGTAACATAGCCAAAGCCTAGGATGCCATGTGTTCCTGAGGGTGTAAAAATGTATCCCCCACATCACAGCAGTCAAATATTGAACTAAGGCCAAAAAAAAAAATATTCGGTCTCTGGTCAGACAAAAGTTCCGGAATTGACGTGGGGACGCGGCTTTTTTTTTTTTTTTTGGCTTTTTTTTTTTTTTCTTCAAGCTTGGATTGTACAGACAAGGTGGGGTACTATTTCCTCATGTACATTGGTGTCCTCCATAATTTGCCTTGGTGCTCCCGATCATTTGCCTTGGTGCAATTTCCCATTCCTTGGTGCTCTTTGTTAAAAAAAAATTGAGGAGGTGCGGCAATAGAGGAGCTGTTGGAGCTACCGCGGAACATTTTGGAAAAAAAAAGATTGACGCGCATGATTAAAATCGACGCGCGCGCTGACCAGAGACCAACTTATTTTTTGGGGGGGCCTAATATGCAGGCAGTTCCAGCATTATGAAAGGAAGTGTAATGTCTGTGACAGAGCCAATTAAAACCATAATATCTAATTACTGATTCAGATTAACGATCCAAAACTCCTAGTCTGTAATCTCCTTGACCATTACTAGATAAATGATGTACATGTATCAGATGATGGATATACATGTATAAGATTTGAAAAATATATTTCAGGTCGGTTCACTGAGCTCTTAAAAGCTCTGTCACGGACTTTATATGACGTTGGAATTGCTCACGCAATGAAGTCATTCTTTGACATGTGTGTTTCTTGACTGGAAATAGGAGGGGAAGGTGTCTCTATATCACCACCTGACATTGCTGCAATAATTCTATGCAGTAAAACACCTCACCTGATTCTGTGAGAGGTAAAGATTAAGTGACCCCAGCAATTCATTATCAGTTAACACGATGTGTGATGGGCTAAAATTAATGAGTACAGAATTTTGTGAAAACCAATAACCAAAGAGGACTTAATACTTTTACGTTCTTTTGTAAAATATGTTTTGCCACAGAGATGGCGCGTGCATGTTTACGCGCACAGCTGAAAATGGCCATGCCTGTGTGAAAACGCAAATGTCAGATGAGATACTCTTTAACGTGCAGTACGTTTTGTGTGTGTGTCATGTGGGGCAATAGCAACTCTTCGTAAAAATGCAAACTGCAATAATTGAGATGTCTGTCCCTCGTATCAATAACCTACTTTAAAAACTTCACAATTTTTGCTTAGGCCAAAAAAAAAAAGTCTCCGGTTTCTGGTATGGAGCTTGCCCAAAATGTGGTGCGGCGACGCGGCTTTTTTTTTTTTTTACCTGACTTTTTTGCTTCAAATGCCGTGTGATGACTGCAAATGGTGCCCGACTAAACTTAGTACAAATAGGCCTATATGGGATTGGGAGTCCAGAGAGGCCACATAAAGCTTATTCTCGACCATAACTCCATCTAAAAACATGTTAAAATTGTGCAGCAGCAGGATTCCAGTCAAACCAGTGAGTTTGGCAGTTTTCAGACATCATCTTTCATTGAAAAGAAAACTTTTTCATTTTGCCGACGCGCATGGCTACAGCGACGTGCGCGCATACCAGAAACCGGAGACTGTTTTTTTTGGCCTTATTGACTTCTTGCACAAGTACCCCCTCAATGGTTACAAAGGGAGAGCTGGAAAGACCACTGCATTGGACCTTCGATTATATTACCGTCGGCGCCTGACGGTCATGCCAAGCCGCAAACAGTTTGTGCACACTCCAAATAAAATCAGTCTCACGTACTTCACGCCGTACGCACATGCTTGAGTGCGCACAGAGAGTGCCTCTCCCACAGGAAAAAAAAACAACCTCGTCCCAGGTGCTTACTTTATTTCCAACCTCATTTCCAATAGTAAGCCCTGGATAGAAAACTTTTTCCCTGTATCCTGATTCGATATCGCAATTTGCTAATAATGGATTTATATCGTGTAGTTGGTGTTGTTATTTCCAACGTGCATTTTATGTTTTCACGATCATTGTAATGATAATGTCCATGCATTCTCAATAATACTCCTTTCCTTTCCAATTTGCTCATATTAATATGAAATGTGATACAGCATATTGGCGGGACAAGATTGTAACATTTTAACTTTGATTCTGTATTTACCCCAGACACCGCATACAAAAACAAACGCTAATGTAATGCACATGCAGGCACCAGACTATTCCTCATTTGCATACGTGTTCAAAAATGTTGCACACGCAAATGATCCAATACCAGGGTGAGAGAGCAGGTAGTGGTGGGCGCGTACTGCTTGACACCCTGGGGACGAGGTTGGGTAAAAAAGCACCATCTATGTCCGCTGTCGTTATCCAAAGTCACTTTTTAAAATAACATTCTTAAACCTTTTCTTTCAAACATTTAACGTTCACAGAGTGAATTTTGTGCAAATGTATATTTGTATAAAGCCACAGAAATCACAGGTGGGCACAATTTTGCCTAATTGATCAGCAATTAGTCTTTTATACTTATTACAGTCATTTAAACCAAAAATCAGCATTTTTGGGCGGGTGTTTTTTGTCTGCAATTTCTATAGTCAAAAATTATAACTGAACACAGATATGCTTAGCTGCAACATAAACATTTGGCCTGGAATTAAAATTTCAAATCTATGAGTATTTACTAATGTTTTTACTGAAATATTTTACGAAGCATTATGCTTGAAACTGTAGAACGATATGTTTTAATCTAAAGATAGTGCTGTTGAAATGATGATGTTGATGCCAAACTTTTTAACCAAAGAGTGGCTTTAAAAAAAATTAATAATAGTAATAATTAGTACTTTTGGATTGTTGAAATGTGTGATATAGTGTATTTTTTTAAAGAATACAATTCGCCTCAGAGGTTTTCCTTTTTGGGGGCAAACCACAGTTTCTCTATTGCTTGATGTGTCTTCAGACTTAGTGTGTTGGTATGTTGCACTGTCAATGTTGATGTTGGTAAACATAGTACGGGACTGTTTACGATTACATTACCCAGGAGGAATGGGGAATAATTGTAAAGCGCTATGAGTTTGTTGATTTGATGGAAAGCGTTACAAGCATTACAATTTATTTATTTTATTTTGCTGGAGGGAAAAAGGTTTTGTTTTGTTTTTTTCATTTAAATATTTATGACTTCTGTGTTGTCACTGAATCCAAAGCTGGCGATTTCCTAGACTTGATAGATTAACTTTTGGGTTGGAAGTTTGCAGTTTGTTCTTAAAGGTGCATACCCTGTGCTCTTTAAAAACTACATTTTTTTTCTCCTAACAAATGTTCAGTTTGTATGATTTAATGGAAAAAAATTACTGTGTTCCGATTTTGGGCAAGTGCAACCCCCTGAAAATTTTGTGAAGAAATAATTTAATAACGAAACGTCGTTGGATTTTTTGTGTTCGTTGTCTCGTTCAAAAGTGAATAACTTTTACATTGCTAGGAAAATAGCAATTGGAAAAACTATGTATTGTTTTTCGAGGTGAAACTCAAAAATAGCTCAGGGAATGCATCTTTAACTGATTTGTTTCCTTTTTAAGTAATGAACACAACTTCCCAAATAATGAAAGTTAGTCATTCTGTATACAGCCAACTCTTGCTAGTACAAACTCACCTGGACTTGGCCAAAACGTTTGTTGTATCCAAATTTTGTATTAAGTGGAGCACTGGTCCCTACTCATTGTGCACATAAAGCACAGTTGGGACCAAGGCTTTATGTTTGTTATAACCAGAATTTGTATTAACAGTGTTTGTATTAATGAGAGTCGACTGTGCATGTATTGTGGCGAGTGAATTTGCAATTTGCTGTAAGAGATATCAAACATCATAAGGCAACAAACACATACCAAGGATTCCAAGATGACTTTGGGAATATTTTGGCCTAATTTAAGGGGTATTGTAAATGAAAATACATCAATGAGGTCTTGTTTGTATAATCTAGAGGTATTTTTGTAATTCATTTTTTTTAACGGTAATAATCAAGACTGAAATATACATGACCGTGTTATGCAAGATTTGTATGTGATTGGTATTGTTTATAGCTGCATTACAAAAATGAAAGCATACTTCAAGAACTTTGTTTCCCATGATAATGTCAAGGGCTACAGGATGTAATGAAGGATTTGTTTGAACATTTGTTATACAAAAGTACAAAATATTTGGGTTTTTTGGGGGTTTTTTGGTTTTTTTGGTTATTTTTTTGATACATTTGTTAGACAAAAGTATATTTGGTATTTTTTTCGCATTTCTTGGTGTTTTTTTTTCTTTTCCTTGAAGCTCAAACCTTTACCACAGTATTGTAAAACTTAAAATGTGCTGTTTATAGTCTTCAACAGATTCAAGGTTTATTTTTCCCTTATTGAACTTTGAATTTTATTATTGCATGGACATGTATAACTCGGTGCTCAGTTATGTGCAATACATGTATCTGGTATTTTATTGTATTGTTTGTGGAGAGAGATTTTAAACTTGGTTTCGAATGCTGTATATCTTTTTTTTTTAATATCTTTCTTTTTTTTTCAAATAAATCCAGACCTGAAACACATGATTGTAACTAGCATTGTAATTAAAGAGGTTTATAATTAACCTGAAATTGACCACAGAAAAAAAAAACCGGACAGATGCGGAATTCGCTTACATCAAATGTTTCCGCGCATAATGTAGGTATTGGAAATTAGCACATCCTATCTTTTGGCCCCTCACCTCCATGTTTCTCTTTCCGTGGCATGAAAAAAACTTCAATCTCTTAATCATTGAAACATTAAAGCTCCCTGAGAGACCTATTGAAAAAAAAAATTAGAACTTATTTGTTAAAACATTTCTGAAGGTTGCCATTACACTTTGCAAGACAAATTCACACATCATATACATTTGGGTCATTCTATAAATTTGGGGTCCACTTTCTTGTTCCTGTCCCTGTTACATCTGACATCTATAATTTTATAATTCTGATGCACTCCTTCATGCAGTCATCCTCCAAGAGTGATTATGAATAGCAAACTACCTGCCCCACTAAAGGGAATATACAACATTTGCAAACATCGAAAAACAAAACTACCGATTTTTTTACGAAAAACCTTACTAGGATGTTGGTAAATAACAGTCTAAAGCATCCTGTAAAATTATGGCAGCAGATGTGAAGTCATTTGCAAGAAAAGTAGTATTTTGTATAAATTTCCAACGGTGGTCGGCCAACCACCGTTGGAAAAACCTAACTATTTTTCAACTACTGCTCCAAATTTACCTTTTTTCAGTCCAAATTTTGTTTGCTGTTGGTTACATGTTCATGAACAGGTGCAGGCCAGTTAGACTGGTTCCATTACCTTACAATTTTCCAGCATTTATAAATTGATCCATTTCATCTTTAGTGGAGTCAGAAAACCAGACTACTTGAACATTTTTGTTTTTCTTGGTTTTTCCAGCATTTTCGAACACAAAACTTCAAACATGTCAGTTTAACAATATTTGATCTGTTATACTAACCCCTCAAAATAGTTCATTTCTGAAAATTACAGCAAAAGCCAATGATGTACATTCCCTTTAACAAAAAAATTGTTTGAAGTCATTCCTAATGATACTTGATTGGCAAATCACAAAGTAAACAAGGACAAGAAAATGACCAACTTTGGATCCTAAATCTAGAGAATGTTCATTTCTGTCAGCACTAGTCTCGTTCCCTAGACCTGACAATTATTCCCGACGCTCGCGTCTAAATAGTCAGAATCTTTTGGTCTGGGAACCAGACAATGTCAGCACTAGACCCACATATAATTCCAACTGTCGCTCGAGGGCAGCAAAATCAACATCTGTGATAAATTGTATGTTGATAATGACATGACAACAATCATTTGCCCCTAAAATCATCTTTGGACATTCCTGTTGCCAAGGTACCTTGAAAATTACACCTATCATTTTGGAGCCAGTAAATATTCCAACGATTTTCCATAGATTTTATTCTGTCTGTCGCACGCTATCCTGGAGTAGTTGGACTTGGGACTCATTATCGATCTAATGCAAACATCGCCGTGCTTGACAAAAGGGTAGTGTCATTAGTCAACTTGTTACCAAGCTCAGTTCTAGAAATAACTGGAAAAAAAAATTTTTCAGACAATTGATTTTAGTTACTAATTTCTGGTTAATTGGAAAATGGTTACTCACTAGCATGTTGCATTAAAGGGGCTAATTATGTGCAATTGTTGAGGCCGACTTGATTTTAAAAGAGCTTATACTTCCCAACCTCATTATGAACACTGATGAGTATTTTTCCTTCTTTTTTTCAGTCTTATTATACACATGTATAATTGAACTACATGTATACTTGAATACTACATGTATACTTGAACCAGGAGTGCACAATTGAACTTGAGAATTCGTTGACCAAAAAAAAAAAATTATCTGGTGTAGTAATTGCTTATAAGAACATTGTTCCTGGTTTTGAGATGAGCTGATGCTGTGGAATGTCCATGAACAATTTACATGTAAAATAGTTTTCCCTAAGAGTAATTTTGTCAAACAATTGAACTTCAGAATTCGTTGACCCAAAAAAATATTATCTGGTGTAGTAATTGCTTAAAAGAACTTTTTTCCTGGTTTTGAGATGAGCTGATGCTGTGGAATATCCATGAAAAATTTACATGTAAAATAGTTTTCCTAAGAGTAATTTTGTCAAATTGGTACATGAAACTGTGTATATTAATCACACAACTTAAAATAGACTGCTTACAAGGTACAACAAAATAACAAGCTGTGTTCAAAACTCTGATTTTCAAATTTTATTCGTCACCAAAGATTTTGAGGCAATTTTGTTGTGTGAAACTTTTTACAGTATGATTCTTCAGTGTAAATAGGAACACGGTAGCATGATGAACATACATTGTACATGTACCTAAAGTGACATATTTCCAAATGTTCTGGATCACACACGTGATATGGTATGGTGACTAGACTTTGGCAAGTCTAAGTTATATGGACCGATGAGTTTTCTGCATGCTCGTCTTCCTGTGGCTTTGTCTGTGTCGACATAAATAGGTGTATTTACCAAGTGTAAATACATGTATGTACACGAATGTGAACTTTGACATGATTTGGATCATTAACATGACATGTGAATAACGCTATTGGCATTAAATAGCGTCACTATTAAATAGCGGTACTATTTAATAGCGGTACTATTTCAACAGTCCACACAGTGTTATCTGGAGGACAGATATATCCTTTCCCACCATACAGGATCATTTGCTATTCATTTTGTTCTTTTCTAATAATACCACCACCAAAATCCAAAGAAGAAAGCTCAAAACCTAACCTGTTGAACTTTCAGCTCAGCGGATATTACACTTTTCAGGAAAACAGTGACAATACATACACATACAACTTTTTGATCACGAAACATGATTTCGTCCAGATGAATACCAATCTGTATTTCTAAAAATCAACTAACTGATCATTGGAAATCACCTACATTTCTTGATTTCTTCTAAATGACAGCAAGCCGGACAGAACAATTTCATAGAGTATGATCTTTAAATGTTGATAATACTTTGGGGATAAAGCAGATAATCCTATATACCATTAAAAAGAATATTTTTTTTTAAAATTGTACACAGAGTTGTGATTGCAATCATAGAAAATTAATAATTTTATGGATGAACAATGCAAAACCACGTTTCATTTGAATCATGCTTGCATGGCCTCCAAAAAGAAAATTTTCTTTGAAAGATGAACAAAATTTGCCTCTCATTCTCGTCTTCAAAAGCTTCAGAACTTGGCATACCTAAAAACTAAATGCAAGTGAAATACAGTCGAATCTCATTAGTACAAACTCTATTAATACAAAATTCTGGTTATAACAAACATAAAGCCTTAGTCCCGACTGTGAATTTATGTGCACAATGAATGGGACTGATGTTCCTCTTAATACAAAATTCTGATATAACAAACAATTTGGCTAGGTCAGAATGACTTTGCGAGACACGACTGTACATGGAAATATAATGGAAAAACGTCAGGCTCTATCCACAATCATTCACAAGCTTCTTGTGGAGTTCTAATGTTTTATTAAAAGGAAAAAAAACACCCTGTCGCACTTTTATTCTTGGGGGAAAAAAAAACAATTAGCTCTCACCAAACTGCACAATAACCCTACCTATATTTCCTGCATGCATTGTGATGAGGACAAAAGTGATGGAAAGCAGAAAGAATGGAAAAAGTAGTCACTGATTTGTGACTTTAGTCAATTCATGTAAGGCCAAAAAAAAAAAAAATATCGGTCTGTGGTCAGACCGAAGTTCCGGAATTGATGCGGCGACGCGTTTTTTTTTTTTCAAGCTTGAATTGTACAGACAAGGTGGGTACTATTTTGCTTTTTTTGTGCCCTCATTATACATTGGTGTTCTCCAAAATTTGCCTTGGTGCCATTTCCCCATTCCTTGGTGCTCCTTGGTACAAACATTTGAGGAGGTGCGGCAATAGAGGGCGCTGTTGTAGCTTCCGTGTTAATTTGAAGAGGAAAAAAAAGGTTGACGCGCATGGTTAAAATCGAGGCGTGCGCTGACCAGAGACCGGAGTATTTTTTTTTTTGGCCTAACATCTGATAAATATACAGTATGTAAACTGAAGATCATAAATAAAATAAAGAAAGCAATGTTGGAAGAATGTTCATATTTCACAACATGAATGTTGCTAATGTCGCTAAGTCACCCAGCGGGCAGACAGCCAGCAGTCGCCACCGACCCGTTTTCAGTTGATTTAGTTCTTTCATCTTCATCAACATTTCCTCTCTCAATCTCAATCATGTCCTCAGTTCCGTCCGCTGCAAACTGTACGGTCCTTGTCGGCTTCTCCACTTCTAATTCATCCCCATCAATTTGGCTGGTCTGGGAAACCAGGATAGTCTCCTGACCCTTGACCTCATGCTCATCAATATTCACGTCTGTCTTCGAGCGGGAATTATTTCCACCATTGTTTTCACACTCCTGAGTTCTGTCATCACTGGTCTTGCTGACCTCGACAAGACTCACGTCCTGGCTACTTCTTTGACCTTTGACACCACCATTTTGCAGCTTGACCTCATGACCTTTGGCATCACTGAGGTCATGCAGCTGATGTGGAGACTCCTCTTCAGGGACCGCATAAGGAAGTTTGGTGGAGGTTGCGATGATGCCATCATTTTTGTTCCTGGTTGCAGCTCCTTGTTGCTCTGATCTGAACGGGTTGGCTCCATCACTGACGGTGGAGGATGACCCTTGCTCGCTACCTGAAAGCGTCAAGAAAGGGGAACATACAATTTAACACAACAGCTAGGCTAAGAAATTTCAAAGCTTGGAGATGAAAGTGAGAAAACACACTGGTGAAACTATATCAGTAAATGCTGTAAAGTTACAATGTATGAACAAAATGTAGTTGAATTCAGTTGCCAGTACTTCAGCTTTTAAAATTTCATGGATCCCCTTAAAACATTTTTAATGAACATCTAATATTTAAGTCAACCCTCCAAATTACATTCTGTCACCTTATTAGGCAGTTCTGTCACCATAGGCAGTTGGAATTGGATCCAAAACTGGTTTTAAAACCTTCACTACAAACAATCATCAGACATACATGTTCCAAGCCAAATGAGTTTTTCTTAATGGCCGTGTTACATGGGGTAATTTACAGTTAAACTTGTTCTGGGCCATTTCCAATATGAATTCTCTTAAAGTTTCTAAGGAATATCCATGAACTGCTAGATAAAAATGTTCTTTGTTCTTCCCAAGAATCGTCAGCTTGTCATTTGGTTGGCTCTTTAAGTTGTGAACATTGATTTGTGTGACATGGTCCTCAGATGAAGGCGTTCTACAATTAAGAAAGACCAGGATATGACTTGTCCATTTGGAATGTCTGACACAGTAAAAGGCTGAATATTTTTCAATGACAAAGAAGCTTAAACTTTAAGCCTCTAAAATCTTTTACACGCGTATCATCCTAATCAATATATAGACCCGGATATGTGTGCAAATATGTGGTGAAGCGCGAAGGCCATTTGACCATCAGGTGGTTTGTTAGTATCAATACACAAAGGTAACAACAGATAAGTTTCCACAAAACAGTTGTTAGAACACTTTAGTGGCTTAGCTGGGCAATGTAGGGGAAACCCCCACTGAATATAATCAATGCATGAGTGCACAAGCGCATCTGTTGGTGCATCTGGAGGTTTTATAGTGTCACTCTGGTAATTTGTCAAACAATAGCATGTCTAATATTCACAAAATCCTGAAAACTAAGAGCAGAACTTTGACACGTACCAGTATATCAAATCTTTTATGGGAAGCAATATCCAAAAATATTGTCAAATACATGCTCACTGTAAAACCAATGAGTAGAAAATAAGGCTCTGCCGAATATACCAATATTCAAATATCAGGTCATCAATTGAATATCAAAATACTTTTTATTCAATTCAAATATTCGAGAAAAAAATAACAGTGGTCTTAAGGAGATGATGAACACGTTTTAAGTTGTGTGGTTTGATTGTTTGTCAATCATATGCCACACTTTTGTTGAAAGCTGTTATCGTGCATGATTGGAGAGCCTCCATGAGGAATATTAACTCAAATTTCTTCCTGTTTTTGACGGGTTTTTTTTCAGCTCTTTGTTAATTTTTGACAAGCTCAGGTGCAGGCAAAGCCTGATCGGTGCCCAGTTAAGGCTGGCGCATCTGTGAATTTTGAAATGGATTGAATAAAGTTCAAGCTGGAATAAATCAAATACTTGGGCCTAACTATTCAAAAATGCACAGCCCTGGTTTAAAAACTTTAACAAAATTTTATCGGATTTTGTGTCGGCAGAAAGTGAAAATAACATGACTATTCAGTACAGTTTAGTTGTTGCGTTTCCAGAAAATGTTGTGGTAAATATCGCCACATATCATCCATGAAAACCACCAATGCCTGCATGTGCACGTTGTTTACCTAGCAATCAGTTTTGAGGCAACAAAGCCTCCCAGAAAGAAAAGCAATCATGCAGAGGGCTGTTATGTTACTATTGTACACAAACACCAGCTTGCAATTTTGGTGGGAAAGAGATTTAAAAAAAAAAAAAAAAAAAAAAGCATTGGACCTAACTTATAAGGCGTCATGTGCTTTTTATGAACCACACTGGTGGACTAGTGCCAGTCTTTCACATTACATGTATATCATTATTTGTCACGTCTAATATTGCTCCATTTCAATTCCCATTCGGACAAGTCAAATGTTCATCTTGAGCTGCTGCACTATGGCACTATCAAAATACCTCCAATGTGAACTTCTTCTATGTGTTCTTATGTTTTCATCTTCAATTTGTAAAATCACTGGGAATTCCTTAACATGAGCACATTCAACGCCACTTGTGAGAATTGAGCTGAATGGCATAATTTGCATGTGGAGTTTAAATTGAAATTATGCCTATTTGCTTGTGTTGTTTTCACTGATGTAATTGAGTCCATCGAGTCCGCCGAAGTCCATCACAAGTCCTCCAGTCCCAATTCAACTCACAAGCTATCCCAATGAGCTTTGACAAAGGCATTCCTTTCTTACTGTTCATCCACTGTTTCTCCGACTTTCTCGTGACTGAACTTGTGATGGACTCCACCACAACACTGGTTCTTTTGCCTAAACACACACTGTGGGAGGTTTCTGGGCTTTCATTCCCAAGATCAAAGAAATCGACAGAGTGGAACAGGCTCGAATTTCTCAGGCCTCCCCTGGAGGGTACCGGCCTGTCTGCCCATGACTTTCATATACAACTAATCACCACTGTTTGATAATACAATACTCTGAATGGAGTAGTTTGATCCAAGTTTCTCTTTTGTGGCCCACATTGCGCTGTTGTCAAAACACAAACATCCATATCACAGTATCTTAGCAACAAAATCCCATGTGCGCTGTTGTATTGACTTTTTGGTTGAGCAGGTTTTTCTATTGTGGTTTCACGTGTTAAAAATACAAGAATCTATACTTAAATTTGAAAGCGCGCACCAACAGAAATGGATTTCTAAGAAAGTGTTCAATGCGCTGTCCTTTTTATTCAGAAGGGGGTGAATTTAAATACCTAAATCTAACAAAATGGAGACAACTGTTACAAGAGACAAATCTAAACATAAAAAATTACAAGATTTAAGCTTTTAGGTAATTTCATTTCAGTAAATTCACACACTTTGAAATGTTATAAGAGGAATTGAACGTCCTTGAAATTTGAGGCAAAAAGTGAGAAAACAGAAGATAAAAGGGACGCATATCGTAGTCACTTTTAAATGTCTGTTTTTTCTCTATAAGATTGTGGGACAAATTTACACTGAAAACTATTGTTAGCCTGTTATGTGAAAAACCTCATTAATGAATATATACCCATGCTTTTTTCTAGTCACTTAATTACGTCACGAAGTCTGAGCTTCAAAATGGCTCACCTATGTGGCAATAATCATTAACGTTATTCACAGAGTGTGTTTGTGAGTGCAATAATGATTGAAGGATCAAATTAATCATGTCATACCGTTATTTTCAGCCACGGTGCTTGCCGTTGCACTAATTAAGAAGGCCCGCCCTGATCGGTAGGATCGCTCGGTCGAGGTGGTGGACATCAGCTCCTTCTCTGCCATGGTATTGTACGCAATCGTCTGCTGGCAAGAAAATAACTGGCCGTTAATTGGAAAATAATGAAAGACAAAGCTGATTAATATACCATTGAACAATTATTTTCTTAAAAGAAATCAAGGCCCTCCTGCTGGTCTACATAATTAGAACATGGAGTGTTAAATTCTTACTTTGTATTTGTAGCAGATGGTCCAATTAAGATAAAACACGGTGTAAATTTAACACCGACGTTTAATGCAGTGCAGTAAGTGCTCATTGTTTGGAAGTTGGGAACTGGAGTAGAATGAATCAAATCATTCAAATTAAATGTCTACTTATTAAAGTGATAAATGTTTTTTATGGCCATTTATAGTAAGTGGACAAAGTGACTCATTTGTCCACTTTTTGTCCACAAAAATATCCATAAAAAAACATTAATCACTTCATTAAGTGAGATTAAAAACCAGAAATTGAAAGAGAATATGAAAGACACTGTTTTAAGAGGTGAAAATCAAAGAGGAAGTGTTTTGGTTCAAACAAAAGTAAACAAAAAAAGGCAAATTGTAAAAAAAATCTCGATTCTTCAGGTTTTTAAAACCGGAATGATTTTTTAAATTACTCCCAACCAGTCTACATGTTTCATGACACACCTGCATAACATACAATGCATCCAGTATTTTTATTAATGTTTAATAGGTAGTTGACAAGTTCCAGACATCTTTTTATGTTTACCTGAGCAACTTTGTTGGCCTTGGCATGGTGCTCAGCAACGCCTTTGTTCCTTCGTTGCCTGGCCTCATCGCGTGATATCAGGTCCCCTCGTAAAGTGTTTGGAGATGGAGCCGGTGACACTGTTGGAGTAGCCAAAATGGAACAATTTAAAAGCCTACCTGGACTAATTCTGATTAAATAAAACAGTCCATGTATAAAATGTAAAAAAGTTTACCGATTTAAGCATGTGTAATTAATTATCCTGTCCTTTACAATTAAAAAATAATGAATTAGATGCAAAACAGGAACATTTTGTTGCAAAATTTGCCCGCTGATTATAAGAGTGTACAGGATGAGTCAAAAAGAATGTGACCAAATTAGAAAAATATGTGGCATGCTCTATTTCATAAAAAAAAAACATAGGGGATGAAGTAAATGTTATTGACTAGTAACTGTAACGTTTCACTTAATTTGCATACTCTATTCCCAAGTTATGACTATTTCAATAAAAAGATCACAAACTTCAGCTGTCCACCACTGATCAATTACTGTCTGCGAACTGATGTATACCCATTAAATACAATTATGAATACCCATTAAAATAAAAACAAATTATACGTTTTCCCACAGCCATGAATGAATGAAAACTTGCAAAAGAAAACAGACAAAAACAATTGCCATCAATATTTCATAAAAAAAGAGTGGTTCCTCATATTCAAAACACAAAATCTGACAGTAAAAATAATGTTTCAGTCTTGACTCAAATGATTAAAATCCCAATTGTATTTGAATGCGTGTGTGTAATCTGTCATTCTCAATCAGCTCAATAGCTTCCAATGGCATTCCATGGACAGCTACAAAAATGGCTCCTTTCAGCAGAACACGCATAACTTCGATAGCATAGATCAATTTCAGTAATTCTTCTTTTTTTTCAGATGAGTGGAAGAACATGCGCTTTAACGACATACTTCATTTGTTTAAATTTGATTGCTTTTTAATGGAAACAATATTAATCCAGGTCACTTTCTTTTTGATTCACCCTGTATAATGTTCATTACAACATAATTAACAAATCAGATTAAGATCATTAGAAGGTACATATTGTATCACAATGCAGGTTTGCAAGATCTTTCGTTTGAATAAAATTTATTAAAAGATCTGGAAAGAGGAAGTAATTTTCTCATTTTAAAGTATTTGTGACTACTCAAAGTGTTTTTTTTTCTAAGAGAATTTATCAAGAAATGGTTCTGAGCTCAATTTATGACATCTGAAAAAGTAACCGACACTAAGCCAAATCTACTTCAGTCTAGTTTAACTTGTTACTACATTGTAATTCAAGTCAAAGGTGACTACAAAAATTTAAAGCACAAATCATACCAGAACACTTTTATTGCATAAGTCATAACTCATTTCCAAGTCAAATTTAGTTTTAAAAAAATTGCACAGCCTAGACTATCAAACAGAGTCAGGTGGTTTGATCCTATTTGATCCTAGCAACGACAAGCAAACAAAACACTCCCTCACCGAGTTTATCCTACCAACGTAAATACAACAAAAAAAAGTGATCATGTAGGGCAAGCACTGAGGTGACAATGAGCTCTTAAATAAACCAATATACAGTCTTTGTGACAAGAGTCTTTCATTCAAACATGCCAGGCATGAAAAACCATCAAACGTATTGTACGAATACGTGTTTGGAATATTTGTGCTGGACTTGATGACGACGCTTCAATGAATTTTTTATTACACACAGTTGGGTAAAAAAGTTGAAAGAATGATGCATTCTCACGCCACTTTTTTCATCATATAGGCCTACCTCAATGAAAGTCAGTCACTACAAAATGTTGAAAAGACACGAAACTGGGACTGAGAAACATTTATTATTTTGTTAGACAGAATATTAAAAAATACTTTGAAAAATGTAAAAGACTTTGTACACAACCAAAGAAGTGGCATCAGAGGACATTCTTTCCAAAAAGGCTCAAACCATATCAACCTGGGAATATTTTAACTAACATGTGCAGACCTAAGATTTACACGTACTGTGTGTCATTTGCAAGTTTTACTCCAAAATAGATTTTTTGCTACATTATTTTTATAGATTAATTAAATGAGAAAGAAATAAAAAAAATCAGAGCCTTAGTAAATTTAGATAGGGCTTAATAATTATCTTACAAGTTGAACATTAATTTTTCAGGGGGAAAACCATCAAATATGATGAAGACCAAGGACGGGAGACTTTTAAATATTGCAAATCATTATACATTTTTAACAATGAAAGAAATTTAATTCATTAATACAAGTAATTGTTTATTCTAAAAACTGTAAAGGCCTAACTTTTTAAAACACCACCACCAAACAAACTTGTCTTCCTGACATAATAAACGTTCTAACAATAATTCCCCCCCCCAAAAAAAAGTACATTCGTCATAACATTATTTATAAAACTCTCAATAAAAATGATTGTGAATATTCACCTACCTTTACTTTTATCTTTGACGGCTACAGCAGAGGGAATGCATCCCATCGTCACATCTCAGACAATATTTTTGAAGCTCCAATTATCTTTCCCTCAGTTCGAAATCTCCCAAACCACGAAATTAAAACTTTCCTCTCACATGTACACACAGAAGAAATCAGTGTCTCCGTATTTCTCGGTATCTTATCCAACAAGTCTTGGAGATAAAGTGCCGAATTGACGATGATGACCGGAACGCCAAAAGTTGAATTTACAGTAGACCGCAGGGAAGTCAACGAACGAGGGGTCCGAACGACGACCCGAACGAGAATACCAGTGTAGCGGGCAGCACGAAACACATTGATGGGTGACTAGCGGGCACTGTTCCCGTTCCCACGCGCCGAGTTCGCAGTCCTTGGGCTACAATTAACCTCAGATCCGAGACTAAAACAGCTAAGTAATTTCACAGTAAAATGCTTATGACATCAACAGCTATATCCGCCTCCTCAATAGGACAGAAGTTTGAGGGATTAAAGATTTGAGCTTTGTGCACAATGCCTTATTGTCGACCAACAACTTCTGACAATAGCCTCACTGACCGTTGACGTGATGTCGCGTACATCGTGCCATAGAGCTGGGTCCTAGCTCTGTGATCTACGTATCTGACGTGGGTGGATGGTATACACCTGCTGCGCTAAACAAGGCTTTATTGATCTGGTAAAAAGTGACAGAGGGCGCCCTCCGGCTAATTGGGAACTAGTCATAGACTTAATGTCTATGGTCCTAGTAGTACTTGTACCATGGAGGAAGGAATATCGACTCCCATAATACCTCAGTGATAACAAAAAATATTTAAAATGCTCACTCAACGTTCCAAAGTGCTTGAGACGCCCATCAAATTAACAAATTAAAGCTTATTTCTTCATCTTTCCTTTTCTGTTTAATTTTTGGGTGGTGATCCAATATGACTTTCGAGAAAACAATTCCATCCAAAGATAATCTCCCCAATATCGAGTTTTGAAAACTGCCCAGTACGCTCCATTGCAAAATAATAGCGCAAAAGTTAGCAGGGCCGTACGCTGCATGCCCCCCCCCCCAATTCGATTTTGTTCCAGGATGGTGTATTTAACGAAAAACGTCTTCTTTTTAACTTTTTGGGCGTCTGCAACCCCTTGAATGAAGACTTTCATTTTGGGTGGCTCCCCTCCCCCCCCCCCCCCAACTTAATGGGGAAAAAACACACACGTCTGCAATTAAATCAAGGCATTTTTCTCACGCGTGTTTATCGTTTAAGTGAAAAATTTTGTACGTAAGGAGAATATGTGGGTTTTTTTCGGAATGAAACTAAAAATTAGCACAGAGAAGGTGGCGCTTACACAAAAATAGGTGAACACCACTGCAATTGGCAGCTAGGGTCTGTTCTAGAAAGAAAAAATGCCTCTATGGGAACAAAGAAATTACAACATGGCCCTTTTTAAAAACTTCTTTCGTACATTTAAGTCCATAAAAGTTCAATTATTCACTTCCACGGACCACGGCATATACTGACTATACCACATCAAGCTGTTTACTAGTTTTGCTGTTTGGGAATAACTGTTTTGGATGTTTCGTGCGCCAATAAACACTGGGTCTTCAGTTAGAACAGTCAAATTGGGCTACAAAACGCGCTTTATGGAACAAAATGATGTTAATCAGAAAGACCATTTAAAAGTAGGATATAAAAATCCACACACTTAAACATGGGCGTCGCGATCAGGGGGGGGGGGGGGGCAAGTGCCCCCTGGAAAAGCAAAACAAGAAAAGAAAAAAAAAGGAAGAAAAAGAAAAGAAAAGCAAAACAAGAAAAGAAAAAAAAAGGAAGAAAAAGAAAAGAAAAAGAAAAAGAAAAAGAGAAAGAAAAAGAGGCGCGAAGACAAAGTGGTGTAAATTTAATGAGTTGGGGGGGGGGGGCAAAATGTCCCTGCCCCCCTCTAAAACTGATAAATCGAGAATGTGTTGAGAAATACAAGCCATTTTTTTCAAAAAAAATGTTTTGCCCCCCTCTAGAAAAAATCCTGGCGACGCCCATGCACTTAAATCAATTAACTTTCTGCTGATCGTCATAGGCCAAAAATATGAACTCGGAATTATTATGCGTTCAAATGGCCGGCCCTGTACCGGCAGCCTTGTCCCCGCCCCCTGGCCTGGGACCTGCTTTATTTCCAACTTCGTTTGTAGGTAACGATGGGAGCGTACTGCTCAATATTCTGAGAACGATGTTGCCTTATCTGCAAATTTGCATGTTTATGCTGGTACACTACCATAACGGGTATCCTACCGTTTCGCAGTGGCACCGGGTACCAAGGGGTTATCGGTGTCAAAGGTCATTTAAATACCCAGTACATTGTCTCTGATTGGTCAGTTGTGTGATATGTTTAAGAATTTCATTGGTTGATTCGAAAGAACTTTAACATGCGGCGGATTTAACGTGATTTTCGGAGTGTCGACGTTATTCGGGTAACTCAGTTGTTGTTTATAGAGAGCAGGTGAGTGGATTGTTTCTACAATTTTGCGAGCTGTTATAAGAGCATTATTTCTCCAAATCATGTAAATGTACTGAATGTTTGAGGAGAAAAGCCAGGATTTATTTGGTGTTTATCGTGGCATTGGTTTGCACTGTGTGCGTATTTCATTTGCAGATTGCTTTTTCATTTGTAAAATTTTACTGCTTCTTGTTTACTTCGACATGTTCGAGTTCGACTCCATGATTGTTTGACTTGAACATTTTTAGCAACTGTTTTACTTTTAGTTTAAGCATATGTTTAGGCCATTTTTAAGGCCGGCACTGCAGTAGTAACTAGAAGAAGTAGTATTACAATTAGTGTCAGCTGATCAGATTATCTTCATGATTCTTGGGACAAAATCATGTGACTTTTTTTCATGTTTAAAAAAAAAAAAATTTCAAGTGTGAATTTTTTTTTCAAGTGTTAGTGTTGGTTGGCAATAAATGGCATGATTTACATTTTATTTTTAAATCATGTAAATCGTTGACACTGTATTTTATTTTTGTTATTTGAAATTTGGCCAATCAAATTTGATAAACATGATAAAGGTTTTCATCACCGCCCTTCTCGATTTTCACTCCCGCCACAATTTTGTTGTTGAATTTTTAAAGATTTTGTTCTGAAACTTTGAAAGTGTGTTTTTTCCCTCAAAAAAAGTGTATTTTCCAGACAAGGTTCTCACCAAACACACAGGCGCAGGCATGGTCGCACTGACATGACTGAATTGCCCTACATGCCCTACAAATAATTGTGCACGACATACATGAGCGGGTCCTACTAAAATGCGTCAACAAGCATTAAATGGCGTCAACAAGTTCAACGGTCGTCAACCCAGCGTCAACAACTTTTGTATAGGTTTTGGAACATCAACATGATCAAATTCAGCTTTATATGGTAGAAATCGGTCCTACTAAAGCGCGTCAACAAGCGTCAACAAGCGTCAACAAGCGTCAACAAGTTTTAGTAGTCGTTAAGTGCGCGTCAACAAATTTTTTATAGGCTTTTGAACAATAAAAACAGCTTTATATGGTAGAAAAAGCAATAATGAACATCTTCTGCATATCAATTTAAGTTAAAATTATTTAAAAAGTGGTTTTCCCAGCTCGAAATCTACGACAGGTTTATCGGTTTAGTATTGGCCGCCATCTTGTTTGAAATAAACATACTGCGCATGCGTGGAGTGTACCATTCACGCATAGGGGTTTCTTTATACTATACGCTTTGCGAAACCTCGTTTGGTTTTTGCATTGGGATTTTTTGGCAGACTTTGTGAACAGTGTCAGTCGGCATATTTTTGAAATAATAAACAAAGTACCGTGACCAAGTTTTGCATAATTTATAATTGAAAAAAACATAGTTTTCCGAATTTCTAGAATTGAATATTTTCGACAACAGAGGGCGCTTCGATTGATCGTATAAAGAAACCCCTATGCGTGAATGGTACACTCCACGCATGCGTAGTATATAGATCTCAAACAAGATGGCGGCCAATACTAAACCAAAAAACCCGTCGTAGATTTCGCGCTGGAAAACCACTTTTTAAATAATTTTAACTTTAATTGATATGCAGAAGATGTTCATTATTGCTTTTTCTACCATATAAAGCTGTTTTTATTGTCCAAAGGCCTATACAAAATTTGTTGACGCGCACTTAACGACTACTAAAACTTGTTGACGTTTGTTGACGCTTGTTGACGCGCTTTAGTAGGACCCGTAGAAATAGCGATAAAGAACACCTTCAGCATATAAATTAAAGTTAAAATTATTTCGAAAGTTGTTCTTTCAAACCGAAAAGAACGACGAGATTGTTGAGTTAGTGTTGGCCACCATCTTGTTTGTACACTTCACGCATGCATAGTATGGCTAGCTTCACGTACTCAAGATGGCGGCCAACACTTACTCAACAAACTCGTCGTTCTTTTCGCGTTGAAAAAAAAACAACTTTTGAAATAATAGTAACTTTAATTTTAATACTAAGGGTATTCTTTATCGCTAATTCTACCATATAAAGCTTGTTTTGATGTCTCAAAATGTATACAAAATTGATTGACGCTGGGTTGACGACCGTTGACTATTGTTGACGCTTGTTGACACTTATTGACGCATTTTGGTAGGACCGTACTGAGCACATCAAGCCAATTCATAGTGCTAATGCATACGTCATCATATAGTCGGGAACCATGACAAAGGTCAAGAAGCAGCTCTGTTTTCTTGTTTTACGTTTCAGGTATTTGCCTGAAAAAAATTCCAATATCGATTGACATGATATTGTAGAGAGGCCACTAGGTGCAGACTATGGACAGCCACCAAAGTGGGTCACCGTTGGCCGTCAACCCCTGGCCAATGGGGGACCGTGACGGAACCCCTAAGAAATCCCGTGGGAGTTGGTTCAGCGGCACCCCTCACAAGGCCCCGCCCTTGGCCCAGAATGGCGATGACGAAGACTTACCGGTCCTGAAGCTGACCCACTTCACTAAGAAGGTGATGGTGTGTTTTGACACGGTCAGGACAGGAATGTCCAGAACCAGAGAGTTGCTGGTGGAGAACCCTTGTGACTTCCCTCAGGTTTGTACATTTTTTGACATCAAAATCTATTGAGGTTTCGAAGGATCTTGCAGGCTTTATGGCTGGTACACACTCAGCTCGTTTGTTACGAACGCAAATTTGTGAGGTCTGGCAACAATTCGAGCTGAGAATTTGCAAAAATTGAACTCATTTCAAGTCCTGCAAATTTCACAGGGAACGTTTGTCTGACGATATGAAATTCGGTGTGCATTTAAATTTGGTACATATTTGAATGTATGAAATTGAACTGGTCTTTAGGACTGTAGAGACTTCATTCCCCTTGAGAGTTGAGTGGGTAATTAGATAATGTACAAACATGTAGGTTCCTGAAGAGTGTTGGATTTGTAACTTGTTAAGTTGCACAGCAATATCTTGTAAGAAACATACCTGATGTAGTGATTATCATTCTCGGAGCAGTAATCGTTCACACAAGAAACAAAATCTTGCAGATCCAAGTCTCCCAATAGCGGGATGCATTACAAGGTACTTAATTCAGACTGTTTGCTGAAGCTTTGATTTAATTTGTGTACTCAGGAGCTCCGCATAGAGAAATTCCCCTTTGACAAGGGCTTCTCCATCTCAGCGACGTGCTGGGAGCTGGATGGATGCGAGCTTATGCGGCTGCCCATCGCCTGGACCCCCAAGGAGGAGGGCAACGCCAGGGAGGTGGTCACCTTCAAGTGTGAGGGGGCCTTCAGATTGCAGGTGATCCTGCTGGGAACCGCAGAAGATCCACCCAAAAAGAGGGTAGGTTTGAAAGAAAAACACTCGTGGCATTGGATGCTTTGCATAAGTACCCCTCGATGGCTACAAAGATGAATGTATTTGAGAGACACCTGAGCTGCCATCACTTCTGTGTCTCACAGAGTGCACTTACAGAAGAAACTTAGTGGTGCACACTTTGCGCCGCACTCATGAAAGCAGGGTATGCATGTGCTGTGTCCTACACACTAGAGCTTTGGCTCCTGATCATGCCCGGTGTGCATTGGTAAAACTTTTATATCATGCAATTAAAACCTGCCAGAGCATATTTGAAACAAAGCCGGTCATGATAATTTTGCTATTGATAATCCAAAAATGTAATGATTTTCACTTTTAGGGAGCAGGGAGGAGGAGTACCTTCTCAGTGCATCGGAAAGTTCCCCTAAAAGTCACCCAGCCCCAGGCTGTCCTGAAACCTAGCCGACCGACCATGATCCTCAAACCCAAAGGTCAGCAGAAACCTCAAGCACCAGGGAAACAGCCAAGGCCTTCCACTGGCAAAGCAAGCAGGGCAAACCAAGAGAATCGTGCCCCGATCAGACAATCTGACGCCCAGAAGTCAGTCATTAGACCGATGGTTCCCGCAGAGGTTGAGAATGACAGTGAGCGGCAAATCCTCCCAAGCACCCCTAGTCCCAGGAGTGTCTGCGAGAGGAGCACGTTAGAGGAGTTTACCGCCCTTGATAGTTCGCTGGCTGAGATTAACGGCGATGGGATGCCAGTGACGGCTGAGGATCTCCTGTTGGAGAACCTGAAGCGGCAGACGCTGTCTGTCTGCAACGGCATGTCTCCCTTGCTACAAACAGCCAAGCCATTTGTGCTTCACAAGCCTACACAAGCTAACAATCGGGTCACCATAACCGAGGATCCCCATGTTGGTGACTGCAATGAAGAATGCCCAAATGAAGTCATGCCTGATGAAGCTTCGCCCAAAGTCCCCAAACGTCTGTCCATCGAGGCAAAGACCACTGTCACTAAAAACAAAGCACCTGAGGAAGAGCAACCATCAAAGCCTGCCACTGTACGCAAGAATCTTTTTGTGTCAGATGAGGCAGGAGGTAATAGAAGCTCCGAGCAGATGGGTAGTAGCCCTCCAGAATTTGAGGATAGTCTGAATGAGCCAAGATTAAGTCATGTCCCAAATGATGATGAAAATGAAGACCAATCTAGCAATGGCAATGTCATCGTTGAGCAATGCACTGAGCTCCTAGAAGAGATCAGTCCAGTGGCAAATCATGCTGAGCTATCCCTTGATTTTGATGTACACCAAAATAAGCATGGCAGCATACTGCCAGTCGATGATCACGTCCAGTCAGATGCGCCTCCAGTAGTCGATGAGCCAACCCTTGATTCTGGGACTGCAGAAAGCAGTCTCCCTCTGTTGCGCGACAACTCAGCTCAGCAACTTGGAACTGACGACTTCAAAGTCCACACCAGCGTCGTCACCGGCAGCCTGATCAGTCGCAAACGTGTCTCCGACCCCAAAGACAAAGCCGAGTCACCGCCTAAGAAATTAAAGACCCAGGATGCCAAAGGTCATGGGGCAAAGAAACAGCCACCACCACCACGGGACCGGACCATGAACCGGACCCTCGCTCTGAGAAAAGCAGCAGCAGCAGAGAAATTTGGGAACAAGACAGCCAAGGCCAAAGCACAAGGGAAGCCTGCAGGGCAGTACAAGGCTAAAGCACCCATGAAGGGAGTGCCAATGGCTAAGCTGAATCTGCTGAAGTCAAATGCAACAGGTAAGTTTTGTATCTTTCTTTTTTTCTTTGCTTCATTAAGGCCTTTTTACACATGTGATTTCGTCGCAATGACTTTGTCGCGCGGCAAGTTTGTAGAAGCTCTTGTATATTATTGTGTGAAAAAATATGCTTATAGTCTATGTGAAATACATATGCGACGTTTTGTGTTGCGCAACAAAATCGCTTCAAATTTGATTAAAAACCAGTTGCGCGATAAGTGGCACAACTTTGTCACGTAAACGTAAACGTGCATATTTGTTGTGTATATTTATAAAAACATGCGATGATCGTTGTCAAGCGACAAAATCGTGTACATGTACATGTAGTGTAAATTAGCCTTTATGGTTTCAACAATGCCGTTCACAAAATATTCTTGATACCAGTAAGTCTTTCTGTCAAATATTACGTTAAATTTTGAAGTAGCTATTATTTCTGTGAGTGCTGGCTCCTTACACAATTTTCCCAACTTGCTCACCTAAATCGAACACATGGTCAACAATTGCCATAATAAGTGGTAACTTAAATCGATTCATAATTTACTTAGAAGGTATCAGCTTGCTGAACAAATGAATCCTTTAAAAACTTTTCTCTTTATTTCAATTCTTTTTGTTTGTTTATATCAGCCATTCCCAGGCACCCGATGCCTTTTGCTGCCAAGAACATGTTTTACGATGAACGTTGGATGGAGAAGCAAGAACGAGGTTTTACCCGCTGGTTGAACCATGTCCTGACTCCAGATGACTGTCCTATCGACCCTAGCTGCAAAGCCACTAAAAGTAAATCCTTCCTTTCAAACTTACCAATCTATCCTTGCCAATCTATTCAAATTGATTGTACTCTGTGCTTGACTTTAACACAAAACTTTCATACAATATTTATAAGTTTTTTTTCATTAGGACAAATGTTAACATTGTTTATTGTAAAGCAGGACAAGCAGTCAGATGCCACTTTTCAGGTTTGAACCTGAATTCAGGATTTTTTTGCAAAAAATGTGACAATTAAAAGTGCTGGATTTGGTCTGAAACACCCAGAATACACATTTTTGAAAGAGGGTAAGGATAGTTTCAGGTTTTTTTGGTAGTCTTGCAGGCTTTTTATTGATATATTGATGGCATCTCTAAGCAGCGTACATCAGAAAAAAATGCTCTTGATAACTCATGTGGCCTTTTGTTTTCCCCTTTATAAAAATGTTTGGAAAATATTTTTTCTTGTTGGGAGATTTTTTTATCAACAAGAAAGTGTGCTTGAAAACTTGATAAAGGGAAATTAATGATAGCCACAGTGTGGATCATATGGCAAGAGGATCTTCTGTTTCATGGCCTGAGCTGCAATTTCCACAGATAAGGAAAGCACACATGTAATACCCAGTAACAGAATAATTCATGTCCTTTAAACTTGATCATTGCACATTTTAAAATGAAACGCTTTTCTCTTTGACCGCAGTTGATGCAGGCACACTCTGCGTGGAGCCGGCCGGCAAAAGCACCATCCCCCCAGCCCCTTCCAAGGAAGACCTGTCCCTGCGAGCCTACACGGCCAAGCGCAAGCTGAACAGGCTCCGTCGCGGTGCCTGCATGCTCTTCCAGAGCGAGCCCATCGTCCGCGTCATCCAGAAACTGGAGGCGGAGATTGAGAAGAGACGAATTGTGGTTCGGCTGGATCGCAAGCTGCATGCTGATTACGGTATAAGCAGGGTTTTGCTTTGTTTTTGTTATCTAATTTGGTGGAAAAAGTAAGTAAAGTCTGTCACGAGCTGAATGTGGCCCATCAGGCTGGCGTTTATCTCCGGTTTCCTTGGCATTAAACAACTGAGAATATTTCTGTTTCCCCTGGATGGTCTATTCCCTTTGGATGGGATGCCAGTCTCAACACGGGTTACGTACTCCCCAGCTAATGCTGGTACCCACTTATACTCCTGGGTAGAGAGAGAGAGAGAAGTGGAGGTGACGTGGCTTGCCCAAGGACACAACATATAACCAGCAGCTGGGTTCAAACCCCTGACCCTCTGGTCATGAGTCATAAAACCCTAAGGACAAATCAGCTTAGAACCAAACAATATGCATCACGTGACATCTTGGCTGGTGAAGGGTTTTGCTTATTTTCACTGCTAAGCGAATTTCACTGCTGTGCAGCTCTCCCTGCCACAGTCCCCTTGTCATGATCAGCTCTTGAAATATAGCACATGGATGCATACTTTACTGTGAGTTGAACATTGCTGCCAAAATGGCTCAAATCCTCAATCCAAATTTACCTTGTGTTTTCTCTGTCATCCAATTTGGGACTTTCTTCCCTATTTTCTTTATTTTCTAATAAATAATTGAAAAAGCCTCTAACCTCTTTTCCCCCCTTGTCACTATTGCATGTTCTATCATCACCTTCACTCATATTGTTGTGACTGTTTCGTGCACAGGAATCAAGCAAAAGCTGCTGGACCTGTTCCTGTCCTACAACCCCCTCTGGCTCCGGATCGGCCTGGAGACCACCTACGGTGAGATCCTGCCCATTCAGAGCAACACCGACGTCGTTGGCCTGTCTCGTTTTGTCATCACTCGACTCCTGGGGAACCCTGATATCGCTGCCCAGTATGCTCACCCTACGGTGCCGCATCTGTATGGTCCAGGTCTGTCGCTTTGATCGTTTGAGTTTCTTTAAAGTTCGTTTTTCCTTTTGGGGGAAGAGGTAGATTCTTTCTCAAATTGTGGTCCAGAATCTGTCTTTTCTTGTAATCATTTTTGGGGGAATTTTCCACAGCGTGTTTAGTAACAGTACGATCTTTAATCCAAGTGAGCTTTGTGATAATAATTTGTAGGTTACTGTTAGGATAATGCAAATGATCCTACATAGACAGGGACAAATTTCAAAGAGCTGCTTATACTCGTCAACAATTTTATAAGCAGAGGAAATATATGCTTTGTAAAAAAAATATTTTCCTTTTATTAGCAGCTGTTCTGTAACATTTGCTGTCATTCTGTATAGGCTACGAGGAGACTTTGTCTCAGTTCACTCTCAAGAAGTTCCTGATCTTGGTCTTCTTCCTGGATCGAGCCAAGCTGACACGACTCATAGATCACGACCCCTGTCTCTTCTGTAAAGACTCGGAATTCAAGGTAAACATTGTGCATTGGTTTACCACCAAAGGAACTAACTAACCCCTTATAGTAACCAATGTGAGACTGTTGTCCTCGTTCTATCTTCTTCAGTTTTGTAAGTCTGTTGACGTACTTTATCCTGAATACACTGAAATCCAGTACTGTGCAGCAAAATAAATGAACGTTTTATATGTATGTCATCAATGCCCATAAATTGATCCATTAAGCCCCATGGTATTTTTCACCATTCACAGCCACGATTATTGACCAACATGCACAAAAGTCCAACATACGTGTACGTGCATATGACACAGATGTGTATATGACTTGCACAGCTGGAACATGTGTAGCATGGCATTGGAGAGCCACACATAGTATTGCTCACGTGCGCAGTGGGAGTGGCCTAATAAAACAGTCCCAGACTTTAATGCATTCAAACAGGAGGTCATGGTTCGATTCCCATCAAAGTAAGCTTTGGATTTTTTTCTGCAAACCCTTGGACAGTACATCAGTAACCTGATAAATACTTTACATCTTCCTGACGCAAATGCCATCCTGCCATCCTATAAATGGTTTGGTTGTGGTACCTGGTACTACATCAGAATCCAACCAGCCAGTAGTAGGACATCGAGTGGTGAGACATCTGGTTTGAGTTGGTTTCAGCGTGTGAATTCTTTCTTGTAAGACCTCAGACAACGTCAAGTATACAGCGTTTTTACAAAACCTGTCGGTGAAGGGCAAAACCTGATATAACACATTTTAAACTCCTCTTACTGTTGTACTTTTTCTCTTCCCAATCCTTAGTCCAGCCGAGATATCCTGCTTCATTTCTCTCGTGAGTACCTCCGTGGTGAGGGTGATCTCACCAGGCATCTGAGTTTCATGGGCTACAACGTCACCCACCGGCAGACCGCACTGGACGAGTTTGACTTCTCTGTCACCAAACTGGCCACGGACCTCCGATGCGGTGTCAGACTTGCGTGAGTGTGCGAAACGTGTCAAGTGCTTAACTTATTTTCACTTATTGACAGCATCTAAAAAGGGTTGTATACACAGATCAAAAATATTGTTCCGTTTTTCTACGTTTCCTGTAGCATGGGCCCGTTGATATTTTCTTTGAATGGAAGGAATGAGCAAAATTTCCCAGTAATGAATAGAATAAAAGTCTCACTGGGAAAATTAATGCTGAATAGTCCTATTAAAGAGCTACAAATTGATCCCTATATTTTGGAAGATGTAGACCTTTATTCACCAACCCATGGTTGACACTTTTTGCCCACCACGTGTTTGCAAACTGTGGAAGGTCTACATCTCAGAAATGTAGAATAGTTATTGATATTTCCAAACATATCATAAGATTGTTGAAAATACAAAATCAGCAACAACCGTTACCAAAAACCTGCCTCATTGTTACATAATGAGGGTGTTACGCCCTAATATGAAATTTTGGCAAAATCTGTTGCCAACCACGGTTTGAATTTATGCCCTCGAAGTTTACATATAAAAGAAAGGTTTATAGACCTAAAACTGCAACCACAATCGGGGGCCATTATGGAGGTGTACCACACTCGGCCTATATTTGTTCAATTTGGGGTGCAGTACAGCATTATTAATTTAGGAAACAATGATAATAGCCTGATCATTTTTCTTGTCCATGCACTCAGTCGCATTGTTGAGCTCCTGATCAAGGATTGGACATTGTCCTCTCAGCTGCGCGTTCCTGCCATCAGTCGCCTGCAGAAGATACACAACGTGGAGATCACGCTCAAGGCACTCAAGCTTGATGGTAAGACATGAACCCCAAACTCCGAAGTACATGTGACCACTTTCAAGAACCCCAGGAGGAGGGGCACACTGCGTGCATATTGATTTATGCATGGCCTGAAGTACGGCCAACTAATTCTAGTCTGAATGTGCATAAACCCATAGCGTCTTCGCGTGAGCGTCAGACATCGTCCGCGATGCTTGCGAATATCCCTATCAGGGTTGTCCCCAACTCTTTCCTTGTACTTCCCCATAGAGTCCATACTGGCATCAAATCCAAATTTACTTTGTTTTATAAATGGTGAGCTCTTCAAATGTAATGTTCATTGCAAACATGGTCATGACATAAACAGTGGTATCTTGTTTTTCTTCTCATAGTTACACGTCATGTGTAATTTGGCCCTATGTAAATGAAATATACATTGTATACTGAATCAGCAAACTTTAACGTGGTATTGTCTACATTTTCAAATAATTCTAACAAGAATTTGAACATGTAATCAAGTAAGTGAAGGGTGCAAAATTAAACAAGCGGTGTACCCTGTAAAATCCTGCAGAACCTTGTAATACCTCAAGTTGAAACTTGGAGTTACTGCCTGTTTAATTTTGTATTCTCCCCTAAGCAAGTCCAGAATATCTTAATGTTGCAGATGTGCAGTGCACAATACTTTCAAGCGTTTTCTTAAATTCCTTTTGAATTAATTTTTTTTTTTTTTTTTCAATAATGACCAGGTGGAGGGGTAGACGCTCGTGCCATTGTTGATGGCCACCGGGAGAAGACGCTGGAACTCCTTTGGAGGATTATCTTCCAATTTCAGGTAAAAAACAAGGACTTTTTTACTGTTACCTATGAGTAAGATATTCCACAGGTCTTGTGACCTCCGTCGTATTTTACTGTTAACCATCAACTCTCTATCTCTCATATAAACTTTGGATTTTACTAAAATTCGATTTCTGCATCTTCATAAAAAGATCGGCCTCCTCTTGAATGAGCAACAACTCCAGGAGGAGATTGCCTTCCTCCGCAAGAACCTCCGTCTCCAGAAGCACCTGGATGCCCTCTCGACACTCCCCCTGATGGACACCCTAGCAATAGGAGTGGGAAATGGCCGACGAGACTCCAACGAACCCAACGTGTACTTCAAGAGCAGTCGGCTGAGCCTTCTGTTGAAATGGAGCCAAGTGGTCTGCTCCTTCTATGGACTGAAGGTAAGTTTATATTGTTCAATTTGGAAAAATCGCATCGCTACCAGTGTATTTCAAGGGTCGACTGATGCTGATCTTTATATCCTCGCAGTTACACTCAGGGCGCAGAAAATAGGTAACTGATTTGTTCCCAACGATCATAGCTCAGGCACAGCTTGATCCTAAACAAAATCAGGTGCCGACTGTTCTGTGTCATTGCAAGGTGGACCTGAGGGCAGATTTCTGTAATAAAATTTACATTGAAATTTTAATAACATTGCACCCAGTCCTATTACGCACACCCAGATCCTTCTAAATCCACTAGGTAGTTTTTTGAGCATTTTGCAGGATTTAGTGGGGTATAAATCCCCCTTGACATGGGGTTTGATACCGCCTTGTACCTCTTAAGCAGTGCAACAAATGCAGGCATGCAACTTTTCCTCGGATCCGCTGATTTCCCTGTTTTTCACTTCTCATGAATGCCATTACAAATTGAAAAACACTGTACATAGTCTGGTGTGGTTTGGATCGAGTTTCCTTGTTTTTTCAAAATTCCCAGTTGCATGCCTGCAAATGTCATTTAGTTCCTGCCCAGTGGCAGAGTCTGGGCGATGCAAGAAGGTTCTGACATTTTACCATGCTGTTCATTCTGTCCTAGGTTGAGAATTTCACGGTTGCCTTCTCTGACGGTCGGGCCCTGTGCTACCTGGTCCACCACTACCATCCGTCGCTGCTTCCCCTGGGTCTCATCAATCAGGAAACCACACAGACACAGTATCAGAGACAGGGTGCCACACCAGACAGCGGCAACGATGACAGCTTTGACGGAACATGGTCTAATGTCTACAGCCCAAGTATGCAATGTCTAGCTTGATTGGTTCTCATTAATGCGTAATATATTTTATTTAATATACTGAGAAAATTAAGAATTACAAATTAAATTTTTTGAAATCTTTACTGACATTTTTTTGTAGTCAATGCACATTGGAATGCATAGGTAATTGGTTGAATGGCGAGTATTTGTGCTGTGAAATTGAAAAAAATGGAATGAATTTCAACACAAGCAAAAAATTTGCAATGAGTATTGAATGAACCCGCAATTGCCTGCTTTCTCTCTAGGTCAGATGGTGGCACAAATCATTTTTAGGAATATTCATGTACTGAAATTTAATACCTTTATTTTTTTGTTTAATTCAGGCACAGGCAAACCGGGAGAGCGTGATAGGCTTCTTGCCAATGAGAGGGAGAACTTCAAAGTGTTGTATGACAAAGTGTCGGAGCTGGGCGGCGTCCCTGGAGTGGTGAAGTCGGCAGAAATGTCCAACACCATCCCAGATGAAAAGGTTGGTACTGCTGAATATGTGAAATATCTAGACAATGGGCTCCTGCGCAAGTACCCCCTCAAGGGTTACAGAGAGAGAGCTGGGGAGACCACTGGGAGGGACTTTTGAATGCATTGCTGACAATGCCTGATGCTTAAAGCCCAGAGTCCATCATTTGCAGCTATCCAAAAAGTAATTGGCGTAATTATTGTTCAAAAACATACTTGGTAAATAAAAGATAGTAAGGGGACTAAAGTCCCTGTGAAATTATTCTTTCTGGCATGCTGTCGTTTTGAAGAAATCAACGAAAGAAGGCCTTTCCAACGGTGCATCTTAAGAAGCACTGTTGGAAATTTCCGTTAGTAGTTCGTTTTTTTATTCGGCGAAGCGCGCGCAAACGTTGACACTACGCGTGCGCGGTTGCTATAATTCGTTGAATCGGTGCGCGACATCGCGTAACTGCATTCGGCTCTGTGAGAACGTGTCTCGGAGGCCCAATTCAAAACATGATTCAGCAACTTTTGATTTGAAATCGAGATCCTAGAATGTTTTTCTCGAAATATACAGCTGAAGATGAGCTGAAACTTCATCAGGTTAGTTGTTCAGCACCCTTCTTTAGATTTTGAGCACTTTTGCTCCTTCAAACGAACAAAATGCACAAATTACAAATGATGGACTTTACCTTTAACAGAGACGCTATATGGGAAGTGGTCACAAACACCATCTACTAATTGTGTACCAAGTCCATAGAATGCACACTGCCCAGTTGACAGTGAAATTAAATATTTTTTAATAATCGGCTATATATGTTAATGATGTCAATAGGACAAAGCCCTAAACCGTTGTCCATGAATAGATTCATTGTTTTCATCCAACTATTGCTTTGAAGGTTGAACAAAAAAAAAATCGGTTGGAAAGAGTTTGAACCTATGACCTTTAGACTACTATACCTGTGCTCGAACCAACCGAGCTATCCAGCCCAATGTTGGTGTTTCTATTTTATCAATTTCTTCGGTCTGGGGCGCTAGTTGGTATAGCATTGGTACTGTAGTCCGGGAGTCGTAGGTTCAAACCCCGTGCAGTCAGTTTCTTTGTTCAACTTTTAAATTATTATAACACACCTAGTCAGTTTCTCTGATCTTTTTAAAGAATTTTGTTTTGTTCACAATGTACTAGTTACTTAGTGTCACAAGAAAGTATTTCAGCCTAATTTGCTATGATAATCAATGTTTGTGTTCTCATTAGGTTGTGATCACCTACGTCTCATACCTGTGCGCCAGGCTGTTGGATCTGCGCATTGAGACCAGGGCAGCGCGTACCATCCAGATGGTCTGGAAGGCGTATAGGCTGCGTCAGTTGCACAAACGCAGACAGGTAACATTTAAGTCTTTTTCATCTTGTGCAAAAATTAAAAGAAGATTGTTTGAAGATTTTGCAGGGTGGTGAAGTCATTTTGGAGAAATGAAAACACTCTGAAGACTAAAACGAAAGAAGAGGCCCGTAACTGCACAATGACCAGAATACCTAAGTTTTGATGTGTAATGCTTATCATCTTCCAGGCTCAAGAGGCTGCAGCCCAAACCATCCAAGACGCGGTCCGCTTGTTCCTAACCAGACGGCATCACCAGCGATTGCTGGGTTCCATCATCAAGCTGCAGGCAATGAGGAGACGGGTGATAGCATGCAGACAGGTGGAAGCACTACGACAAGCACAACTGGAGCAACACAGAGACAGAGCTGCCACATCAATACAGGTTGGGAACTGTTTACCAAAATCGAGCCAAAGCAATAAAATTTGGTTTTTATTCAATTTTTGTTTCATCTTTCCCTTCACTGACGTGAGTTTTATCAACATTGTATACTTCGGGTTCCCTGAGGGCTTGTGAGCAACATAATCACAGTTTTACTCGGGTGGGAATCGAACCCACAAACCTCTTGCTTACCAGTGCAGACGTCTTGCCACTTGACCACCAAGCTTGCCAGGGTCGACTGTCCGCTTTAAATCTGATATAGCAGTGGGAATCGCAACCAATCACAATACTTATCTGTCATTTGAATAAATTGCTGAAGTATGAATCTTATGCTAGAACATTTCTCAACAGTTACGTAAAATAAAAATCTGGGGTGAAAAATCTGATTAAAGGCCATAATTTGGCATCTGATTTATTGTTGCTCAGAAATGCATGAGTAGCAATGTAAAGATCTGTACAAGTACAAATTTGAAGAGAGATACAATGTGATGTTTTTGAATTATTCCTAAACTGTGAAATAATTTGCCTGGTTGAACGTTACTGATATACTTATGTTGTGCCCATAACATTTCATTTCTTTGAAGGCATATGTCAGAGGACTCCTCGCAAGACGCCATTATCAGAAGACGCTCAAAACAATAATCATCCAATCTGCTCTGCGTGGCTACATCGCCCGCAAGGATTACCTCCAGACCCGTCAGGCTGTTATTTCACTACAGGCTGCTGTCCGGTGCCGCCTGAAGAGATGTCGCTTTGTCCAGATGCGACAAGCCGCTGTGGTTTTGCAGCAGCGATTCAGAGCTAAACACCTCGGCAGCAAGCAGCGGGCGCTGTACAGTCTCCAACGCAGGGCTTGCATTAGCCTGCAAGCGGCATTCAGGGGCTACGCATGCAGACAGATGTACCGTAAGAAGCGTTTGGCCGTCATTGCTATTCAGGCACATATCCGAGCTCACCTGCAGCGTATGAGATACCTTAAGATGAAATTTGCTGTCTTGGTGATTCAGAGGTACTGGCAGTCTGCTACATATTCCAAATCTGTCAGAGAGGAGTATCTAAGCCTTCGTCAAGCTGCGATCATCGTACAGTCAGTTTACAGAGGTATGGTGGCCAGACGACATGCCGCTTACATTCGCAGTGTGGTGAAAGCACAGGCTGTCGTGCGGTCCTTCCTCCAACGCCGGAGGTTTCTGCACCAGAAGAGAACCTGCATAGTTATTCAGAAATCGTTCCGCGGATACGCCAAGAGGAGAAGATACGAAGCAGTGAGGGCTGCTGCCCTGGTTTTGCAGCGACGTTTCCGGGCTCAACAAGAGGGTCAAATCCAGCTAGTAAAGTACAACATCATGAGGGGAGCTGTCATCACTCTTCAGGCATGGGTTAGGGGAGTTCTGGCTCGTCGCTGGCTGGCTGTCCTTGATAAAGCCGCTGTCAGAATCCAGTCTGTATGGAAGATGCACAGGGCACGGAATAACTTCCTGGCTGTGCAAAGTGCAACATGGTGTCTACAGAAATACACAAGGGCTTATTTGGCCGGAAAATCAACTCGAAGTCACTACGTGAAATTGAGGGCTTCTGCAGTGCTGATCCAGTCTCAGTATCGTTCGATAATGGCGCAACGCAAGTTTGGTCATCAGAAGGCATGCAGCATTGCTGTCCAGTCCTACGTCCGCATGTACATTGCCCGCAAACGCTACAGGGCTATCCTGCAAGCTGCAGTTGTTATGCAACGCCGGTTCAGGGCCAAGCTGAGCCGTGATCGCCAGCTGGAAATTTACAAGCTTCAGAAGAGTGCCACCATCACCCTCCAGGCCTGGTTCAGAGGGATCTTAGCTCGCCAACAAATTGCTGCACAGCATAAAGCAGCCATCAAGATTCAGTCAGTTTACAAAGCATATAGGGAGCGACAGAGCTTCAAGACCCTGCGTGCAGCAACAGTTTGTCTCCAGAAGCACATCAGGGCCCATTTGATCGGAAGACATGCGCACATTGATTACTTAAGGCTGAAGGCAGCAGCTGTGACCGTTCAGTCATCGTACCGTGGACTACTCGCCAGACGCACATTCAACACCCAGAAACAAGCTGCTGTTAAAATCCAGTCAGTTGTGCGCATGCATCAGGCTCACAGTCACTACCTCAGTTTGAGAGAAGCAGTGATGATTGTCCAGACAAGGTATCGTACTCAGAAATTGGCACAGGCAACCTTCCTCAAGTACCAGATCATGAGGGGAGCTTGCATCACACTGCAAGCCTGGACACGTGGGTTTCTGGTTCGTCAGGAGATGCAGAAGTTGCACAATGCCGCTATTGTGATTCAGAAATCGTACCGGTCCTTCGCTGCCAGCTCTAAGTATCAGAGGCTGAGGGATGCTGCTGTTGTACTTCAACAACACTGGAGGGCTACAAAAATGTCAAGAGAAGTTCTTGAGGACTATGTGTCTCTGAAGAAAGCTGCAATTGTCCTGCAGTCTGCCTACCGGGGGAAGATTGGACGACACATTGCCACAGAGCATCGGTCTGCCAGAATCATCCAGTCTTGCTTCAGAATGCACCTCCAGCAGCAGCAATACCAGAGGAAGAGGTGTGCAGCTATCAAGATTCAAACTGCTGTTCGCATGCAGCAAGCTCATAGCAGGTATATAATGCTGAGGCGGGCAGCACTGATCATCCAGACCAGATATCAAGCCAAGAAAACAGGTCAAGCTGTTTGCAACCAGTACCTGACCATCCGCCGAGCTTGCATCACCTTGCAGGCTTTGACACGTGGGTACCTGGTCCGCCAACAGATGCAGAAGTTGCATATGGCAGCTATTCAGATTCAAAAGTCTTTCAGATCCTACTCAGCTCAAACTCGGTACCAGAAGTTGAGAGGTTCTGTCTTGGTCCTACAGACCCACTGGAGGGCCACCAGATTGTCAAGACGGATTCAGGAGGACTTTGTCATTTTGAAGAAGGCCGCAGTGGTTCTACAGTCGGCGTACAGGGGTAAGCTGGGACGAAACACCGCCCTGAGGCACAGCTCTTCCAGAATCATCCAGTCTTATTTCAGAATGCACCTCCTGCAACAGCGATACCAGAGGCAGAAATGTGCAGCTATCAAGATTCAAACTGCTGTTCGCATGCAGCAAGCTCATAGCAGGTATAGTATGCTGAGGCAGGCAGCACTGGTCATCCAGACTAGATATCAAGCCAAGAAAACAGGTCAAGCTGTTTGCAACCAGTACCTGACCTTCCGCCGAGCTTGCATCACCTTGCAGGCTGTGACACGTGGGTACCTGGTCCGCCAACAGATGCAGAAGTTGCACATGGCGGCTATTCAGATTCAAAAGTCTTTCAGATCCTACTCAGCTCAAACTCAGTACCAGAAGTTAAGAGGTTCTGTCTTGATCCTACAAACCCACTGGAGGGCCACCAGATTGTCAAGACGGATTCAGGAGGACTTTGTCATTTTGAAGAAGGCTGCAGTGGTTCTACAGTCGGCGTACAGGGGTAAGCTGGGACGAAACACCGCCCTGAGGCACAGCTCTGCCAGAATCATCCAGTCTTATTTCAGAAGACACCTCCTGCAACAGCGATACCAGAGGCAGAAGTGTGCAGCTATCAAGATTCAAACTGCTGTTCGCATGCAGCAAGCTCATAGCAGGTTTGTAATGCTGAGGCAGGCAGCACTGGTCATCCAGACCAGATATCAAGCCAAGAAAACAGGTCAAGCTGTTTGTTGCCAGTACCTGGCCATCCGCAGAGCTTGCATCACCTTGCAGGCTGTGACACGTGGGTACCTGGTCCGCCACCAGATGCAGAAGTTGCATATGGCGGCTATTCAGATTCAAAAGTCTTTCAGATCCTACTTGGCTCAAACTCGGTACCAGAAGTTGAGAGGTGCCGTTTTGATCCTACAGACCCACTGGAGGGCCACCAGATTGTCAAGACAGATTCAGGAGGACTTTGTTACTTTGAAGAAAGCTGCGCTGGTTCTACAGGCGGCGTACAGGGGTAAGCTGGGACGAAACATCGCCCTGAGCCACAGCTCTGCTAGAATCATCCAGTCTTACTTCAGAATGTACCGCAACCAGAAACAATATCAAAATCAAAAAAGTGCATCTGTCAGGATTCAGTCCGCCTTCCGCAAGCATCAAGCTTACAGAAAATACACAGAGCTCAAACGTGCAGTGATTATCATCCAGCGTAAATACAAGGCAACCAAACTGGCCGAGATGACATGTCTCCAGTATCACATTCACCGTGGTGCGTGCATCACTCTACAGGCCTACGTCAGAGGATTCTTAGTTCGCCAACACATTCGCAGACTGCACTCTGCAGCCACTGCGATTCAGAAGAACTACATGGCCTACAAGACTCGCACCAGATACTTGAAGATCAGGGATGCTGCTGATGTGTTACAAAAGTACTGGAGAGCCACCAGAATAGCAAGGGAGCAGCAACTCATGTTTATCTCTCTGAAGAAAGCTGCCGTCACAGTACAGTCAGTGTACAGGGGACGCATTGGTCGCAAGATAGCGAGGGAGCATCGTGCAGCTAGGCTCATCCAGTCGGAATACAGAATGCATGCAGCAGTCCGGGAGTATACCAAACTGAGAGCAGCAGTCATAACAATCCAGGCCTCGTATCGGATGCAAAGAGCTCGGCAGCGCTACCACAATCTTGTTGCTGCCACTCAGACAATCCAACAGTTCTTCCGTGGGTACCTGATCACCAGAGCTATCAGAAGCAAATTCTTGTTGGCCAGAAGCAGCACTGTCAAACTTCAAGCTTCTTACAGAGGATTTGTGCAGAGGAGAGCTTACATCATCCTAAAGCAGGCAGCAACCAAGACCCAAGCCTTGTACAGAGGAAAGAGAGAACGTGAAGCCTATCAGGCACTGAAGAGGGCCGCAGTAGTACTTCAGGAAAAATACAGGGCTCATGTACTAAGAACCCAAGCCTTCAGAGCCTACAACATTCAGCGTGGTGCAGCTATCACCATACAGGCTGCATACAAGGCTTACACGGCAAGACAGAAGTACATCCAGTTGAAACAGGCAGTAATTACAATACAATCTGCATACAGAGGGCACAGACAGAGAACCAACTTTCTGTTGATGAAGAATGCGGCGACCAGCCTCCAAGCAAGATATCGAGCTCACTTGCTGATGAGGGAAGCCCTCCAAAATTACCAGGCAATACGACAGGCCGCTATTGCGATCCAATCCTTTTACAGGGCCTACACTGAAAGATGCCATTTCATAACTGTCAAGTCTGCAGCAACTGTCATCCAGTCCTTCTTTAGAGGCAACAAGCAGAGATTGGCATACCAGGAGACAAGAAGAGCCGCCGTGGTCTTGCAGATGAGATACAGAACCCATCGTCTCCAGAGGGAAGCCACCAGGAGCTATCATGTCAAGCGCGGTGCTGCCATCACGATCCAAGCCTACCTGCGTGGCCGGCTCGCTAGGCAGTCAGTCAAGCATATCCGAGCAGCCATCAGAATCCAGTCTCACTTCAGGATGCTGACCCAGCGACGCAGGTATCTTGCTCTGCAAAACGCAGCCAACAGAATCAGGGCGAGCTTCAGGGCACAGATTGCCAGGAGAGATTTCCTGTCCTTGAGACTCGCAGCTCTTACTATCCAGACCAGATACCGTGCTCTGATGACGGCTCGACACCAGCAAAGAGAGTACAGGTTGATCCTTAATGCCATCATCACAATCCAGTCCTTTGCACGTGGGAAACAGGCAAGGAAACTTGCCAAGAGGATCCGCGCTGCAGTCAAAATACAGTCAGCTTACAGGGGCCACGTCCAACAGAGACGCTACCAAGCGGTGAGACAGACCACCCTCTTCCTGCAGGCTCGAACCAGGGGCATGATGGCTCGGCAAAAGTTCACTACGATGAAGAAGAAATGGCAAGCTGCTGTGCGCATCCAACAGCATTTGAGGGGCTTTGTTGCAAGGAAAGCACTTGAGGTGAGATATTTGGAATACTCAGTAAAACAAAATCAACATGGTTCATTAAATAAAGACAAATTGAAGGTGTTGGAGATATCTATGAACATAGCAAATAGGGAAGTGTCTAAGGAGACCAAGTCAAGTTTCACGCCTCAAAATAACACATGCATGGCTTATTAATCCAGATCCTGTTACCTCCCAAAAGCACCCTGCGTGTTACTCCCTAGACAGCCCCAATCCATCCAAGCACTCAATCATTAATAGATTCAGCAAGAAGTAAATACAGTGTAGTAAATGTAATACAAATACAATGTAACGGGTTAATATGTATTCCTTCATTTCAGATGAAACTTTTGCACGCATCATCAATTGAATTGTCCACACACACAAAATTCTTAGGAATGTATTAATACTCTGATGAAAATTACTTGGAATGAAGTCATGTGTATAAGGGAAGATGTAAAATTAAACAAGCAGTAACCAGATGTTGAATTCCAAGTTACCCTGTTAAAGCCGTTAAACTGCAAGGTAAACTTCTAGATAAACCTTCGAGTTAATGCTTGCTTAATCTGACCTTCTCTCCTACTTCTATACATTATGGTTCAGTTGCTGAATATAAATATGCCATTGCGCAGTTTTCTTATTGGATCGACATTTTCTGGAAGCCTTCGTTGCTGAATTGCTTTTCTTTTCTTTTCCAATATGAACATTGTGAAAATATCTTTGAACTGAGACTTGACGTTTATTTTCTATACCCGTCTCCTTTCAGACCCAGAGGCAAGCCAGGCTAGCCCAGCTGGAGAGGTTCTCCTCTGTCGCTAGGTTCCATCTGTCCACAATCCAGATCCAACGCTGCTATCGTCTGTACAAGATGCGACAGGCTGCCAAAGCAAAAATGCAGTCCATACTTACTATACAGGTAATAAATTAACTCTCATAACCCATGACCAAATTTAACACCATTTCTTATTTACTCTAACACTAATAAAGTTGAATAAAAGAAAGTGACTGGAGCAGGGTTTGAACCTCAAGACCTCCGGATTGCCATTCCAGCGCTCTACCAACTGAGCTATTCAGCCCCATGTTGCAGCTCCCCAGTTTTGTCACTGTCCTTGTTCAATTTCTAAGGTCAGCTTGATAATATTATTATAGTGCACTTGGTCAGTGTTCCTTTGTGGTTTATTGGGAAACAAAAATTGTACTCATTTAATTGCCGATTGCTCACATGAGGTGTTAATTGAAAACCCATATTTACTGATGATTGCGAGGCTGGTGTTTTTGCAATGGAGACTTCTTAATCATTGCCTGATTTCAGATTCCACAAATTTCATGAATACCTGAGCCCAGTGTTAGTCCTGCTTTAAAGCAAAAAACAGCTTAGCACAAGTTACAAGTAGTAAATACATTATGGGGCAAATCGACTGGTAACCTGATTTTGCTGAGAAAAATATTAGTGCTCTTTGCAAATTGATAACAACTCTGTGATATTGACCCTCTGGCAAATTATTTCATCCGTTATCGGGAACTAGTCTTACACAGGTTGCAGCAATATTTAGAACCAGTACTGGTGATATTAAAGGGAATATACAACATTTGCAAACATCGAAAAATAAAACTACCAAGTTTTTGCGAAATACCTTAATAGGATGTTGGTAAATGACAGTCTAAAGCATCCTGTAAAATTATGGCACCTGGTATACTGTCATTTTCAAGAAAAGTGGTATTTTTGTATCAATTTCCAACGCTGATCGGCCGATCAGCGTTGGAAACAACTGGCTTTTTTTCAAATACTAGCCCCAATTGACCATTGCACTTGTTTGCAATCGATTACAAACCTATAAACGGGTACGAGCCAGCTAGACTGGTTCCCTGACCTTACAATTCCCCCAAAGTATGTAAACTGCTCTGTTTCTTCTTATATGGAGTCAGGGAACCAGACTATAGGAAAATTATCGTTTTTCTTGGTTTTTATAGCATTTTCGAACCCAAAACCTCCAAAAAGTTAGTGTAACTATATTTGCTTTATATTTCCAACCCCCCAATTCCATCCATTTCTGAAAATTACAGCAAAAGCAAATGATGTATATTCCCTTTAAGACAAGGATGTTGAAGTGTAGATTTCGTTATTGTGGAGGAATGGATCATCTACATCTCTTGCATTTGTTGATGGAAGCTAGTAAAGTTTGAATTCCTGTTGTTTTCTGTATTGCAGCGATGGATGCGTGCTTCCCTCCAACGCTTGCATTTCCTGAAGCTCAGACGTGGCATGGTTGCACTCCAGCGCCGCGTACGTCAGCACCAGGCCGTCCGGCAGCAGGCGGCAGTCTGTATCCAGACGCAGGCCAGGGTGTGGCTGGCCAGGCAGTACGTCAAGAAGATGAAAGCTGCAGCACTCACTATGCAGGTATGGCTTCATGATAGACTTAAGAAATTCAGAAGTGAGGTATTTTGATCCTATCAGAATCATTCTCAAAGACAAAAGAGAATGATTCAGCTCGGCAAAATCAATCTGGGTTACTAGCTAGTCTTGAAATCAGGGAAAACCTTGAAATTGGGTTTCCATTTTTATTTCCAATTGGAATGTGTGAATATGCAACATAGGATCCATATAGATAATTTAAATATTATGCATATTGTTTTTTTCATAGTTGTTTCTTGTTCAGTGCATGCAGAATCTTCAAGGAAAACTTTCCGAAATTGCAACCTGAACTCACTTGAGAGCTCTTTACTCAGTGTCTGACGAGAGTTCCCAAAATCTTTGTTATGGATTTTCAAAGTCCCATATTCACAAATCTGGCAGACCAAAGGTTCTGCAATACAGTCCTTGAGATGTAATAAAAGGATGAGTTCAGAAATGATCTGATCATCTAAAGCAATTATCACTTGTGAGTCGTTTACAAACTAATGCTCTGGACCTAAGTGTGAAAGAAAAACTCTCCCTTTATTTGTTTGGCCAGTCTGTGTGGCGAGGCCTTAAAGTCCGCCGCAGCTGCAAGAACAAGAAGATCGCAGCTGCCCGTGCCCGCTGCATCAAGGCCAACAAGGCCGTCACAGAGGAGAAGAAACTCTGCAATCGCACCACCTCGGCCCTGGACTACCTGCTGCAATACAGGCAGATGTCTGGCCTGCTAGAGGCACTCATCAGTCTAGGTAAGGGTATAGAACCAGCAAAGAGGGTCTGCGAATGGACTCTTTCTGTTCTGTTAACAGTAACTTATTGGCATCCACTGCCAAATTCAGTAGATGCAAAGAGATTCCCATTTGTTTGCGTCTGTTGAAAAAATGTTTTACCTTTTAAATTTGGAAACATTGGTGGCTGCATCATCTGAAGTGATTAAGTATTCAACAGGTTCTGAGAAATTTCCAGTCTCCAGAAGTACATAATTAAGTTAACACATGCTGTACTGTTAGTCATGAGAATGTCTAAATTAATTGAATATAAATCAGGAAATTGCAAACACTTTGTTTGAATTAATGACAGCCACTGAAGTTGTGAATCAGTCCAATTAATACAAAGAGTGTTCTCTTTTAGCATCAAGTTTTCAGGAGAGTGATCAAGAGACTTTGGATAAAAAGAATTTAGTGGGAGGGAGGATACTTCACTCTGTACTTACCTTGCTTTTAATAGTATGCAGACATTTTACAAGTTTACTTTTAAGTCTGCCTAGGTCCGAGTAATTTGAAGATAGTCTCATCCGAAACTATTCAACATCTTAAAATCAGATAAAATATTCAACATTTTAAAAAATTAACATTTTTTTTTCTCCAGACGTTGTGAGCCGTCTGTCGGCAGCCTGCTGCGAGCGTTTAGTAGAGGGCCAGGCAGTACCGGTCATCTTCACTCTGATCAAGAGCTGCAATCGTAGCCTGCCCTGCATGGAGGTCATCAAGTACAGCGTCAACATACTCCTCAACCTGACCAAGGTACCATTCAATCTCTAGTCCGTTTTCACGACTGTTAAATACAGTGGAACGTCGCTATACCGAACACCGCTATACCGAACATCGTCCTTGGCTCCCGATTTTTGTGTACAAAACCAACTGAACATTGTTGTTGAAAACCGTCAACAGAAGAGCGACAAGTGGCTGTTATTTCCCCAAGGCATAGAAGGGGAAAGCCACCCATCGATGTAGGTAGTAAGCTCAAAACTGTGTAATTACATAATTCAATAGTCGGCACGTGTTCGAAGTTGTCTTTCAGTAACTACCAAGGCATGCAGGCGCCATTTATTGAAAAGTAAGTACCGGAGCACCAGCAGCTAAAAATCGCTATACTGAACAATCGCTATACCGAACGATCACTTTACCGATCATTTTCTGTGGATCCCGCGATGTTCGTTACAGCGGCGTTCCACTGTAACAGACCTTTCTCAGTTAACCCCTGGGTGGCACTTTGGTTGACAAACTATGGAAGGTTAACGTCGCAGAAATAAACTTTGTTTCCAAACATTTCATTGGATTGCTGAAAGTACTAAATATATTTAACAAATAAACTTTACCAAAGACTTAAGAAAAAAATTTGTTGAAAATTTTTTTACATGATGAAGGTGTTGACGTTGATATGTAATTTTTGGCAAAATCTGTTGCCAACCACGGCTTAAATTTATGCCCTTGTGGCTGCACAAACTAAACAGCGCACAATGTTTACAAGTTGAATGTGAGAAAACATCTAGTGTTAAAGATTGTTGAATTGAGCATTTGTGTCTGCGGTTATCGATTCTAAGAGTGGTACTCTTGGGGCTAAAAACCGAATCCATAACTGAAACATTTGCTGCGGATGATGCTAGGTGTGAGTACTTTGAAATGTTTCCACTGCATATGCAGGGGTTTTTAATGGTGTAAATCCAATCGTGTTTCTTTAATTTGAGGATCCTTGCATTGCTGTGATTGTCTTAATTTATGATTTATGTGTGCGGCAATGAATTTCAACACTGCCGAAATAGAAAGAGCCAACGGTCAAACAAAAACAGTCAATTTTTGTAGTCCTTTGATATCTGCACCATAAACTATTGGTATGCAATTCTGTAAATTGACTTCCTTCTTTTCCCCTTTCTTATCGTCACTGAAGTATCCTCCCACTGCCCACGCAGTCTTTGAGGAGCCAGAATCCATCAGCATGATCTTGGACCTGATGCAGATGTACCGAGAGAAGGGTGCCCAGATCTTCTCTAAAGTCTGCACGCTGATGGGCATTCTGAGTCAGGATACCAGACGTGCACAGGTCAGTCACACTTCTTGGAACTCTTCCTTTTTTTTTTCATGAATAGATTGTTTGCACTGCAGCCATGTTTGAGGTATGTGTTGTGCATTCATCGTTAATGAATTAACATAACAAAAAGCACCTCAAAGATGGCCGCTGAGTGCAATCCGTCTATAGCAAGCAAAGGAAAGTCCGTCCCGAGTCAATAAGACTTACCATGCCAGTTTCCTTGGCTGGACATAACTGAGATATCTCAATGACCCTAAAGGACTGCCAGTCCCAAACTAATGTCGGTACCCACTCCTTGGCAGGGTAAGGCAAGTTGGGGCAAAGTGGCTTGCTTAAGGACACAACATAAATGGTCAGCAGTCGGACGATCACCTTGAACACTTAGATCATGAGTCACATACCCTAACCACTAGGCCACACTGCCCAATTTTACTTATGAATAAATGATGACAATTCTATTTGAAATCAAATTCGAAGGAAAATTGAGTAGTAAGGTGGTCTTAGTTTCTGGTATGAAGATCGATCAGCACTAGTGACATCAGCAAAGGGGGGGGGGGCACTGTTGTCAAATTGAAGCATGTGTGCCCCCTTTTAAGCTCTCCATGTATTTATGCTGTAAGAACATATTTAATTTGTGCATGTACACAACAGTGATTGCTAATAAAAATTCAATTAGACACCAAACCTGAAAGATGCAACCTTGCTTATTTTATCTGTCAAAAGCGCGTCTGTAATACCCTCAAATACCACACTCTTTGAAATCAGTTTCAATTACGCAAATCTTGGCAAATATTTGAATCCCTTTGTTTCTCATCACAGATCATCCTCTCAGCTCCCAAGAACAAGGAGCGGCTCCTAGGCATCAATCGTCTGACGGAGCGCAAGTACAGCCTAGCGGCCAAGCGCGCCCAGGCCAAGGCCCGCGGCCTGAACAGCTCCACCCTGTCCAACAGCAGCTTCCTGAACACCAGCAGCCTCAATGCAAGCAGGGTGATGCACGCGCCGACGCCCCGCAAGCAGCGTCAGGTGCAGCCGGAGTGGGTGCTGGGGCGGGGCAAGATGCGGGAGATTGCAGACCCGCTGGAGGCATGTCACTTTGTCATGGAGACCTTGCATTTGAAATGAAAAATAATTGGAAACCTTGGTGTGGCCCGACTGGGTACATGGGTGTGGCAAGATGCGAAGATTGCACCGTAGGTGCCTTGCACTTGTAATTAAAATTGTACAGCTCTTTTAAAAAAAGTAGTTTAGAATTTAGCCAGTGATGGATTGTTAGTATTCGCTGTGTTTTTTTCGGATTGGAGAACTATTGTACCTTTTTGAATGGTTTCATAAAATGGAAAATCCGAAGATTGGAGTTTGTAAATAGCTATTTGCCTTTCTTTAGTGTAGACTATAGGCTTGCTTTGGATTCAGAGGTTGAGTCTCCAAATTTTGATCTAAGTTTCCCCACAGTGGCTATTTTATGCTTGGATGGAGAATTTTCAAAATGTCAAGAATTTACTTATGTAGTGATTTTTGGCCGAGATTTGGTTTTGAGTGTTTTTTAACATATTTGAGCCTTATTAGTGCTGAGCCCTAAAACAGTTGGCAATCTTTGTACACAGCATTTCAATATATCATGAAGACTTGGTTGGCTTAATGCGAGAAACGTTTGTTAAATATATCATTTTCAATTTGGTGCACCACTTACGGTTTTGTTTTAGGCTTTACGACAGAAAACCATGAAGTTCTTGAATATACCCAATGGAAATTCAACAAATTTACCTTGGATCAATCTTGCCCGAGTTATGAAAATTTGATGGACAGGGACTCAAACCCCAGACCACTGTATGCGTGTTCCAGTTGCTCAACAAATTCCATTTTGTTGCAATGATTGATTTTTCACTTTTGTAAATATCCTACCTGTATATATTGTATAAATGATTCATCGATTAATATTCTTTGGTAATTGCGGATCAACTTTAACCCATCAGTCACTGCACCGCCCCAAACTGCCCTTGCCTGTTACTCCTTGTAGTAGTACCCAAAACTGTCCTGGGACACTAGATGTTTTTATAAATCCATCAGCGACTTAAACACAAAGGCTTACAACATAGAATGCATCACATTTGTTCATGGATTAAATTTTACAATGTCTGAGGAAAGTGTTCCGTTTAACCACTAGGTAATCCGTTCCAGAATTAGAAATTTCATGTTTAGAAGTTGTGATCCAATACCTCAAAAAAATAGTTTTGTACACCCATTTTTCATACATTTGGAAACGTTTCCGCATATAGTTTCATCTATTAATGAATTTAGCCATTAGGTAATATAGTCTGTAGTTGTTTTGCTTTTGTTTTTAATATTGATCATTGCTTTTTGATCGCTTTTGTTTAAATCATGTCACCTGAATGACATAAAGCTTGTACAAATTTATGCTTAATTCCTTGCTTTCAATATAGACTTGAATTTTAAGCCTGCTTATTTGTGTCATGTGTGCTTGTGTCATATTACATTGATACATTCAATGGCTAAAGTTTAGGGGTCGTGTGTAGGATCAAGGTAAAATTCACCAAGAAATGGAAAAAACTCGGGACAAGGCGTTCATAAATACATGTATATATTCATTTATTTATCGTTTAACTATTAACAAACTGACAATGTCTTTACACATTTATTCATCTCAAGTAATTGAATATTTTGGGTCTTTTTGCTTTTCATCAGTGAGTTGATCATGAATTAGGGGGGGGGGAACAATTGCAACTTTTCAATTTCTGTAAACGATTTCAAAATCCAATTGCAACGCTTCCATTGATCCGAATTCTGTCACAGCCTTTTTTTAAAGTCTCTTTACACCACTGTGAAAATACATACACTAGTCTCATTAGATCAACAAAAACACGATACAGCAAATCTCAAACTCCTGTGTCTGGCATCAACCCCACAGTCAATTCTTTAAGTACAGACAGCTCTGCTCGGAGCCAGACTGATGGTGACCACTGACCTCATGTGTCTGGTTTCAGCCTTGTGATACATTCTTTAAGCACCAACAGCTCTGCTCGGAGCCAGGCTAATGGTGACCCCTGAATTCAAGTGTCTGGTATCAGCCCCACAATCTATTCTTTATGCACCAACAGCTCTGCTTAGAGCCAGCCTGATGGTGACCCCTGACCTCGTGTCTGGCTTCAGCCTCTTGATCCATTAAAGTTACAACAGCTTTGCTCGGAGCCAGCCTGATGGTGACCCCTAACCTCATGTATCTGGCTTCAGCCTCTTGATCCATTCTTTAAATACTAACGGCTCTGCTCGGAGCCAGCCTGATGGTGACCCCTGACCTCATGTGTCTGGTATCAGCCCCACAATCTGTTCTTTGGCTGCCAGCAGCTCTGTCCGGAGCCAGGCCGGCAGTGGCAACCCTTGACCTCTGTCCCTCAGTTCTTTCATGACCTGCAGACTGGACTGAATGTTGCCGATAGTCTGGCGATACTCTTCGTCAATGTCTTCTCTCTTTGGCCTCTTAGCAGCAGGCTAGGACAAAAGAAAAGACTTGTTTTCAATAAAAAGGTAAGCTTTAACCCGTTTGAATTTCTTTTTTCTTTACAGAAATCTTACTAGATTTCCACAGAATCAAACATTCAAAGTTATAGTCCCATAAATGTGGCCAATTTACTGGACTACCTCCATATATAAAGGCCACACTTCCACCATGTACAAAAACATGTCGAACTTTGCCAAATTTTGATTTTCACATTTAGGCTTAGTTTGTAGTTTATTTTTGCTTTAGAAGCATACTTGCCCTCTTTATAGGCTAATCAGAAAGTGCTGCCTTTTTCAGATGTCTATTTTTCGTGAAATTTCATGTTGAAATTTTGATACGCAAACGTGTGCAAACGAATCTGGAAATTTCACGAAAAATGGACATCTGAAAAAGGCAGCACTTTCTGATTAGCCTATAAAGAGGGTGAGTATGCTTCTAAAGCAAAAATAAACTACAAACTAAGCCTAAATGTGAAAATCCAAATTTGACAAAGTTCGACATGTTTCTGTACATGGTGGAAGTGTGGCCTTTATTTACGGAGGCAGTCCAGTAAATTGGCCACATTTATGGGGGCTATTCCATAGAATTCTAACTACTTAAGCTGCTTTCATGCAAACAGTGATTACTATGCATGTACCAGCCTACAATGACAATAGTTGCATAGTACCCTGACTGAGAAAGTACATCATTTGCTTGGTCAGTTCACATTGTACCAAATGCTCATGTTATTTTCAATAGACAAAATTTTAGACCATGAAGATTAACCTTTGGTTTAAATTTTTTCCCCGCAAGGTTATTAAATCATTTATAGGTGGGCATGTGGACGGACATCCGGGAATTTATTTTGCATTGGCTTATCTAGCTCCCAGACCTATGTTCTTGAAAGTCAATGGTTCTTCAGTCTGGAGTGCTGAATGGTAACACATAGCAACCGATGAATATTGGTGTGCAAATGAATAGATGTTCTCATCAGATGATTTCACTCCGGCCCGTTCTATAAATTCTGAAAAATTGTCATCATTTTGGTTTTTGATTTATTGAACTGCACATTACAATGTATATTTAATGTAGAGAATTGATTGAGGCCAGTCAAATAAAAAAAAAAAATCTCTCCTCACCCTATCGTCACTACATTCGTTGTCAGCCTTGTCACCAGCTCTGGCCGGTTCCCCGCTGCCTTGGCCAATCAGTGGCTGTTGTCCCGGGAGACAGGTATCCTGCTCCTCATCAGCTGATTCATGTCTCGCTTCTCGCGCTGCCTCGTCTTTGACAAGATGTCTAAGGAGTTGTTCTGCTTGCTCCTGGAGCCATTCCACTTCGGTCTTGGCAGTCTGTGCACACTCCTTTGGAATCTACATGGGCAAGATTTGTTGAAATTTTCCCCTGATTTTAGGATTTTGTTTAAAACTCTTTGAAATCTGGAATTTGTGAGATTTTCCCATAAAGGTCTCTGTACTTATAAAGGTTTTTTTTATAGTACAAAAGAAATGGGTATTTTAAGGGCCACCTTCAGGCAAAAAAAAGAAAATATACCCTAGACCCTACATTGCTCTTGGGCCCTCAAAGACCCCCAAACACTCTGCCGATTAGTTTGTGGAACTTCCATCCCCCCCCCCCCCCCTGATCTCACCCCTGTGGGCAGCATAACAGAACTGGAGCAGTCGAGGTTGAAGTTCAAAGCATTCCTTTGGGAGGGGAGCAATGGAGTCCGTGCGTGAACAAAAGAGGGCGCTATCGTCGGCTAACAATGAACAGTGAACAATGCTTGGATGATGTACACGCACTGTTTACAGTTTTCATGTAAAAATTCTTCATGTACCAGTAGGTATGAGGCGTAAAGTTGCAGAAGTTTTGCTTGTGCATTTTACATTTTTATATTTCTGCTCATCACTGCAATAGCCCTCTAAGCATGCTAACCTGATTCAAAAAATCCACTACTGTACTATGAGTAGACTCTACCTGAAGACACTCCGGTACAACTGACTCATGAGCTGTTTCCTGGAGGGAAAAATAACATTAGGCAAAAAAAATTGAAAGCAGATCTTACTATGCTTAATTCTATGAATTTTTTCATTTATAAAAATTGAAAAACATTATTAAACCTATTAGCACTGGAATAACATTGTATTACATTCTACTCCTTTATGAATTTATAAAACCACACCGTGTTGGGGCGGTTTAGGGCGGTATAAGGAGTAACAGGCAGGGGGGTTTTGGGCGGTACAGGGACAAATGCATTGAAACAGGCTACAAGGACAACTGTCTAAAAAAGAACACCATTAAGCTCTATCTTGTACATACCTCTGCAAATGCACTGAAGGCTTGCAATGCCATCTGGCGTACGATGCAGTGCTGGTCAGCTAGCAATGCAGAGAACAACTCGGCTAACCCAGCTAGAATGTCTTTCAGCTGAGAATAAGTCAATACAACAGACAATTACCCAAAAAAAATAGGTTGGAAAAACAATTGAAAACTTTCAACCATTTTCATTGGTTGATTAAAGAGTAAGTGTGTAAAGACCCAAAGTGTCAAAAAGTGGGCTCAGATTTTCACCATTCCTGCCAAACAGCAAATTCCAAAATGGCCCAAAACACTCAACAAAAACAAGCGTTATATTTGTCAATAGTCAAGAATTATATTACCTGGGGACTACCTTGAACTTTGACCTTTCTTGACCTGTGCAGGAAGTTGACAACCTCCAGTCTAACTTTCAAAGACGCACTCGGCAGTAAACTACACAAGTGCTTTGTTGCCTGAAACAAAATACATTTGAAAATGTCTTGATAAAATGATAAAAATTCCCACATTTTCATTAAAAAAATCTGAATATAACGGATCAATGCAAGGAATTTGTCACTTTCTAAAAATTTCATAGAAAATGTGTTTTTAATTTGTTAAAATTGTTTGAATCAATTTAAAATTGATTATATATAAATTATTGATGAATAAATTACTAAATATGAATAATTAATAATAAAAAAGATTCACCTTAGCTGATGATATTATCCAACCAGTCATGTCGATTAAAGTACTGATCATATCATGTGACTTGATTCTGTCCAATGGGAGTACTTCCCACAGCCCGGCAACTGTCTCCATGACGCTCTGTGTAAGCTGCGTGCTGATTGGTAGACTCAAATTCTCAAACTGTCGGTACACGTCAGACATGCAAGATAACCCGTTTTTCTAAGACAACAAGGAGGAGACTATATTATGGCATGTTTTGAAAAAGTGTGTCACTCGTACCCACCCCTCCCCCTACATCGTTTTAAAAGCACATATGATCTTTTGCATTTATCCCAAGAGTAACCTACCAAATTATTATCAAAAAAGTTACATGGATTAAAGATCGTACTGGTATAACACCCAATGAAATTATTCTATCTGGCTTGCTGTCATTTAAAAGAAATCAAGAAATGTAGGTGATTTCCAACAATCAGTCAATTGACTGATTTTTGGAATAAAGGGTGATATTGACCAAACTGTGTTTTTCAATCAAAAGGTCGTGCACGGTTTTTCAAGTGTAATATCCATTGAGCTGAAAGATAATAGGTTTTGAACAGTCTTCTTTGGATTTTGAGTGGTGTTATTATTGGAAACAAACAAACACATGAAAACTTAATAATCCTATTACCTTTAAAGCTACCTTAAATTGTGTTTGTTTTTTTGTAATAATAGCGCGCCAAATGGACTGCTTTCACATGTTTTAGTTTAGCAGAAATATCTCTAAGTAAAATTTTGTACATAACTCTAAGCAATTTAGACACATGTTGTTACTAATGACATTCTTTGTATCATTTTAGTAAAATTGACTTCACTTACCAACTGTTGCAATGAGCTATACGTATGATCGTTGGCATTCAGCCAATCGCTGCATTGTTCCAAGCCATGCCCCACCAAATCCGCTGCAATGACTCTCCTTTGTGCTTCCTGAAATGCTGGCAGGGGTACGTGTCTCCACAGAGCAGCATGTTCCTTTGGTGGAAACTTTGTCCGTAGCTCGTCCTAAAAAAAAGGTAAAACACAACCAGAAATTGTTTATTGAAATACTTGGTCATTATTTAATATTTCTGTTACTTACAAAGTAATTGACCTATCGTCGTTTGCGAGTTGGCCACGCCCCTTAGACAATCCTATGGAATTTTTGTACACTAAGTTTTGTTTGTCTCAGATGTTGTGCGTTCCGCATCCATTTGTGTATCATTTAATTGGACAATATTTCACAAGCTGCGTTGACGCGATTCTAATGTGATTCTACCGCGATAGGTAGAATCATTATGAGAACTTTGTAAAATGCTGCCGTGTCAAATTTGTACCTGGTGCTCCTGTGCCATCAGAGGGACCAGTCGCCACAGCAACATGCTGAGATGCATGTAACCCGAGCTGTGATTGGCCTGTGTAGAGGTCAAAAGGTCGGCAACCAGATGCACATGACTTGCACACAGCTTGGCAGTGCCATATCTAAAACACAAAGAAAATGTCAGTAGTGAGTTTCAAGTAATTCTCAAGAAAAATGTCAGTGCAGTAAGTTTTTGTTTTTCAGTTTATACTTTATAAAAGTATAAACTTTATGGCAACACGTAATTACACAATAAACTGAAAACGACCCCAAAAAGCCAACCATACCTTGCGAGGAAGCACCAGACGTCCATTGCCAGCAGGGCGCAATTCAGCTCACTGGAGACCACATTCTCCAACAAACACGTCTCGACGACGGCAAAGTCTGCGGTGCTGACTGACGCAACAAAGCCACACAACTGGATGGTCACATACTCCCTCAAGCTGACATCTTGCTGAGGTTGGCCTTGGCGGACGACAATCGGCAGTTTAATCGGTAACGCCACCTCAACATAACCTTGTACATTGATACATTAAAAAAAAATTAATAAAAAGAACAAAAGCGCTTTTTATGTAATGCTGTAAAAGTCTCGGAGTAATGACATTCTTCAAACTATGGGTTTATTATCTTTCAGTAAATTATTATGTTGGGCGCGATCAGTGGATCTGCGCGATCCTTCAATCGCGCTGCTCTATCGGTCGATCATGCCACCATCGGTCGATTGCGCCGCGCCATCGGTCGATCACCTTTTCTTCGTAATTCACGGCTCTGGAGGATTGTTTTGAAAAAGGGAAGTAAAGTCTAATATTTCTTACAGGATTGACCGATCACACAAGTGCAGATCCATCGAATGCTCCCAACAAGCCTATTGATTGAAACCATTTTTGCACTGGGAGATTTTATGAAGGAATTTTCATTGCATGTCAAAGCAAATAATTTTTTTCTAAGTTTCATTTCAACCTCTGCAAGGCAATTTATATCTTCAATATCAGGCTTTGCCCTTCACCGACGTATACACACTGTATACTCAGTGTGTTACTTATATCTTAATTCTGAAGATGTATTCATTATTTTGTTGAGTTCAATCGAAAGAAAACGTGTCTTACTACTGACAATAAAATCTTACATTTGGCATAGCTCCTGAAGACCGCCCCCAAGATGGAATCTCTAGGCTCCTCCCACGATGGGGTTGTGGCCTCCATCCAAGCTATCTGCGTCTGCTCTGGGCATGATGGCAGGATTCTCAAGACCTTCATGAGTGTGAGAAGTCGTCCAAAGTCAAACTTTGCAGGAACGTCTGTGGGTAAAAAAAAAAGGAAGTTTTGAAACGTTTGGTTGTTGAAGAGAAAAGATGGCGCTTTGTGACCACTTTCGTTTGCCCCGGCAGGAGGGTCACACAACATATGCGGACTGGTTCTCGAGTGGATAGCGCAAAGTACGCACAAATAATGTCTAAAACACATAGTCTCTTTGCGTTTGCGTCAGGCGTCGTCAGCAATGCAGTTGAATGTCCCTCCCACTGGTCCCCCCAACTCTCCCCTTGCAACCATTGAGGGGGTACTTGTGCATGAAGTCAGGGAACAAGTCTTATAACATAGGTTCTTACAATTTGTTTTTAAGTCTTTTCAATTCGGGCGATTCACAATGCAGTGCGCCACCAAGAGTTTGCCATGGAGAGTTAATTTTTCCCATTGCATTGCGGGAGATGGTCGACAAATTCACAGCGCGGGACATTTGAAAATGTTACTTTTTCCGGTCAGTAGTTTTGTAAGCGTATGATTCGAGTATATGTTTGTGCCCTTTTCTTTTCCTTTTAACAATATGGTGTTTTTTGTAAGGCGGCAGAATGGTATGCCCCAATCTATAATAAGTTAGCTCAAGTTGTCTACTGAGACTCATTTAAATGGGCCATGTTTTGTCGACTGTAAACTTGAAAAATGGACTCTCCATGGCAAACTCTTGGTGGCAACACTGCATTGTGAATCGCTCGAATTATTGTCTGGTCAAATTGTTTAGACTGGAGAGTACCCGTTGCTCATTGTTCAGTTTCACATGCTCAATTTGCTGTGAATGATTCAGACCACCCTGCTCACCTTGCTTCACAGCCGTTACAGCGTCACGGAATAGAGTGTTGCCTATCAGCTGTTGCAGGAGTGGTTCCACGCATACCAACAGGGATCTGTCAATCTCACTTTGGGCATTGCTGAAGATGTCGGGAGCATGGACGCTGGGTGGCGCCTGACTACTCAAGAGAGACATGTAAGATGTAATAATAATAATTAAAAAAAAAAATAATAATAACAATGTGGTGCTTATATGGCGCTTTACACCAAAGAATCAAAATGCTTCACAATTATTACCCCTGTTCATCGTGCCTGTTCATCTGCAGCAGCTTGAGATCAGCGCAATATGGTCTCTACCCTCACTGGTACCCATTTATACTCATGGGTGGAGAGAGGCAATTGTAGTTGAGTGCCTTGCCCAAGAACACAAGCACCACGTTTTTTATCCGGGTTTCATCCGGGTGCATATGAATCATATCAGACACTGTAACCATTGGACCAAAATCAGTTTTGTTTGTTTGTTTTTTGTTTGTTTCTTGCAGACATATGATTTGATTCCGAGTTTTCTAACAGCGTTTTAGAACTGAGACCTAGATCCGTGAGTATCAAAATACAGTCCCTGTCTTAATTCTAACCATCATTAGAAGTGGTGTTAGAAGGGCTAAATATGGTAAAGCTTGCAACTACTTGCCAAGATTTATCTGTCGTGAAACTTCAAAACAGGTAAATGGTTTTCAGAATTTTATTGTAAGACAGTAAAATTTCATTACTAAAGATATTGCTTTGTTATTGTTCATCTCCTGTTACTTATGACTTAAAGATATAGTCCATCATTTGTAATTTGTGCATTTTGTTCGTTTGAAGCAACACAAGTGCTCAAAATCTAAAGAAGGGTACTGAACAACTAACCTGATGAAGTTTCAGCTCAGCTTCAGCTGTAAATTCCGAGAAAAACAGCATTCTAGGATCTCAATTTCAAATCAAAAGTTGCTGAATCATGTTTTGAATTGGGCCTGAATTCAGCGTCCGAGACACGTTCTTACTGAGCCGATTGCAGCTACGCGATGTTGCGCACTGATCCGACAATTATACTTATAGCTACCGCGCGTGCGTGTGCGTCGTGCCAATGCTTGCGCGCGCTTCCCTGAATAACAAAACGAACTACTAATTTAAATATCCTACAGTGCGTCTTAAGAAGCACCATTGGAAAGGCCTTGTTTCGTTGATTACTTCAAAATGACAGCTTGCCAGAAAGAATCATTTCACAGGGAGTTTAGTTCCCTTACTATCTTTCAACCAAGTTTGTGTTTCAACAATAATTACGCCAGTTACTTTTCGGATAGCTGCAAATGATGGACTATAGCTTTTACATGTGATTTGAACTCTGATGGACTTGATTACAGTTCTGAGGGTCCGCTTCTTGGTAACGACACAATTATCTCGTAGGTGGTTGTAATATCGGTTATGATTTCAGCGGTATCTTTTCCCTCTAAAACATACCTCTGTAAGGCCAAGACCAGTTCGTACAACTCCCCCATGCACGGACCCAGGTACCCCTCAAATTCCTTGAGAAGGTGCATCAGCATCTTAATGCACAGGCCGCAGATCTTTAAGGTCTTGGCGAAGGCCTTCTCATCGCCCCCCTGGGAGGACTGGGTGGTGGGTGGGTGGGGGGCCAGCCGCAGGCACTGGTCAAAGTTGGTCTTGATGTCTGAGCACAGTGTCGCTATGATGGGATGGATCTTTAGGAATTCAAAAAAATTGGAATCAATTAATTATGGACAATAAAGATCATCTGAACTGTCGGTTGTAACAGAAAATGCAGTTTGGGTTTTCCTTTTTCGTTGGTAAATCTGTTAAGATGCAATGACTCAACACTTCCTGAAACCAGTGTGAGCTCTTTTCGTTACTGAAAAAATATACAACATCTGACTTTTCAATTATGTTAGAAAAGGAAATTAGAGCTTTTCCTTAAGTTTGTAAATTTATTTAAATATAATGGCTCAAACCTCGCAACAGGACTCTTTCTCTAAAAAACCTATGGTACAAAAAAAAGAAGAAAATTACTAATAGTTCACATGAAAGTAATGGTCCAATGGTTACGGTGTCTGACTCACGTGTGACAGTGCACACGGCACTTGTGTTCTTGGGCAAGACACTTTACTACAATTGCCTCTCTCTAACTGGGAATATAAATAGGTATATGTGAGGGTAGAGACCAGATTGCGCTGATCTTGAGCTGCTGCAGATAAAATGGCATCATGGCCTGATGAACAGGGGTAATAATTGTGTAGCACTTTTGAGACTTTGGTATAAAGTGCTACAAAGCATCATTTTTTTTTACATTTTTCTTTTTTTACTGACTAACCTGAAGGACATTCTTCAAGAGTTCTTTGTGCTTGCAGGCCATCTTGACCAGAAATCTCCACGTGCTGACCAGCAGAGTGCTGTCCATGTCACCGATGACGATACACAAGTCGTGGAAGCCACTACACACTGCAAAAGGAAACATCAAACGCCCCCTCATCAACAACGTCAACAAACTCAAAATTTTTATTTAGTACGAAAGCTTGGGCCTTTCAACACTGCATGCCTAAACAAACAATTATCTTAGAAATTTATGCTTACGTCATGACATTTATATGCTTACGTCAAGTCAATTCGGGCGATTCACAATGCAGTGCGCCACCAAGAGTTTGCACTGCATTGTGAAACACGCGAATTAGCAAGCTTGAATAAGCTGTGACATAAGCATTTCTTCCTCCACTGTTTACTTGTTGCCTGACTTGTGATTTGACTCGTGATTGATTCGCTTACAACTCTCCTCAATAAGCACCTATCCAAATAGCTTAAAGATATAGTCCATCATTTGTTATTTGTGCATTTTGTTCGTTTGAAGCAGCAAAAGTGCTCAAAATCTAAAGAAGGGTACTGAACAACTAACCTGATGAAGTTTCAGCTCAGCTTCAGCTGTATATTCCGAGAAAAACAACATTCTAGGATCTCAATTTCAAATCAAAAGTTGTTGAATCATGTTTTGAATTGGGCCTGAATTCAGCGTCCGAGACACGTTCTCACTGAGCCAATTGCAGCACGCGATGTCGCGCACTGATCCGACGAATTATAGCAACCTCGCAGGCGTGTGTGTCGTGCCAATGCTTGCACGCGCTTTGCCGAATAACAAAACGAACTGCTAATTTAAATTTCCTATGGTGCGTCTTAAGAAGCACCGTTGGAAAGGCCTTCTTTTGTTGATTACTTCACAATGACAGCTTGCCAGAAAGAATAATTTCACAGGGAGTTTAGTCCCCTTACTATTTTTCAACCAAGTATGTTTTTCAACAATAATTACGCCAGTTAGTTTTCGGATAGCTGCAAATGATGGACTATAGCTTAAGATACATCTTGGGTCAAGAATCTGAAGGCATAAAACACTAGCGGGAAACGTTTGCAGAAAGACAACTCACACTGGGCCACATCCTCAACGCATTCCTCTCCATCCTCAGCTGTCAGACGTACTGCCTCCAGTAAAATAGTCAGGGACTTCTGCAGACTGTAGGCTTTCTTGAACAGGGAAGACAGGATCTCAGACACCAGGGGAAAATGATCACCATAAATTGAAGTGCTGTCCTGTCAAACCAAAGGAGAATAACCTTGTTTTTGCATTGAGCTATATACAATTGAATAAACAATTAAAATTTGTTTCAATTTAGGGCCAAATTCGCGCAAGGACTATAGCTGACCAATGGTTCACCATAGTCTGACTAACGCTTGCCCGAACTCTGTCGACTATTTGGAACCAACCTACTGGGGCTGGTTGCATCGCTGGTAACCAATAGCCGAGCGCATTCATAACACTAGGAGAGAGCCAGGATCCAGAAGTTTTGCGATGACATTTTGAACAGCGTTTGACTAGAGACGTTCGCATGTTGCTATCAGTGCGCAGGCGTGAGGTACGTCACAAATCAACCACTAGTCGACTAATGGTCCTTGCCCGAACTATGCCTAGGTTGTATCAGAATCTCTTGTCAGCAGCTATGTCTAAGTCTCAGTCAAAAGACTGATTCATTAGGCCATACCTATTGCACATATGGTCTACAACATGCGTATCTCTACAAACGCACGTCAGACGCACGCAAATGCATGCCAGACTTTTGTGCACGCTTGTCCGACATAAATAACAGCTTTTGATTGGTCAAAACTTTGTGGGTGGGTGGGGCCTAATAATCAGTCTTTTCAGGTACATGGCACATGCCGACAGCAGCCATAGCTCTGGGTGTCTCTGATGGACAGGCTTTACGTTGTAGTTTTCAGTAAAAATTGCTGCGGCCAATTTCCTGCTGAAACTTACTTTGCAGTGGTGGAAAGATCTGCGGACGACATGTAGCACAGAGGACGGCAAAGATCGCACTGTGTCAATGGAAAGGGCGCCCCCACACGATGCGTTGATGACATGCAATACGCAGGAACATAGGCACTCCAGAACGTCCAAAGTAATCTTAAATATTAAGAATGAAAAAGTCAAGATACAATAATATCGGTAATAGTGCCTCATATGGCACATCTCTCAAACGTGTAGCTGCAATTATTTTACACAAAATTAACATGCTAGCTAGAAATGTGCACAAATGAGGCTTTGGACAATAATGAATTGTATACAATATGTTGAAATAAAAGCATAACATTATGCTCTTTTCAGATGATCAGCAAACTCAAGTACAGAAAACGCTTACTCAAAATGGCAAGAATGTTTTTTCCATCGCACTTTTTACATAAAATCCTGTCTATTTTTTTGGTTGATGATTTTGACTTTAATAAGTTGGAAGATTTTGGCCATAGGTAATTGTTCTCAACTTGTGGTTCACAATTCTTTTCTGCGTGCACCATTTTATTATTATTATTATCATTGATTATTTTTCAGCTAGGGGTACACCTTGATAATACCTGCAATAATGTCTGCAGCTTTTCCTTCAGGAAGTAACTGTCTTCCTGGGCTGGTGCGTCATTGATAGTTGTTGGAATGTTCCCCAAAGTGTTGTCAAACACTAGACGAGTCTTTTGACAAAAAAACCACCAAACAGATAACCTGGTAAGAATGGACTTGATACAAACAACTGTCACTTGGTTCAAGACTGAATAGAGAAGAAGTTGCTTCCAACAAGATGAATCAACCCCAGTCTTGGGAACTTTGGCGACCCTACCCATTCCCAGCATACATCGAGCGTGCTGTATCTAAGCTGATGCACTAGAGGTATAATTGGAATTTTCTTGGTAGCACTGCCGTAAAAAAAAGTGTGCCTGTGTGCACCATTTTTTAAGCCACCTTCAATGTTAGTTGTCTTCAAAATGATATTTCAGCCGGAATAATGTCAGAGGGTATTTGATACCAGTCCTATCTTCACTTTGGGCAAGGTTTGTAACATTAAATTGGTAAGTACTTTTTCCACATAACTGCAGATGATCCTACGTGACTTTAAGGAAAGGCAGCTGCCATCATGTTGACAAAAATTCTGAAAAAAACCTTGGAAGTGCATCCTAATTTCTAGAATGACTTATTTCTATACTTTCTAGCTTCTTTGGTTGAATATGAATTATGATTAAAACAAAATTACCTGCGGGAGAACTTTTGTGAAGAACTGCTCTTCCAGATTCTCCATCTCCATGCAGGGAAGGAAGGAATCCACCATGACTCTGAGGATGGTTGCCTTGACGACCGTATTACCTCCATTACAATACTGGCCGTGACGGGTGCGGTCAAAGAAATATGTCTTAGAAGCCTTTAAAGTATTTTTGCTAGAACCAGAGGGGCCAGCCTACAGTCGTTTTTGCCCCGACTGACTCCCCGACTGACTGATTGACATGACTCACTCATTCAGTCACTGTCACTTGTGAAATAGACTTGCTTAAGTCTCTCAATAACTAACTGTCTCTTAGGAATTAGACTGGTTACCAATCTAACTTTCACTTTTTACACTGTGTTATTGTGTTGACTCATGTGAGATGGCATGTGGCTTCTCTCCACCAAATAGAATATTTGTGAGAGTAGAGACCAGATTACGCTGATCTCAAGCTGCTGCTGAAAACTGGTCTCATGGCCTGATGAACAGGGGTAATAATTATGAAGTGCCTTGAGACTTTGGTAAAAAGCGCTACGTACATAAGCACAAAATATTATTATTACTTTAGTCTTAAAGGATATGATAAGCTTTGGGAGTGTGTGAGCTAGCCTCGTTTTGCAGGTGTCTTCATTCCAAGTCTTGACATCCTCTAGGAAGGAACTCTGGCTCTTGCTTTGTGACATTTTAGCATAATCTGAAAAGCAAGAATAATTTAGAAGCTGAAATCGGTATTTTTGTTAGTAAACTTCAGTTAATAGTCAATGATGGATTTAAATTTTAAAAGGGTGTAATAAGGTCAAAGGTGAGATTGGTACCTCATACTAGTCACAGTTTCTACCCGGAGTGAGGCCTAATTGCTAGGCTATAGGCCTACCAGTACCACCTAGGAAATTTTCAAATATTATATCACCAAAATTGTTCAATGGAAATTTGAAGATAGTGGATATTTTGCCGGAGGTAATGACGGCAAACTAACGATTACTAAAGGTTTGCCGGCGGCAATCCATATCAACAGAGGGCGCTGTACTCTTTAAAATAGGGCTGAATTATAAGATGTATGAAATTCCCACCAAAAGTTGTGTAGCACGTTTGGTGTAATGGTTAAGCAAAGGCTCTAGTAAGCGGGATGACTCGCGTTCGATTCCGACCGCACCACATTTTTAAGTTTTTTTTTCTCATCCCCAAATAAATAAGAATATTCTTCTTTTATTATTTTAACATGTCTCAAACATTTTTTGCAGAGTATTACATTTTCTTTTTCAGATTTGTGGCTCTGGAGGATTTTTTTTAAAAGGGAAATAAAGTCCGAAATTATAAAATGGTCTGAATCCCATCTTGTAAATACGAGGTAACAACGATAATTTTGGCATAGAGCCAGACTAAAACTTGTCACCGGAAAATGTTAAGTACAAAAAAACAGTAACTGCGCATGTTCAGTGCATTTCCGGCAAACTAACGTTTACTAAAGGTTTGCCGTCTCCGGCAAAATATACACTGCCAAATTTGAAAGTTTCTCAGTCCCAATTTCATATTTTTTTTTCCTTCAATATAGTTACATGGTTACAATGACTGATCATTGAGACTGGTTTGGGTACCCTTAAGTAATACTTAAAAACTCGTGCAACATTTTGCGGCCTAGGCTAAGTTACTCATAAAACAGCCGCTGGAATTGCCTGACTGCTACGCGCGCTACACACTGATACAAAATTCGATTCGATTCGTACGAAAGCTTCTTAAATCTTAGTTATTTAAACGAGTTTAAATTTGTAAACGATTACCTAATCTTCTGTAATCACGCATTCACACCCAGGATCACCACAAAGCTTTCATCCAAGCATCCAAGTATTCGTGGTATCCTGACAATCCTACATATCTTATGGGAGTACGCGTGAATTTGTTTAAAACATCTGCAAATAAAATGTTCATAAACAACCGCCATTTTTCCTCCCAAATTGTTTTCCGGGTTGGTTTTTGGTAAATTCCAAAGTAAACAATGATGGTGTACATTTAACACCTCTTAAAAATACACTTTAAAAAAACATTCTTTGTTAGTGATTTTATGTTTAATTATTATCTAAAAGTAAACTATTTTATCCGAATTTGTACCTTTTTATATAAATTTGAGGTAAAAGATGCATTTTGTGACAGGAATATTCTCAATGTAACACCTATCTGAAAATGGAAGCATCCAATATTTCCCGGGAGTCCGACGTGCTTGGCGCGAAAGTCTGTGCAGTGCACATGTATATGTCAGTACATTCATAACTCCAGCTCTCTGCGCACGAAAGACCGACGAAGACGGAGCAAAAACAAATTCGTTATTCTTGTTTTTCTAAAAGTTTGTTCTGTTTTGAAGGTCAGTTGTGTTGGATATTTGAAGCAGAATGCCCTCAAGAATGGACACACAGGTTGTCATTCCTCAGGACGTTGGAGGAAGGTGAATTAATCCGATTTTATTTTAGTGTAAACGACACTGTCGACAGTGTTTGTCTTTGTCATGTTGTGCGGAGAGTGGCCTAGCATATTGTGCATTGCCATTGGGCATTACTACCATGGAGGAATAAGTAAATGGGATTTGTAACCACAAAGTATAGTTGGGGATGTAGAGGGGGCCGGGGTGTGTTTGGAGAATATAGTTAAAGGATATATATACTAAGGCCATGACATGAGAATGAAAGCTTTAGATTTGCGTCCGAAAATTTTCCAGATTTACAGAAGGCTTTTTTCATTTTCATTAAGGCAGTGTATATTTTGCCGGAGACGGCAAACCTTTAGTAAACGTTAGTTTGCCGGATATGCACTGAACATGCACAGTTACTGTTTTTTTTGTACTTAAACATTTTCCGGTGACAAGTTTTAGTCTGGCTCCATGCCAAAATTATCGTTGTTAGGCCTACCTCGTATTCACAAGATGGGATTCAGACCATTTTATAATTTCGGACTTTATTTCCCTTTTAAAAAAAATCCTCCAGAGCCACAAATCTGAAAAAGAAAATGTAATACTCTGCAAAAAAATGTTTGAAACATGTTAAAATAATAAAAGAAGAATATTCTTATTTATTTGGGGATGAGCAAAAAAAACCTTAAAAATGTGGTGCGGTCGAAATCGAACGCGAGTCATCCCGCTTACTAGAGCCTTTGCTTAACCATTACACCAAACGTGCTACACAAGTTTTGGTGGGAATTTAATACATCTTATAATTCAGCCCTATTTTAAAGAGTACAGCGCCCTCTGTTGATATGGATTGCCGCCGGTAAACCTTTAGTAATCGTTAGTTTGCCGTCATTACCTCCGGCAAAATATCCACTACCTTTCATTAATGCCTAGGCCTATTCATTATTTTAGTGAAAAATCAATCTCTTGACCATCTTTCTAAATCGTGGCAGTGGTGGATGTCACCGCGCACTGATTTTTCTAGATCATGACAGCGGGTCCGACATGACAACGGCATGCCATGGTCATGCCATGGATAGCTGATGACTATCGTATCCCATTCAATCGATGAAAAATCTGACACACATCATGTCACCTCACCCATCCATTTCATCATAAACAAAAATAAACATGATAAACATGCAACGTACAAAATGTTTCGTAATGTGATCCATCCAGCAGTTTCATGCACAATAAATGTTTTTGGTTGCATGCTAGCAGAGCTCTTTTTACCATGGAGATGGAAATAATTGATAAGTGCGTAATTAAATGGATTGCATATTTGTTGACTTTCAGACTTGAAGATTTAGAGCAAGACTACAAGGATGGCGACCTGACGGAGAAGGTGAGGAAGCATAGCCACGTCTTGTTACAGCCCAACTACAGCATTATCCCAACTGTATAGTTGGATCATCCAAACTATAGTGAAGAATTCCCCCAACTGTAGTTGGGACTGTTCAATCTATAGTTGGGGCCAATCCTTAGTTGGGGCCAATCCTTAGTTGGGGTGTAACAGTCGTAGTCAGTACACAGTCTTCTTTATCAGCATTGAGCTGGGTTTTTTTTAAAATTAATTCAACTGAATTTGGATACTTCGCATGGAAAGAATGAAGTATCCAGACGCCACTTCAGCGGATGTGTACAACGTACATGGAGAGTCAAGAAGTTCTTAACAAAACTGAAAATGTTTCTCAGTCCCAGATTAATGTCTTTTTAACAGTTTTGGAATGACTGACCTTTATTGAGATGATATATGAAGAAAAAAGTGGCATCAGGTTGCAACTTCTTTCCCTTTGCATTGTCAATTAATTTTTTTTTAATTCCCATAAATTTCTCTTCAAAAGGGTTACATCAAAAAGAAGTGCAAACTGCTGTTTGAGCATTTGACTGCAGAAACACAGTCAAGGTAAGATATGAGTTCGGAATTATTTGATTTGGAACATTAAATATCAACAAAATTAATCATTGCAAGCCTCTTGAAATATCTCATTTTGTACGAAAAGCTCAACTGCTCAAATTCAGGGGAATCTTGTTTGAGTATGCTCCAAAGATTGTACTTGTGAATGACTACTCAATCTGTATTTAAGTTCCAAGGTTTAATTTAGTGAATTTTGAAGTGGTCCCAAGGAATTTGTGGCCCAAACCTGACTGGTAAAAAAACCTTTTCTGTACATTGCTTGTCTTTTCAGTTTGAAGGAGCTGGACGAAGAGTTCAAAGACGAAAGCCTGACAGAGGTAAGGCCAACACCCCGCTTCCCTCCTCTCTTTGCATGTAAATTTGTGAGCTATTGACTGCTCGGGGATCAGATTGGCGGAGTGATTCTTTCCTCTCCTGCCACTGCTGTGACCCGGGTTCGAATCCCGCCTGGGCCAATATGTGGATTGGGTTTTCAGTCTCTGCCTGATTCCGTGGGTTTTCCCCAGAAAATTCTGGCGTTTCCTCCCACCACTAAAACTGTAAATTCCTTCCACATCTCCCAATTGACCGCACTGGAAAAAAGTCAAAAAGAGTTCCATGGGCTACCTGGCCAATTGCCGAATAATCACAAACAAACCACCCTCACAAATGTTCTCTTCCGACAATACTTGGTTTTTGCATAATTTTTAAGAATTCAGTACTGCATGGACTATTCATCATTCTGTTCACAGACTTGATGCTTGAATTTGAATAACATCAATGTAAAAAAATGTATTTGTGTCTCTGCAGAAAGGATACTTGTCCAAAGTTAGCGCTCTTCTCACTAGCGCTCTCAAGGAGAAGCCCAGCCCAGCTGTGAATGGCAATGTGACGTCCCCTCCTGCCAAGAACGGTCACGTGACAAACGGCAACGGCCACGTACAGAATGGCAACGGAAGCCACCAATCAGATGCCAGCAGGGAGGACACAACCAGCCAATCAGAGGACGATATGGATACGGACGCCCCTGCCGCAGACAAAAAGGTCAAGCGGGGAAAGAAGGCCCAGAACGGGAAGAGGAAAGTCCTTGGTGATGATGGCAAGTCGTCCTCCACCGAGAGTTCCCTGGAAGACGAAAAATCACCCCCTCTGTCGAACTCGGTCAACGGGAAGCGGAAGAGGTCACCAAAGGTCGACCCTAAGCAGAAGAGCCTCCTGAGCATGTTTACAAAATTGTAAGTGTTCTGAAGAAGCATCGCCTTAACTGTCATCTTTAACCTCAGATTCTTCAAATCTGTTGAGGTTTTTGGGGGAATTTATAAGATTGCAGGAGGCACAGCTTGGTTACTGTAAACCCTCCTTGTCCCCAGCACCTCGCATCCACTTCACATTGCAATAACAAATATGGTGTTAATATGCAATCCCCCTTTTGTCATTCCCAGACCCTCCAAGCGCAAGAGTGAAGAAATGTCATCTAGCAGCGCCGACTCCGAGATGCCAGCAAGCAGCAGCAGCAGCAGGGAGAGTTCGGAGGTCAAACAAGAGGTCAAAGTTCAAGAGGAGAAGAGGATAAAGACGGAGGAGGACGAGTCGCTCACAGACGAGACGAATGACGCTGACATCCAACAAGACGTCAATGGTGACGTGAAAGAGGAGTGTAATGATGGGTATGTAGAAAGCTTTGGAACATGTTTATTTTTCTCAAAAGGGTTATTCACTATTACCGCACCTGTGTTGTGTCCACAACTTGTAATAGCGCCCTCACTTTTTATTGTCAGAAGGACACCATGTTTTAAATGGTATTGAGGCCTGGTCAGTCCGATGTGCAAGTATTTCACAGTTAAATTTTGCGACCAAATTTAATGTTCAGTTCAATTAATGAGGAACACAGTTATGCTGGAGCCCAGTTCTTTGCTTTACAATTTAGTGCATTATGCTTCTTCCGTTCCAATCACATTTCGCTACCTGTATTTCTTTGCAGACCACAACTGCGCAAGAGGTCCGAGTCCACGACCCCGGCGAACATTCCAAAATCGCCAACAAAGGTAACACACATTTTCTTTTATCATTTACGCCTTGACGATTTTTTTTCCACGCTAAATTCACTTGTGAGAAAATTCTCTTCTGCATGATATGTGACAGACAGTGGACAGAATTCGCGACCACTTTCGAATGCCCCAGTGGGTGGGATGGGCGCATTGCACAGACTTGCAAGGCACAAGGCGGAAAGTTCACACAATGTGGGTTATTATTAGTGTGTAAAAACCCATAGCGTCTTTGCATGAGCATCATGCGCCATTGCCCCCCCCCCCCCCCCCCCCCCCCCCCCCCCCCCCCCCCCGTGGTCTCCCCCAACTCTCTCCTTGTGACCGTTGAGGGGGTACTTGTGCACGGACTCTATAGTGGAATCCGGTGACCAGAATTAGAAGCCGTTACTGCGGTGGTGTCCCGCTCGCGCGCATGCTGCATGAGTTCTTAAGACGAGTCGTGCGCGCATTTTGGTATTCCTGTTGGTTGAAGGAGTCCGGAGTGCGTGTGTACTACCTGAGCGCGACTCCGGTAGTCAGCGCAGAAAATGGCTACCACTGGATTTAGAGTACCGAAGTGTGACGTCATTCAGAACCGGGAAGTATAGTGCAAACAAATGGAGTACGCGCTTGTTGGTTAACGGGCTGAATCACGCGCTGATGTCTTCAACACACATAATTGTGCGCGTGATGTATTCACTTCGATACTCTATAGTGGACACTTCTAACAGCCTTGAAAAATAATGCGCACCCTACGACAATTTAAGAAAAGCTACCAAAACAATTTTCATTGACTTAGAAAAAATTCTCGTTGTCTCATTTGACTCGACATTTTGCCCATTCTTAGCAAGCGCCGCCACGCTGTAAAGATTGCCGTCAGCTATTGGACGATCCTGATCTGAAGATTTTTCCTGGCGACCCAGAAGATGCTGTAAGTCTCAATATTTGTTCAGTTTCTGCAGTGCTCTTTTAGAATTTCTTCTAACAGTTGACTCAATCTTATTTCTTAATTTGTTATATAGTTTTTTATGAAAAATGAGTCAAAGTACTGCAAACTGTTCACTGATTGGACTGATCTTTGATTTTGCCTTTGAGAAAGAAAAAGTCTTCTTTTTTACTAAATTTTTAAATATGACATCTGTTTGGCATTGTGATGGTTGAATGGAATGCCACTTGTGTGATCTGTAGAAATGTTAAGTTTTGTTGAATTTTTGGCTGTTTTGGCAACAAGCCGAAACAGCCTTTGTTTTTGTTAAAGTTAAAATTGATATAATAATCCAGGGTCTTCATTTTTGATATTATGTGCAAAATCATGTGACCCTTCCTTCCGGTTGAAACCGGAAGTGCCTTGTAATTTAAAATTGGTGAAAGGTGTGAACTTGCTTTCAACGATGTATGCTCCGGCTAAGTTGTTATTTCCAAATAAATTATAGTTATAGATGAAAATTGATGTGACGTCATCATGACGTGATGTGAAATGTGACATCATAATTCAAAGCCCTATGAGAATGAAATCACATATTATATGACACCATTTATTATAAACAGAATAACACATCCTTCCTGGATGGAACTAGTTGAAACTTTACATGTCACATGTCACAAAAAGTTACCGAAACAGCCCTGTGTTTGTCCACAAACATGAAATCTAGTTTATTTTCTTTTTTGTGATTTTTTGTTTTAGCGTGAAGAGTTTGTGACTCTCACGGACCCTAGCCTGTCACTGCTCAGCGGTGATGAGGAGGAGACCATGGGCTACGACGAAAGGCTACAGTTCAAAATCACCAACTTCTGGTAAGTTATTTATGATTTTGTGTTCTGAGTGTCAAATGACTTGAAGTTCAAATTACCTGTAGTTATGGTTGCAGACTTTTATTTGTATTTGTATGATAACACAATTGTTTCTTTGTAATAAATTTAATCTAGAATATTAAAAACTGGCTGTATTTTGTAGATATGAAAGGCAAGATATGATTCCTAGATAATTAATTTTCTGAGATCTCTGATAACTGAAAATTTTATTTCCGTTTTCAATGTTTTTTCCAGTCTTTTCATAGCTGTCTAAAATACTCGAATTTCTGTCTGTACTCTTTTTTAGTGTTTATGACAAGAACACTCATTTGTGCGCCTTTGACTCCGGGCTGATTGAGAAAAACAAAGAGCTTTTCTTCAGCGGTTACGTCAAGCCAATCTATGATGACAACTCCAGCATCGAGGGTAAATAAACAAGAAGTTTAATGTTTGAGACTCCTGATCGTCATGCCAATAATAATTTCCACAGAAAATCTCTTGGCTCAATTCTAGCAGGTCAGGGAACAGTCTTAAAACAGTAGTATTCTACTGTTGATAAAGCCAATTTGCATCCTTGGAATAATTTTCCCTGAATCAAATGATTTCCTCAATTTTTCACTTTCTCTTTTGCCATTGACAGGGATGTAGTCGAGTGCATCACAAGTCCCTGCAAGTCCGTCACAAGTCCTCCAGTCCCAATTCAACTCACAAATTATTCAACTGAGCTTTGACAAAGGCATTCCTTTGTCATTGTTCATCCACTGTTACTTGTGTAGTAGTTGCCAGAAGATTGAGATTTTCCCAATTTTCTGACCGCATGTTTGACTCGTGAATGAAATAGTAACTTAGCCCTTTCCCCGACCAAAATTAATAATAATGGTCACTAGAATATCAAGAAATCCGAATATAAGTGTTACCTATATAACTTTTGTGTTGATATTCTTAAACTTCTTTTCTCACCAGGTGGTATTCCTACCAAGGCCATGGGACCCATCAATGAGTGGTGGACGGCCGGATTTGATGGAGGAGAAAAAGCTCTGATTGGGTTTGGAACAGGTCAGTTTAAGTACTCGGCTTACTTTCCAAATTTTTTATTAACTGATATCACCCCTGGATAATTGAGACGAATTATTTATGAGATTTTGTGATCGTAACTTCTCCAAAATTTCATTCATTATCCTTCAGATACGTATACTGTGAAAGCTAACTCTTCACAGCTTTGCAATCATGCCAAATGCTTAGTTTTGAGGTATATTTCACATGGTTTCTGTGTTTTGGTGATTTCCCATTTATCGCAGCCTTTGCCGAGTATATCTTGATGGTGCCCTCGGAGGCCTACACACCATTCTGGAAGGCCATGCAGGAGAAGATCTACATGAGCAAGATTCTGATTGAATTCATACAGAATAACCCTGAGGCGGAATACGAGGACCTCATCAACCAGATCGAGGTAAAACAAATGTATATTGCAGAAGGAAAAATAAGACTTCGATATTTGGTCTTTGCCATTCGCTGACTTTGTGGAGTGGCTTGGTCCAGTGGCTATGGGCTCCATGCGCCAACGAAAGAGGGCGCCCTTTTACCTAGCAACGACGTCCCATGGGCGGGACATTTAGCTGGTTGACGCGCACCGTTCCTTGTGTGTGGCGCACGTTCACCAGGGGATTTGTACTATGTACACGCAGCGGCCGCGCATCACGGCAACTTGCAGCCAGGCAAGTTTCAAACCCTGAGGGAAGGGGGGGGGGACATGGTGTCTGTGTTCTTGGGCACGACACTTTACCACAATTGCCTCTCGCCACCAAGGAATATAAGTGGGTACCTGTGAAGGTAGACACCAGTTAACGCTGATCTGGAGGTGCTGCAGAAAACTGGTCTCTTAGCCTGATGAACAGGGGTAATAATTGTGAAGTGCTTTGAGACTTCGGTTGTAAGTCTCATATAAAGCCTCATATAAACACTAAATTTATCCCATACAATTATCTCATAATAGCTGTGTAAACTATGCTTTTTTCTTATTATTATTTCGTACTCAGACCACTGTGCCACCAGAAAACTGCAGCAGTTTCACTGAAGATTCGCTGCTACGCCACGCTCAGTTTGTCGTAGAACAGGTTTGTGGCGCTTACTTGAATATTTATGCATAGCAAAAAAAAGGGAAAAGTAACAAGAAAAGTGATGAAGTTGAAAATAATCTTGATAGTTGAAGAGTACTAAAAAAAACCAAGAGGAGTTGTCATGAAACTCTATTGAAGTGATAAATGTGGCTTAAGTCATGTAAAACATTTGATGGTCCAAGATGGGCCCGCCTATCGTCCTCTTTGTCAGGCGTGAGATTTTCAGACTTTTGTCTGAAATCAGACGTTTTGAATCTGAGAGAAAGACATCAGTATAGACAGAAATGTATCTTACAGACCTTTCCCCTGATTTTCGATTACTCTGTATCGATAATGAATGGGCTAAATTAAGCCCATTGTATACGCCACATGCATAAACAGACTTCCAGTGAAAACGGCCGTTCTGGATCGATGGAATGGGAGTTTTATGCACTCGTGGACCAGCTTTGCTAGACGTGCCTAGTCTTGTTTCAGGTTGAGAGTTACGATGAAGGAGCGGACGAGGAGGAAACGTTACTCATCACCACACCCTGCATGAGGGATCTCATCAAGCTGGCTGGCGTCACCCTGGGAAAGAGGTCAGATAACGTCCCCTCCTGAAAAACCCTCCCTCTTTGGCTGGCAAATCCAGCTACACCATCCCAGCAGTCAAAATCAATCAAGTGACTGTTTTTAACAGTTAAGAATTCCCTTGTCAATTTGATATAGCCATGCTTTGACTGGAGGTGATTGATATGCCAGCTGTACCTACTAGTGACCTCTTTTGTCTGTTGATAGTTTTGATAAGATTGATAGTGTTTACACGAATGTGATCTTGCTGTTTTACTAGCCTATATACAAATGCATGGCAGGGGAAGTGTAATTTTCCCCTCATTCCGTGAAAGAAACAAAATCATTGCAACCTTATGCTCTATCCCCCCAAAAAGGAAGGGCTAATTTCCCAAATATTCATTACACCTCCAGACGAGCAGTACGTAAAGCGGCCCGCAAGGCGCCCAAGGCCGAGAAGAAGCAGATGCGCTCCATGGCCACCGTCACCCCGCTGGTCCGCAACATCTTTGATATCTTCTTCAGGGGACAGATCCAGAAGGAGCAAGGGAACATCATCCGCAAGAGACGATGCGGCATATGCGAGGTAATATGTGACCTGTTCTGTCAAAAGCAGACGCTTCTGGGCAGAGGTTGAAATTGAGATAGGGCAAAAAAACGCTGTGCGGGTGATTTTTTTTCGATTTTCAAATTTTTGCATATTTGTAATCCTGAACTTGTCTAAAATATACTATAACAGTTTGAAACCCTAATTTGAACTCTAAATATAGTATTTTTGTTGATTTGTTAAAGTATATCAGTCAAAGAAATTACTGTTTTGTGAAGTTCGTGGCCATTTGCTCCGTTTTCTACTTTTCGACACAGTGACCTTCAAAATAGCATAACTCTGCCCAGGAATGACCGGTTTCAAAAATTAAACCACCTATTTAAAGGAAAAAGAACATATTTTAACAATATGCAAAAATCTCATTTTTGACCTTATGCCCAGAAATATCTGATTTTGACAGAATAGGTCACATATCATCAGCATGATGACGTGTCCTGAACACTAACTCTCTTTCAAATCTTAAAGAATTTGATCCCACAAAAGTTTGAGTATGAAGAGCGTGTGAAGTGGTAGATTTTTGGAGTATTTGATGGAAAAAATTTGACAAAAATGCATCGGGTGGTAGGGTTAAGGGACCGTCTCATGCCTCGGACCACTTTAAGCATTCCACTGAAAAGTTTGCCAGTTTTAAATTGAAAAAAAAAATGCCATCCTCAATGGTATAAGTCAGGAAACTTTGTGTGTATTCTGCATAGAGGACCTTGGTCAGTGCATAAGCACTCATTAAGGAATAGCCCCATCAAGGAACATGCTGTGGAAACACTGCTTGTTTTGGAGTTTTCCGAAAGGAAACAAGGCCAGAGTATTTGGAAGATTCCAAGTTTTTAAAATGATCCTTCGAGTATCCTCAACATTGGTCACATCACTTTTTTATTTCCAGAAGACTGCTTTTCTTTAGTTAATGTCAAAACCTGCCATGTCCTTTTGACACAGAATTAAGAGATACAAGAAATTTAATTTAAACTTGAACAGGCGGCACATTTAGGTTTACCTCGAGGTTTTAAGAGGTTCTACAAGGTTGCCCTTTGTTTAAATTTGCATTCTTCCCTTGATAGAATTTAAATAATAGGTTTTGTTTACCCCGTCCTAAACAGGTGTGCCAGGCAGCCGACTGCGGCAAGTGCGCAGCCTGTCAAGACATGATCAAGTTTGGCGGCACAGGGAGAACCAAGCAGGCCTGCATGAGCCGGCGGTGCCCCAACATGGCCGTCAAGGAGGCTGAAGACAACGACGACACTGAAAACGAGGAGGAGGAGAATGTCATCGACACGCGACGCCGCGGCCACAAGACGGCACTAGAGACCAAGAGGAAGAAGAGGGTAGGTGACGGGTATAATGTCTGACTAAGACTAAATGAATGATAAATATCGGAGCCGAAATGAATGGACAAGGGAGACACGATTGTGCAGTATGGATACCTCGTGTGGGAGTGTGTAATTTAGTACATGCCATTCAGGTCAAGGGTCATAAGCATATACTGCTCTAGAACACATGCAGTAGAAGGTGGCTATACAAATGCATTGCAATAATGTAAACATTACAAAGGGGAAAGAACTATAGTTCTGGAACTATGATGCAACAAAAGGATGAACTTAGATTCAAAAATGTTAGGAAACTTGAACTGAAATGAAGTTCAAGACCATCGATGTGGCCAAAACGATTATAATAAAGGTTACGTTTTTGGTGACATTGCCATGGTAGGTAGGATGTTTTGGATATTATTTTCATACAGCTGGACAAGTAGTTAATCACCGTCGATATCAGAATTTTCAATAATCTATGTATTGGAAATCCAATATCGAGAATATTCAATATATATCGATTATCCCATGTAAAAGTTAAAGACCATAAAGATAACACTTTGATAAAAAAAAAAAAAAGTCCCAATTTTCCACCGCTTTCTCTGGAGCATACTGCTCAAACTTTGAAAACAAAAATCAGCACTCAGAGTTTGTCCAGAGTTGTATAGTTTTACATTGGGGAAAATCGCGAATATCGAATAATCAAGTACTATCGATATATCGACAGCGCTTACAAGTAGATATGCTTGTGAGAAGGTACTTTGTTGCATGCTTACAGGTATTCCCGAATCTCAGCTTCACCGGTTTCGAGCTTCACCAGTTTGCATCCTTCTCACGCCTCACCGCACCCATCCTTATAACATCACATCATCGTTGGAATCCCTCATTCTCCTGACGACGGGCAGAGCATACTGTTCGAAACGTTGAGTCCCTCCGGTTCTTGTCAGAACCACACATACTCACAAAAGAGATTGATTCACACGGTGCTACCGCAAACTTAGCTTGTCTTAGTATCTTTCCACCATGCAAACCTTCAAATCTCATAGTCCAATATAACATCTTTTTTTTTTATTTTATTTTTTTATTCCAGACTCCCGTGGATTGGCTAGGCGACCCCATCAAGGTGGAGGGTTCTCGGAGCTACTACGCCTCGGCTCTGGTTGGCGACGAGAAGGTCGATGCTGGCGACTTTGTGCTGGTCCACCCCGATGACCCCGAACGACCTCTATTCATCGCCAAGATTGTCTACATGTTCCAAGAAAAAGGGGATGATTTGATGTTCCACGCTCATTGGTTCATGTGAGTAGAAAAATCAGGAGCAGATTTCAAAAAAGCTGGACCCGATTTCATGGCGCTGCTAAGCACACGATTTTCTGCTAACAGAGCCTCCGTCTGTTTCATGGAAACTATAAGCAGTAAGCACAGCGAAAGGCACGCTTACCTCAGAGGAAAGAAGTTGCTTAAATTGGTGACGTAACAATAGAAATATCCAAACAGACATCTGTGCAAACACCATTTTTGTTTAACTGTCTTTTATTAATCATTTTTTTCTGGTAATAAAACTAAGGATTCCTCAAAGCGCCCTAGGCACTGTAGCTCGCAAGCCTGAAGAAACCTGTAGAGAGAAGACAATGAGAAGAAGTTACAGTTTTAGAGGTGGGAGGAAAAGCCCAGAAGAATATCCTGGGGAAAACCCACGGAATCAGACAGGGACTGAAAACCCAATCCACATATTGGCCCGGGCGGGATTCGAACCCGGGTCACAGCGGTGGAAGGCGAGGAAAGTACCGCTACGCCAACCTGACTCCCCATTACGTGAAATGTCACTGTTAAAAATCTAACAAGTGATAGTATATGTCATTTTACGTTTTGGATTTTTAAATTGTAGGTATGGCTCGGAGACAGTACTGGGTGAAACCTCGGATCCTCTGGAGCTTTTCCAGGTTGATGAGTGCCAAGACACCTACCTTGCTTCTGTCAGCTCCAAGTGCAAGGTCAGGCCTTTTCATTTTTTTTCTTTTCTCCGTTGTGAGCAGGAGTTTGTGGCATGGCAAGTGTACTCTTAACCTGATGAACATGCCTAATTGTAAAGATATGTAAAACGAAAAAAATAGAAACCTAGAGTTTAAAAGCGTAGTTTTTCGCAGAAGAGGCATGGATTGCCAATGCAAATATTTACTCCAGTAACCTTTCTGCCTCGATGGGATGTAGGGTTCATCCAAAGTTACTTGAGAGATAATGCTTGTGTCATATGAAAGTTGGACTCCTATGAAAAATCTGCTCAATTTTTCCTTAACTGGACTCGTGAGTTTCCATTGTTCTGTGCACTGTGACGCGCAATACGTTCAGTGAGTCTGTATTTCCTAGTGCAAGTTTCATTCCAACCAGTACCCGTTCTTAATCTCCTGAATTGGAAGGAGGCAAATTGGCGTAAAGTGTGTTGCCCAAGGACACACAATGCAAGAAGTTTTCAAAATATAAATTTCTGTCATTACCTCTGCAGGTGATCTACAAAGAGGTGTCGCCTGACTGGTACTCCTTGGGCGGGATTGAGAACCCAGAGGACGATGCGGTGATCAAGGAGGACGACCATCGCACCTTCTTTTATCAGAAGTGGTACGATCCGGAGCTGGCACGCTTTGAGGACGTCAAGACCGTGCCGCGACCCAAGGGGGCGCCAAAATACCGCTTCTGCGCATCCTGTGTCAAGACGGAGGAAACTCAAAAGGTGGATATACGTCTCCTTTCAGGGAAAAACATTTTGAAAAAGTTCACCCTTCACAAAAATTTCTCTTGGCATGGGTGGAAAATTGTCCTCGTACTTGCAACCCCTATGAATAAGCTTGTGTTTAAATTCTTGGTTTGATTTCCAGTTAGAGATCTTTTGAAGTGACGTGTAACTTCTACGAAACAGTATCCTTCATTGCTTACTACTTTTGCAAAAGTTGTTTTATTTTCTTGCTGAGCTCTGGTATTTTTGTTTTCAGAGAGAAGCCCCACAGGTCGGAGAACAAACCAAGAATCCAGACGGAGATAGCAAAGTATACTACAGGTAAAGTTGTGTGCTCAACAGTCAGTAGCGTTATGGCCTCGGTGCACAAGTACCCCCCTCAATGATTTCAAAAGGGAGAGTAGGGGGAGAACACTAAAAGGGACACTCAAATGCGTTGCTGACAACGATTGACACTGCGCTGGTGTGATTGTGCGTACTTCGTGCAATGTGTACACAAACCAGTACGCGAACGCAGTGTGTTCCTACTGATGTTCTCAAAAGTGGTAAAAAAAAAAGAAGTGCCATCTACTGTTCAACTGGAGTCCATTCTCTAACTTTTTCATTTTCATGTGAAATATCAATGAAACAAAGTAACCAAAGAAAGTGCTAAGAAAAAAGTTATACTTCAGTTTGACAGTTCGACAAAAATTTGAAATACAATCCCTGTGTTCTTTTGTTTACTTCTTTTTAGTTCGTCCTCATTCCAAGGCGTCGACTATCGCATTGGTGACAGCGTTTTCTTGATGCCTGACGCGTTCTCTTTTAACATCAAGGCAAAAAGTGCACCCATCAAGAAGTACACCAAGAAAGAAGTGGTAATTGAATTTGTTGGGGTTTTTCTCTCCTTGTCTTCTTGGTCCTTTGTCCGTGTTTTGACGTTTGAATCCGGCTGATCCTGTGACTTTTACATTTTTTTTTAAAAGCTGCTGCTCAGATTAAAATATTATAAGATGGAATTTTGCGTCGGGGTGATATAAATCTAATTAGGTTTTGCCCTTCACCGACGTTTAAACACTGTATACTCAGTGTGTTACCGCCCGAGTGAAAGATGGAAAAAAAAGGGCAAAACCTTATTTGATTTATATCGACCCAACGCAAAATTCCATCTTATAATAGTTCATGCGGTACCCGCTGCTATGTACATCAGATTCGAACCAGCCAACCGATCCCGTTAGCTCGGTGGTCGAGTGGTAAGACATCTGCACTAGAAAGCAGGAGGTCGTGGGTTCGAGTCCCACCCGAGTGATTTTTTTTTCCATCTTTCAATCAGGAGGTAACACACTGAGTATACAGTGTTTAAACGTCGGTGAAGGGCAAAACCTAATTTAACAGATTAAAATAGTCAGCCTGTCCAAACTTTCACAACTTTCATGGACAGGATCAGTATTGAACTCACAAGTTTCCGGTCACAACAACAGTGACAAGTGTTCAAATAAACAGTGACAAAGACGTGCCTATGTCTTCTTTTATTTTTTTTATTTTTTTGTTTACCTCTGTACTTTGTGACTTGGCTTGTGATTGACTCACTGCGCCTGTTACATGAGAACCTCCTGTAGGACTGCGTGATGACAGCAGTACTCTAAAATGTACAAATTATTGAATTATAACGTAAGTTACATCAATTTCTTGTCACAAACAGGACGAGGAACTTTACCCTGAGTACTACCGCAAGACCACCGATTACATCAAGGGCAACAATCGCGAGTGTCCCGAGCCGTTTCGTATCGGTCGCATCGTTGGCATCTTCACGCGCAAGGGCTCGGAGGACATCAAGCTGCGCGTCCAGAAGTTCTACCGGCCGGAGAACACCCACAAGGGGGCGTCCGCGGGACAACAGTCGGATCTGAACCTCCTGTACTGGAGCAATGAAGGTAGGTGAAGTCGGGACATTCGGCTGGGGATCAGGGGTTTGAATCCCGTCTGAGCATTCAGTTGAAGTGTTTTCTTCTAGCAGCTTTGGGCAAATAATAACCACGTAGGATCATTTGCAATTACCCTGGAAAGTACCTATCAATTTTATTGACAAAACTTGCTCAAAGTGAAGATAGGACTGGTATCAAATACCTTGTGAAATAATTGAAGGTGGTTTTAAATTTGGATACCTGTGGGCACACAATTTTTTTTTACGTGCGTTTGCAACAGAATCCAGTTAAAAGACCCAAAAATGTGCCTTCATTTTCTCTGCTTTCTCAAAGCTGAAATGTTCACATGTTAGTTGGGCACCTTGCATCAGATTCGGAGCAATTCAAACGGAAAAAAAAGGCACAAAAATACAAATGCTTCTACATACCTGTATCGCAGAGGATTCAAGAAGGTTCCTTGAAGAGAATATATAGGAAGACAGGATTAACCAGTGTTTTTTAACAGCCTGAAGTTAATTGTTTCCTGCTTTTTTTTTCTTCTACTCGTCAGAGGCCACAGTTGACCTGACCGGTGTTCAGGGTAAGCCCACCGTCGTTTGTGGCGATGACGTCCCAGGATCCATCCATGACTACTGCAATGGCGGACAGTATCGATTCTACTTCCTAGAGGTCAGTTGCCGCTTTTTTTTTTTTTTGCAAAACCAAACTGCCGCTGGTCTTTTTTTTGTAGAGAGATACGTTCAAAAAACCGCATAGTTGTTTATTGCGGGGGAAGTTAATTAAGTTATTTACCAATTTACAAATCCTGGATCATTTAAGCTTTTAAATCACAGGATGTAAGAGTGAATATAGAGCATTGAAGAGGGATTGGTACCCAGACTTCTCAAATGTTGTGCCAGTGCTGCTCTACCAACTGAGCTAGCAAGCCTTCAAGTTGGCAATCTACCAAGTGTTTTAAAACCATGTTATTTGGGTAAGTGGTTGGATGTTGAAATGAATAGGATTCTGAAAATATTTTTGATGACAATCGTTTCAGGCGTACAACAGTGAAACTAAACAGTTTGAAGATCCGCCGTCAGAGGCCCGCAACACAAGCACCAAAGGAAAGGTAGGACAGTGACAATAATTTCCAATTGATCACATTGAAATTGAGAACTTTGTGTGCGTTGGCTAAGATCTCCTTAGTTGTATTTTCCACCATGCAAAAGTCTTACATCACATAACACGGAAGTCACACTAAAGCCATTGTGAAGTATGGAGTCCGTGAACGGACAATAGATGGCGCTTTGTGAACACTTCTGAAAGCCAAGGCCAAGTTCGCGCAAGGACTATAGTTGACAAATGGTTAACCATAGTTCGACAAACACTTGCCCGAACTCTGTCTAGTCGACGGTGGTTGACTACGCTAGTCGACTATTTGGAACCAACCTACTGGGGCTGGTTGCATCGCTGGTAACCAATAGCCGCGCGCATTCATAACGCTAGCAGAGAGCCAGGATCTAGAAGTTTTGCGATGACATTTTGACCAGCGTTTGACTAGAGACGTTCACACGCTGCTATCAGTGCGCAGGCGTAAGGTACGTCACAAATCAACCACTAGTCGACTAATGGTCCTTGCGTGAACTTGGCCCTTGTGGGAGGGACACGCCGCGTGCGTGTGTTGGTTCGTACACATATGGCGCAAAGTACATATGGCTAAATTCTTTCACGAGTGAGCGCAGACCTGTAGCCTCTTCGCGTGAGTGCAGCTGGGGCCAATTTCACGGCGCTGCTAAGCACAAAAATTTGCTTAGCACAAAAAAAATCTGGCTTATAAAAGCAGGTTACCAGCCAAAACTCCATGTGATGTATATTGCTCGGGCGTGATTGGTAGTCAGCCGCTGTTTGCTTAGCATGAAAATCACATGGAGTTTTGGCTTTTATAAGCCAGACTTTTTTTGTGCTAAGCAAATTTTTGTGCTTAGCAGTTCCGTGAAATTGACCCCAGGTGTCGTTGGCAATGCGTTCAAGTGTCCCTCTGAATGGTCTCCCCCAACTCTCCCCTCGTAACCATTCAGAGGGTCCTTGTTCATGGAGACCTTGACCAGTTGCTCTTCCAGACATTTCCAGACATACCAGGGTCTAAGTTGAACTCTTGGTTTAATTGTTTTCATACATAACTGTGTCTGTTTCAGGGTAAAGGCAAAGGCAAGGGAAAAGGCAAGGGCAAGTCTTCAGAGGAATCTGTCAAGGTTGAAGAGGACGAAGAGCTGTTTTTCCAGAAACTGAAGTCGCTGGACGTGTTTGCTGGATGCGGAGGTGATTACACTTCATCAACGACATTGATTCCATTGATGTGGTCAAATGAGAAAATTGAACTGACAGGGAATGAATTCAGTGGAATATTTTATGACATATCCATATTTTGGAGAGGACGCAAGGGTGTATTTTACATGAATGCAATGCTAGTTTGATTTCATGAAACATTGGAGACAAAATTTGAAGGTTTCAACTTTTGCCCATTCTTTTTGGTGAAATTTGCCGTGACATTACAAAATTTGCCTCTGTAGGAGCCCTACACCTGACTATTTGGTGTGTGATTAGATACATACCACATAACAGCTCACAGGAGTTGTATTAGTCTGTCATAAGTCCTGAATCATGCTAACATCATACTTTGTATAACATTGAAGGTGGTTTAGAGAAGGGGTACCCACAGGCACATATTTTTCACTGGCGTTAGCAGTGGATCTAGTTATGAGACCTATACATAACTTTTCTTTGTTTTCTCAAAATGTATACTAGCCTCTGAAATGAAAGTCAACAAGTTTAATTGTTATGCACCTACCTAAAATTTTGAGCAATTTTGTTGCTTCAAGTGAAAAAGAAATGCATAAGGCGCATCCTACGATGTACATTTAATGCAAAAGAACGTTGCTGTCACAGGTTGCAGTGGGTGACCCTTGAGTCAATCTACTAATGAAAATTGCTCTACAGGTTTATCAGAGGGATTCCACCAGGCCGGTCTGTGTGAAAGCAACTGGGCCATTGAGATAGATGAACCGGCCGCCCAGGCCTTCAGGCTGAACAACCCCGGCAGCACGGTGTTCACTGACGACTGTAACCTGCTCCTAAAACTGGCCATGGAAGTAAGAATAGCCAAAAAATGTTTCTAACTTTTACAATGTGTGGAGTGCTGTGGCCTCGTGGTTAAGGGCACTGGATTCGTGGTCTGTGGGTAAAGCTGCGGGTTGTGGGTTCGAGTCCAGCCGGGGTCATGGTGCGTGTGCCCTTGAGCAAGGCACTTTGTCGCTCATTGCTTCTCTCCACCCAGGAGTAAATGGGTACCTGTGAGGGCAGAGATGGTTATTGTGATTGAATAAGCTTGCTTGCGCCTAACAGGCAGCATCGAGCTGTATACTCCCCAGGGAGCTGAGATGGTATTTGGAATGTTTAATTGGCCCAATGATCAGGGGTAATAATAATACTGTAAGCGCTGTGATTTAGTTTACTAATAAGAGAGTTCTTAAATGCCGATTATTATTATTATTATAAGCACAGCAACATTGAAAAGAAGGACTTTTATCTGAAATGCAACACAGTTAAAGAAATATCTGTACACATGGCAGACATCTAGACCGAGAAATACGTTGAAGCTCAGCGCAATTTTCTCCAGACTGTAAGACGGTCCATACAATGGGGCTTGGTGTTTGTTGATATGACGGGGCATGCAAACATGGCTGCTAGAAGCTAAACCCTTTCAATGCCATATAGCCTCGTGTGACAGCGATTCTGCACAATTCGGGCAATTCACAATGCAGTGCGCCACCAAGAGTTTGCCTTGGAGAGTCCATTTTTCTAGTTTACGGTCGACAAAACATGGCCCATTTGAATGAGTGTCAGTAGACAACTTGAACTAATTTGTTATAGATTGGGGCATAGCGTTCTGCCGCCTCACAAAAAAAAAACTCGTTGATAAAAAGAAAACAAAAGAGCAAACAGATACTCGAAGCATAACTTTACGAAACTACTGACTGGAAAAACGACCAATTTCAAATGTCCCACGCTGTGAATTTCTCGACCCTCTCCCACAAAGCACTGGGAAAATGAACTCTTGGTGGCGCACTGCATTGTGAATCGCCCGAATTGCATCAAACGTGTCAAATAAATGGGTTTAGTTTTGTAATCATTAATAAAATATTATATAAAATGGGAAATAATACAAAATCCTTTCTTAATTTGAATTTTTTTGGGTTTTTTTTGTTGAGGGTGAGAAGACCAACGGCCGTGGGCAGAAGTTACCCCAGCGTGGTGAGGTGGAAGTCCTGTGCGGTGGCCCGCCATGTCAGGGATTCAGTGGTATGAACCGCTTCAACTCCAGGGAATACTCCAAATTCAAGGCAAGTGTCCTGTCCAAGCCACGTAGGATCATTTGCAGTTACCTGAAAAAATATCTTAAGGAATGAATGGCAGAAGCCGTGCTTGAAGTGAAGACAGGACTGGTGTCAAATACCCTGTGAAATTATTTCACCTAAAATGGTATCGTATGAAAGAAAAGTAAGTGTCGGCAGGCATTTTTTAAAGTAGCTAGCTGCAGAATTCAGTTGCTCGACCCCAAATATTGTGCTAATGCTGTTTAAGATTTTGAGCAATTTTGCTACTTCAAACGAAAAATGTACAAAAGCAAATGATCCTACATACTCCAAGGTTCAAAAAGTTTCTGCGCAGAGATAGACTTTGGAAGATTCAAGAAGGTTCATTGTAAATCAGGATAAATTACACTATAAAGTACATATAGTTGCTAAAAGGTTTAATAGTACTCTGCAACAAATTTGTTGGATTTTTTCTTTATATTCTTCTGTAAATTTTTTTATGAATTTCTGAGAAATCTAATTTCTATGGTTTTTGCCCGACAGAACTCACTGATTTCTTCCTACCTCAGCTACTGTGATTACTACCGACCCAAGTTCTTTCTCCTGGAGAACGTGCGCAACTTTGTCTCTTACAAGAAGAACATGGTGCTCAAGCTAGCTCTCCGGTGCTTGGTCCGCATGGGATATCAGGTATGGGGTACTTGGTTTAATTTTTTTTTATGAAGAATCAACAAAATATGTGGATTGAAACTTCCAATTGAAATGTCGGGAGTTACGAAACTGTAAAACCTAGAGGCCAGTTCATACTTGGTGCAAACGGGAATTTCTTACGTTACATCAAGTACTCACACTAAAACTTCACAAAGATTTAGCATATTTTAACTCCTGCAAATTTTGCTTCAAAGGTTTTGTGACGTGAAATTTTCTTCGCATTTATGTGAAGCATGAGTATGCCTTGAATGAGCTCTTGTCTTGGATTTTGGCAGGAAGGATGGATCTTTAAGTATATGGATAACTTCAGCTGTTTTGATTAGCTTATGAATATAAAACAAGGTTTAAAATTTAAAAAAAAAGTATACAATGTGAACTAGAGTTTTACAGTCCGGCAACCTTCTTTTGCCAGTGCACCTTTGGAGTGCTACAAGCTGGTCACTACGGCGTCCCCCAGACTCGTCGTCGGGCCATCATCCTCGCCGCTGCCCCGGGCCAGAAGCTGCCTTTCTACCCAGAGCCCAACCACGTCTTTGCTCCCCGGGCATGCCAGCTCAGCGTGCTCGTGGACGAGCGCAAGATCAACAGTAACATCTCTTGGCTTGAGTCGGCACCGTATCGCACCATCACGGTGCGTGCGGCCATGTCGGATCTGCCGGAGATACACAACGGCCACCAGAAACTGGAGATCTCGTACGACGGCGAGCCGCAGTCTGCCTTCCAGAGAAAGGTCGGTTTTCAAGATGGGCAGGTTTTGTTTGTTTTTTACGCATTAGTTCTCTGATGGAGAAGGACTGTACTACCCAACCACTATATAAATGACCACAGTTTTGTTTTTGCAATTTTTTACTATTGTACAGGTTTTGGGTAAGAATATTTCTTACAAATGTCCAAGTTCATGAATTTGGGGGGGGGGGGGTAGTAATGTAGTTTTTGCGCTGTATATCACGGCCTAATGTAATGTACACATCTTTTCTTCTTTTTTTTTGTCTATTAAGACAACTTTTAAATTTTTGTCCTATCTACGTACAAATGACGCAGTGAGTTTTAGTACAGTTAACTTGTTTTTAAGGTACAATGCAACCTCAAAAAAAGGTGAAATGAAATGTGGTATAACATCCCCACCCTTAAAAAATCCAACAATATTTAGTGGTGTTTAGTTCTTGACAGAAGTATGGATCTGATTATTGATATTTTTTGGGTTTTTTTCGGGTAGATCCGCGGCAACCAGTACCAGCCCATCCTGCGTGATCACATCTGTAAGGAGATGAGTCAGTTGGTAGCGACTCGTATGCGACACATTCCTCTAGCCCCGGGATCTGATTGGAGGGATCTGCCTAACATTCAGATCACCCTGCCTGATGGCAACATCTGCCGTAAACTGTAAGTCCTACGCCCAAAAAAATAGTTCTCTTATTAACGTAGACTTCTTTGCGTAAATTGTAGAGGGCACTTTGTAGATTACTCCTGAAGGCAAGAAAGGACACATAACATGTGCGTTATAAATCACAGGCGCAAAATTTCTAGTTGTTTAGAATATTTCCATTTCGGTCAAACTTTACAGGCGCTACACCCATAAGGACAAGAAAAACGGCTACTCCAGCAATGGCTCGCTGAGGGGCGTCTGCTCGTGCGCCGAGGGCGAGAAGTGCGACACGGCCTACCGTCAATTCAACACGCTCATTCCCTGGTGCCTGCCCCACACCGGTAACCGGCACAACCACTGGGCAGGGTTGTACGGCCGACTGGAGTGGGACGGATTCTTCAGTACTACGGTGACCAACCCCGAGCCAATGGGCAAACAGGTACGGTCATTTTGAAAATTGTTGAATGTAAATATTTGAATATTTTCAAATTGAACATTGTATCGTGATCTTCATTTTGCCTGTTAAGACAAGCCTGTGGAAGTTTGGAAATCTGATATGCCCAAAATCTGTTGTGTGCGTAAATTATCCTGGACAAAAAAAGAGGTGTGTTATTGTATCTGTATTTTCCGAAATTCACCGACTTTAAATATCGCCTCTATTGTGTCTGCCATATCTCAATAAGTCTAATGGTTTGTTTAGCCATGACAGGTCACCGACCAAACTGCCATATGTTGTATATGGCTTGTGACTGGTTCCCTGTAGATTTGTTTTTTGGTCAGCAGTATTTTGCTAAACAATACTATCACTGGAATCGGTCGATGCAATCAACGTCTTTGCTATTGTTGAATTTCTTAGTGTAGGTGTGTACTGTAAGACTGAGGTTTATATGCGCCAAGCTATGGTGTTAAATGCTGCTAGATAAATCAATTTTTTTGAAGTTCTTCCATCTTTTTTTTTTTTTTCTTGTCATGTTTTAGGGTCGTGTTCTTCACCCAGAGCAGCACCGTGTGGTCAGTGTCCGTGAGTGCGCTCGTTCCCAGGGCTTCCCTGACACCTACCGCTTCTTTGGAACAATCCTAGAAAAACACCGACAGGTGAGTGGTCTTTGGAAATAGTCAGATTTCTAGAATATTTTACAGGCTAATGCCTGCGATATGCAATTACTGGAATCGGAATCGATTCCAAAAATGTTGGAGTTGCCCAGGCCTACTGAACGGTCCAATTCCAAGGCTCTGCTAACCACAGAATTCCACGCTTACCATCACCATTCTATGCTAACCTTGCTAGCGGAAAAGTTTTGTGCTAAACCCTGTAAGCACAAAATCCTTAGTTATAGGATGTACGCATGCGCATCAGCTGAAATTCCTTGCTAAAGCATGAAATATGCTGAACGTAAGCACAGAATTTTCTGCTACAGTTAGCAGGGATTTTTCGTTGATCGTAAGCGGAGCCACAAAATTGCGCCCTAACCTTTCAGTATTTCTGTTTAGGAATGAGTAATGTTTGGACTGAAATGTTTTGTATAATTTATTGATGTTATTTTCTGTCAGGTCGGCAACGCAGTCCCCCCACCCTTGTCGGCAGCTATAGGCCGTGAGATCAAGAAGTGTGTCGTCGCCAAGGCAAAGGAGGACAGAACCGACCCAAAGAAGCAGGAGCAGCCGGCCCAGACTGTCAAGGAAGAGGAGGTTGTAAAGAAAGAGGAGGTTGAGATGGATTGAGGTCACGTGTGGGTTAAAGGTCAGAGGTTGTTCCAGACTACTGATGAATATTCATGAGTCGGATGTCACTGGTAGTTGGCAGACTAGAAGTCAAAATTATAAAAGGTTGAAAGGTTGAAAAACCACACTGATTACATTAATTTGTAATTCAAGGACCTGGGGCAAAAACAATGTGACATCTGAGAAAATTGAGGTTGGAATGGGTCAAAGTTTGTAGTTGAAAGGTTAAAGGTTACTCTAGGGTCAATGATATCTGTAAATACATTGATAAGTTGAAAATTGGATCTCCTTTCATTAAATAAAATTCCTATACTGCATTTATTTTTATTGGCAGTGTCTTGCGTCACAATGGCTTTTATATACTACCTCAGTTGTTTTAAAAGGCGGTCTTTTACGGAATCACTTTGGAAAAGGTGCTCTGTTTATGATGAAACCTATCCAGGTGGTTTGAATGGAACTATGGGGATTGATTCCAGAGATCAGCTGAAATTGGAGAAATCGGTTGAAATTATAATTGGTTGATCGTGATGGACGTAGCACATTCCATAGCATTATCCACAGCTGTAAATGTCTATGCTTATGTTTTAAATGAAAGAATTCAAGTCAATGTTGATAATTCCCCTCAACACAGCTAGAATTATGGTATTGGATTGGTAATGTCTCTAATGATACAATTGCCCAGAAATATAATGCCAGTGTTTTTGAGGAAATCTATTTTGAAAATGTAAAAGAATTGTATTTTGTTGCTTTGTTGTATGTGATTATTGCCTGCTAGCGACGTGTAAGCTTAGCGACGTTTCTATATGCATATTTCAAATGAGGCACTATTGAAATCTTATATCTTGTATCCGTTCTCTGTCAATGTGTTCATTTTGAGGAAATTTAACATTTTTATTGAGATTCGAGATTAACAAAAAATTCCACTTTATAAATATATCTCTTTTTTCTAAATATTAATTACCATTGTTTTTACATGCATTGATTGTACTGAATTCTAAATTGCACATGAATTGTACATAAGCAACTTTTTCTTAAAAACTGTCCTGTTTTGTGAAATTGTTTTCCGTGGTTCAAATGTTGTCCATAACTTGCGCACTCTTGTTTTCAAAATTGCACTTGCTTGGTCTGTCCATGAAATTTATTCATTATAATTTTTTATTTCAACAATTTAATTGTTATAAATATGACAATATTTGAGAAATGCTTTTAAGATGCAAACTATATATAGAAGGCGTTTTTAGCTGTTTAGTGCATATTTGTGTTCTGTGAATTAAGTAAGATATATTAAAGTTCATTGTTAGCAATTAAAAGAGTAGTTTTTGTATATTTCAATCAAACTTGATTATTGATGTTTTCTTCTGGATTTTTAAAAAAAATTCGGGGGGGGGGATGCTTTTGATGCCCAAATACCTTTACAAAGGCTCATGTTTGCAAAGCATTTTCTTTTTCTTTTCAATGGCAAATCTGTCCAGTCAATCTTTAGGAATTTTTGGCACGGACCCAAAGGCAAGTTTTTAGTAATAATTTCACTTTTCAGAAATTGATTTTAAAAAATGAAAGGAGTTAACCTTACATTTTATATTAAAATTGGAGAGAGAAAAAATGACTTTTTTGTGAATGACCCCAAAAAAGATTTGTTACAAAACAAGCATATTCTGATATGGCAATTTATAAAATAAAAAAAAATCTGAATTCTTGAGAAACACATATATATTTTCGACCTTTCCCCCACAATTTTTGATGCAATATTTGAATCCTCTGTATAGACGTATAGTGCAACTTTCCAATTTAAGTTCAAGATGAAATTCTAGGGACCCTGATGTATCTACCCAGCAAGTTTCAAGTAATTTAATTTTTCTTTCAAAATTGAAAAAAAAAAACAATTGTAAGGGGTTAACCTTACATTTTAAATTAAAATTGGTCCAAAACTTACTTTTCTTCAAATGACCTTAAAATACTTTTGATGCATAATAAGCATGTTTCAATATTTAACCACTATAATTCTTTTGATGATTTGGGCCAGAAAAAGGTATTTGTTTTTAGAAGAAAATGTGTTTTTACTGATTTTTTGCAAATATTCATCACGTTAAATACCGAATGGCACATCTGTCCATTAAAATTTAGGAATGTGTTTCGGCGACCCTAAGGCAATATTTTTTTCATTTTTCAGTCAAGATTAAAACTATGCAAGAGGTTAACCTTGCATTTTTAATCAGAAGTTGTAACAAATGGATTCTTCAAACGCCAAAAAAAATTTAAATATGAGTGTACTTAAATATACATATTTTTTTGATGCTTTGGGTCAAAATAATGTTTGACATAATTGAATGACACATGCATCTAGTGCAGGTTTAAGAATACCTTTAAACAAGAGAACCCTGAGGCATCTTCCCTGCAATTTCAAGCAATTTCTTTTTAAGTCAAATTTTGAAACTTGTATAAGGGGTTAACCTTACATTTTTAATTAAAATATGTCACAATTTCACAAACGACCTAAGTAACATTTCGTTGCAAAATAACCATATTTCATTAATCATACAGCAATAATTTCGACAATTTTGGCCCAAATCCCCGAATTCATGAGAAAATAAAAGTTTGTATGACTGATTTTCCCACCAGTTTGTGAGGCATTATTTCCTCTGATGTACAGCCTTCTAATAAAAGTTCAGGATTTAGTTCTAGGGACCTTCAGGTATCTTTCAAGTAAACTCCTTTCCAGTCGACTGGTTTTTTTTAATTGAAAGATGTTAACCTTACAATTTGAATTTACATTGATCGAACTTGACTTTTCTGCAAACGGCCTAACATTTAGCATATTTCAATATTCAAACTGTTTTTAACGATCTGGTACTAAATATTTTTTTGTTCTTTTTTTTGGTGGAGAAAAAAAAAATGAGTAGGCTATTTTGGGGAACATTTTTTCATCAATTTTCAACTCGCTATTTCTTGTGCACAGCACATTTGTCCAGTTAAAATCCAGAATTGGTTTAGGCACACCAAGGTATCTTCCCAGCAAATTGTAAGCTAGTTCCTTTTTCAGTAATATTTTTTAAAGATGTAAGGTGTTAACCCTACATTTTAAATTAAAATTGGTCAAGATTTGACTTTTCTGCAAACGGCATAGAAAAATGATGTAATGTTGGAATGAGCAAATTTCAATATTTTTTCCCTCCAAAAGTTTCGGGGGAAGAAAAGATTGAAGGACGAAAAAATTAGCATTTTTTGGTAGCCCTGTGGTCATTGGTGCATCTTAGGTCAGCTGATGAAAAGATACACTCTTTGACACCCATGTGCTATTAAAAACAGAATGACAAAAACAATCCAGAAAGAAAGGTCTCCTTTCTTGCAGAAAAGAAATCTAGACAGAATCATCAAGGGGGAACCACCAACAGATCGAAAATGTACCATGGCATTTATGTATTAGTAAATTATACTCATGACAAACAAACACTGTCTAAATGATGTGGGACAAAAGAATGCGACAGTTAATTGAAATAAACCTGCAAAATATGTGTTCAAAAGTGCATTTTTGTGTATTGTTTGCAACAGCATGTTCATTTCTCTCTAAACAGACAGTAAAGACAAGGACATTTTTTTGGTAAAATCATTCTAATTTAAACGAGAGAACACAAATAATAATAATGCTAATTTGTACAGCTATTGGATAAATACTTCACTGTAACTCTAACCTAAATAAAAAAGCAAAGAAACACTACCAGAAGCTTTCAAGTGATTACAAAAGCAAAAGAAAAGGACAAGAGAGAAGGGGGAAGCAATTTATAGAAACATTAAACGACACCTGTTCTACCCAATTATCTTTGGTAATTCAGATATAACAGTTTCATCGTGGCAAAGCATCCTGCATAAACTGCAACTCCAAAAGATTTACCTAAAAAACCATTGTAAGTTCACAGTGCACATGCTGACTCTACAAGTTATGGTTGTCCTTAATACCAGTAGGAGTCAATGTCGGGAGATATTTTAAAGGCTAATTAACTAATTAATAATCTATGCAGATGATATTCTTTCTAATATAAACACAAAGCACAAACACTGAATGTGGCAAGATGTCGCAAGGCTTAACAAACGCTAACTACATTATTCAGCTGCGGGGGATTCTATATCCCTCTGACACTATCACGTTAAAAACAAAAAAACAAACGACTTTAAAAAAAAAAATCTAAATTAATTATATGGCAAAAACAAGGAGAGTCACAAAAGAGGAAGTTTCTGTTTAACATAGATTTCAAGTAGTTGGCAAGAAATGCAATAGCAGCTTAAAGTCTAGAAATGAAAAAGTAACAATGGCTGTTCTACAAAATTAAAACTTGATGATAATTAAGGCAGAATACATTAACTTTTTCCTCCAGTCCTCCATTTCTCAGCAATAACACTGTAATTCTAAATACACATAAAAATTCATGGTTTTATAAAAATCTAAATCAATAAAATATAATAGCACCATTGAGCAGTTTATAAAATTGGTTCCTTATAGAGTAACTAAAAGGATACAATTACAAAAAAAAATTAAAACAAACCTCAAATATTTAATTCTTTAAAAGCCTGAAAATAGACTTATTCGTTGCTTACCAATAATTTTGTTTAAAGTGGAAACTGTCGACGTTTGCGTAAATAATTAAAATTCAATTTTTTGTGGACTTTTAGTTATTCTTTGTTGAATAAGGGATCAGACCATCATACTTAAAATTTCTCCACATGTGATATTACTAATGTAGCAATATGTGAAATGGCACAAAACATGCAAAGGCATGACATAATATACCACTAGGTTTAATAGTAAACCTGCCAAAAGTTAGGCTTGGTTTCTTCCAAGTCTTATCTTTTGTCTTTTTTTTTACTGAAAAGTGTTTGAGAGAGTATATTCTTCCATTTTTTTTTCTTGTAATGGACAATAGCACTCCTTTTTTCTTTTAATAAATTATTGGCAATTTGTTTTATTTTGTAAGAGAAATTTTTTTTAAAAAGAAATACAATTACTACTCTATGTTGGACGAAGTTTTAAGCTCCCACTTTCACAACTGTACTTTGTTTTCTACATTTGGTTTTCTACAAACGATTCCGTGCTTATCCAGCCTGTATAATGCAGCATGTTATTAGCCAATGAGGTAGAAAGATCTAATGGGCCTTATTCACGAGTTGGCCATTTTTGTCGAGTTCCCTGAATGTATTTCATTAATTGTTTAACTGTGTAATGGGATGGCGCCAGACTATCTATGCAGGCACAATGCAGCCTTATTTTACTGTCATTTTTTTTTTAAATATGGCTTTAAACATTAGGGAATGTTTTATTACAAATTTTGAATTATTCATTGAAGCAGACTGGAATTTATAAAAAATGAAGTAGCTTTCATTTCTCTTCGCAAGTTCCAAAAATTAAGATTTTACCCAACTTTTAATTCAATATGGCCGACTCGTGAATAAGGCCCATCCACTCACATAATATCAAAAACGCACTTGCCTGCTGCCTTATTCACGCTCTGCTAGTTTTTGTTTTGGATAAATGTTCAATCTGCTTTAGCGTTTTTAATTATAAAATTTTTTATGATTTTGATAGAGATTTAAGGCGCAATTTCAGCAAGTTCCCATTAAAAGCAAAAACTATATGAACAGATCGATTGCATAGCAGACATCTTGGGGGTGTGTGCTTTTGTTCACGTGGACAGAACTCTTGTGAATTCATTGTTAACATAACAAAACACACATCAAAGATGGCGGGTTAGTGCAATCAGTCTATTAGCATTTGGATAATCATATGCCAAAACTGAACATTTTTCTCCTTATTCGCATGCGATAGTCTGGTTTGTAAATTTGTTAGCACACATCGTTACAATACATATTTGCTCTCACCGTTGTGCAAGGATGAAGCATTTTAAAACGAGAACGAAAGTTAAGTTGACATATAACAAAAAAATAGTACATCGTTAAAACAAAAAGGTAATAACAAAATCACACAATACGGTACTGAAGCATAAAACGGATGTTTTTGTTTTGATCCAGAAAGCTGACAAGTAGTTATACTCAGCAGTGTATTTTTCACCGAGATACTACACTGATCTCTAATGGTTTGAAATGTTGCACAAGAATAATACAAAATGGCAAAATGATGTTCACCACATAATTGCTGGAAATTTGGGAGAGATGGGTTAAGGATTTCTTCACATTTCACACAAAAGCAAAAACAGGAAGTAAATTTAATGCCAAATTTACCAACGTCCCAATTCAGGTTTGCGTCCGCTTGTCATGCCAAATTCAAATCGATCTTTTCAAGTCAGTATTTCAGCATGCATCGTGTAGATGAATGCATCTGCGTCCCAACTGAACGACCCAGTAGTTTCGAGCAACTGGGATGAAGCTGATACAACTCTATGAATTTCATTACCAAAAGATCATTTTTGTGAACTATACAAAAGTACCTTAATTACTCAAAACCAAAAACAGAATAAAAAAAAACTCGTAAGAAACCTAAAAAAAACTTAACTTTTTAGTCGAAACAGAGATTACCTGCATCAATTTTGTAGTCCGTCACACCGATCTCCGTTCTGTGGACTTGTGGATTGACAATAACCTCCACGATCGGCAGCAGTTGCATGTTTTGGGTTCTGAAGCCGAAGATGGATCGCTTCCACCGCATCTCTGGATTCTGTGACGAAATTAGGAACAGTTGAGCATGGAGATGAAGGCAACAATTGAGCATGGAGATGATAGGAACAGGAGATGATAGCATTTTGTGACAAGCTGATGTTCTTCTTCTTCCTATTATTATTATTTTGTTCGGGGGGGGGGGGGATTTAGAACTGCAACTCTCTTGTTGCCCCAAGTGCTCGTACTCATGGTATTGTACTTGTACTCATACTCTTACTCACAAGAAAAAAATTACCAGTACTTGTACTTGCACTTGTGGTAAAGTACTTGTACTCGTAATCATGAAAATGTTCTCTTCTGGGATTTTTTTTTAGAGATATACCCAGAAAAAGAATCCATTTGATATTGTTTGGCAGGCTTTTGCATATGTGACCGGCTCCACAAATAAGGGTATTATGTCGCAAAAAAAAAAGTGAAATTGAGTTATATACATGGTTGGAAAGCCCACAATGTAAGCTTTCATTTCGTATATAATTGAGCTCCATAGCCCATCCCATTCTGGAGATATGACATATTTGCATATTCATTACTTCCTTGGAGTTCAAATTACACAACTGAGAAAACAGGCTTTGAAATAGCTGGCTATGCTGTAGAACAACAGAACGATGCACACAAAATGGTTGTTTTTCCCACTTTGTTCATCAAAATCAACATTTCTGTGAATGAAACCTGAAACTGTAGGTATTAAAAAAATCATTCATGACAAAAAATGAAAATCAAATTTTGACAAAATTTTCACCCTCTCAATGTTGAGCGAGCCATTACACAATAATGCTCAGTGCGACTTAATCCCTTTTTTTGTGGAGCCGGTCACATATGTTTAATACCTAGTCTGTCAACAAATGTGCTAGAACTCATGGAAAAGTACTCATACTCGTGTGACAGCTCATTTACATATCTCTCCTGCGCAGCGCCCTCGCTTGACCCTTAAGGTAAAGCTCTCACTTAGCCAATTGTCTTGAGTGAGTCATTCCACCACTAGCACTGGTACTGTAAACACCACACAGTGTCCTGCCACTTCTACACATGTTCTTAGTTAATGCCTCAAGATTTTGTGGATGACTCGACTGGGGTAAGAATTCATTTATATTGTTTTAATAGTTGTTCTTATTGCTGAAGTTCCTAAGTTTCTTTTTATTGAGACTTTGTGAACACTTTTTGATTAATTCTGAAGTTAGCTTGAGTATTCTTAAACTTTACTCTGATTACTGAATTTAAAGTGGATTCATTCTTTGATGGTCTTTAGGAAGCCCAGATGCACTGTGTTGTTGTATTTATTATTGCATATTTAGGAAAGATCATCCTTTTGATGACCTTCTGTGTTTAGAGATATAATCTATTTCCATGGATTTGAAGGATTTAGATTTCCCTAACTTTGATTATGTGTACATGTATATCCACTTTATTTCTTGTTCACATTTAGTTATTTTCTTGAGTACACAAAGTTCAAGAATAGATTTCCTTATTTTACTATATATTCCTCATCATCTATTTTCCACTTTTTTATGAACATATTCTTAGATTTATACTTTAGTGTATAAATTCATAGTTCCTTTGTCCTGTGTAGATGTCCATAGTGCAGTGTAGTATAGCCACTGTTTAGACCCTTAATCCCCTAAGTTGCTGCATACATAATGAGGTGCACTCAGTTTCTTGGAAGGCACCATACCTTAGTACAGGGAGGCAGGAAGTCTGCCAAGTATGTTTATTACCCTGCAGAGATTTCTTTTGTTCAGTGTTTATTGGAGCGTGTGACCTAAGATACCAGTAGTGTCTTATTAGACTGGCACACTAGTCCTTAAGTTTATGTGATGCAGAATATATTACTCATATTTCTCTTTTTACACTTAATTAAGCATGCCATCTGCATATTTGTTTAGCATTTATTTAGTTATGTTATTTCTCCATAGTCCTTTTTTGTGATATTAATTCATTTTTCCTAAGTTAGTTTCTTTATGGATCCTTAGGTTATAATGATGAGTGGACTGATTTAAGTCTATGGTTTGCTGAGTCCATAGTCATATATATTTAGAGGTCACTGCACATTTGCTTTAGTTATTTCCTATTTTGTCTTTGCAAGTTAAAGCATTCACATGCCTTGTATTAATTCATTTTGGAATTTAACTTGACTTTACGGTTAGAAGCAAATTGTGTTATCGAGTTCGATTTATCTCTTTTGATTGCATTAGATTCTCTGAGGATTATTATTGTTCTTTTTATAATTTACTTTGCTGGATTGGAATTTCCTAAAGCATTGTATTTATATGGAATTTCTATTTTGTATCTTTTCAGGGTTTGTTTTGTTTGTGTAAGATGCAGTTCACCATTAAATGAACCAGTCACAGTAAATGTACACCATCCTTGTCGTGTCACATTTCCCAGTGTCACATTTGGCGTCGTAGACAGGATGGTGTACTAATACTGCATCTACCCCCAGTCGAGGATGAGGCGAAACTAACGGCAGACAACTGACCCCGAGACGAGCTGCTACAGTTATCAAGAATGGAGGGAATGGAGCAACTGCGGGCCGAGCTTGAGGCGATGAAGGTAGCTCTTCAGGCGGAGAAGGAGGAGCGTGAGAAAGCCACAGCAGGCGTCAGCTCCACTACCCCACCAGCGAAGCAAATATACGTAGCGGCAGGGAGACGGCTGGACCGCTTCAGGGGAAAGCCAGAGAAACCGAGTGATCCATCTGTCCAAGAGTGGGTCAGTGACGTCAAAGGTCAGTTGACTGCACGACAGATCGGAGGGGAGGACGGTGCTGCGTTTATCATCGACCATCTTGCCGGCAGAGCTAGGCAAGAAATCCTTGGCAGAGGTGACACCGTAAAGAGTCCAGAGGAAATCTACCGTGTACTGCTGAAAGTCTTTGGTGATGGTGAGACGCTTCCCCAGATCCAGCAAAAGTTTTTCTCCTTCCGACAAGGCCAAGGAGAAGATCTACTGAGTTTCTCCCTCGAGCTCATGGAATTGTTTAATTCCATGGCTCGCCTGGATGTCTCCTTCAATGCTACAAGAGATAAAACGCTGAAGGGAAGACTAGCCGAGGCAGTTTATGATGAGGGTCTACGGAGAGAACTGCGGCGCATGAACATCGATTCGCCAGAGCTGAGTTTCTTCGATGCCAGAGACCGTGCCATCGAGTGGCTTGGCACCAGCCGTGTCAAAACCCAGAAGGCAGTAGCAGTACAGGAGGTCAAGGCTGAAGACGGGGCACATGGCATGAAGGCACTTCTTGAGAGGCAGGGTGAACAACTGCAGCGGCAACAGCAGCAGATTGAGGCACTCTTACAGGCCATGCAACGACCTGCTCGCCGTTGGAGTCAGGGTCCTAGACGTTGCTACAATTGCCAGTCCACAGGTCATCTCAAACGAGACTGTCCCCATGCCCCGTCATCCCCGTCGTCAGGAGGAACGAGTCAGGGTACCAGGGATCCCCAGCAGTTTGTCCCCCAGCAGTCTATGGCACAGCACTTTGTCCCCCAGCAGTCCACGGCCCAACAGTTCGTTCCTCAGCAGTCCCCAGTACAGCAGTTTGTCCCCCAGCAGTCCCCAGCACAGCAGTTTGTCCCCCAGAAGCCTGGCCCTCAGTTAAACTAGAACGGCCTGTCATTGAGAGCCACACGGCAGGCCCACAAGAATCAACTAATAGCGGCTCAATCTACAGAAAAGTGGTAGGGCAGTGTCCAGAATCTGTCGTCCAGCTTGGTGCATCAAGGGTGCGTTGTCTACTTGACACAGGAGCGCAAGTTTCAACGATTACTGAATCTTTCTTCAGAGAACACTTTCCTGAGACAGAATTAGTAGATGTGACTGCGTTCATCAGCATCTCCGGTGCTCAAGGTCTGGCCATTCCCTACCTCGGCTATGTTGAATTGCCACTAACAGTGCTGGGCCACTCTTTCATCAACATGGGTTTTCTGGTGGTCAAGGACCCTACAGGCACATCAATTGCAGAGAGGAAGAAGAGAGTACCAGGAGTGATTGGGTCAAACATCTTCAGGGACATCCGAGAGAAGTTACGGCAAGATGCAAGCGGCCAAAACTACCTGGAGGTTTTGCACAGACGAAGTGACGGACCTGAATGGGCTCATGTACTCGCTCTCTATGAGGAAGTGCGAAGTGGCACTGTACATCAGCCAGATATTGCAGGTAAAGTCCGAACAGTGGGTTCCAAGCCCATCCTAGTCCCCGCCAACTCTCTCCTTCTGATGGAATGTTCAGTGAAACCTGCTGCAACTGATGTGACTTACGAGGCCATAATAGAACAGCTGGATGTAGATGTGACCCACATACCAAATGGGTTAGCTGTAGCTCCTACACTAGTCTCCGTCGACAGCAGTGGTAGAATACCGGTTCAAGTTGCTAACTTTACGAATGATGACCTCTATTTACCCCCGAGAACCCCAGTAGCCACAGTGAGCAGTGCGGTCGCCGAACAGCACAGCAGAGCTTTTGAAGCAACTTGGCAGGAAATGCAGGCAGGTGAAGTTAAAAACGACTGCGCTGATGAAGCCAGGAGCCTGATGTCAAGGATGAAAATCGGTACTGGGCTAAGTGACGATCAGCAACATCAACTCCACCAACTAATTTCCAGCCATGCCAGCACATTTAGCAAAGATGAAGACGACATCGGACTCTGTGACAAAATACCTCATGCTATCAACACTACTGACGATGTTCCAGTTCGAGTACCTCACCGGCGCATACCACCTCACCAATGGGCTGAAGTTCGAGAATACCTGCAGAAATCTCTCGAAAGGGGCGTGATCAGAGAGTCATCCAGTCCGTATGCTTCACCGATCGTACTCGTGAGGAAGCGAGATGGAAAGCTGAGGCTTTGTGTTGATTACAGGGCCCTGAATGCCAAGACTCACAGAGATGCCTATCCACTTCCCCGCATCGACGAAGCCCTCGATGCACTTGGTGGAGCAAAGTTCTTTTGCAGCCTGGATCTCGCCCATGGGTTCCATCAAATTCCCGTTGCTGCAAAAGATGTTGAGAAGACAGCATTCCGAGTAGGGACTGGAGGTCTGTACGAGTTCACCCGTATGCCCTTCGGCCTCTGCAATGCGCCAGCCACATTCATGCGCTTGATGGACAAAGCATTCGGTGACAAAAACTTCCAGTCTCTCATCGTCTACTTAGATGACATCTTAGTCTTTGGACGTACCTTCGAGGAGACGCTTGAACGACTACGGTTAGTGCTGGACCGCCTCACTGAATTTGGCTTGAAGGTTAAACCAGAGAAGTGCAACCTGTTCACGGAACAACTGAAGTACTTGGGCCATTCCATATCTGATGGAGGGATATCTCCAGATCCTGAGAAGATAAGCGCGGTGAGAGAATGGAAGAAGCCAGCCACAGAACGTGAACTCCGCGGGTTTCTTGGTCTAGCTGGGTACTACCGCCGTTTTGTACCAGGCTTTGCTAAAGTCGCGGCTCCACTCCACACACTCTTAGGAGGAACAGGGAAGAAGAAACACAGAAAGGTCAGTCCCATCAAACCCATATCAGATGCATGGGATGAGTCTTGTGACAAGTCTTTCACTGACTTGAAGCAACTTCTGACGTCTGCTCCCCTCCTAGGCTACCCTGATTTCTCTCGTCAATTCATCCTGGAGGTTGATGCTAGCTACCAAGGTCTGGGTGCAGTTTTGTCCCAACAACAAGAGCAAGGTTTGGTAGTCCTGGGTTATGCCAGTAGAGGCTTGAGAGAGAATGAAAGGAACATGCAGAACTACAGCAGCATGAAGCTTGAACTGTTAGCATTGCGTTGGGCAATCACTGTGAAGTTCAGGGACATCCTTCTCGGTGCAAACTTTGTCGTTTACACCGATAATAACCCCCTCAGCTATCTTCAGACGAACACGAAGTTGGGAGCAACAGAGACCAGATGGGCTGGAGAGTTGGAACAGTTCCAGTTCACAATCAAATATAGGTCAGGAAGGAGTAACCGTAATGCCGATGCCCTCAGCAGGAAGACCACTCACAGTGAAGATCTGCAAACTGCCCACTCTGAAGAGATGTCCACTGAAGAGACCATTTCTTCATCTTATGCTTCCACTCCCATCCCCTCCACAGTTGTTTCGCAAGTAAGAGGCACCCTGGTTGAAGCTGGACTAAATGAACTCCGCATCAGACCAGATGTGACAGCACCTGCTGCGATGTCAACCCTTCCCTCCATCTCTACCGAAGACATGGCTACACTACAACGGAACGACAAACACCTAGGCAGATTGTGGACTTACTGGGAGAGTGGACGACAACCACACATCAGTAAGCTCATGAAGGAGGACAAGCCAACGCGGAAATTGCTGAAGTTCTGGAACCACCTGGAGGCCAGAGACAACATTCTCTACAAGAAAAGAAAAGAAGCGAGTGGCGAGATCAGTCAACTTCTACTTCCTCAAGTTCTACGAGAGCAGTTGTTAGCCGCAGTCCATGATCAGGTTGGACATCAAGGAGTAGAAAGGACCCTTGCACTCGCCCGTTGCAGATGTTTCTGGCCAGGGATGATACACGACATCGAAGAGTACTGCCGGAATTGTCAGAGGTGTATGTTGGCTAAAGCTGGGAAGAAGCTCCATCCTACCATGGGTTCCTTAATCGCCAAAAGACCCCTTGAAGTTCTCGCCATAGACTTCACCGTCCTGGAGCCTGGCACAAACAATGTGGAAAACGTGCTGGTTCTCACCGATGTCTTTACAAAGTTTACACAAGCCATACCATGCAAGGACCAAAAGGCAAGAACGGTGGCTCGATGCTTAGTGAGAGACTGGTTCGTCCGTTTTGGTGTGCCTCGCAGACTTCACAGTGACCAGGGCAGGAACTTCGAAAGCAAAGTCATCCGGGAACTCTGTGAGATGTACAGTGTCACCAAGAGCCGAACGACGCCTTACCACCCCGAAGGAAATGGGCAGTGCGAGCGTTTTAATCGTACCATGCACGATCGCTTACGCACGCTGCCCCCAGACCAGAAGCGCAGATGGCCAGAACATCTCCCAGAGCTGATCTACGCATACAACGCGACACCCCACTCCTCAACAGGTTACTCCCCCTACTATCTCTTCTTCGGCCGGGAACCGAGATTACCCGTAGACCACCTTCTTGGGTTCGGAAGAGAGGAAGAGGACGATCCTGAGCTTGACCAGTGGATAGCGGACCATCATGTGCGAATGCAGCAAGCATTTCAGAAAGCTGCAGGCACAACAGAGAAGGAGGCTCTCAGAAGACGGCAACGCCACAATGAGGCAGCGAGAGATGAGGATCTCCATGTTGGAGCAAGGGTCTTTCTTCGAAACCGTTCCGTCAAGGGGAGAAACAAGATCCAAGATGTGTGGGACAACCGACCTCACAAAGTTGTGGGGAGGCCGAACCCAACCGGCCACGTCTACATCGTTACTCCGCTTGACGGAGAGGGAAAGGAGAAGACCCTGAATCGAAAGGACCTCCTAGACAGCAGAGCCTTGGTGCTGGATGAGGATGAACCTCCAGCTACTGGATGTCGTCATCAAGATGACCCAGTTTTGCCAGCGCACACTGACGAAGATGAGGAGGCAGAAGAGGAGGCAGATGAGGTGGTCATCATATTGGAGACAGAAGGTGAGACTCCAGCGATGCCAACAGGTCAACCAGAGCCAGAGAGTGCACCTGCTGCTTTTCACAAAGCAGGGGAGCACCAGCCCGAGGACCAAGCCTCTCAATCTTCAGATGTGCAAGATCCGGAGAGAGCACCCGCTGCTTTACACAAAGCAGGGGAGCACCACCCTGACAATCTAGCCCCGCAACCCCCATCAGAAGTGGAAGATTCTTCACCGGAACCCACTACAGAGGAGGAGGTCCCACTTGCCAAAGCGGAGCAGTTGCGCCACACCAGCCGTGCTGGAGCGGGACAACACTCCAATCCCCATCACCTCCCGAAGTCCGTCATCCAGTCGGAGACTCCAGCAATGCCTGTCCCTGCACCTGCGATAGACCCACGTGTACTAGCAGACATCAGCCGAACGCAGCTGCTGTTGGCGCAGATGTTGGCCGGAGTCCAGCCAAGATGATTTTTTTTTTTGTAAATAGTTAATTGTACTTTGTTTTTTTGTATTAATCTTTTATCTGTTTAGGTTGTCGGGACGCCAACCTTAGAGCAGGGGAGTATGTGACAGCTCATTTACATATCTCTCCTGCGCAGCGCCCTCGCTTGACCCTTAAGGTAAAGCTCTCACTTAGCCAATTGTCTTGAGTGAGTCATTCCACCACTAGCACTGGTACTGTAAACACCACACAGTGTCCTGCCACTTCTACACATGTTCTTAGTTAATGCCTCAAGATTTTGTGGATGACTCGACTGGGGTAAGAATTCATTTATATTGTTTTAATAGTTGTTCTTATTGCTGAAGTTCCTAAGTTTCTTTTTATTGAGACTTTGTGAACACTTTTTGATTAATTCTGAAGTTAGCTTGAGTATTCTTAAACTTTACTCTGATTACTGAATTTAAAGTGGATTCATTCTTTGATGGTCTTTAGGAAGCCCAGATGCACTGTGTTGTTGTATTTATTATTGCATATTTAGGAAAGATCATCCTTTTGATGACCTTCTGTGTTTAGAGATATAATCTATTTCCATGGATTTGAAGGATTTAGATTTCCCTAACTTTGATTATGTGTACATGTATATCCACTTTATTTCTTGTTCACATTTAGTTATTTTCTTGAGTACACAAAGTTCAAGAATAGATTTCCTTATTTTACTATATATTCCTCATCATCTATTTTCCACTTTTTTATGAACATATTCTTAGATTTATACTTTAGTGTATAAATTCATAGTTCCTTTGTCCTGTGTAGATGTCCATAGTGCAGTGTAGTATAGCCACTGTTTAGACCCTTAATCCCCTAAGTTGCTGCATATATAATGAGGTGCACTCAGTTTCTTGGAAGGCACCATACCTTAGTACAGGGAGGCAGGAAGTCTGCCAAGTATGTTTATTACCCTGCAGAGATTTCTTTTGTTCAGTGTTTATTGGAGCGTGTGACCTAAGATACCAGTAGTGTCTTATTAGACTGGCACACTAGTCCTTAAGTTTATGTGATGCAGAATATATTACTCATATTTCTCTTTTTACACTTAATTAAGCATGCCATCTGCATATTTGTTTAGCATTTATTTAGTTATGTTATTTCTCCATAGTCCTTTTTTGTGATATTAATTCATTTTTCCTAAGTTAGTTTCTTTATGGATCCTTAGGTTATAATGATGAGTGGACTGATTTAAGTCTATGGTTTGCTGAGTCCATAGTCATATATATTTAGAGGTCACTGCACATTTGCTTTAGTTATTTCCTATTTTGTCTTTGCAAGTTAAAGCATTCACATGCCTTGTATTAATTCATTTTGGAATTTAACTTGACTTTACGGTTAGAAGCAAATTGTGTTATCGAGTTCGATTTATCTCTTTTGATTGCATTAGATTCTCTGAGGATTATTATTGTTCTTTTTATAATTTACTTTGCTGGATTGGAATTTCCTAAAGCATTGTATTTATATGGAATTTCTATTTTGTATCTTTTCAGGGTTTGTTTTGTTTGTGTAAGATGCAGTTCACCATTAAATGAACCAGTCACAGTAAATGTACACCATCCTTGTCGTGTCACATTTCCCAGTGTCACACTCGTAATAGTGAGAATGCACTAGTACTCGTACTCATGAAAATAAACTTGTACTTGTACTCATGTAAACAAAATTGCCTGGTACTCGTTATCCTGGCAAAGAATTTGAACTCATTCTCATGGAAATGTAGTCGTACTCGTACGAATGAAAATGTACTCATACTTCTACTGATACTCATGAAAATGTAGTCATACTCGTACTCATACGCATGAAAATGTACTCTTTCTCATGAAAATGTACTCGTTCTCATATCACCCATGGCAAGGGACTCATACCCATACTCATGGCACAGTATTTGTAATTGCACTATTTTGTCCATACCCACCTTGCATCCATCCTTGATGACGATGGGTTCGTGCTCCCCACCACGCTGGAAGACCACACCGTTCCAACCCACAAAGCTGATACTGTTGGCCAGGTCATTGCTTGGGGATTCCCAAACGGAGACGTTGAAACAGTGGATGGTGATCTCCTGACTAGCCTCAGAGCTCAGGAGGTGCAGGAACTTGAGCTGGGGTAGGGTCAGGCCGTACTCCAGCTATGCACGAGAAAAAAATGAACTACAATGTTTGTTTTAAGTTCTAAAAGCAGATGATTCCTCATCTTGTAGCAAATGCTGGTGCCTTTTTTTAAACTTGAGATTTTTAAAACAAAACATTGAAAGCAATACTCATAAGAAACACATTGTTGGAGTCAGGTTGGCGTAATGGTAGCTCTGGAAAACTGAGTTCTAATTTTTTTTGGAAATTCAACAAAACAGCTGGGGGAAATGTACATTTTTGAAATAGAATGTACAAATTGTAACATGTTGAATTCAGTCAGGAATTTGCCTTTATGCCCCCCTCCCACATATCACAACCGATCAAGATACAACTCACCCTACACAAGGTACTAGTCATTCATGAAACACAGGACAGACTTCAAACAAAATCAAAACAAAACAAAAACAAGACTTTTACTCCCAAAGTGCCTTTGCAGAGTTTCATAAAAATAATTGCCTTTACAAAATCAGATGGGCTGGAGTGCATCATGGTCTGGTTTCTCTCAAACAATTCAAGCTTCTATTGTAGTATCGTGATATTTACTCTCCATGGGTCTATCCTTACAACTAGAGGTAGAGTAAATACATCAACGAGAGTCTTGACTTACCATTGATGAATCTGGAGGGATGAGGCAAGACTTAGCTCCTAGCTCTGTGTACTCACAGTGCACCTCGAAGGCATCGGAGGAGCAACCCATGTCTGGATCAATCCAGAACAGACCTGCAAACGTTAGAGTTGAAGAAAAATTCAGACGGGAGTCTAGAATCACTCAAAGGAGGATCATTTGTTCATCAGCCCATGAGACTTGTTTTCGGCAACAGCTCAAGACCAGCACAAGCTGGTCTTTATCCTCATCATCCATTCATACTCCTGGTTAGAGACAGGCAATTGTAGTAAAGTGTCTTGCCCAAGAACACAAGCCCACACTGTAACCAGTTCCACATTCAGTCTGATATCTCTTGATGCATTCCTTACCTTCGCTGATATCTTCATGGCAGCCTATGAGGTCCCTACATGTCCTGCACGGCATGTCTTTAGTACCCAGGGGATGTTTGATATCATCAATGTACTTGACTAAGTATTTCATCATGTAGAAAACGTCTAGATCCTGTAAGCAGAAAACAGACACAAATGAATGGCTTACCAACTACATGATCATTAGTTTCAATAATCAAGGGCCAACCAAATCTTCTGAGAGAATTTGTATCTGGCACACCTTGCATATTGCCAAGACTTTTTTTGGCACAGTCAGTTATGAACGGTTGATCTTTGTCTGTAGCCACTAACAACGATGTACGAAGATCTTTGCCTTTTATTTGCTACTGAATCTATTGTGTTGCTTATTTGGTGTTAAATTCCTACTTCACAGGGATATCTTTAGACCAATTTGAATGGGGGGTGTGACAACAATAGACCATCTATCCTAGAAGGTAGCAAAGAATTGTTTCTGGTCATCTGACCGCTGTTAAATCAAAGGGTGAGGGGGGGTGGACACCATCTGACTATGGGGGCTGCTGATCAAAGTGGACAACCTCGGACACTATCGGACAGTAGGTGCACTATTCGTTGTGCCGTATTTGCCAACAAAAACGATTAATGGGGGGGGGGGTGCCACCCTCCTACATCCTGCCCCTCCTGACACAGGTGCAAAGTCCACGTGGCAAAGAGGCACACTTCAGATGTACATTCACACTTACCCCTACTTCTTTTTTCCTTGGAATGCTGAAGAAGTGATGTATAAGAGTGTGGATGCTCTCGGCATCGTTTACTGGAAACATTTTCTAGAATAAGATAAGAGTTAAATTTCAAACTTATTATTTTATATTTGCATACTTATAATGCATACCCTGAATTTCTTAATAATACTCTTCACGAGAAAATGACCATAGTAAAAAAAATGCCAAAAAAAACCTAGAAATACTGGTGGTACCTCTCACACTCATGTTTGCACCACTTTAGTTTTAAACGTTAAATCTACAAAATACACTGATAAATTAAAAACTTACCGGTAAACCTGGTGGTCCCTGAAAAAATAAATGGAAAAAAATGTGATTACTTCTGACTGAAAAGCAAGACACAAACGATGTGAAAAGTACTGCAGAAAGTCATATTATTATGGAATATTTTTGTATTTTGTATGTATTTGGTTTTTGTACATAAAATGGCCTTTCAATAACAAAAAGCTTGATTTAAATTACAGTACCAATAGTTAATCAAGTACGGAAGGTTTGCGGTAACGCATTGTGAATTTTATCTCTCTTGAGTTGTGTGGTTCTGAGAAGATCCAGTTGTGTTAACGTGACGTTTTCGAACAGTGTGATATGTTCGTCATCGGGAGAATCCTGATGACGAACAGAGCATACTGTTTGAAACGTCGTGTTACGAAGAGTGTGATACTGCAAACATGGTGCTACTGCAAACCATTCACACTTTGTTCATGTCCACCGTGCAAACCTTCAAATCGCATTCAATAGTTTATAATCAGGCAATTCCTGAATGTCAGTGACACAGCTTTTAAAGGTATAGTCCATCGTTGGTAATTTGTGCATTTTGCTCGTTTGAAGCAACAAAAGTGCTCAAAATCTAAAGAAGGGTGCTGAACAACTTAACCTGATGAAGATTCAGCTCAGCTTCAGCTGTATATTCCGAGAAAAACAGCATTCTAGGATCTCGATTTCAAATCCAAAGTTGCTGAATCATGTTTTGAATTGGGCCTCAATTCAGCGTCTGAGACACATTCTCACTAGCCGATTGCAGCTACGCAATGACGCGCACCGATCCGAGGAATTATAGCAACCACGCGTGCGAGTGCATTGTGTCAACACTTGCGCGCGCTTTGCCGAATGAAAAAAACAAACTACTAACGGAAATTTCCAACGGTGCTTCTTAAGACGCACCGTTGGAATGGCCTTCTTTCGTGGATTTCTTCAAAATGACAGCTCGCCAGAAAGAAGAATTTCACAGCGAGTTTAGTCCCCTTACTTTCTTTCAACCAAGTATGTTTTTCAACAATAATTACGTCAGTTACTTTTTGGTTAGCTGCAAATGATGGACTCTGGGTTTAAGAGCTCAGTGCATGAATAAACCTGAAAATGTATTTTTCAAACCTCATACACTCATCATCGAGTAATGATGAAGGCCATTACAGACTAGGAGTTTTGGATTCTTTCTTTGAATCATTAATAAAATATCGTGGTTATTTGGTTCTGTGACAGATATTACAGTTCCTTTTCTAATGCGGGAATTGCCCATCACAGGTATGCGCTTTGGAAAATGCCGTGGCTTACTGCTGCATCTCCAACAAATTGTGTGATCAAGCATAAAAAATGCTGACTTACCGGTGGGCCAGATTCTCCCTGTACAGAGAAAAAAAATAAAACAAGCTTTTAAATCAGACGCCAGATATGACATTTGGTATTAAATTTTAAAATATGCCATAATAATTATTCTAACACAATATTAGCCTTCATGACAACACACATGGTCTAGTAAAGTTGTTCAGCAGAACAGCCTGTTATAGGCCTCAACAGGCGTTATAGGCCTCAACATTTTCTCTACCATAATTTGACCAATTTTGATGTGGATCCCCAAATTCTATTTTACTAACAGAGTATTTTGGGTATATCAAAACAATTATATGACAATTAAGTTTTATATTTTTTTTCCCTCACCTGTGGTCCTTTTGGTCCTGAATCACCTTTACTTCCCTGAAGACAAAAAGAAAACAAATCAAGAATAAAATAAACAATATCTGCCACCGGAGTGCAATTTGCAACATGTTTATGTTAATTTTTGCTTTGCACTTGAGAGGCAGAATATATTTATTTTATTTTTTTCTCAGGGGAAACTTATTTATTCAGAAGAAACGCTTCTCTTGCATTTTACAATAAGTATAAACAAATAATATATTAATCATTACATAAAAGAGAGAATGGATCCCATTTCGCATAAATTTAGCAAGATCACCATTTGTAGTAAATATAAATTTGTCCAATACATAGTATCGTTTTAGCTCATTCTTAAATACTAAAAGAGACGGTTTGCTACCATTCATCTACATTTTGTAAATATGGTAACGGCATAAGAGAAGACTTAAGTTAAGGGCGCTCCAGTTTTTGTTAAGTATGCCAAATAAAATCATCTCGTAATCTACGAACACATTAATATTCAAAGTCTCCTTAATCCAATCACTAATTTGGGTCCAGAAAGATAAAGAAATCTCACAAGTGCAAAATAAGTGAATCAGAGTTTCTTTTTCTACATGACAGAAGGAACACAAGTCGTTCTCCCCTTTACCAATCTTTACCAAATAAGAATTGACGCCCAGGATTCTATGGACCAATCTGTATTGAAACCATCGTAACTTTGTATCACAAGTAATCGTAAAGGGCATACTGCAGAAAACCGACCATTTAGTTGCAGGGAAATAGATACTTAATTTTGTTTCCCATTTGTCGTTTGGCAGAAATAAATTTACCCTGTCTCCAAAGTCTCCCAGCAAGCCAGCCATTCCTAGAAAGCCCTCCGGACCTCTGATGCCTGGAATGCCCTGAAGGAGAAGAGAAAGAAATTCTTATTCAACTCACGTTGTGCACATAGTATCGTGACCCAGAGGGTAAGCGCATATTGAAACGGAGCCTTACCACCCAATAATGCATGCAGTAAAAATGTGATGCCTGAAAAACAAGAACCTGCCCACAGACACACTTTATCAAAGCCACCTGTGTGTTTTCTTCCGAATTATACTGTTTGAGGTGGAATAATTTCACAGGGGTTTTTGGTACCATTGTATCCTATCTTTAATACATGGGCAAAAATACCTGGGGGGAGGGAATATACCCCCCCCCCCTCCTTTTTGATCAGGGCTGGATGAAGCATTGGATCTCTCTCCCCTCCCCCAGATGTTTATGGTGAGAAACAAAAAATGCTGAATCTTTTAACTTTCCAAGAGTCCAAAATTATTAAACATTGAAAAACAGAAAACAGTACAAAAGCTTACCATGCCTTGTTTGTATGTAAGGTTAAGCGTGAAACATATACATTGTATCAAGAACAATGCCCCTAGTTTCACTGGTGTCCAGCTCCCCCCCCCCCCACCTTATGGTCATCCCACATTCCCCCCCCCCCCGCCCCCCCCCCCCCCCCCCCCCCCCCCCGCCATTTGGCGACACGTTTTTGCCACTATGTTAACTTCAAGAAGGTCTCTCTCTTTAAATTGGTGGGTCTGTTTCCCCACAAACTACTAATGTTCCTACCTTCCTTTAAATAAAAGTTTAGATGACTGATTACCATACCTCATCTCCTTGGAATCCCATGGGTCCGATGGGACCAATGCTAGCTAGATCTCCACGGATACCCTGTAAGACACGCAGAAACAAATTCACTGTTATCAAAGGAAAATAGTCAAACAGCACAATGAGCATCGATATATATGCTAAATCAAATTAGGTTTTGCCCTTCACCGACGTATAAACACTGCATACTCAGTGTGTTACCTCCCAAGTGAAAGTGAGAAAAAAATCACTCGGGTGGGACTCGAACCCACAACCTCCTGCTTTCTAGTGCACACGTCTTACCACTCGACCATCGAGCTAATTTTTTTCAACTTTCACTCGGGAGGTAACACACTGAGTATACAGTGTTTATAGTCGGTGAAGGGCAAAACCTAATGATTTACATCACCCCGACGCAAAATTCCATCTTATTAATAGATATATGCTCTTCTTATAAGAAGTGTGATCATTCAACAAAAATATGAACTGGAATTAACAGACCATCGATGAGTTCAGAACTGGGTGGAAATAAATGTGGACTCCCAAACTGAAAATATTCCTGTGGTATAGAAATAACAATTAAATTTTTCCCAGAGCGCAAAGTATTCAACCAACTATTACAAGCGTAGCTGTGAAAACAAACCATCAATTTTCATTTGTGAAAAAAAACAGTATTATGGAAAAAGAATGTAATTCCTAGAGATTAAACCATGACTTACTTTGCTTCCTTTGTAGCCAGATAAACCTTGCAGTCCTCGGTCACCATGAAGTCCCTACAAGTTGTGAAGTTAGGATAAATTTATTTAAAGAAACTAATTCGGCAGTTTAAAACTCAGACACCACTGAAGAACTTAATTTTTAAATGACGATCACATTGCCACATTCTTCCAAGTACAGCCCAGCCACAATTACTGAATGGTTTCACTTCTCTATTCTGTATGCGTACAACAAATGCACTTGCTAACTGCACTTAGAAAGATACCAACAGATCCAGGGAGTTGCTATCAATAATGCTCAGAGGCTTAAGGTTAGGGTCAAAGGTACAGAAACCAAATATTTTTCTTTGCATGGAATAGACCAATCCATTAGGCCTTGCCCACTTTGATCAACAAGAAGTGCGCCTCTCAACTGCTACACTGCATGTTTCTGACGTGCTCGTCATATGCGAGCAGTGGGAGCAAGCTCCCCCCCCCCAATGGAAGTCTTGAATTTCACAAAAACAATACATCACTTGCCTTCGGTGCCCCCCTTGAAAAATGAGTGCACCCCCAGGAAACCCCCTACAAGTTTTACCCTAGTTACGCCGCTACAATGTGAGAGTATGCACATCGGAAATTTGTGCGTGCATGTCGGACATAAATCATGGCTGAAATTGGTCAAAACTTTGTTTTAAGGGGCTAAGTGGAACCATCTATTGGCTAACTACTTGGTGGTGGTTTCAAATAAAGAAAGTAAGAACAAAGGAGACACAAGAGAAAGAAGGGATTGATAGAGACAGTGATTCTTCTGAAGGATGATACTTGTCTGTCCTGAGTGGGAGGATTCCTACCTTACTGCCTGGGAAGCCTGGTGCTCCAGCAGGTCCACGGGGTCCGACCAGTCCCAGCATGCCTGATGGGCCTGACAGACCACCCTGACCAACAATGCCGCGTGGACCCTACCAGTAACAGCAAAAACAAATGGTGATGAAGGATTTAAAAACTCCCATAAAAAAATGGCACCTCTCCACTGCACTTTATTCAGCAAGACAAGGCAAGCCCATAGTAAAACTGGTTCCAGAGTGCACAACATTCTATTGAATTGACTCAAAATGGCTAACATAAGCTCATAGAATAAGCTGTAGTGGCAACGTGATAGAAATGAAAAATTCACTTTTGTTGATCGCATGGAAAATTGACTTAATAGTACAAATGAATCACATAAGTATATGGCGACACACTGTTACCATATTTTAGCCTATTTCCTCCCCCCCCCCCTTTCTTCTATGAATGTTACACGAACCTGTTGAAAGAAAGGGATGAGTACACTACAGGATCCATTTCAATTTTTTTTTCACTACTTGTGTTCTTGTTTAATTATTTACAAAATAAATTGGCATCTTTTGGGGGTGGGCATATTCGCTAGCTTTTCCAATGTGGGAGGCATTGCCCCCCCCCCCAGTTCTGCCGCCTCTGGTTATACACATAGATATCTACCAAGGCCATTAATGTAGCGTGTTATTTTTGATATTTAGAATGTTACTTGCTAGTCAGGAAAATAATATGGTGGTTTTATCTCACTAATACTAAATGTTCTAACGTACGTCTTGCATATTACAGTCTACCTATGATTACAAGCCATTCACAGAGGTTGTACATTTCTCACCTTGTCCCCAGGGGCTCCTCTGTTTCCTTGCAAACCTGGTAAGCCAACTGGACCCTGGCAACCAAAAAGATGGGGTTATTTCAATTCACAATATTATATACTTAATCCTCTGTGTTCAAAATGGACGTATATAGTACAATTAAGGCAAGCGGTAAATTGTTTGACAGTGAAAGTAACATCCAGCTGTCATGTCCCAAAGCCTAACTCTCCTGCCTTATCCTCAAAGCCATGCTACAATTGATGGTACATCTCGTATCCCATTATATCAGAATGAAACAAAATCCAGATGTTATTGGGAATTCATAAATACCTAAGACAGTTTAGGCACTCCTATTGGTCGAGAGCCCGTCACGTGGCCGGTCTTAAGTGGATGATAAAGACATGGCTAACTGGTCTTAAACACTTTTCCAGTGTCACATGAAATTATGACTCCCATGAAATCCGGTGCCTTTTAACTACACCAGCCCAGCTGCATTTTGCGCGACATTGCGCAGTACGCACGACGCGCACGCCAATGTCCTTATAAGGTAACGAGTTGTGGAAGGGCATTCCATATTATAGTCAGAGGGGTGTTTTGTAAAACATGAAGTAAAATTGTTGAACAAAATGGTTAGCAACGTCTAGTTTTTGACATGTTTTGATTTTTGGACCGAAAAGTTTTTGGTTTTTTTGACCGAAAAGGTATTTTTGAATGGGAATAAATATGTGTTCGGTTGGTGTTAAACACTCTGTTTAAGACCGGTGGGTGTCTGGATGGGTGATAATTACCCCTCAGCTTCGCCTCGGGTAATTATCACCCATCCAGACTCACAATCGGTCTTAAACAGAGTGTTATAATACCTCCCGAACACACATTTATTCCCTTATTAGTTTTTTGATATAGAATCTAAAATTAAAGTTACTGAGAGTTTACCTGAATGCCCTTAGGCCCTTGTTCACCTAGTGGTCCAGAATTGCCTTCATCTCCCTAAAACCACAGAAAAGAAGAGACGTAAACATTAACTTCAGAAAGAGAATGTTTTCAAATATTTGTGAAGGGGTTAAGCGTTGTAGTCACGTGGTGAGATCTCTGGTACCTCGGTAAAGTTGTCAAGGTTTTTCCCACAAGTCCTCAGAAAGCACTGTTTAACAGTGGTTATGTCGGCAAAGGACGAAAACCAATATCAATTATCAACAATTAAACCACCATTCAATGAGGCAGTCGTTTAAATACCATATCGCCCGTTAACCCTGGAGTTCCAGTCAGTCCTGATGTGCCAATTAGCCCCTGGGAAGAAAATCATAAAATAAAAACCAAAAATTAAAATGACACCAGAAATAAATCAAATTTCATTTGAAAAAAACAAAATGTGTTAAATAAATATTTTTTAATTGGTTTAACAACTACTGTTAGAAAGTACAGATTGCAATATTCAACTTGTGGCTCGCGGTGACGCGGCTTAACTCAGATTAACCATTTTTCAAAACAAAGTTAGCACTTACAGCCCAATACACAACTACGTGAAAGGGTCTATCACAGTTATAGCTGCCGTCCATCCTCAAAATGAAGGTGGCACCTGATGATAGGTCTCTCTCAAATGACGTCACTTCCTACATGACGTCACTTGCTTGTCTGTTTGCATGTGTACGGTATCTGTTATGTTTTTCTGTATGGTTTTATCTGATTGTTCTCGTCTTTGTTTTGATGCTTTTTTAACTCGTTTGTATGTTTCATTGCTTACTTGTTTATCACTTATTGTGTTTCTTACTGAATTATTTTATTTATGCTACTTTTTTATTTTCATTTAAATTCATTTACATATTTAGCAGATATTTATTTACCCACTTATTTATTCATATATATTACCCTCCATTATTATAGCATTTTTAAATTCCAGATTTATTTTTAACTTCTCATATTACTTGTATTTAATAGTTATATTTTAAAGTTATTTCATGTTACCAACCTAGGATTGGATGAACAGGCTTTTGAGTCACAGTGTTTTCACTTTTGTTCATCCTGGCCATCTTAGATTGGATTGTCTTTACTCTGCTTGTTGAACTCCCTCCCACTTCCACTCTTCCCCAATCCGCTCCCCTTCTATACATTCCTCATCCCCACCCCCAATTCTTCCCCATCTCATTCTTACCTACTGTACCTATACACATCTATTCTTTTTGATTGGTATTTGTTACACAATTTATCTTTCATCTTGACTGTCCTTGATGTATGACATTTCTTACATTGTATGTACATGTACATGTTTGTATTTTGAATGTTTTGGCCGAATAAATAATAATAATAATAATAACAAAATGCCATGTGCATGGGCATTTTGGGCATCATATTTTCGTTATGCACATCAGCCGCGCCGCATTTTGAAGAAATTTCGAGCAACACGCGCACATGTTTAAAACATTTTGCACACTGCGTGCTCCTGATTGCGTTGGATACGCAGTTGCAATGTTCCTTCAAAGATGGTAGTCACAAATTATGGGCTCTAACACCAACATTTTGTTTCACAAAACTTTTGCTGAGCAAAATTGAGCATGAATTAGCTGAGAACCGGTCAAAAGTGATATACATCCCATGACGTTTTGGCTGGTAACCTATTTTTTTTAAGCTAAGTTAATATTTTTGTTTCTTGTATGATCGCACCTCCTGGCCCTCTCTTCCCTCCTTTCCTGGAGTCCCTGCTGGTCCTGTCGAACCCTGAAGAACAGAAACAAGAAAGAGATCTCTAGAATATCCGGAAAATGAATAAAATGGTATAATTGGCATTCAGGTTAAAAAAGGGATTGTTTCTTCTTTTCCCTGAAGGCTTTTATTTTTTTCTTATCATTATAAAGGTCGGTTCATACTTATACAAAATGCGATGCAAATCAGGTATCAAGAAAAATTCGCTGCAAACATTGTTGGATTTGAAATGTGTCCCATTTCTGCAGATTTGCAGTGCAAAATATTGGTGTGACGTCACAAATTTGTATTTGCCGAGTATGGCCTCTCCTTTAAGTTGAACAAAGAGTTGACGGGAGCAGGATTTTGATGCCACAGGTTGAGAGATGTCTTACCGATTCACCGTCCAGTCCTGATTTTCCGTCTGATCCTGGCAGACCATCTGATCCAGGAGTGCCTGGTGATCCCTGACTGCCTGGCATACCTTGTGACCCTTCATGACCCTAGATGAAACAAACAATAGTTCAGTCATTCAGGAATCTTGGTAATTGACCCAAATGCACTTGGTACTTGACCCAAATGTACTTGATACTTGACCCAAATGTACTTAATACTTGACCCAAATGTACTCGATACTTGACCCAAATGTACTTAATACTTGACCCAAATGTACTCGATACTTGACCCAAATGTACTTAATACTTGACCCAAATGTACTCGATACTTGACCCAAATGTACTTAATACTTGACCCAATGTACTCGATACTTGACCCAAATGTACTTAATACTTGACCCAAATGTACTCGATACTTGACCCAAATGTACTTAATACTTGACCCAAATGTTCTCGATACTTGACCCAAATGTACTTTATACTTGACCCAAATGTACTTGACCCAATTGCACTTGGTACCTTGACTTGGTACTTCACATCCGAATGCTATTTCATTTTTTTTTTTTTTTCTATTACTTGTAGTTCCAACTCACCAGATCACCCTGTTTTCCGTAAGCTCCCATCAGACCTGAGGCCCCAATGTCTCCCTGGAATAAACAAATAATTATAAAAATGTTCACTCAAGTTTACATAATTTGCTCATCATTGCGATCAATCAATTGGCAGAAATGTTGTGGGCTTTTGGCTGAAGCAAATGTATATGCTAACGTTTTGACAAGATGCAACAATTTGGAATGTTACCTCTTGGCCTGTTTCCCCCTCTTCTCCTTTGTCTCCAGGGGGTCCCTGAGGTCCCTGCAAAGATAATGAAATAAGAGGTTAACTAGACAAGACAAGCTTATAGTAGTAATGCCGGTTCCTTAGGGTACAACATTATATGTTACTGATGCAGAATGGCTGAAAAGTTAGTAGAAAAAGCTGTAGTGGTAATGCGATGGAAATAAAAACAAATCCATGTTTGCATGGAGACTTGTATTACCTGCACAGGTATTAAGAAATGACATTAAACAAGTGGTGCAGACTAATGCACAGGTGGTGTAGAAAATATATCACATAGCCAAACATGGTTCTGATTACGAAAACAGCACACTGTTTGAAACGTCGAGTTAAAACAAACTGGTTGTTACAACAAACCTTCCATTTTTGTTTCATGTCCACCATGCAAACCTACAAGTCTCAATCAAGCCTCATTAATCTAGTCCCAGACCAGTGTATGTAACAAGCATGGGCGTCGCCAGGATTTTTTTCTAGAGGGGGGCAGAACATATTTTCCCCAAACAATTCCTGTATTTCTCAACATATTCTCGATTTCTCAGTTTTAGAGGGGGGCAGGGACATTTAGCCCCCCCCCCCCAACTCATTAAATTTACACCACTATGACTTTGCGTCTCTTTTTCTTTTCTTTTTTTCTCTTTTTGTTTTCTTCTTTTTTTGGGGGGGGGGTTTCCAGGGGGGGCAAGCGCCCCCCTTGCCCCCCCCCCCTCGCGACGCCCATGGTAACAAGCAACAGCCTTTCAATGAGAGATGTAACCAGTCAAATTCACAAGCGTCAGTCAATGAGTGAATCAGCCAGTCAGTAACTTAGTCAGGTGCAAAAAGTCTCTCCCTTCTTGGACCAGCAAAAAAGGGCATTCCTGAAACCATGTAGTTCATGCAATCATAAATTCTGATCGTAAGAAACATAAACGCTGTCACAGACGTCTAGACGCAATTAAAGTCTGTGCTGAGGGCTAACTAACTTTCCTATCAGACTATTTCAAATTTTTGTTAAAGGGGTGAATAATGTCAGTGGCCTCAATTGAGGTGAATTAGATTTGGTACTGTCTACTCACTACTGTGCCAGGATCGCCATCACGGCCTGCACTGCCCTTTTCTCCTGCAAAACCCTGCAGAAAAAAAAGCCATATTTTAATGCATCTTTAAGTGGTGAGCAAAAGTATAGAAATTGTCATTCACAGGATACTTGGACCGACGATTTGGCTGTGGATGGAAAGCTTCATTCTTTGTCATCCACTGCTGTACTCTGAAACTTCCACAGGTGAAACTGCTTGGTTTTTTTTTTGGGGGGGGGTTGAGTTTCACCTAAAAAAATAGTTGTTTTTTTTAAGTGCTATTTTCCTAGAAATATAAAAGTTATTCACTTTTGAAGGAGACATAGAACTAACAAATCCACCGATGTTTAGTTATTGGATTAATTCTTCACAAAAAAAAAAGTATTGGCTGCCGCCAAATAAATCACCTCTAGCAGGGCGGGTTCGTGCAAGATGAAATTCCTTTTTCAGAGGGTTGCAGATGTCCAAAATCAGAATGAAACATTTTTTTTTTTAAAACAAAACATACAAATTGAAAATTTGTTAGGAGAAAAAAATCCATTTTGTGAAGAGCATGAGGTATGCAGTTTTAAAATAAAAATGAAAATTGAAAATTTGTGAGGAGAAAAACTTGAATGTGTTGAATAGCATGGGTAGACGAAATGCGTACCTGCCTGCCAGGATGTCCTTTGGGTCCCTGGATCCCCATGGGCCCCTGAGCACCCTATCAGGAACAAAGAAATAGTTCTCATTGTATATCCTTTGTTAAGAGAATGCCAATTAAAAAGAATAAATTTCAAGAGTATCGTTCTGAGCACCTACCATTACGATTTCATTTCATTACAGGAAATAAATGATGTAAAAATGATATATCCATTTGCATAAAGTTAAAAACTTTTTGAATATATGGTGGTGTTCCCTAATGTGGCGCACTTCGACGTTGACCCGACTTTCCTCGTGTAGTGTTGCCAAACCAAATTCATGCAGTGAAATACTGGTACTTTTACCTTATTAATGCTTGCTATTTCACCTCTGTAAACAATTTCGGTTTCATGAAATTTAATCCGAAATTCAGAAACGGTGGCGTCCGGAAATTGGGCACAAATTGGCGGAGTGTTCCCTAACATGGCGCACTTGAATAAATCTCGGAAAATTCCAAATTGACTTTTAAGAATTCCTGTAAAGTTGATAGATTCTGATAAATCATTATTATCTCTACTTACATACCAAACCAGAAGTTTGTCAGAAATTGTTTTTCTTATTTTTTCGGGGCATTTTCAAAGGGTTCACTTTGAAAAAATAAAATCGGAAAATCACGCCAAAATGAATTTTTTTTCTAACTTTGTAATGGGTAGATACACTCGCGATTTATGAACAGAAGTGTTAAGAACTTGATGAAATTTCACTTTCTGGGAATTTTCAGGTAAAACTTTTGCTCTAGCTAGGCGCTACAGGCGAAAAATCAAAGTGCGCCACGTTGGGGGCCGCGCCACGTTAAACTAAACGTTTCTAAACTGCCTTTTTTGCGCTTTATTGTATTCTTAAATTGCATAAAACTATATAAAAGCTGTCAAAACAGGCAACCCGGAGAGGACAGGAATCAAAAAGGTAATAAAATGAGTTCAACACATTTTGGAAACAAACTCTTTCAACAATTATGCACTTTTCAATTTTTCCCTAAATGGTGACATTTTTATCTTCTTGTACTTACTGTCGGACCCACTGGGCCAACCTCTCCATCTGGACCCGTCACGCCAGATGATCCCTAAAGAAATGAAACAAAATAATTTATATTCAGTTGAACAAAGGAGGAGGGACACAACGCATCCACGTACTGCTTAATGCGCATATGGCACGAAGTAAACGTGGCTTATATTATTCTGAATGTACACAAACCCATAGTAGCTTCGCGTCAGCTATCATCGGCATTGCGTTCGAATGTACCTCCCCAAACTCTCTCTTTCCAACACTTGAGGGGGGTACTACTTTGTGCACGGAGTCCATAGCCATATCACAAGTGCATGAAACAGATTTTCAACTCTTAAACAAATAATCTCTGTTTTCAGGGATGTACACTAGAACCTCTCAACCCGGGTTGAACTCAACCCTGGGCGAACCCAGTGCCACCCCAGGTTGAGTTTTTGATTTTTCGACCCCGCTTTCAACCCAAGGGCGGACCCAGGGGGGGGCCAAAGGGGGCCATGGCCCCCCCCCCCCAAAACGAAACCAATTTTTTTTTTTTTATGTGACATCGCAATAAAGGCAGGCAATGAGTACACCACCATCTTTTCCTCAAAAAAACATTGGCTAAAGTGGTCAGAAATTGCCTCAGATCGCACCACAGAGCATCTAGAATCCAAAAATTTTGATTGATTTGATTGACCCACTTTTTTGGGGGACCAAAATTTTTTTTGGCCCCCCCCCCAAAAATTGTGTTCTGGATCCGCCCTTGGTTCAACCCCGCATCGTTTCACACTTGTTTCATGCAAATCAAGCTTATCATGCTCAGTTACTACTGTTTTGAACTCTGGCAAGAATTTCAAACTGGGTTGAAAATCTCAACCCTGGTCTGGAGCAGGGTTGAGTTCAACCCGGGGCAAAATCAATCTCGGGGTTTGATGCAGGGTTGACGCGAGGTTGAAATTCTTCAAGTGTGAAAAGTGTTAATAAAAGAAATGGTTTGGTTTTTTGCATTTGTTACCAATGAAAGCAATGTACCTGTGTGCCCTTATCACCCCTGTCCCCTGGTGATCCTGAGACGCCCTGCACGCCACTGGGGCCTCTAGCTCCGTTGGCTCCCTCGAAACCTCGCACACCGGCATCACCCTGGTTGCAACAAAATACACAAATTCATGTAGAACTTAAGTGGACATGAACATCTTCATCTCTTAAAAATTTGTTAGCGAGCCATTTTCCCTTGAAATTACAGTTAACTAAATTTTCACGGATTTTTCAACATTAAGCCAGATTAGGAGTCCGTGAAAACACCCTCAAGAAAGTTCTTTATTTACCCATGGAGATAGACCCAGTGTATCGTTATGTATAACCAATGATAATCCTCAGTGGCCAGGGTCATTAAATACCCTTACAGGATTTGTCCTATATAAGCCCCATGTAAATGTCCGTGAAACATCTCTTAAAGATTCTTTTCACGGAGAAATGGACTTTTAATGAATTTTTAAGGGATGAATAAAACCTTTTACACTATCTGAAATCTCTGAGGCTAACAGGGAGATTTTGGAAAAACACCTTTCTCACTAAGAATCCAACACAGATTTCTACACACAGGTCTGGCGCTCTGAATGGATATACTCCAACCCAGGTTGGGGCCAGGGTCGAGGGGTTTTACCCGGGTAGATAATCCAAAATCTACAGCTGACCTGCAAACCCATGGTTGATTGGACCCAGTTTGATTGGACCCAGGACCCGCTTACGGTGAATACATGTTGACTTCAACATGGGTAGGAACTGATATCATAAACTGATAGACTGACTGACTGTTCACCAGTAAAACTTTAAAAATTAAATTCTGACACAGTTATTCACAAGCTACAGAAAGTGAGAGTGACCACCCGCGATTCCACATTTCAGTGACAAATTATCACGGAAAGTCAAACTGACACAATTTTCCTAGATACGACATCAGGGAAAGTTGTCTGTCCAAGATACAATTTCAGGGAAAGATGTGCTTTTGCAACAATGTTGAATCTCTGAATCTCCGGTTGTGATAATTTATCAGGGAACAACAGATGGTCACTTTAAGCTTCCGTAACATCTTCTGAAGTGTTACTCCTAAAAATTCCCAGCAACGAATGAACAGCTTGTTTCAGAAATGATAAAATAAATTTCTGCAACATCAGGTTTTACAAATTTTGTTAAGCAGATGTACAGCCGCTTAAAAGCAGCTGATCTAAAAGCCTGAAATTTTTAGCTGGATATTTAGGCAAACACAAATTTTGTTTTTTTTTCTACATGACGCCTAACCTTTGCTCCATTAGCTCCTTTGATACCCTGGGAGCCCCGCTTGCCTGGGTTGCCTGGGCCACCAGCTGCACCTTTGGGCCCTCGTTGACCAGACGGACCTTGGACACCCTGAAAGAAAAGATTTTGAAAAAAAAATATAATCTGCCTTGAAAAACTTCCCCTATATCACACCTTCTCCATTGGTAACTATCAGAAAATATTACTCTAAGGTTGTGTCTACAGCTGAAGCCTTGAGTCTCATTTAGCTTGTTCCTATAGACCAGGACAATATACCCTTGTTAAGAGATTCTGAATCATCTGTAATTTGGATTCTGATTGGATCGGCATCTGTATTATCTACTGATTTTAACTTTATAAAAAACAGAAACTCCTTTCATTTCCAGGTAGAAAATTGTTAGTTACTTATGATGAGACCTTTCTTGTCAATCGATAAGGGAGTATGGTTGGCCTCTAAAACTGTAATTTCTTCTCATTGTCTTCTCTCTACAGGTTTCTTCAGGCTTGCAAGCTACAGTACCTAGGGCAATTCTGAGGAATCCTTTGGTTTCAATTATTACCAGATATAAATAATAATAAAGTATAAGAATGATAAAGGAGTGTGAATCATAACGTGGAATCAATTTGAGTGTGATGATGTAAACTCACCTGCAAGCCAACGTCCCCTCTCTCCCCTGGTGGACCAGATTGGCCAGGCTCACCCTGACAAAGAAATGACATTATTGTTACAATTCAACATAGAATGACTCCATCAATATCATCAAAAGTAACAAATGTAATGGTGAAGTGATTTGAGACAGCTGCCAAGAAGACTGGAGCACTAGTGTGAGCCTCAAATTTGATTAGTCTCGGTTATTAAAACATTTTAGCCCAGTGATTCTCACCTTGGCTCCTTTGTAACCACTTTGTCCTTCGTGACCCCTGGAGCCAGACGAACCCTGCAGAGACGGGAAACATTAAAAAAAAGGGAGTACATGATAAAAAGAGATTTATCTCAAAGAAATTGCTGTGCAATATTTAATAATAATAATTATAATGTGATGCTTATATAGCTAATCTAGTCGCTACCTTCACAGGTACTCATCTATACTCCTGGGTGGAGAGAGGCAATTGTAGTAAAGTATCTTGCCCAAGAACTCAAGCACAATATTCCCCATCTTGGTTTCAACCCACGTCCCATCACACACGAGTCAGACGTCGTAGCCACCGGACCACGAAAGAGATTTATTTCAAATAAAATATCTGTGAAATAGTTGTGTAAGAAATGCTCTAGCCGTTTACATACCGACACAGAATTGGGGCCAATTTCACGGCGCTGCTAAGCACAAAAATTTGCTTAGCAAAAAAAAGTCTGGCTTTACAAAAGCAGGTTACCAGCCAAAACTCCATGTGATGTATATTGCTCGTGATTGGTATTCAGCTGTTGTTTGCTTAGCATGAAAATAACATGGAGTTGTGGCGGATAACCTGCTTTTATAAGCCAGACTTTTTTTGTGCTAAGCAAATTTTTGTGCTTAGCAGCGCCATGAAATTGGGCCCTGCTGATGACACCCAACTGCCAGTTGAGATCAATCAGCTTAGAATAGCTTCTTCACAAATATTGAGGGATCAGCAGTGGAATGATGCAAAAGTGTAAAGTTGAAAATGAAAACAAAAATTGGCATACCTCTTCTCCAGCCCTGCCGATATCTCCTTCTTCACCAACTAAGCCCATGTCTCCCTGGATTGGGTTAAGAATTATTACAAATTAAATAAAATCAGATTGTTTTGAACTAGCTTTGACCTTATTAAATAAACCATTAATTAATCAGTGGACCAAACAATTAATTAATGTATGTTGACACGTTTTTCAATTTATACCACAGAACAAGATACAAAACGTTTGCAGACAAATCAGATATGTTGTACTCGATAAAGAAAAATATATCGGTCCCTGTTTCCTCTGTAATTTGTTACTTGCCAGTCCAGTACCATTCAAAATGGCTTCAAACTACATCCGATTTGTTAGGTAGGTAGTTTGCCTTATATAACCAGTCTTGGAGAAAGAAGGAATTAAGGAGTGCTTTCAACTTTACAAATTTACGAAGATAAAATTCCATGAGTTTCTCCCATATTTCGCTGAGAAATGTCAAAATCCATGAGAAATATGTTCACTTTAACGAGGAAGCTGGGCAGTCCAAACATAGTGTGGCACAGCCAATTGTTATTGTCTGAAGAGGTGTGTAATATTCACACTACATAAACACTAAAAACCATAATAGCCTGTCAGTCAATGAACACATACACCAAACTGGTGAAAACCTTTCCATTCTGGGTCAAGGGCAGATCCAGACCCAAATTTTTTTTTAAGTGAAGTTGCAATAAAGGCATCTTTTCCTCCAAAAACAAAAATTGGTTAAAGTGGTCAGAAATTGCCTCAGATCGCACCTCAGAGCACCTAGAATCCAAAAAAAATCGGGGCCTTTAAGCGGACCCTGAACCCCACGCCGTAACTTTTTTGACCCACTTTTTGGGGGACAACATTTCTTTTGGGCCCCCCCAAAATAATTGTGTTCTGGATTCACCCTTGTTCTGGGTCACTTTCAAATCCTGAGTTTTCCCTGACTGAAAAACTGAAAAGTAATTTTCAAGATTCTCCCTGTTTCTCAGAGTGGCTTGGAACCCTGATTTTATACCCCTATGTTGATGTTATGGTATTGTTTTGATCTTGACAGAGTTAGCAAATTAAAAGTTGTATACTTTTTGTCCACTTTAGATAGTGAATAATATCTCTGCATTACCTTAACACCCTTGAGTCCCAAAGCTCCGACAAGTCCTAGAAGGCCTGAAGGACCCTGTGGAATTAAAAAAGAATTATTTGTTATGTAAATTGCTTGGCGAGTGTGGCCAGATTGTAAGGGTTTGTGACTCATAATCAATGGGATCAGGGGTTCGAATCCAGCTGCTGGTCATTTGTTGTGTCCTTGGGCAAGCCACTTCACCTCGCTTTCTACCCAGGAGTACAAATGGTTACCAGCATAAACTAAAGAGTAACCTGTGATGGACTGGCATCTCATCCAGCAGGGAATATAAATATTTTTGAGTCGTTTAATGGTATATAAATCAGAGATAAACGCAGGCCTGATGAGCACTACTGGCTCGTGACAGACTTACTTTTTCAAGTCGGTTGTGTTATAATACACAATGCCAACAGTTTCTCAGCAGGGAGAAAACGGCAAAAAAAGGAAATGATACTCACTATTGGTCCTCGTACGCCGTCTGTTCCTATCAGACCCATGGGTCCTTTTGGTCCCTATAATAATAAACCCATAACAAAGACAGAATATCAAAATTCCTGCGGGAAAAGTAACTTTTCTTACATTAAGCTCTCTCAAAGGCACCTTTTTTTCAAGTTTTCAGCCAACGTTGTTTCCCTGGTATGATTGAGCCAAGTGCACAAATACCCCCTCAACAGTAACAAACGGAGAGTTTGGGCAGACCACTGGGAGGGACAATCACAGGCCCCAGGCATGCAACTGGGAAGTCACAAAGAAAGAGGAAATTCAAATCTTTCCAAGACTTTGTACAGTGTTTTTCAATTTTAATGGCACACAAAGGAAGTAAAAAAATGAGGACATCAGCTGATCCGAGGAAAAGTTGCAAGCCTGAGGCCCGTCGCCAAGGGGGGGGGGGGGGGGGGGGGGGGGGCTGGTGGGGCCAGGCCCCCCTTGGCGAGCAATTGGCCCCCCCCCCCCACGGCAATTGTATTTTTGATGGTAGTGGGCCCCCCTAGTTGGTACTATGGCCCCCCTTGATGCTCAGGGCTGGCGACAGACCTTGACATTCAAACAACTGATGACGTCTGACACTCACGCGAAGGTGCCATGGGCGTGTGCACATTCTGAATAACATTAGTCACGCACACTTCAGACAATAGGCATATAGGTTTATGCAAATTCAGAACAAAAGTTTTGGCGAGTACTTCGCGCCACACTTGCGTGAACCATTACGCACATGCAGTGTGTCCCTCCAACTTGGGCAAAAGTGGTCGAAAAGCGCCATCTACCTGTTCATACACGGAGTCTTGAATGTAAAATGTGATTATAAGGAGAGGAAGATTACTCAAATATTACTGACCTGAGGCCCAGGCTGCCCATCCTCACCAGACAACCCCTGGACACCCTTTGGGCCCTGCAACACACAAACAAGAACAACTCTCATCAAATTTACTCCTAACAATTCAACTTGAGAATGATACACTCTGAAACCAGACTGAAATAGCTCCTTTTTAACAATTAAACGTCAAAACACTCACAGAAATCAAAATAAACCAGCACAATTATTGTGATATATTTTTAGGATGTAAGTTGCAAGGCAAAACCCAATGTTGAGTTTCATCTACCCGACGCAAATTAAATAGTTTGGTTGTGCTACAGCTGTTTCTTCATGCGACTCGAATCAGCCAGCCATCCCCTCCAAGCTCAGTGGTCGAGTGGTAAGACATCTGCACTAATAAGCAGGAGGTCGTGGGTTCGAGTCTTACACGAGTAAGCTTGTAAATTTGTTCTAGCATGTCCTGGGACAACATTACAGTGTTTATAAAATACGTAGTTAAGGGGCAAAGTCCAGTGTTAGATTCAGAGTATTGTAGCAATCACGGAATTTTCTAGATAAGTTAAAACTGAATCGGGGGAAACAAAAGAAACTAAATTTCTTCAATAGAGAATTATTTCCAATGAATCAAAATGAGAGAACCCTGACTTACTCGTTCACCTTGAGGCCCCTGATTGCCATTTCCTCCATCCTGACCCTGAAAGATTTGACCAGTAAAACAATTCAAGAAAATTCATTTTTAGCAGACAAAGTGTTTGAAACAAAGTTTTGTAATAACTACGGCAGTGAAATAACCAACGTCTTCCTACATCCGTAATGGACGTATCGTCCCCTGTCCACCATGCAATATAGAGCCACCTTGCTTTCACCACATTCAAATAAAGAATTTACATTGTTTTGTCAGAGATTTCGGGCTCTATGGTAATACAGTAACATGAGGGGTATATTTTACAGGTTTTCACCGTTAATCATTACAACTGGATATTTCATCTTACATAAAATGTTTTTGGGTAATGAGAAAGGTAATTCCTGGCAGTGTTTTTGCTTCAATGAAGTGGGTTTACTGGGTACCTACTGGAGGGCCTTGTTCTCCCGTTTTCCCTGGCTCACCAGGACGTCCCTAAATACAAGAAAAACGGAAATCAAATTCAAACAAACAAACAAAAATGAAGTTAAAGAAGTAGTGTCTGAAAGCTGTGTTGAAATTGTGTTTCAAATTGGTGTTCTGCTTTTCATTTGGTACTGGTCCCGTCATGGAAAACAGACTGAAGTGCCAACAATGGCTCGTGTAGATTTAGTACGACAGAGATGGAAAGCAAAGACAGATAGTTCACGACAAATTTCAATACTTGAAGTCTCGCCCATACATGTCAAGTTCTTGTGCATAAAAACTGTTTATAGAAATGAACTCACATCTGGGCCCTGAGATCCATGAGGGCCGATCAGTCCTTGGACTCCAGGATGACCCTGTCGAAGAATATTCAAGAAAATCTCACCCAAGTTGTGAATAATTCAGGAATTAAGTATCATCACATTCCAGCTAGAGGGCGAGGGTGCATTTCAAGTGAGACATATGTAATCAAACAAGAAGGGGAGATTCCCACATTAAAGTTCCACTAGACAATACTCCAGGGACAACTACTTTTATACTTTTCATTCAAGATTAAAAAGTAAGGGACGGAGGGAGGGAAGGAGGGGGCATTCTTTAAACATGTTTTTGATCTTCTACCACAACAACCTCATCACAGAACAAGTTCAGGCAAGGACCATGAGTCGACTAATAGCAACATGCAAACTTCTCTAGTGAAATGATGGTCATTACATCATCACAAAACATCTGGGTCCTGGCTCCCTGCTGTACATTAAGTTGTGCGCAGCTATTATAGAAAACAGCGATCAGCGATGCGACCTGTTCCAGGGGGATTCAGGTTGGCGAAGCGGTACTTTCCTCACCTTCCACCGCTGTGACCCGGGTTCGAATCCCACCTGGGCCAAATTTGGATTGGGTTTTAGTCGCTACCTGATTCCGTGGGTTTTCCCCAGAATATTCTTCTGGGCTTTTCCTCCCACCTCTGAAACTGTAATTTCATCTCACTGTCTACTCTCTAAAGGTTTCGTCAGGCTTTCAGGCTACAGTGCCTGGGGCACTTTTGAGGATTCCTTGGTTTCATTACCAGAAAGAAATAAAATAAATAAAATAGTTCACTAGCGTAATCCAACCATCCTTCATTCGAGTGAAGTTTAGTCTAACTATGGTCAACCACAGACTTTACCCGAACTTACTGATATATCTAAGAGAATATAGCAGGCTATTTGTAGATAATAAAGAGTTCAAGTTAACTGAGCTGCTAAAAACACAAATGTGCCATGCAAAGGAAAGATTTCTTTACCAAAACAGGTAAATTGTAAATTGTAAATTGCTTCTAAATAGTTGTCAGCCGGTTGATGCTGACTACATAATGTGGCTTAATAACAGCTCATTTTTAAACTGCTTTTTCAACGCTGTGAACTTGGGTCCATAATCATCGGCATAATTTCTTATGATCGTCAATCAGGAACTTACCGGTCGGCCTGGGGGACCAGGCTCCCCTTGCCTGCCAGATGGACCTACAGGTCCCTGCCAAATATACAACAGAAATTTGAAATAAAATGACATGAAAAATGTTGTTCTTTTTTAAATGGAATAAGAGAGTGACTTGCGACCACTAATTGACATAAACAGGTAGGCACAGGATAATAAATGAAGTGCAATTCTTGACTGATAATCATTTTTTTTGGGGGGGGGAGTGGAGGGTTGCCGAAGTGATTTTAGGGAATACTATACAGTTGTCACATTTATTTACATTTATTTCAGATAATTCACTATTACTGTTAAAAACATTCATTATATCATCTTTATTTCTGAAACATTCCTTAAACAGTCAAAATTTTGCTAATATAGGAGAGTGACTTTTGACCACTCATTTGGGACCAGCAGGCATGCACAAGATTATCTATCCACCTTTATTCGCAAGTGCAGGTCTTGAACCGATTTGTTTTTCTGGGAGGGGGGGAAGGGTTAGTGAAGTGATTTCAGGGAATAATACAGTGATCACAGAAATAGAAATCCCTATTACTGTTGAAAACATCCATAACAAAGAAACATTTCAAATATCATCTTCATTCCTGAGGCTAGTGGAAATGGTGCACATCAAATTGCTGTTTATGGTAATTGTAGGAAAAAAAACATTTTTGTTCCAAGTGTTTGTTTTTTCAACCATATTTTTCAAAATTACAAGATATCTTCGAGACAGTACTTTACCGATAAACCTGATGGTCCAGGTGGTCCAGGTGGCCCTTGTAAACCAGCAAAACCCTGCGAAAGAAATATTGAAATTCATTGGAAATAGTGTAGCTTGGTAAACTGGATACATTACAGCTAACAAACTGTAACAAGGACAAGATTCAGGCTTTTAAGCAAACTTGCAGAAGATTAATTTATTAAGCTATGGATCGGACTCTGTGTACAAGTACGGGGGAGGTTCATGGCCTAGCGGTTAAGAACACCGGACTCATGCTCTGGTGTTTCAGAGGCAACAGTGGCGTGGGTTTGAGCCCGCCGGATGGACACTTGTGCCCTTGAGCAAGGCACTTAACCATTATTGCTTCGTCCTTCGGATGGGACGTAAAGCCGTAGGTCCCGTGTGTTGTGTAATGCACGTAAAAGAACCCAGTAACACATCGCTAAGAGAAGGGGTTTGCCCCAGTGTTTCTGGTCTCCAGTATAAACTCCTACGTGGAGTATTTAGGAGATGAACCAACCAAGAACCAAGAAGTACCTCCTCAATGATTACAACGGGGAGAGTTGGGGGAGACCACTGGGAGGGACATTCGAAGACACTGCTGACGAAGACGCACGTTCACGCAAAGACGCTTTGGGTCTTTGCACATTCAGAATAAAATAAAGTCATGCGTGCTTCGCGCCAGACACACAAGAACCAGCACGAGCACACATTGAGTCCCTCCCACTGGGGCAATGGAAAGTGATCAAAAAGCTGCCATTTTCTGTTCATGAACAGAGTAGATAAGAAGACTTACTGCAGCTCCTTTGACTCCATGGATGCCTGGATTGCCCGTTTCACCTGCATCTCCCTGTGTGTAAAGGTTGGAAGAAAACTCTTCATTTTGCAGTTGACTTTCCTCTAAATTGTACAATCCTGTAACAGCTAATGACGACTTGTACATCAAACGCTATCAGTGTAATCTTCTAAAGTCGACATAACTATCAGCGGCAACATTACTCTCAGCCCCTCAAAGAAAGGTTTCATAGCATCTGCAAGACTCTGACTAGGGAAGTTTGTGTTTCCTCCACAGAAGAAAAAGACATTATAAAATACCCTCAGAAAAAAAGCTATTTGACAGGCCTTTGTTTAGTTTTGCATTATCTATAACGGGAATCTTAAACGTTTTTATCTATTAAGCCACACACTTTAGTGCTGGAACAATTTCTTTTTAAAAGAAGAAGTACCTTAATTAAGTTTGGTTTTTGTCTTACCTGAACTCCCTGTGGACCTAATGGGCCCTTCGAACCAGGCGGCCCGGTAATACCCTGTTAAGAAAAGAAGAAATTAATTCAACTTTAAGTATGAGTATGCCTATCCCTTGAAATCTAGCCTGATTAACTATCTAATATTATTGAAGACCAGTGCAAGCAAAGTTCTCTGAGATGGCTGAAAGGAAGCTGGGGAAACCTAAGTAACCAAGAAAATGGTGACACAGTTTTGGGAGACTGGCAAACATTTACTAAAAAGGAAAACAAAAATCTAAAAGTCAACATACCCTCTCACCTGGGAGGCCAGGTAGTCCCATGCTGCCTGCAGGACCCTGCGAACAGGAAAAGAAGATAAATTGCTAAGAAAATGTCACAAACAAAAAGGTCAAAAAAGTGAGATTGTGAGGTTCTGAAAAGAACCGGGGGAACTCAACCAGTGGCGCACCCAGGATTTGGTTTGGGGGGGGGCTCAAATTTTTTTTTTTAAAGTTGAATTTTTGTTCAAAAAATGTTTCCCAAAATTTTTGGGTGCAGAGAAAAATAGGTGGTTTTTTTTAGGGGCGGCCTATTTTGACGTTTGTGGTGCCACTTACACCCCTATTGTACAGGCCACAATCATATCACCAAGGCCAAATCATGGGACTAAAAAAAAATATTAAAAAATAAAAAATTGACAATCCCCCCCCCCCCCCCCCCCGAGGTGCCCCCCCCCCCCCCACCCGGGTGCACCACTGAACTCAATGTTTTGGACATTATACAGTGCCTGTCGTCAGGAGACCAATGTCCATAAAGTGTATCTTATTGCTATCGTTACCTTGCACACCTTCGAATCTTAAAAGTTAAAAAAGTAATGCAGGAATCAAATGTATCTTTAAAAATGGGAGCTTTAAAAGAAAGAAAAAAATATGTATTTATTTTTATCAATGGACAAATGGTGGATTTGAGATACTGCAGTGGTTTTCAGGGATAACACTCACTCTAAATAATGGTTCCAAATTTTAAAAGTACCTTTTATAAGATTTTAGGCTTTGAATGGTGGAATATCAGTATCGTTTCGTTTTGCGGTAACACCATGTGGTAATAGCTACTGCTCAGTAGATGTTTAGTTCTGAAAAGAACTACTGAAAAGAACTTGTCCTGCTTATTATCAACTTTCGATAAGTAGGTTTAGTTCTGATAAGAACAGTCCTGCTTTAAGTTCTAAAAGAACTTGTCTTTGGTCTCAACGTTTTGGCTAGCCTGCTCTAGTCATCGTCAAAAGTACCTTTTGTTTCCAATGAAACTTCCAAAACTAATAATTCTTCAGAGGTCCAAAAAGTATTGACCAAAGGATAAAACCTAATTCAATGCTTTGTTAATTTCTATTTAAATGTAAGTGAAAGTAAAAATCAAAGATGCATGTACATTGAGATAAGAGAGAAATCGGTGAAATATAGTGATATAGGAGAATATTAAACAATTGAAACAAGTTCAGGACATTTTAAAATGATAAGAGCACTTATTTTAACATTTCAAATTTTATAACGATTGATTACCTGTGGACCCAGTTTCCCATTTCTTCCATCTCTACCAGCTTTTCCGGGTCTTCCCTGCAAACAGGAAAAAATTTTTTTAAAAGAATTAAGATCTAAACTCAATTGTCACAGCTACTCATTTAGTGCTAATTTAAAATAATCTATTTTAAAGGGAAGGGGCAACATTTGCTTTTGCTGCAATTTTCAGAAATAAATGGATTTGGAGGATAATATATGTTATAGAAAATATTGTTAAACTGACTTGTTTCACGTTTTGGGCTTGTAGATGCTTAAAAAAACAAGAAAATTTATCATGTTCTTGTAGTCTAGTTCCCTGACCCCACTTACGATGAAACAGAGCAATTAATACACTTTGGGGAATTGTAAGGTCAGAGAATCAGTCTAGCAGGCTTGTACCCCTTCACAGGTGTGTAATCAATTGCAAAGAAAAGTCAGAATAACTAAATATGAAAAATTACGAACAGTTTTTGCAAAAAAGCCTGTTTTGGAAAAATACAGTTTTTCATAAAATGTCAGCACACCAGGAGCCACAATTTTACAGGATGCTTTAATATGTCAGTCCCTAACAATCCAGTAAGGTATTTCATGACAATTTGATCAATTCGTTTTTTTTTATGTTTGCAAATGTTGTATCTTCCCTTTAACACCTTTATGTGATTGCAATTAAGCTATAGACTGATCGACTAAGGAGAGTTAATCGATCGGTCAATTACTAACGGGAAATCTATACTTACAGCTTTTCCTATTCTTCCAGGCAGTCCAGGGGGACCCTGATCACCCTGCAAGGGGGGGGGGAGGGAAGATCCACAACTTATGAATATGAATATATGACATTCAATGGACTTCATCTATATTTGGCTACCATAATTTCTTTACTTATCAATTTCAAAACACGCTGTGCACTGTGAACTCAGTGACTGTGACCCATACTTCTCGGCACATATTTGTCTGAGCCACTGTCCAATGAAAACACTGAAATGACTGTGATTCTACTTACCATTGCACCTTTGGGACCCAGCTCGCCAGGCGCACCAGCTCGCCCAGTTGGTCCCTGACAAGGAGATAATAATAATTACAATAATGAGGTGTTTACATATTGTTTTGTACCAAGGTCTCAAAGTTCTTCACAATAAGCCAGTTCAGTATCTCAATCAAGTAGTCCAGGTCAAAGGTCACTCAGAAAGAAATCACTGATGCGATGTTACGCAATGTTACACGATCCGCTCGTAATTAATGCTGAAGCATTCTGGCACCATTTTCTTACACGTTCATGCGCCTTCGATGAGCGGTTGATTATCCCGAATGACCAGTGACCTATATCATTGTGCGCATGCCCAGTTGAAATACCGAACTGGCTTATTATTCCCCCGTTCGTCAGGCCATGAGACCACTGTTCTGCAGAGGGTCAAGATCACTGCAATCTAGTCTCTATCCTTACAGGTACCCATTTATGCTCCCGAGTTGAGAGGCGATTGTGGTAAAGTGCCTTGCCCATGAACACAAGCACCGTGTTCCCAGTCATGGCTTGAACTCACGTACCATCGCACATGAGTTCACTCCGTAACCATTGGACCATGGCACTTCCATGAGAGGAGGATTAAAGGTATAGTCCATCATTTGTAATTTGTGCATTTTGTTCGTTTGAAGCAACAAAAGTGCTCAAGATCTAAAGAAGGGTGCTGAACAACTTACCTGATGAAGTTTTAGCTCAGCTTTAGCTGTATATTTCGAGAAAAGCAACATTCTAGGATCTCGGATTTCAAATCAAAAGTTGCTGAATCATGTTCTGAATTGGGCCTGAATTCAGCGTCCGAGACACGTTCTCACTGAGCCGATTGCAGCTACGCGATGTCGCGCACTGATCCGACGAATTATAGCAACCACGCGCGCGTGTGCGTCATGCCAATGCTTGCGCGCGCTTCGCCGAATAACAAAACAAACTACTAATTTGAATTTCCTACTGTGCTTCTTAAGTAGCACCGTTGGAAAGGCGTTCCTTCGTTCATTTCTTCAAAATGACAGCTTGCCAGAAAGAATAATTTCACAGGGAGTTTAGTCCCCTTACTATCTTTCAACCAAGTTTGTTTTTCAACAATAATTACGCCAGTTACTTTTTGGATAGCTGCAAATGATGGACTATAGCTTTAATGAAGAGGGGATTAAACTGAAATCAGCAACCATTCAGAATGTTCAACAAAAAAAGCTACATGCAACTGAATGAAATGAGCATTGAAGATCCTATTAATTGAGGGTTTCTTACAATCTCCAAAGGTATCAAAATATCTGAAGACAAATTACCTTCAATCCGTTAGTGCCTGCATGACCAGGAACGCCTTGCTCACCAATAGCACCCTACATGACAAAGCACATTGACAATTATACAGAATTATTTCAACTGAACAGACTGTGGTATAAAAAGGGGATAATAGTGTAAAGAAGCAGTTAAAAAACGTGTGGTTTAAAAACTGGATAGGAGCCTGGTTACCTATAATATCCTGAACCAAACCGTTCATAAACACCCTTTCAGTAAAATAAAAGTAAAAAGTTGACAAATCTCAAGTGATTTTTCCTACAAGTTTACTCCATGCTCGGGCCATTTTGGCGTGCACCGCACATGTGGTGTGCTCAATATTGCCATTTTGCAGTAAGTTGGGTAAAGCCAAAATTTGAAAGCTGGTTGATTTTTGGTTTTCAGATGAAGCTCAATCTGTAAGTCCCGTTTTACCTTTCTCCAATTCTTTTTGCTTTGTCGCGAACATCATTAAAATCTATTTCATCCCGTCTATTACCGGTTGACTTCATTCACTGTAACACAACTGCAAGATTTTTAAATGCCCGTTTTCTCAAGAATCAGTTTGACAACTTCAAGTAAGTTGGTGGTCAATGTTTCCGTTACTGAACTCAGAACCCCTAAGGGTTAGGGCTTGCAACCAATAGGAATAGGGTCATAATTGAAAGATGGTTGTGGATGGCTTATTACAATAACAAGTAAAACTTCAAAGGTAAATTGATACTCAAGTTGGAAAGATGATGCACTTCCAAGAAGAAGAACAAGTCTGAAGATGTTAGCTTTTACCATGAGTGAGCCTGTAAGTGCTAAAATTGTTTGACTTTTTAAGATGGAAAAATGATAGTTACCCTTGGTCCAATATCTCCTTGAACTCCATGTGGTCCTTTATCACCGATTACACCCTGATGAAAAACAGAAGGCAATATAAGTACAATCACCAGCATCATACAAATATTCCCTTGAAGATGAAAGATAACTTGGGAAGAAATAATTGAATGACTAATTGTCTGTAGATTTTTTCATTCAATGTGTCATAATAATTCGGAGTCTTATATAGCGCACGTAGCCTATCTACCAACTATTAGGTACTCAAGGCGCTGGAGATATGTCTATTATTAAAGAAAGGTAAATAAAGTTTATGAGAAATATGAGACCCATTATGTAGCACCTTATAATGGTTTACAAGATGCTGCGGCGCATATTGCAGCCACTGCCAGAAAACACACGGGACCTACGGCTTTACGTCCCATCCGAAGGACGAAGCAATAATGGTAAAGTGCCTTGCTCAAGAGCACAAGCACCATGTTCCCACGGTCAGGATTCGAACACATGTACCACGGCACACGAGTCGAACACCGTAACCATTGGACCACAGCACCCCACAAAAGTGAATCACTTTTATATTGCTAGGAATATAGCAACTGAAAAAAAAAAATCTAGTTTTCGAGGTGAAACTCAAAAATAGCAGGGGGATACCTTTGGTCCACTGTCGCCAGAGTCTCCCCTCAAGCCAGGCTCCCCCGGATCTCCCTGTCAGAAGACGACCAAAAAAAAAAAAGATGTTAGAATTCCTCCCACGACTGCGCAAGCAGGCTATATCACTATGAACATCTTCATCCCTTAAAAATTCATTAAAAGTCCATTTCTCCGTGAAAAGATCTTTAAGAGATGTTTCACGGACATTTACATGGGGCTTATATAGGACTAATCCTATAAGGGTATTTTCACGTTTTTTTAATGACCCTGGCCACTGCGGATTATCATTGGTTATACATAACGATACACTGGGTCTATCTCCATGGGGTAAACAAAACACTTTCTTAAGGGTGTTTTCACAGACTCCTAATCTGGCTTAATATGTTGAAAAATCCGTGAAAATTTAGTTAACTGTAATTTCAAGGGAAAATGGCTCTTTAACAAATTTCTAAGGGATGAAGATGTTCATAGCTAACTTGCTCTTCATTATTGCTTGCAAATTGTTCACCCCTTTTTATTAATAAATGGTTATAATGCTTGTTTTTAGTTCAAATTCCGAACGATTCCATTATTAATGCAAATACGTGTACTTCATCATTTCATCTCCTGATGTAAAAGTCTGACATTTTTCCTGGGCTGGCGTTCTTGAAAAATCATGGCTGTTTTTCCTCAGTGAATATATTTAAAAAAAAAAAATTCCAACTGATTTTTATACTTAAGAAATCCAGTCTACAGACTAGCAAATATAATTAATATGTTGATTCACTAGGATGACTTTGATTTGAGAAAGTACCTTTGGTCCTGGATCACCCTGGTAACCCTGCATGCCTCTGTTGCCACGACTACCCTGACAGATGTGATCAGAAATAAAGAAGACTTTTATTATACAATCATGATGAAGGTTGCCTTATCAGACCATAACCAATACAAATTAATGTAGTGTGACGTATATAGCTAGTTCGAAACAACTGCGAAAAGTATGAGACAATTCAAAGATGAAACAAAAGTTTCAAGACTAACGCAGGAATTTTTCATAAATTTCATCCCTGTTGTAAGCAAAAAGCTGCAACACAGATCAGTCCAGACTACAAGAGTCAAGGACAAATGCTGAGGAAGCGAAAATTCCAAGAAAATCCAAGAATAAAGACAATGCACAATTTCTATATGTTACAATATTGTTACCGATGTCTGTGAACAAGACATAAAATATTGAAAATAAAATAAAAAGATAATTGATGAAAGTATGTGTCACCTTTTCACCTTTTGGCCCAGGGGGTCCAGGGTCTCCTGGCGAGCCCTGAAAAGAAATTCCAAATTGAGAGAGAAAGCAAAAATTGATGACAAAGTTTCTTCCTTGTCAAGGAAAGGTTGAGGGAGATGTACGGACCTGTTTGGAATTGATTTTGAGGTACGAGGAATCATGTACAAATCATGTTTTGTCTAATTCTATTTACTTTTTGAAAGAGGGTACATGGGTGTTGGGTCATCGTTCATTATGTCAAAGAGCGAGTCTTGATCAAGACAGATTTTGTCAGTCAAAAACTCTAAGCACACCTGGCAGAAAATTGGTACAAGCCTTCACTTCCCCATGATCTTTACACACCAATATTTTTCGATTTTTGCCAAACATTTGAATGACTAATGCTTGTCAGCTGTGCAAAATTCATCAGGTAATTCCAATAGTTTTTTTTTAAATATTTACCCACTATGATGGCTCATACATACTTAACAATGGTATAACTTGTTAGGTAACTTTATGTTGAAATTAAACAGAATTTTAGAAGAACACAGAAGTGCAAACAGGATGAAGATAAGGCAGGTGGGAATCCTACTTACTATGAATCCTTCTGGGCCCGGCTCGCCTTTGGGACCTGGGGGCCCTGCTGATCCCTAGAAGAACAGATCAAAAGGAAACATGAAATGCAGGAGGAGACGGGAAGATGAAATGCAGGAGGAATGATTGCAGAAAAGGCAAATTATAAAGTATAAAGCACACAAAATGCATAATTTGTTTTGTTTTGGGCTTTTTTTGCAATGGTGAAGTTAAGGATTGTCTTACCATCTCACCAAGTGCTCCCTGTCTCCCAGGCCTGCCGTTCGTTCCCTGCAATGTATATAATGAGTATTGTGTTTTTAAGATGTGAATTTCTTTTAGTTGGCGTACCCAAGTAAGGGCTGGTACATCCTTTGTGCGACTTTAAGTGCGAAGCAAAAATTTGTTAGGGCAACGACAAACGTAACCATGAAACTACAACTGTCGACGTCAGGAAATTAATTTCGCTTTCAGCTTCGCATGAAGTACGAACCTGTCCTCGGCTTCTACAATCTATTCAGCCCTGTAAAAAAGAATCTTTCTTTCTTTCTTTCTTGAGTCTTGAATCTTTCATGAGTTTTTAAAAACCTGTTGTTATTCAACCCACCGGTGTCCCGTCAGTTCCAGGCTGGCCCGGATTGCCGCGAGTTCCTTGGAAGCCCTGCAAGAACAATGAAACTACTTATCAAAATTAATTTCTTGTAAATTAAAGATGGACTTTAAGAACCTGTGATCCAAAAGTTAAATTTCTTGAACCTGGGTTTGTACAATTTAGTCCGCATGTTTCTCATGTCCTGCTGTTTTAAAAACATTACATGGGTTTTATTAATGAGAAAAACCAACAACTTCAAGTCTCACCGGAAAACCACGCCTGCCTTGACGACCAGGTTCGCCATCAGGACCCTGCAGAAACAAAAGAAGAAACTAAATATAACTTTTTTACAGTTGCTCAACAACCTTCTTCAACAATAAAAAGATGTTGAGTGTTTTACAAGTTGAAGCTAAAATAGAAAATGTGTTCCTGAAAGAAAAGCTAGCACTGACTTTTGCCAATAAAGCATCTTAATGGTTTACAAGTTTTCTGCGTGCCGTGATTCTCTTTCAAACTCAAAGGAAAAACGTCTTACCTTTGACCCCTCATCCCCTGGTAATCCAACCGAGCCTGATAAACCTTTGTCACCCTAAACATGGAAATCAGACAGTTTATAAGCAATCAGAGAATAACGCAACAAAAGAGTTGTCATTTTACAGATGTACTCAAGGGCGAATCCAGAGAGATTACTGCTGCGGGGGCTCTGTGTTGGGGGGGGGGGGCGGAAGGGCTCTCACAAGTACAAGATGGCCTTATTTGAGAAAATTTTGGTCACTGCTGGGGGTGGGGGTGCCTCCTCCACACCCCCTGGATCCGCCACGGGTACTTAGTTTGTAAAATGCCAGAAAGAATTCAATTGGGCTTTGCCCTTCACCGACTCATTTTATAAACACTGTATACGCAGTGTTGTCCCGAGCTTACTAGGGTGGGACTCGAACCCACAACCTCCTGCTTACTCGTGCAGAGGTCTTACCATTCAACCACTGAGCTTGCCAGGGTTGGTTTTTACTTGGTTGGCTGGTTTGAATCAGATATTGCAGTGGGTATTGCAACCAAACTTTTTACAGGATGGAATTTGCATATGATGGAATAATGAAACCAATAGATGGAATATTGAAACCAACAGAACATAAGCTTTAAGCTAACACAATTTCCATCTGAAGTATCCCCCCGAGAGTGCTATCTAAAAGTCATGATGGCACAAATTTGGGATTTCATGAGCAGCTGGCAAGCAAAAATATGTTAGTGAAGGGCAAACCCCAATATTGAAGCTAGAGGGCAAATAAATTAAGTTTTGCCATTAATGTTAGGCAATCAAACAGCACCAATACGTGCTGACCTCAAAGGGGCTGGACTCGGACCCCTCCGCACCGTGAGACAACTCCATTGCCTACGGCAACTCACCCATGACAAGACCAGGTGGCCGAAGACCAGTGTGAAGGACTGACTGCGGCTGCGGGATGTCAAATCTGACTACCGCAGCTGCAGTACACAGACCTCAGAATCAAACAGCAAGTTGTTTTTAGCCAAATTGAAAGACAAGTACTACGTTCCTGTAGCAGAACCTGGGACCATGTTGAGCCAGAAAGTCCAATGTCAGGGACCCAACAATCTACCCATTTATACTCCTGGATGGAGAGAGGCCATTGTGGTAAAGTGTCTTGCCCAAGAACACAAGCACTGCGTTCCCCATCAAGGTTCAAAACCCACACACCATCGCACATGAGACACTCTAATCACTGGACTACAGCAATCGATCAGCAATTTAGCAATTAACCAATATTTTTGCAAACACAAAAAGATAAGGATTACCTGAGGTCCAGGAGATCCAGCAGGCCCAGGTTTACCAAGAGGCCCCTGCCATTACAAGAAATAAAAAAAGAGCAGGGAATATAAACATGTATCATACAGGATTGACTCATCATCTGCACTGAAAAAGCTCAGAGCTAATGGTCATTCAAACTATTATGGAGGCTCAGAGATGCATTCCGGCTCTCAGAACATAACTTGCAGCATACAAATGAAATTACAGGATTTAGTGAAAGGTATCATGTACCATTCGCAAGCATTTAAAAAATGAAGCTGTCAAAATATTATGAAATAGCCCACTTGAGTTTAAGTAAATAATAGTCTCAAGCATCCTGTGAAATCCTGGCGCCTGGTATGCTGTTATTTTCAAGAAAAGAGGAATTACCATCATTTTCCGACAATCATTTGGACCGAACCATTTTTTGAGACATATTTTCCCCTTCAAATACTACATCCATTAACGGTCTAACACAGGCCAGCTATTGACTTCTCCGTTACTCTATTGGTACATGTATGTTATTTTTTCCCACGACACAGCTGGCACTCAGGCATGTCATGTGCAGGCATGCCATGTGCAGGCATGCAACATAGAAGTAAACAAAAAAACAGGAAACTCCAATCTTTACAAGAGTTTGTACAATGTTTTTTCAACTTTTAATGGCGTAAGTGTGAAGTGAAAAACGAGGAAATCAGCTGAACCGAGGAAAGGTGACATGCCTGCATGTGACAAATGGGTTCTACGCACGACAGACTCAGCGAGCTGCACTTTGACTTTTAAAACTAACAACATTTTTTTGTGTTTTTTCAGTTCCGATTGAACTGGGCCGCGGAACGATGTCTGCTATCTCTTAAATCACTAACCCTTGAATCAGTCCATTTCATAAAATTACGATAAATGCAAATGGAACCTACTACATTTAAGTAAATAAAATGAAGATACCACTCACTCTTGGTCCCTCAAAACCTCTTGTTCCCTGTGGGCCCTCTCGTCCTGTCTCCCCCTGGGGAAAAAAAACATACATCAATCAATCATTGATTGATTGCCACCGTATAATAACATTCTTGTGTTACAAATGTTATAGGGGAATCAGTCATCCGTAAACTCGTGGGCACAGGATGGGGAGCAAGTTCATCAGCCCTGGCACTTGTGTACACGCCGGCTGAGTATTGTGCACCAGCATGGAGTAGGAGCAGACACACCAGTCTGGTAGATGTGAGCCTTAACTGCACCCTGCGCACAATCACTGGATGCTTACAACCTACCCCGTTGAGCAGCTCCCTGTGCTTGTAGGCATCCCACCAGCTGAGCTCTATAGGCAGGCAACAAGCATGGCGCTGACCTGACGCGCCATGAATCCAGATCACCTCCTCCACCAAGCTATCAGCAGGGAACAGACACAACCCAGACTCAAATCTCGGCGCCCCTTTGCCTCAAGTGGAAAGGATCTACTGCCAACTACCCAACCCACGGAGTCAAAGGCCCACTGGATGGCTAGGATGTGGACACAGAAGTGGCAGTCATCCCCTAACCATCTGCATAGATACATTCCTGTACCATCCAGAAGTTGCCCAGGATCTGATCTCCCACGACACGCATGGGTTAAACTAAACAGGCTCCGCACCGGAGTCGGGCGTTTCAATGCTGACATGTGGAGGTGGGGCCTATCCCAGAGCCCAGCTTGTGAATGTGGAGCGGAGCAGCAGACTGCTGACCACATCATTTCCGAGTGCCCCCTCTATCGCCCCCAAAACGAGTACCATGGCCTGATCGATGTTGATGCAGATGCAGCAACTCGAGAGTGGCTTCTCAGCAAGCACCCAGAGATTTAACTACTTTTTTGTTTTGGTTTTACACGCAAGAAGAAGGAAGAAATCACCACATAATCCCAAGTGAATCACACGTCATCCAGTCTCAAGTCAAGTCACAAGCTATTCAAATGTTCATCTTTCGTTACTTGTGATCTGACTTGTGAATTGATTAAAACTGAATTGGCTGCATTTACAAGATAATTAACCCAATTGTAGTATCACTTAAGAAACGATAAAGTAAAGAAATTAAGAGAGTTTGGAATATTGCAACTGGAAATAAATATTTCTCCAACATTACTTTTATACCTGCTAGTTTGTAAAACTGGTTTTGAAATAAGTACAAAGGATTATTTTTTTGGCATCTTTTTTCATTTCAAGCAATAAAATTGCTCAAAATCTTAAGAAGGGTGCATAAGAACTTATTGAAGTTTCAGCTCAGTGGATACTATACACTTTTGAGAAAACAGAGACAACATACACACAATTTTTGGGGTCTCATAACTGTAATCCGTTGCTAATGCATGTAAAAAACTGTCTCCGCAAGCACATTTTCTAAACCACATTAAAAAAAAGTTTTCTCGAATGATACCATTTCATGTGGAATAATGACGCAGGGTATTTGGTATCAGTGCTATCTCCACTTTGAGCAAGAAATTTCTCGTAAAATCAGTAGGTACATTTCCAAGTAATTGCAAAATGTTCCTGCATGCCTTTAAAACGGGAACACTTCTCAGGAATGTGGATGAAACAACAAACATCAAACCCCACTAGGCTTCAGTCTGAACCTTTTCCAATATTTTCTTTTTATGTCGCTAATTGTGAGGTACTAAATCACGTCAATTCTCTCCGGAGGAAAACAAAGGAACTCACAATACTTCCTCGAGGTCCAGGGGGGCCTATACCACCTGTGTCACCCTGTCAAGAGACAATAAAAATGTGACTGAGCATCAAAGGGGAACATGCAGAGTTTGAAACTTTCAAAACATTTAATGCATGTTTGCGGTAGTGAACTGAACTAACTTGTGACTGGATTTCACAAAATCTGGTGGGTTTTTTTTTATCACACTTATTTTGTTTTTTTCATATGCAGTTTACAGGGTGAGTCAGAAAGAAAGTTAACCTGGATTAATGATTGTTTTTTAACCCTTAAAAAGCAATACACCAATGAAGCATGTAATAATCAAGCACATTCTCCAACTCATGTGAACAAAAAATTAATGAGATTGATCCATGATATCAGAGATTCTGCAGGTTCAAGAACCCATTTTTACAGCTGTGGATGGAATGCTAAATGCTTTGAAGCTATTCAGCTGAATGAGAACCAGAGATTACACACAGGTACGAATGAAATTTTAATAATATGAGTCAAGACTGAAACATTACCTATGCTCTCAGATTTTGTGTTTTGTATATGAGGAACAAATCAAGTCTTTGTCTGCAATGATGACGCGGATTTTTGTCCGTTTTCCATTTCAAGTTTTCGTTCATTCATGGAGGTAGGAAAACCCCATGGTTTCACTGTATTTAAAGGGTATTCATCAATGCATATCGGGAAAATGATCAATGGTGGACAGTTAAGTTTTGTGGCATTTCTGTTAAAAATAGAAATAACCTGTTAATTAAGTGAACATTTCTTTATTACTAGTCAATAACATGTACTTTATTCCTGTTATTGATATTAAATAGAGCGAGCCACATTTAAAAAAAAAAAAAAAAAAAAAAAAGGACTTGATCGCTTTCTTTTTGACTCATCCTGTATAAAGAGCATATTTTGCTCTTACTTTTGAAATATCTGTTTGACGTCTTCATATATGCAGATATGTGGGGTGAGAATGTTGCTGTTCCTGCTGATTGATTGTGAAAGATGATTTTTTAAACAGCATCCTCAAAGGAACATCTGGCAACTTATAACATATTTTGTTGGGTTGGGTCACATTTGACTGCCCGAACTATAAACCCGAGCTGACATCAAAATATCCAAACAAAAGTAGTGACTAAAACAGAAACAAAAAGTGAAAACATTTTTTTACCTTGTCCCCTGGTGGGCCGGCCTCTCCTCTTTCCCCGGGCAAACCAGGATCCCCCTACGGACAAAGGAAACAAACCAGATGTAATGTCAGTTTCCCTCCGAGATCAAGGCAAAGGTATACAGAGTAACACAACCAATTATGTCCGATCAGCTAATACCTCATTTCCCACCTACCGGGTGTCGGATGGAGACCTGTGGCTGGCACCCCGGCAGGGGGAATGCAGGCAGAAGTCAAGGTTTCTTTGGCCAGGTTTATTGAACTTTTACACCGTTGGGATTGACCTACAATTTTTTTTTTAATCTTTGATTAATCTTGGGTTCTCCAACTCCTGATGAGTCAACATAATGAGGATGACAAGTGCTTTGCTTTAAATTGAAGATTGATGGTTGATATGTCCTAATATTGTTTCATCCTGATTGCAAAGATACTGTCTGGCTGACATTTCAGGCATTTACAACTTCCTACTATTAAAAAATAACACATGTAATGCTGTGGACCTTTAATAACCCTTTGACCATGGAATTAAAAGCCTTAAATAAAATGTAATTTTCAAAATGCACAATCACTGTTCAGTGGCTATAGCGGCAGTTTTGTCCTTAGCAGTTACCGTTTTGAGTCAATATATACTTATGATCTGCTTCACACAATGAGCTAGAGAAAAGTTAAACAGTTTTCAAAGCTCTTCCTTTGACCTTCGAACAATTTTTTTTAGAGCAGCAAACCGCTAAACCCAGACCTTAAAATGGAATCAAAATGGCTCCATGGGAACCTTCCACAAACTTTTCATTAGTTGTCGTTGTTTGATAGTGTTAGCTGGAGCCAGCCCAGTTTTCTACACAGCTGTGGCCCACTTGGCAGGGGTCAAGGGGCCATAGAAAACAATCCGGGACTTTGTAGGTGAAGTAACAAGTCCCGGAGTGCATCTCTGTGTGCTTGTTACTTGTAATCCAACATGAAAAAAAAATAATAAAACCCCGACATATAAATGTATCCATGGTCAAAGATGATTAAATTGGCCTGACTTGCTGTGAGAAGTTGAGGTTCTTTGAAAGAACGAAATTATTATGTCAGAAAGATCTAGGGCAAGTCAGATCAATAATTGCTTGCTGCCGTGACGACCTTGGGTGGGTTTAGTGTAACCTCATTTTGAGAGTCTTAAAACAAAAAACTGTGGGAGTTTGGCTCATGATTTTGACTCGACAACTTGTACACTCACAAAAACTTAAGAAATCTTGGCCCAAGTATAGAAAGCTGCTGATATTTCCTATGCACCGAAAGCAATTATTATGCAAAGTAATTTGCAACAGGTAACCAACCAAAATGTCACTTAAATTAGCGTGTACTGTTTGTGACTGGTTCCCTACAGTTATGATTAGTGGCTCTATGAAATTTTTGTGGGATGCTTGGAGCACTGAATTCGTGGTCTGCAGGTAATTCTGCCGGTTGTGGGTTCGAGTCCAGCCTGGGGTTATGGAGCGTGTGCCCTTGGGCAAGGCACTTTGTCACCCATTGCTTCGTCTCCCCACCCAGGGGTAAATGGGTATCTGTGAGGGCAGAGATAGTTATTGTGGTTGATTTTAGTTGCCTTGCGCCGAAATGGCAGCATCTGTATACTCCCCAGGGAGCTGAGATCGTCTGTGGAATGTTTCATTGGACCAATGAGCAGGGTAATAAGATAACGTAACACCTTGCGCCAGAGTTGTAATGACTCGAGTCAATGACTCGACTCGAGTCCGACTCGAGTCACATTTTTTGGCGACTCGACTCGACTCGAGTCCCGACGGGTAAATGACTCGACTCGACTCGAGTCACTGCGAGCAAATGACTCGACTCGACTCGAGTCCCTCATCAGAATGACTCGACTCGACTCGAGGAAGGCTAATAAGACTCGAGTCCCAAAATAAAAGCAAAACTTACTTGCGAAAAATATTTGCAATGACTTACGCTGCGCCGTTCGCGTTGCCAGTTTTTGTTCACGTCACGTTAATGTTCGCGAATAATGTACGTTTATATACAGTGGCAGTCTGTATCCTTCCTCCATAATGAAACAACAAACATACACCGTGTCGCGGACTCCCACCTTGTGGTTCTATAGCATGTAATGCTAAACCCGGAACCAGACTTAAAACGCATTTCTCAATCCGTGGTTTCATCATTGGTTTCGGGCGATTTTGAAGTTCTTGGTGGAACGCTGGCTAAATTCATGTCCCGATTTCACACAAAAAAATGGATACGGACGGGCCCACCTTTAAATAATCAGAAACAGTTTTGTATAATGCAATTAGGTTTTAACGTTGTCAGCGATCAGCGAACAACAAAATCTAGACCCGAAGCCAAACCAGTTATAAAACCGAAGTTTCACATCTTCTTTTCTGTGACGTGAGCTAGCAATGGAAACTGTTGGTTGGGTACCATACAGCATACTTTATGTCTTTGGATTTCCGTAATAGACTGGTGCCTTGTATTCTTTCTCTCTTGTGTTTGTTGCTTTTTATTGTAATTTAGTGTTCAAATATTTGTGACTCGAATTGACTCGATCTAAATACTTGACTCGACTCGACTCGACTCGACCACACTCTGTGACTCGACTCGACTCGACTCGACCTTGTTGACCTAATAACTCGACTCGACTCGAGTCACTTCTTTAAAATGACTCGACTCGACTCGAGTCACAAAAATCAGTGACTCGTTACAACTCTGCCTTGCGCACCAATACTGATACGTGCGATTTATAAATACAAATTATTGTTAGTCCATGCGCAGGATTACTGGACTATGTTTTCTGAACAGTTCTGTTCTATGTTCAGAGTTGTATTGATCAACTCAAGAAGGGCTGTCAAATGGCAATGAAGAAATTTGGTCAAGTTGCTTTGGTTTTTTGTATTACCTTTGATCCTTGTCCAGGGTTAAAGCCATGTTTTCCAGATCGACCTCTCATTCCCTAATGGGGCAACAACAACAAAATATCCGCACAACAAAAATTAGCATTTGAACATATTTCCAACATTAAATTGTTTCAAACGGGTTCAATTCAAATTTTCCATTGACTAGATTACGGAGTTGTTCTTTCAACGAAGTCACTCCTTATTTTGATTTTATCTTGTTCTTAAATCATATCTTTTCTTTTCAGAGTGAGTACGGAAAGCAAGTCTGCAACTATTCTAAAAGAACCTTTCTGATAAGTGATTGATGATTGACTTATTGTTAATAGCTCCAGATGCATTCAAATATTTACTGATGTCTGCTTAATAGGATAAACACGTGAAATTGATGTTTGTATTTTCTACATAAAATTTTTTTTCTATATAAAAACATTCACAAATGTTTTCTTAATTCTTTGCTAGTTTACATCATGCCTTGAAGAATGTAAGTAAATTCATTCAAACATACCTTTTCTCCAATTGGTCCTGCAAATCCCGTATTTCCATGTTTCCCAGTTTCCCCCTATATATATAAAAACAAAAGTTATCTTCATTTTCTTACAGTTCAAAAGAATACATTTCTTTAAAAAACTTAGTTTCCTTCATAAGACTTGGTCTTAACATCTTATTTTAAGAAATACTATTGAGCTGGAATACTGTCTGCTTCCACTGTATTCTCCCCCCCCCCCCCCCATAAAAAATCTGGCACTAAAAGTTCCCGGAGGGAAGGGAACCATGGAAATCCCTGTATCAACCAAGGTCACTCATCACTGACTGGTTAACAGCTCATCACAAGTTATCAAAACAAGGACATAAAGTTGATGGAAGACTTGCAGCTCAAAGCTATTCCTGTCCAGCCTTGCTTATAGTTATACCTACACTGAACAAGCAAACACAGCTGAGATGGATACCAAAATCTCTGCAGGCCAAGCGACACACACGCAGACCGCAGACGATAAGGCTTTTGATTGGCTGTTCAAGGGTAGATGATACTGCTATATAACCAAAGATCACCGACACCTCAATGTCTTAGCGTGACGATTCCTTTTCAAATTTGGATATATTGCACAGAAAACTGACAAACCAGGTTTAAATTTGTATCTGAATGAGTTTAGAATGTCTTATACTTCTCTTTTTGCTAGCCCGACTGCAAATGGAAAACCATGGTAGCTCAAAACCCAAATTTGGTTCACCTGTGGCCAAGTAATCGAACTGCACAACACTGAAATTAATAGACTTGGAGAAGATTTGAAAAGCCAAAATGTGTATAGTATTTGTAACTGGTTCCCAAGTGAAATTAGCTTGACAAGTAAACTTGCTATTTTGCTAGTAATATTTTTTTCTTAAGCAGCTGAATGAAGTTAGGTCTTATTCCTGGATTTCGTAGGATAATTCCAGGCCAGCAGGATTCCTCCGAGCTCTCTAACCCGCAGCAAAACAGGGATATCTGCTTACCTGTAAACCTCTTGGTCCCCGTTGTCCTGCGCTACCCTGTGACCCCAGAACGCCCTGCAATAATCATACTTTTTAACATGAGTAAAATGTATCCATGGCAAAATATAAATTCAGAGGTATAAAAGGACGGATCCACAGAGGTTACTACAGAGGGGGCGGAGGGTGTGGGGGGGGGGAGAGGGTGTGTGTGGGGGGGGGAGGGGGGCGGAAGGGCTCTCTCAAGTGAACAATTGCCTTATTTTAGAAAATTTGCATCACAGAAGTCCAAGCTTAAGATCTGCACAATTTGTGCTATCAGTGCCAGCGAAAAAGAGTCTGTGCTAAACAGAATCCTTAGTTATGGGATGAACGGATGCACACAATTAAAAGCCAAAATTCCTAGCTAACTAATGAAATAATTATGCTAACCATAAACAGTGTTTTCTCCCACAGTAAGCAGGGATTTTTAGCTAACAGTAAGCAGAACCATGAAATTCGGCCCTGCACTCAATGGAATGAAGCACTATGTGGTGTAGCAGATTTTAGTGTTCAATACAATCAAAAGTTGCTAATTGACATTAACTCTTACAAATGTTCACTGTAATGATATAATGACTATGCTTTACGATACGGTATTAAAGAGAGACACTTTGATCTGACCTGTTCTCCTTTTTCTCCAGGTGGTCCTCTTGGGCCCCTCTGTCCTGGAGGACCCTGAAGTAAAACATCAGTGATCGTACAAATCCATGAAAACTTGAATATGAGACTTATACATTCAAATTTAAAGGGGGAATATGTTTCTAAGCTGAATGCTTTTCCAGCTTAAGGATTTATTGATACACAAATGAAGTTGAGTTCACTTATAACTGACCGACGAACAAGATTAGTAATTGCAACTAGTACATTTAATCTTAACAATGGAAAAAGGCTCCAGAATTAAAACAGATAAAGAACACAAATGCTATTAACTTTACTGACATACTCTCTTTTTTTAGCAACCCAGGTTGTGAACTTTCCTTTTTTTCATCTAACGCTAGACCTCATCATCAAGTGAAAGACTAATTATCCCTGACCACAAGTTCATTCCTCTTTATAAGAGTTACCACACCACAGCAAGTTCCAAACCCAGCCATTGATGCTCCCTGGAGGCCTACAGCCACAACCCTAAATCTCTTACCCCATTTGGGACTGGGGTATAAAATGCAAGAGGGTCAGAGGTTGTGACCTCGGGGTCAGTCACCTGCCACTCACCCTTAAACCGGGGCTGCCAGGGGGTCCAGGTGGGCCTGGGGGTCCTTTCAGACGCTGTAGAAACAAGAACAAATTTGAAAGATGTTACAGAGAGCTCCTGACCACAGAAATTTGCTAGCCATTAAAACACTTGCTGAGCTAAAAAAAAAAAAAAAAGGTTCACTTTTGCTACGAAAAAAAAGTGGCTAAGCAGTATTTTCTTCCACAAAATTGGGCCCCGGAGGAAAGGCTGTAGACAAGCAATATTAATTGGGTGCAAAGGAGGGTCAGGTACACAAGCCTTGGCCTTTACACCTACCCAGGAGGGAGGATATCTTGTAATCTTGTACAAGATCCAAGTGTTTTACTCTATCTTATAAAGGCTAAATAAGCCAATTTGGTAGGGGTCGTAAGTGTAGAGAAAGGGATCCCAGGTTCACTGAGGATTGATGGTCATACATGTCTGCATTTGAGGCACCATGACAGACATTTTGTCTCAAAACCCTGAGCTGTGTAAACTTTTCTCATTGCCAATTTACCAGCTTTTAATAATAGAGTGCTCCTCTGGATTTGAGGTCAGAGCCCTGAATTTGCCCTTAATTGTAGCAGCTACATTGCCTTGTTTCACGATAGCAACAAGGAATGGGGTCACGCTATTAAATGGTCATTTTCTCTGCTAGACTGTGAGGTCCTGTCTACACTCATGGTCTGGATAATTAAATGTCACAGTTCTTGCCACCAATTGACCCAACTGCAGATTGTGAAAAGTGCCAGACTATTTATGGACATATATCAATTATATGCCAAACTCCCAACTTGTGTCAAATTCTGAAACAAGGTTTGATGTGCATTTCATAAGAAAGCCGCTTGTTTTGGGCTGCTCCTGGAAAATATTTAGCGACATGGAGACAATTTTTGTTTGAACTCTGCAAATGCGAGTTTCAATTTCAGTTGATTTTGGTTCGAAAAAAAAAGCCAATTGTGTAAATGTAATTTGGTTTGTTAAAACTTAAGTGTCAATGACAAAAGTCCAGGTGATCCACAATTTAATTATCCACTTGTAGGCCTAATTTCCTTATTACGGCAACACTTCTAAGAAACAATGGATGAGAACCATAAAATGCAAGTGATGTTCAACATACTAGCAAAGATTATACAACACCTGAATAAATCCTCGTCATCTCATTGGTGGATCGTTGATCACATGTCATTGAATTATTTGTCCCAACGCATGGCGCGCGTGTGGCGCGCAGTGCACAGTGCAATGAAAGTTCTATTGCACGCTGAATAGAACTTCCATTGCACGGTGTCACTGCTGCTGGTGGTGGCGCTGTTTTAAATCAAGATAAATTGAATATGATTGTTCTCAGCCTGTTGAACAGTTTGCATAAATTTAATATGATGAACTTGTCGAACTTTTAAACAGTTTTAACCTAAAATTGGCTATCAAAAGTCAACCAATCGGATGACAAGGATTTTTTCAGGTGTTATATAAAACAAATAATGAATTTTTCGGTACGTGCAATGGAAAGAATAATTTCATTTGATGACAGATGAAATGTTCCATTCCACTCGGCTTCGCCTTGTGGAATAGAACATTTCATCTGTCACCTCATGAAATTATTCTTACCATTGCACTCACAAACATTCATTATTTGTATACTGTACCCTGCACTATTTGAAAGCAGTATATACGGCCTAAAATCTGCCCAGCGAATGCTCAACTGTTAAGAAAACAGCTTCACGGTGACAGGTTGCCATAGTTCACGTAGAGACACTTGCCTACAGCTTACACGTGTCACAGGGGCAGATGAATGATAGCACTCGGACTTGGCTAATATTTGTTTTAAAATCCGATAAGATACCTTAAGCCATTTCGCTCATGGGTACATGGCTAGGAATCAGTTTGGATTTGGAGAGAACGGTAAATCTGACATCGGGACTTCCTGGGGGTAAAGAGGGGTCATGAACTGCGACTGGCAGTGATGTAAATCGTCAACAGCATGGGCCCTGTGCAAATTCTTCCCAATACACAAACAAAGCTACCATTGTACATATCAGCTGTTGTAAATTGAAAATTAATTAAAAGGTTGGGCAAAAGGGGAGCCCAACACAACATCTCTGATTTAAAAGGACTGGCCTTTAATTCCAATGTGCATTGTCCAGCCTATATCTTAAAGGCATTTGGAAATTGGAGGATAGCAGTTTCTTCTCTGTGTATTGAAACGGATTGCTCCGATGTCAGAGTTACCCTTCTCACCAAATCCAAAATGATTCCTAGCTAGGGGGCCTATATGTACCCACAAGCAAATTGGCTTAAGGTATCTCCCGTCCAGAATAGAGCAAATGTATTGCAAAAATCTGAGACATAAGCGATGTGTCCACAGTCTCACAACTTATCACAAGCGAGGCAGTAATTGTCCCACAGGCGCCATTGCACCTTTGCCACAGGGAAAGACTGCATGGCTGCCGTAACTGGCCTGTGCGTGCTGGAATGTTCATGCGTAATGTTTGCAATATTGTAAATTTAGGCTGTGAGCAGCCAATTTTTATTTATGATGGAAATAATGTATCCAGGTGCATGAACAATGTCATACTCACAGTCTACAACTCTGTCAGCATCCAGACATACAGAAAGACTGTAAGTTCTAACATAAATGTGGAAAATCTCTCCCACTAGCTTCTCATTCCAGAAACTGAGATATTTTTTCTTTCAGACACATGCACTTAATCAATATATTAAAACAAAAAGATGTGAAGTGATGATACTTACCCATATTCTAACTGGTCCAGACTCCAGTTCTATATAAGGAAAGGTACTGTACATTTTTAAAAATTCGCCCAACTCAGTATCCATGACCTCTGCAGGTAGTTGGGCCCACGCCTGTTGAGCAATCGCCAGAAGCTCTGTAAAGTCCTCAGTCACAGTCAACTGCGTGAAACTTGTCGTGAGCGGGGGTGGCGAACGATGGGTAGATGTTTCCCCGAATTCATCCCTTGACGGTACAAAGTCAGCATCGTCCCCGCTGGAGGCAAGTGTGCCCATGATTTTTACATATTTTAAGGTATTATTTACATGTACATCCTGAGATTCGGTTGCTGCAGAACTGTTCGATGATGAGCGGTCTGCTTTTTTAAACTCCGGTGCTTGGACAGGTAAATGAATTGGGAAGCTGGTTGCGGTTTGGAAAATTGCTTCTTTTCTCTCTGGAGCAGGATCTTGCGTCTCATTTGTACCCGAGGCCTCTGTCGGCACAGGGAGAAACGAGTTGGTGTCTTCACTGGACAATTGTGAATCCACAGTTTTCCCACCATCTGCATCCTCTTTAACATTCTTTGGCACTGGTGTACTAAAATTTGGGGTTCTTGTTTGTACATCTTTCTCAAGGTGCCATTGCGGTGTCGTTGGTTCCTCAATGAAGCCTTCGTCTTTCTTAACAAATCTTTTTACTTGGGAAGTTCTATCTGGTAGAGAGGGCTTTTCAGTTCTGTTTGATAAAGTGCTGGACTGTTTTGGAACTGTGGATTTAGAGTGGATTGAAGCGTTTGGCTTCAATGAGCTACTATTTCCATCTACAAGAAGTTGAGGTTTACCCGTAACCAAATCTGTAAAACAGAAGTCAATCGAATGTTATTATATAGTTTAGACTATTTGAAAGTTGGCAGTGGATATTTGGCCAGCACAGCTCTCCTTTTTCACGGAGGCTCGTATATAATTACATCATAATTATGTAACCAGCTTTCGTTTGGTAAACAAAATGTTAGTTTGCTGAAGGTCGTCTATGATTCCTTCGGCAAACTAATATTTACTACAAGAAAACCGGCACAGCCATACCAGCCAAAAAGGCCTTTGACATAATTACATATCAGCCAACCAATGAAAGCCTCCGTGAAAATAACGCTTTAAAGAAAACTGGCCCCTGTACTGAAGGTTTGTGATGTAAAAATAAAACAACTGAATAATTTCGCCAAATATGAAAAAGTTTTGGTAATCCTTACCTTTAGGACCCCGTTCCTATAATAAGGTTAAAAGACTCACCAAAACAGCTGACTAAATGACACTCAAAAGTGACATTCTGATATTTCTTGACACATTTGAACAGTTGGCAATGACACTTTGAATATCAGCAGGTTTAATTTTGTGGAAAGAGGGCAGGGCTTTGATTTATGAGGGGTAAAAGACGACGATGACAAACAGAAAATAGACTAAAAAAGCAAGATGGCGAACTGCAAAAAAAGGTAGGAAACTCACATTTTCTTTGAATGTGCTTTCGTAATTACAACTAACATAAATGTATCTGAAGAAAAAAGACTGCGTCAGCCTGCTAAAGTCACTTTGGTACTGAACAATCATCTGCAAATGTCACTTTTGAACAGAAGTCGTAAAAATAGAGGTGTCCTAAAGATAAGGATTACCAAAGTTTTGATTCTTACCTGAATAGGTAGAGGCATTGTGAGGAGCTACTGTTGTTCTTATTGCAGCACAGAGTAGACATATGTAAGGTAGAATAATGAATCCAACAAGCCATGTATGCCTGGGTCACGAGAGGAAAATGAGAAAGGAATTAGGCCTAGCTAAGACAGATCTATATTTCTTCAATTGGGATTAATGTGAAGGCAAATGGAGGGAAATTACTCAAACCTTTTATTTATGTATTTTTTATAAAATATCATTATGAAAGAAAACTGATGTTGCACAACATATGTTTACTTGTTTAGATGTCCAGTCTTTGAGACACTAACAAAAATGTTCCCTAAATACCACGGCGGACTGTGGCGGTGCATTAACAATACGACCGTAAGTGGAAAGTGCAGACTCATAGCTTAGCACCTAGGCATTGTATGCCTACTGTATCTTTTATTGTGAAGTCGCTAATTAAAAGAAAACACAACCGGGCAAATACACAAAATAGCAATAGTGTTGTGTATATTCAGGCCGTCAAGGTGTAGGCCACTTGGTAACGACGACACACGTTTTTTGCGCTGCTTGTGAAAAAAGGCTGAATTTTACGCGCGCGAATTTGGGATGACGTAAATTCACGTGGTAAATAATACTAAAGTTGGGTTGACTTCAGACATTGTACAATACCTTTGATGTGAATAGTGCCAATGATTCCGCCAGTCGCAACACTAGAGGGGCCTAACCCTAAGTTCAGTAAAAAGTCTCCAAAACTCGGACAAAAATGATTGTTTCACTCAGAGTGTGACGGTTTTTCAAGTGACTTTGAAATAACGTCTGATTATTAATGAGTAAAAAACCCGACGAAAGGGCCTGAAGTGACAAAGCCAAGCAGACTGGTTCCCATTACATGGCTTTGAGAATGAGACCCAATAACACTATGCAGTCAGGAAACCATACCCACAAAACGTCCCAGCACGACTTTAAAATGTATTCCTCCGCAGCACTGTAGGTATATAGGTCCAAAACAAACCACAAACTATTTTAAGAACAGCTTTATCTGATTACAAACCAGATTTGGAAGTATTTCACTTTCTACTTCCAAACCTCAAATCCACACGTGCGGCGAAATTTGTGACGCGAGGCATCCCAGCCATGTTACATCTAGGAACTTACTAGTGGTTTACCTCACGTCACTACTGCGTAGGGCTATGGTTGCATACTATAGTAACTAAACTGCCATAGAACCCAGTGATAAAAACGCCCACTTCCGATATTCAGGAAAAATACTCACGACTCTCCAAGGTGTTGAGACACATATCAAATGAAAGCTTATTTTATCATCTTTCATTATTTTATCATCTGTTAAATTTTGGGGGTTAACCGATGACTTTTGGGAGAAAATTCTATCCAAAGATGATCACACCTAAAAGCAGGACACAGTCCTGTGGTCCATAGCCGTTTTAAAAAGGATGCCTGCTCCCATTGCAAAAAAGAGCAATTTTAGGACCCTATTCATCCTAATTTCAAAAAAATACGAGCTCGCAGTCCTGTTAACGGCTTCTACCATTAGTTTTTTTTTTTTTTAACAAACCCTCATGTTCATGGCCACCGTAAATGCTTTAATATCAAAAATGAGGGCATGCAAATCGTGATCTGGCGGAGGCAATTTTGGGCCAATATATATTTACTGACGTCCAACTCTATATGAATTCCATGGAGCGCTACTAATGCCGGTGTTAATTCACTCAATTATTCATACAGGTACCACGAACAAGACTGTCGGACTTGGATCAGACTGTAAATAAGACGTATTATAGCCTACAGGATAGAGGAATCGTTCGTGGGCTCGGGTGGACAATATTTTCCATTGGTCGACTCATTCTGCCCTTGCCACCCCTTCTCACCCACCACCCCTTCCCCCATTGTATCAAGCACGACAGCGGGTAGTTTTTCGATAACGAAAAAAATGCTATCCAATATGTAGACCCCTATTCATAGGTAGGGCGCTTACATCCAAAACTTCTGAAATCTCCTTATTTCGTTCCAAGACCCATTTATGTCACAGAATGGTTGTTGAGTCTGTATTTTCAGAATGGTAACACATAACAACCGGTAAAAACGCACATGGTAATGTAAATATGTTTTCATCGGCTGACGTAATGCCGCGACGCCCTCAAATTAAGTTCAAAAGGTCTCATTTCATGACTGTCCACATCACATTAATTTGGTAAGACCTTATGGCATATATAAATTAACGGCATTATACCAAACGAACGAGGTCATAGTACGTGTGCGGCCCTTGGCTCAAACTAGGTTTTAAACAATCCAGTTTTGGGGTAGGATTTATGAACAGTAACCATTCCTTACTATAAACACCAATGGTACCACTTCAAGGGCATGACAGTGGTTTTTCTTTTTAGACGTGGAAAGTAGGCCCCATACCTCAATGGAAGAGCAACGTGGACAAATTGCGAGCATGGGCACAAAAAAGGTTCCGAGGCCCGTTTATGGTACCATAGTAATACGACTCTGCTTCGGAGACGATTCGATTACAATTTGAAGTGGATATCAGCGGGGAAGTTGGCGTTGCTAGTGTCGTACAACAATCGGGTATTTAATACCACGGCCGAAATCTTTATGACACAATTAGCCCCCTCCTTCGGGTACTTGCAGCGTTTAACTCACAGTGAAAAGCATAAAGCAGACGAAACAATTTCATTTTGGCGGGAAGAAGCTGCGTGCAGGCGTCCAGAGTGAAGCGATGAGTACGAACTGACAACAAATTTGCGGTATAATTACTCATTTTTGCTAACCTTGCAAATTTTAGACAGACTTCCATCCGTAGTATCTGCCATCGGTTCCTCATACTAGATCAGATTAATGTTGGCGCCATTTTTTTAACGCGCATTAATTTGTATTTCGAATTTGAGTGACTTGCCTCTTCTGGATTAATTAGGACGTCATAATTATAATCAGAATACCTTGAAACTACAATTCATAAGTGCAATGTTGTGACGAGACAGAGAAGCGCTATAGTACAGTTCTTCTTTAGTTGCCTGGCAACACAGTTCATGTTCTCAGTTGCACAAAGCATGCACATAGTAGACTGTGTCAGTGGCACAGGGTTCAGATCGTTCATTTGCCCATTTGCCACGTCATCAGTCCTTGGTGCGGCACAGCAAGACGACCGCTATATTGGGGGAAGTGCACAAATAAGTGTATAACTTTATAAGAATCTCTGAGGAGGTCTGTCATTTTGGAGATTAACGATTCCCCAAACGCCTTACTTGAACTGTCTGCAGAAAGCTGGATATCAAGAGGAAAACGATTCGAACTTTTGCCCCAAACTATTTTATTATGTATCCACTTTATGTACACAGTACTAAACTGTACGTGTGGTTTTCTTTTCGAGAATTTGTTTTCTTTAAAATACGCCTCTACATTGCACTTCCTTGAAAAAATATAAACAAATGTACTTTACGAGGGCACAGGGTCTGCGGTACAGGGTAAAGAGTTACGAGCAATGGCTGATTTGCGTCTTGTCACGGAAATCTTGCCACATCGACAGCCAAGCAATGATGATATTTGACATTGCCTTGAAGGCCAGAGCCCTTAAATGTTTTCAAGGATAAGATGTTTCAAGCTTATTTTCCTATATATAGAGATGCAAAGATTTCTCAAATTTCTCGTTGGAAATCGAATGGCGACAGTTTAGAAAAGAAAACATAAAAAACTTTTTTAAGTTGGGTATTATAATAGTAAAGTTGAAATTTGTGGCCGTAGCCTGCACTGGCCCCCTGTAAGATAAAAATGAAGATTATAAACGACCAGACGACTTCCACCAACACTGAATCGGTTAATTCGTTTAGTGGCTACTGTTTTGTTTTTATTGAGGTCCTCGTTTTGTGGCTTCTATTTCATTTATTGAGGTCCTCGTTAAGTGGCTACTGTTTTATGAGGTCCTCGTTTAGTGGCTAGTGTTTTGTTTTATTGAGGTCTTCGTTTAGTAGCTATTTTTGGCTTCTGTTTTACGACGTCCTCGTTTAGGGGCTAGTGTTTTATTTTGTTAAGGTCCTCGTTTAGTGGCTACTTCTTTTTTAATTGAGGTCCTCGTTTAGTGGCTAACTGGCTATTGAACTTGAAATGACCTGGTTGAACTGGTCGCGATCTCAGCTTCAGTGCTTGTCTTTCAGTTGAGGTACACTAAAATAGTAGGTTGCCCATGATATACATTTTTCATAAAAGCGGACCAATTTGATACAGAAAGCACACATATAATTTAACGGGAAATCATCTCTTTACTTTTGGAAGGAGACTTCGTCTTATTCCTATGTATAAAACTTAGCTTTTTCTTACCGTATTCTCGCAAATATGGAAATATAATGCATTTTTGCGTGTCATCAAAACGGGGCTAATTTGAGGCTTAAATCAATTGACCAAGTTCCGCATCCGTTGACCGAACTGCGTCGATCTAGTATCAGTGAGCCACAAAAACCATGGAGCTGAAAATGACTTCTGAACGGACCGTGTCTAAAATTTACTTTGAGGACTAACATTATAAAGTGATATTACAAATTCGGCTGAATATGTCATGCGAGGACTTGGCATGGAGTCCGGCACCTTTAGTAGAACATAGATGTTCTAACACAAGTTGCCCTTAAATTCACCTTTTACATCATTTCTTTTTCTTCAAAGGTTTTGTTATCGCCTTGATAAACAAACACCGAAGTCTTGTCAGTTTTGACAGGGAAACTAATACCCGCTGTGACTGCCCCGAGTCCCTCTTTTAGTTTTTACGGTGTTTTGACCGGCGGTCGGGACACAATGTGCGGTCGTCTGGGCAGTCCGCCGGCCGTCTCGGACGGTAGGGTCTGATGAAGGGGATCGGACGAAAGCCGATATGCATCAAACCGGATAACAAACACCTGCATGCATGATTGGGCAGGTTTTGAACCTGCGACCCACTGAACATCTTCCCGGCGCTTTACCGACCGAACTTTATTTGATTAAACTAGTGACCCTGATTTCCTACTCTCCTTACGAGGAGACTCAGTCTTAGCTGATGACGTATGACTGCAGCGTAGAGCTACCCAACTGCCATCAAAATTTGTTACTTCTTTTTCAAAGTGCTTGGCAGCAGATCATCTAAAACCACAATGGTTAAACGCATTACCTTCCATCCCCCGTGGGATTTTGTCCTTCGAGTCCTGCGATCAAACTGCTTAACCGCTTATGAAATGTTGTCTTTTCATAGCAAATTAGATTCGCATTCATACTCGATAACATCTTAATATGGAAGGGCTGGAATTCTCATACCCTTCCAACTCCCCGCACAAAGAGAACACCCCGTTGCGGCTTGGCCCCACTCACCCCTCGGGTCGTACCCCGCCACGATCGCCCGAGTCAACCCGGGGTCAGCGCCGGCTTACAAGCGACGGCCTCGGGTATCATTGTTCAACGACGTGTTCGCTTGTCTCCCGTTTCGTCTCTTGGGGCAAAGCTAGATTGCCCTGGGAGACTCCAAGGAAAATGTGCTACAGAAAATCGAAAAAGTGCGCATCAGAAAGGAGTCGTATTTCGGCAACTTTTTGTTCGGCAAATATGTGTCCATTTTGTCAGAAGCAATAGATATATGCGTAGCAGCCATCTAAAGGGCAATGGCTTTAATATTCGGTTAATGGATTTTGATAAAGAAATATTCGGTTAATGCCAGCTAGAAGTTGAGCCAAACGGTTCACAGAATCCACATTCGATGTCGATATAATGAAGGAATTTGGGGTCATGGTCAAGACACATTTTTTTCTTCGGTTTTAAATGTTGTTCGACCTGTATTCACTAGCACGATGGAAATGGTTAAAATATCACCGCAGAAAAAGTCTATCCAGGGTTCACGCGTGGTTCGCGCGCCTCCAGCGCACAGCCGGCGATTCAATATTGAGAACGATGATTTACGATAAAGTTGAAAATATTTTCCCTTCCATATCCGATTATGTAACACTAACAGCGAGTTATCGTAAAGCCGGCTGGCCGATGCAGCGGCACCTAAATTCAAGGACAGCATGCTACAAAAAATAGGCTTCGCATCATTTGCAAATGTCATATGTGATGGAATAGCCTTTCCACGGATAAAGGTCTTGTATGCGAGTAACCACAAGTTGTACAAGGCCGACACTACAGGATGATCGCACAAACCTGACTGTATAAGGGAACATCCAATTATAAAATTCTATATGCAAAGGTTAAAGCCGAAGTCGGAGACGAATATTGAAAAGTTGTGTGGTACTCTTTCTGGTAGTCGTACCAAAGAACTTTTTCTTGGTCGTGCTCATACTCGTTCTCGTGGCAAAGTACTGGTACTCGTACCCATGAAAATATTCACCTGCTGGAATTTCAACCCCCCAAAAAGAGGTATACATGCAGAATAAAGAACCAATATTCTACAGATTCGTGGGCTTTCGCATTTGTTTATGGCTACTTTGACAGCAAAATCCCTCGAGAACATTGTGTACCCATTGAAATGTGCTCGCACTCACGGGAAGTACTCGCACACTCCATACTACTTTTAATAGGTGCGATGGTTTGCAAACGGCAAACCGCGCTCGATCGCAAGTTGTGTCACCTCGAACATGAACAGCAATCTTATCGCTCCGGGCTAGGCTTTTGAGTCACATTTTTTTTGGTCCAGCCGGCATGTGGGCTGCGTGCCAACTAGTAAAAGCTGACGGTCTACCCCGACCTTGATCGTTTACATAATTATGACGGGGGTAAAAATGATACACGAAATGACCTGAAGGGGCGGAGGGAAACGAATGATCTTACTGACACATGCCTCTGTTATTTATTGTTTCTGTAGTCGGCTTGTCGTCACCCTTTGACGATGCTTTCAACACCTCTTTCCTGTGTTGTGCCAACTCGATGTCGTTTCTTGATATAATATTTATTCAGAAGGGCCCAGGTGTATAAGATTTGTTAAAGTGGTTTCACCATACGGCATGCAGGCTCAAGTAATGACTACATGAAAATCAACACATGCCTCTCGGTGCATTTTCATACGCGGTCAGAGTACATGTACGTTGCTTGGCCTACATGTATGGCGCTTTCTATACCAATGTCTCAAAGCGTTCCGAAATTTGTATGCCTGTTCACCGTGCTATCAAACAAAGTTGTTGTTTTTTTCAGCTGCTCGAAATATGCACTGCTGAAACACATTTGTGCCCCTGGCTGGAGAGAAGCTATTGCAGTAAACTGTCTTGCCTGAGAACACAAACACCGTGTGTTCTGTTAGGTTTCTAAGCTCTATGAACCCATGTATCAACAATTGCCCGGGCCGAGAAACGTAATAACGTCAGTGCTCATTTTTTTGCTGATGCAAGAGACGCCAGCCTACATACATGTACATGTACATGTAGTTCTTTTTGCACTTACCCGACTCACTGATTGACCCACTGTCTGACCATGGAGGAATAAGAACACATCTGACTGACCGTCATTTGTGAATAAAACTTGCTTTATAAGTCTCTCACTGACTGACTGTCACTCGTGAATTAGACTGGTTACCAATCTCACTACTGTCACTTGTGAATTAGACTAGGTAATAGGTATACCTATCTCGCTGACTGACAGTCAGCTTAAAGAGGCTTTCGTATTCATGTCAGCTTAAAGAGGCTTTCGTATTCATGTATGTAGTAGCTGCATCACATATACATTAGTCTGGCACTGCTTGTTTCGTGTGGAATCTTTCTTTCTATCACGTTAGGCCTTATTCTACAAACGTTTAAATCATTCTTACTAGGCATGTTTTTAAAGTGCGCCCGTAGCCCATTTTAGAGGTAGATGCACTGTCCGATGCGGCCAGCCATTCCTTACGGCAGTAATGAAATGCCTCATTACGACGACCAATACAAGTTTCTGACCGAACACCTGTGTTCTAACACGGTCCCACAGGACAGAACACTCAACCCAGACTACCAGCTGTTACGCTGACCTTAGCAGGACGAAGAAAGAAAAACAAACCAGTATAAAGAAACTAGGCTGGTCATACTTACGATAGATTTCTTGCACTTATGTTCAAGATAATGGTCTGAGTGTTCCATGTCCAAACCGTATAACGGACTCAAATATTGAAAGAAGTAACGAACTACACAACGATATTTTATCAAGCGAGGCACAGCTTGGGACCGAGTCGCCCAGGGGTAGGACCCAGCGAGTTTAGTGAGTGTACACAATACCCGGCCCGACATCGCTGCAAACCTAAACGAACTTGGTATCTCGGTCAAGCGCAGACTCTACCCTTCACGCCTAAAGTCCAAGTTCTGCATTAGCAAAAATGTAGTCAGTCAGGTTCGGACTGGAAAATAGTCTAACTTGCATACAGCTGTCCACGGCTGTTAGTGTTAGTCAGCTATATTATGCAAGTTCGACAGTTTTTCAAGCAATCTGGGTATTTTGTTTACATGAGATGTGTTGGTAATGTTAATTGTTATATGCCAGTTTTACAGAGCTCCAAAACACAAAAATCTGCTAATGCAGAAGGAAGCCCAACTGCATGGACACTGTCTCAACAAACATTACCACAGTATATTGAGCTTTTATCTGTTACCAATGACGACAGTTTACCAATACCAATGGCGACTCCAGAAATTGCTTGCAAGTTTTGTTTCTACCATGGATCTGGAGGAAGGAATAGACCATGAATAGACCAAGCAGTCTGGTCTCAAGAAGCTCACGAGCCTCTTAAACCTTTTTGCTACGCAGACCTACAGACAACAAAATGCCAACGATACGAACACAGCTAGCAATGCGCCACTATAAATCGCACACAACTGTAACAGACCAGCCAGAGAGCCCTAAGACATAAATAAACACAGTCTGTAAGGCAAACGGCATAAATTAAGGGGCGAACGCGGCATCATACACCGCGCCGCTGCTGTGTCTTTCTGTCAGCCCTTTGGGGCCTGAGCCGCTGACATCCCAGGGGCTTTGTTTGAAGAAATTGCTGATGTGAGCCTAAATTTCTTGTGGATATGGAGGCATGCAGGACGACTGGTACCAACTCAGCGCCAAGTTGTAACACTTATGCATATTACACACGGTGACTGGACCGAGTTTAATGCGCACGGCATTACAAATACGTGTCCAACACGTGTGGCTTACGGTAATCAAGGAAGAGGCTAATTATAACATCTAACTTTCTATATGTGAAAAAAAAAATCAAGAGAAAAGTTTAAAACTAGTAGCTGATGTAAGGCCCGATATGACATTCATTTATAAGCGCCGATCGTACGTGGGCCATGGACCTCGTTCTGCGGGGGAAAATATGAAATTAAATCTTTTTCGAATCACTGTTGGTTACGGTACGACCGATTACGACGCCCAATTTTAATGAGCGGAAGCTACGTGGGCGGGCGACTTGAAAATCTGGACGTCATTTTTCACGATCTAGCCTTACTGCCTCAAATTATCCTTGCCAATAAAACAAAATGAAGGCTTTTTTTTTTAAATAAGATTATAAAACTCGAAGATAAACTTAAAATTGTACAAATTATAGTTCTACTCTTGTAAGGTGAATAGCTTAACAACCAGTTGGACACCAGTTGGACAATGTTGGACATTTTGAAAGAAATGTCCACCATTAATTCCGCATAGATATTGTTTTGGCACTCTCCTATAGACTGTAGTACATATTTAGCTATTATAATAGTATATGTATAGTTAATATTAGAAAGAGAAAATACAGATCATTCTAGACATTACCATGATCGCCTTCCCGTCTTCAAAGCGCACATCCTGTCCAAAGTAAGGCCGCATACTATTTCCCCTTCACTTTAGGTGATGGAAGCCACTTCTTGACTTTTCGGGAAATCCTGAAAAGACTTCACATTAAAGCTCACTGACCGTTGGCGCCAAAAACGAAAAAAATAATATACGCATCAGACGATGTCCCACAGATTATAAATCCGGCTGGTATCCTCAATAATTGGGCTATGCCAGCGGTGTCTTGTCACTATCTACGGCCAAGGTACCAGACTCGACCTCGGGGTCCATCCACCCACACGCGGGGCGCATCGTGCGTCGTATAATTCCCTCGTTATGCAATTCATTGGCTTGCGTTACCCAAGTTGGAACCGTACACCAGGACAGCGGCAGGCCGGCCAAACTTGCATGGGTTATCAAGTGTAGAAGAACACACAAGTGCAGTCACCTGTGCTGGCTTGGGGTACTGCTTCCTGGCTCTATGCTTGGGATTACTCCGTGCATCCAAGACGCACTTTGATCATACGTCGGCTCTGGATGGTTGACAGCGGTGAAGAGGTAGAAAATGATGCCAATTAGGAGACAAGGCTATCAACTGTTGAGACCCACTACTTGCTCAGTTCATGCCCAGTTGTAATTGCTCTATGGTTAATTGTGCATGCAGCGTGTATTTCTCTGCCCATCTCGAAATGCTCACGGTGTCTCACTGTGCCACAAAACAAGACCTGATCAGGCTGCCAAACTTTCATACCATAGGGTGCTGCTCTTTCCCGAGTACAGGTGGAACGGAGTTGGACCAAACTGATATCATGTGTTCTGTATTTCTCCAGATGGACTCTTGAGGAGCAGCATTCCCCTTGCCCGGTCACTGAGTGCACGACACACGTTGCGAGCACATGGCACACACAGCCGGTGTTTTTTTATTTCTTTTCTTCAACCTTTCCTTTTTTTTCTATCCTCCGTGGAGCGTCTCGTCACCAGCGTAGTCAGCAATCGCGACGTTTGGGGGTCAAAGGGCATCCGGAGCGAAAAGCATGGCCTGCGTTGTCACTGCGCATGCGGCAGGCGCACAACCAACCAATCGGGAGTGACGACGGACGCTTTGCGTCATCATCATTTCCATTTACTGTATTACCCAGCAGGCAGAGCGGAAACGTTTAATATCGTCGACTTATTGTTGGCATACGTAACCATTGTAAGAATGTGTCAGCATAGCAATCTAATGACACACTTGCGAGTTGCGACAACATGTGTTTCGACTCAAACGACTCACTAAATAAACAGCTCTCAATACGAGCGAAACAAACGGAGAGACCTAATGAAATATACATCATTTGCTTTTGCTGTAATTTTCAGAAATGGATGGATTTGGGGGGTTGGAAATTTATAGCAAATATAGTTACACTGACTTTTTTGAGGTTTTGGGTTCGAAAATGCTATAAAAACCAAGAAAAACCATCATTTTCCTGTAGTCTGGTTCCCTGACTCCATTTAAGAAGAAACAGAGCAGTTTACATATATTGGGGAATTGTAAGGTCAGGGAACCAGTCTAGCTGGCTTGTACCCGTTCATAGGTGTGTAATCGATGGCAAACAAGTGCGTTGGTCAACTGGGGCCAGTATTTGAAAAAAAAACAGTTTTTTCCAACGCTGATCGGCCGATCAGCGTTGGAAATTGATACAAAAATACCACTTTTCTTGAAAATGACAGTATACCAGGTGCCATGATTTTACAGGATGCTTTACACTGTCATTCACTAACAGTCCAGCAAGGTATTTCAAAATGATTTGGTAGTTTTATTTTTTGATGTTTGCAAATGTTGTATTTTCCCTTTAATGAAAGATAGTCATCCATAACTACTCAATTTGAACTTTCTAGTTCAATAATTTGGTCCCTTTGGCATTGAGAATTTAGCATGCCGTGAACCAGAACTTTCAGTTACTCACTTTAAGTTCAACAAAACCACAAACCAAACTTTATGAATTCAACTGAATTTATTGATTGAAAATGGCAACTGAACGTAGATCCTCTTCTTGCCAAACGTCTGATGTCCTAACGTGCAAGTTATGCGACCCCGTGGACAGCCAATCGGAGTAGAATTTAGAATCTGTGACATCGTTTCAATCAAAAATGTGGACTTAGCTGTTGATTGGTCAATTTGGATGTCATAATGTTTGTAACTAGTACAGCAACGGGTTACCGAAGACCCGATACAGAAGAAGACGCCTGCTGATCATGAGTTGTCAAAATCTCGAGGTCAGGACGCAGTCTTGTTTGGCATATATCGCTGAATCTGCTCGCATATAAAGACCCTTGTCTAACGTTGGTCAGAACACCAACTGCCCACGATTTCTATACCGGGCAACATGTGGGGCAAAAAGTTGATATTGTTTTACTCAAGTTTACCATCTACAGAGGTAATTTCACCCAATATGTCTGGTAAATTAACAGCTCAACAGTTTTTTATACAATTTTTTTCCACGCCGCGTGTAAAAAAACGCAAGTTCCACCGCCTAGAAATCGTCTTTTAACAGTCCGTGCTTTGAAAGGTAGCGCCTCCAAAATGTTTGCACAACAGAAGTTAGGTTTTACATGGCGCGGGGCCATGCCAAACGTCTCTCGGGAAATGTCGACTTGGTCTAGTCAGGCCAAAAAGCTTGCTGCCAGCGCGCCCTTGATATCGATGAAAGTTCCTGTGGACAATGCTCGGCTCATGGCATCAACCGTTTAGGCGGGAGAACTTTTTTTATTTTCATGGAGGAGGGGAGAGGGTGCTCGGCAGTACTAGGTTTATATTATGATATAATATTTTCCATTACCAGTAGGAGTTCTAAGAGGAGCATCGTCAAGTTGCAAGGGTTTCTAAAAAAAAATGTGGCTTGTCAATCAAAAGTGTTGTCTTCGGTATTAATTTTACGTTTTCGCGTGCTTTATGTGGTATCGTGTTGGTGTTGATTGATTGTCCACGTCAACCAACTATCAAAACGTCAAAATAATGTAATATAACCCCATACACTGGTTTCGACATGTCATTCGATTACAACCGAGAAAATAACTTAGGAAATACAATATTAGCTCATAAAATGCCCAAAACGTAATACACACAATTTACCTTTCGGGGCTCACGCTGGTAATTGCTCGTGCAGATAACATTTTAGTATTCGGTTGTATACTAAGCCGATAAAAGTCAGATTTTACAATTTAAAAAACAAAAACCTTTGATATGAAATAATCACAGCATGAAACGCATTGGGTGCACCAACTCAATCTGTAACATTACTGGTCGAACTCTCATGTGGAAGGAAGAGGTTTTTTAACCGCTAACTATACATGTGGCGTTACAAGCCCTCTAAAAGTCTAAGTCCTTGATTGTGAGTTTTAAGCATTTCGAAGAATTAGAAGCAACATACGGTACAGTGTTCGTTGATCAGTCGGAGTATCATGCGGAGTTGCGACCGATTTTACGTGATTTTTGCGCTATTTTCTGGCTGTTAAACGGTATTACCGAGATCCCGCTGGTGGACCAACTTTGTGGTCTCGTCAAGTCCGATCCCGTAAAGTAATTCAGCTCCTCGAAATTTACATTGGCAGCGTATGAATGCACGTAATTATTGTGAGTAATTGGGCAAACCGCTAAACGTGGTAATCACTGGATTTCTTCTGTAAGTATTAAGTGACAGTAAACATACTTATAAGGTGTGAAAAGTACAGTTTACCACGACATTCGACTTTTTTATGTGGTCTCTCACATCGAGCCGCAAAATGAACTTTTGTACAGGTCGAAATTGGTAGGGTCTTTTAGGGACTCAGACGGAATGGTTCTGCTCTAAAATTACCAACAATGAAAGGCGTGGTTTAAGGTATCACAGGTTTAATAATATCACAGGTTCATTAATGGTGCGACCGTGTTTTTCATTGTTAAGCAGTGACGCACCCGGGGAGGGGGGCCGGGGGGGGGGGAGCCCCCCCCCCCAAGAGGTCAATTTTTTTTAGTCCAACGATTTGAACGTGTATGTATGTGGCCTATTTTCGAGTAGTATAATAGGGGTGTAAATGGCGCCACCAACGTCAAAATAGTCCGTTCCCCACCCCAAAAAACAAAAATATTTTCTGCTGCCAAACATTTTGGCAACATTTTTTGAAAAAAATTCAAACTTCTAAAAACAAAATTAAACAAATATTGTGAGCTCCCCCCCCCCCCCCCAGCCAAATCCTGGGTGCCGGTGCGCCACTGTTGTTAAGATTAAAAGTGCGGCAAGGACGAATGGGTAGGCCTATAAAATAAAAATTTGCCGCCGCGCGGGTGGGTATATCATGTCAGAGAATTTACACCTGTCCCGAAAGACAATGGAAGGCTCTGCCACATTTATAATCTAATGAGGCCTGTCGTCGGTATGGCCTACATGTAGCATGAACGACACTAAGAAACTGGTAAACTAATCACTTTTTAAATTGAGGTTGCGGCACGAATATCAGTAATGCACTAACAGAACACTGCAGTTTTGAAGCTTTTTTTGTTTGTTTGAACAATTTGGCTGAAGTATTGATCGATGCTACTAAATCTGTTATGTACAAAACGAATCAAATGATTATTTAAGTAAAGCTCGTTTCGGCTTGTTGAAAAGTAAAAGGTATCAAAAAGTGTTGAAAACAACACAAAACGTCTAGTAAAATATGAAATCTGGAACATTTTTATACCCAGCTGCACCAGATGACACTCACATTGTTCCAATTAACAAGTCCCAAGCTGGAACGTCGGCAGGTGGTAAAGTAATTATAGTTTCATATTTACACACCCTGATGAAATCGATTAGAGGTTATTAATATTAGTAACAGCTGAAATTGGTGCGACGCTGGAAAAAGACATCCCGGTGGTGAAAGTAATGTAGGCGAATGAGGGCGCCCTCGAAAATACCGGGTGTGGGGGCATTTATGGGTTGTTGAAAGCGTTTCACTTAATATCATTTTGTGATGCTGTCACGCCCCAACTATCGCATCGGTCCCAACTATAGTTGGGACTGTCCCAACTATAGTGCGGCAGTTGGGTCGGCCCAACTATAGTTAGGACTGGAGTTGCGCCGGATGCTTCATGCTTGATAGATCTTGTTGGATTAAATGTTCCGCGGCGCTGGCACCGTGTATTCGTCGTGCATGCATGCCGCAAGGCTGGCCGGTCACGTGGTACTGCCTAGTTGGATGAGTTGTCCAGCTGCTGGGTTGATTGTCCAGCAACATTTTGCAAAATTCAAAGATTGCCATGGCCGGCCAACTATAGATGGGCCCCACCCATAGCTAATGTCAAAAGTCCCAAGTAAAGTCGGACAGTATGTAACAGAGCTGTAGGGAATGTTTTATAGTCGTCGTACATCAATGTAAACTATAGTTGGGACCGCCAAATAAAAATATTGCGGTGGCCCAACTACAGATGGTCCCCACCATAGATAATTTCATTGGTCCCCAGTAAAGTCAGATGTGTATTAGAGTTGTAGGGAATGTTTTATAATCGTACAACAATGTACACTATAGTTGGGACCGCAAAATAAAAAGATTGGAGTGGCCCAACTATAGATTCGCCCCATCAATAACTAATTTCAGTGGTCCCCAGTAAAGTCAGACGTGTATCAGAGCTGTAGGGAACGTTTTACAGTTGTACATCAATGTAAACTATAGTTGGGACACCGCAAAATAAAAAGATCGGAGTGGCCCAACTATAGATGGGCCAGCCCAACAGTGGAACTTACAGTTGGGACCGTCCCAACTATAGTTGGGACAGGCCCAACTATAGTTGGGCCAGCCCAACTGTGGAACTACAGTTGGGACAGGCCCAACTATAGTTGGGACAGGCCCAACTATAGTTGGGACCGATGCGATAGTTGGGGCGTGACATCCTCACGGAATATAATTGTTTTCTTTTATCAAGTACATGTAGTTGGTGTTTTAAGTTCTATTTTAGAACGTGTACTTGGTGTTTACAAGCTGAAATTAGCATAGCCCATCCACTTTATTGTATAGTGAATAGATGTGATATCAAGTCGATCAATAACTGCTGTATTTCAGCAAAATTTGAATTTAATACAGACACATTACATCACAAAAATTGATGTCCAAGAAACAAACATGTATTTTTTTGTCCAAAGTGATTTCATAGTTTTTATCCAAAAGTGTCTCTTAACATTAATAAAATTAATCCTGCCTAAAAATCCGTTTCATGAATTATTTACAATCACAAGAATATCAAATCTTTCAATTGCAAAAAAAAAGAGTCTCTGTTCTGAGATTTTGAGGAACTCGATCGGTGCAATAGCTCCATGTTATTATGTATCAAAATTGTAAAACACAATATTTTCAGCCTCCTTTACACCCTGCATAGTGGGCATGATAACATCTATTGTTACATATTTTGTTTAGCCTCTTTCTTTGGTCACAATTTAAAAAAAAAAAAATTCACAAATAATTCTTGGAACTTTAAGTGGTTTATAAATGTAAGAATTATGCATGAAAATGGCACCAAAACACATCAACTGCAGTTGCTGTCATATGTATCGTGTCTATTTGTATCTGAAAGATGAATCTGCCGCATGCAAAGTGCTTTCGTCTAAAAATCTTAATAATTATCCTCTTTTCACGAGAAAGTACAATTTTTATGTGATAAAAGATGAATACAAGTTTAGCTTTTACAAAAATCATTTTGGCTTTTACACACATTTTTTGTCCTTCAAGGCTCAACAAGCAAGTTTTTACAGTTGAATGTTTGTATTTCACCAAATAATGAGAAAAATTAGGAGCACTCATTTTTTTTTTTCAATTTTACAATCTGTCAAAGCTTTCATATTATTGCTCCTTTTTTTCCTGCACGGAATCAATCCTCAATATTTACACACTGAGCCTTCACTGAGCTTTCTTTGGCAGTTTGTTTGTTTGTTTATTTGTTTGTTTGGTCTTTCGTTCAAATATTCTTATCCTCCTCCAGCTGCACCATCTGAGCGCTGACGTCCCACAACTTCTTGGCCACTTCGACATCACTAGACTCTGCCGAGCTCTCCTCTTCTTTGCAGTCCCGGTAGTAGCCCCCGGTTTTTCCTGATGAGGGAAAAGAATTTTTAACAGATTTTTGGATTAAAACAGCGCAGACAAAAGAATATCTCTGTTTGTTTAAAGGGAATATACATCATTTGCTTTTGCTGTAATTTTCAGAAATGGATGGAATCGGGGGGTTGGAAATATATAGCAAATATAGTTACACTGACTTTTTTGAGGTTTTGGGTTCGAAAATGCTATAAAAACCAAGAAAAACAATCATTTTCCTGTAGTCTGGTTCCCTGACTCCATATAAGAAGAAACAGAGCAGTTTACATACATTGGGGAATTGTAAGGTCACATTGGGGAATTGTAAGGTCGGGGAACCAGTCTAGCTGGCTTGTACCCGTTCATAGGTGTGTAATCGATTGCAAACAAGTGCGATGGTCAATTGGGGCCAGTATTTGAAAAAAAGCCAGTTTTTTCCAACGCTGGTCGGCCAGCCAACGTTGGAAATTGATACAAAAATACCACTTTTCTTGAAAATGACAGTATACCATGTGCCATGATTTTACAGGATGCTTTACACTGTCATTCACTAACAGTCCAGCAAGGTATTTCAAAATGATTTGGTAGTTTTATTTTTTGATGTTTGCAAATGTATATTCCCTTTAACCCTTTCTTGATATTGGGCGACGTTTGTCGATAAAAAAAATCTCCTGCTGCTTACAACTTTAGTCAAAAAGGAAATAAGAAAAGAACACCTTAACACAGTTAAATTCACCGCTTGTTGACAAGCTCACACATTAATATGTTTCGCCACCCATACATCGACCATACATGAGCTGAAAGGGTGTTTGCGGATTATTTCGTAATAAACGTGTACATTTGGTGTGCAGGCATGGATGAATTCCACAAAGAATGTGAGGTCACAAAATTCTGTCTTTACTCCAAAACCTACTTCAATATCAGCTGACTGGTGGCCAGTCTAATCTCACTGGTCTGAATCCCTGACTTCATCTATTACCTTTCAAGCGTCAATATCAGCTGACTGGTGGCCAGTCTAATCTCACTGGTCTGAATCCCTGACTTACTGTATTACCTTTCAAGCTTGGGTCGGTTCCAGCATGGTAGACTGACTCCCCTCCCTGGTCCTCAGTCCTCGTTATTCCCTTCCATTTGAACATGGGACTCAGTAACGTACCCAACATAAACCTTGTCATGCCGCTCTCATTTCGGTTCAACCCGGTCGAGGGGATGAACCCTTAGGAGGGAAGAAATACGGATATTAGTTTTAAATCTTCCTCTCAAACAGATAAATGGCCCTCTGCAAGCTCTTTTTAGGGTTCTGTCAAGGTCAAGTCAATGAAGTGCATGTACAGAATACACACTAACTGTCAACCCTATCGTTGCCTGAAAAAAGCTGTCTATGGCCTGCACAGCATCATAAATACAAGCCGACATTCGTTTATGGACATTAACAAACAGTGTATGTTTTGCAATGGGCAAAAAGGACTATATAGGAATTTCACATTGGCCTATGGGCTTTGTGGACAAGTACCCTCAATGGTAAGAAATTAAAGGGAGAGTTGGAGGAGACCGTTGGGAGGGACATTCCAACGCATTGCCGACTGTGTCTGACACTCACGCGAAGACGGTATGGCTTGTGCACATTCAGAATATAATTAGCTGTGCTTACTTTGTGCAATATGCGCGCAAACACACATACTGAAATTTGTATCCTTGTGGAGACATTTCTTTGTTCTTGTGTAGTAAAGTTTTCGAGTTTGAAAGTGAAGTTTCAAAATGCTCTTATTTTAACCAGAATTAATTTCCTTGGCTAAAATTTGGACTTAATATCCCTTTTCTAAAACTCTTACATTTGCGACGGATCAACCCACCTTGGAAATTCCTAGTTTTTGAGTAAAATCCATATATCTATTTCGTGAAAACTTTGTGGAGACGTATTCATCTATAGAAATTGCCCTGTGGAGACGTATACAATCTTTTGTTCCCTATTGTACACACGTCTCCAGAGGGCACGGTGTATCAGACCCAGTATACACACGCGGTGCGTCCCGTCAACTTGGGTCTTGAAAGTGGTCAAAACTTGCTCTCTCTTGATCGCGCATGGAGCCCATGGAAGCAGCTGCAGCTAGCCATAACAAGGTATTCTGGACACGGCCCTACCTGGGCAGATGGCGTTGACCGTGACCCCTGACCCTTCTCCTAGTCTCCTTGCGAGCTCCTTGGTGAAGGAAACATTGGCCAGCTTGGAGTTCTTGTAGGCTAGCGCACCGTCAAACGTGCCCTCCATGAGTTGAAGATTGTCAAAGTCCAGATGGGCACTTGGTCCTGAAGATGCAACAAAGTTACACCTTGAAAGTTAATTTTTCCAAGTCTTTTGAAGAATTAGTACATCCAAGACACTATTGCTTTACATTGGGCTAGATGCACCTTAGAAGTAAAACCTTTTCTAAATCTGCATTTGGGTTCTGCACTATGATGGTTGTTTTTAGAATTAAGAAAGGGTTCTTAGCCTTAAAAGGTTAAAGGCACGGAACATTTGCAATTATTCTTCCGATTTAATGATTAAATCTTTGCTCAAAGTGAAGATAGGACTGGTACCAAATACCCTGTGAAATTATTCCACCTAAAATGGCATCACTTGGGAGTAAACAATCATTTAAGGTGGTTTAAAAACTGTGCCAGTGGGCAAACTTTTTTGTTAAAGTGCAATTTCGTCTATAGCACTCTTTCTTTCCAAAAATCAGTCAACTGACTAATCGTTGGCAATCACCTACATTTCTTGATTGCTTCTAAATGACAGCAGGCCAAATGGAATAATTTCACGGGGTGTTAAGAGCCAGTACGATCTTTAATCCAAGTAAGCTTTTTGATAATAATTTGGAAGGTTACTTTTGGGATAAATGCAAATGATGCCTTTAAGCTAACTTTTGTAATACAAAAATCGAGTGTCCTTCAATATACATGTAGATATTATTCTCTCTTTTCAACAATGAGGGGGTACTACCAAGCATTCAACCATTCAAAATGTTAAAACTTAAAGAGAAGATGCATACCTCTGACACCTTTACTGTTAGGATCATGGAGAGAGGAAGCTGTCACGACAACGCGGGCCTCACTGGCCACCGATGCGGTCTTCTTCAAGTCGTCCAATAGGAGCAAAGTCAACAGGAAATGACCTGCATGTGCAAGATTAAAGGTTAAAGGTCAACAAGGCAACATGAATATTCATGTTCAAGGTTAAAGGTCCTGAAAGGTCACTTGCGGTGTAGAAAACATTTGCATTGGAAACTGAAATATAACAGTGAACCTTTTTTAAATTTTAATACTGCCGTTACCTAACCTTAACTCCCTAGGCATTTTGGCTGGGATGTAACCTCAATCTTGCAAAATCCTCCAACTGCCTCCCCTTAAAAAATGCATACAGCACCAACCCTCCAAACTAATTCATTATTTCTTGAATGTGGTCCTTGGAGGGGTGACCACTTCCTCAATCCTACAAAATCCTCCAGCAATCACTGTCAGTGTGTTGAGGCAGAGCCAGTGACACCCTGGAGCAGTACGGAGGATTTCAAGTATAATGTGGGCCTAAATTTATGCATATAAGCGTATAAACAACACAAGGTCCAGCCCAAGACCTTGACACAGTGCCTCATCCGAAATCAGCCTGCTTTTAAAAAAGGTACTACAGCTCAAGTGACGTATTGCTAAACTGTGTCACTTATTTTGGACAGGTTGTGGCACTCACTTCATCCAAGGCCCTAGAAACAATTTTTGGAAATTTTAAATGAAATAGGAAAACAGTCAATATTGGGTTTTGCACTTCATCACTTTTTTTTTTAATTAACATTATACACTCTGTTTTTCCGGTAGCTTGCAAGAAAAACATTTACACAAATTCCATCCTATAAATAGGACAAAAATACTCCAAATTTGATGTCGCTGTGGCAGAAAACGGAGCTACATTGAGCTGGAAGGTTTCATCTCAGAGAAGTGGAAGCACGAAGCTGATTTCTTAAAGCAAGTCCCGAGAGAAAGCCACGGTTTGAAAAACTCCCTCATTACCTAAATGGTTGATTCCGAACGTGACCTCGAAGCCGTCCTCTGTCTTGAACACCTCGCTACTCCTGAAGCCTGTCGTCATTCCAGCGTTGTTGCACAGGACATGCAAGGGTTTGGCCGTGGCGTGAAAGTCCTCCACAAACTGGCGCACTGATTTCAGGGAAGCAAGGTCCAGCTGTGGAGTTGTATTGTCAGAAGGGTTAGTCTACAGAAAAGTCGTGGTTCACTGATAGATAGACCTTATGCACTGAGGCGGAGTCGGAGGGCAATGAGTTTGTATCACTGGGATAGGTAAATAAACCTTTTGTGCATTTATTGTTCTATTTGTGTTACAAAACTTTCCGACAACTTGCAATTGACATTTGAGTTTCAAATGTGTATTTCCATGCATAATCAAATGTTTATTAGACATGAAAAGGTCCACTTCATGGTGAAAACGAACCTCCCCTTCCACCAGGCTGGCTACGGCCTTGTTTTTGAGGGGTTTGAGTCCCACAGGTCTGCTTGAGAACTGTGCCTGACTCTTGCTAAACCAGGTTAAAATTAAGTAGACAAACTGGAACAGGTTCTGTAACTAAAGCCCAATTTGGATCTAATATATGCACAAATTACTCACCACAGAGAGAGAGAAAAAGCTATTGCCAACCAAGAACGCAGTTGTAAACCAATACGTCTCAGCTAATTTTCTTTTCTTAGTTATTTCTTTTTTAACTGAGAATATAACTCTTTGAGTTTTTCATACAGAATTCTTGAAGGCAAGCATGAACAGCATTTTAACTTTACACTTTAAACACTAGTGAGTTAAGCAGACAAATTGAAAGGCTGTGTCGAAACTGTTTCTCAAGCAAGATCTCAGGCCTGTTTCTCAAGCAAGATCTCAGGCCTGTTTCTCAAGCAAGATCTCAGGCCTGTTTCTTAAGCAAGATCTCAGGTCTGTTTCTTAAGCAAGATCTCAGGCCTGGTTCTTAAGCAAGATCTCAGGCCTGTTTCTTAAGCAAGATCTCAGGCCTGTTTCTTAAGCAAGATCCCAGGCCTGTTTCTTAAGCAAGATCTCAGGCCTGTTTCTTAAGCAAGATCTCAGGCCTGTCTCTCAAGCAAGATCTCGGGCCTCCCCCCCCCCAACTTGTCCTCCATATGACCACACCTACCAACCTGAATTAGCACAACACTCAATGCATATACCTTCATGAACGTCAACTTGGCGTCTGAGTTAGTTCCCTTGATGAGCTTGATTGCCTGTTGTGCTTTAGTCTCATCCCTACATGCCATGATGACCTCGTATCCAGCTGCAGCATACTTCTCAGTGGCCTTCAGACCAACGCCTCTGTTGGCTCCGGTAATGATGCACACTGAAATGATTTGCATACAATTATAATTATACTGTGCCGATCTGCAGAAAAAAATACTTAGATTGGAGAAAACTAGGAATGGGAGTTAAGGTCTCCCTTTACCAGTGTTGTAGGTCTCGAGACCGGTCTCGGTCTCGAGACCGGTCTCGAGACCACTTTTTGCTGGTCTCGGTCTCGGTCTCGGAAGCTGTGGTCTCGGTCTTGGTCTCGGTCTAGGTCCCCTTTGGTCTCGATATTTTGGCTGGTCTCGGGTCGAGACCAGCAATATGTAGCTTTTACAGCTCGATCGATTACTTTGTGTTCACTTCATTCAGTACCGTTGTTAGTTAAAACATTTGCTAGCCCGTAGATCAAGCTTGTTATATATCGTGGTCGGTTTGGACTCGACTGCACGTTGGAAAGTCCCAAAAGTACATGTACATGTAAAGCTGCAGCACTACCAGTCACTGAACGATTTGGAACAAGTTCGGCATTTATCTGTTGAGTCGGGCACATAAAGCAAAGTATAAACTTGTAACAATTTATGCAATAAGGGTCAACCATTTTCGGGGATTGTGTAGTTTAGCCCACCCCTGTGGGCGTAATCACTTGCATTTTGTATTCTGATAATAAAATGAGGTGCTTCAAATTAGTTATATTTTTGACCCCACACAATGTTCTCTTTAATTTGGGACAGTATTTTGAAGAAAAAGTAATTTTTTCTACCTGATTTTCCAGCATTGAACTCACACTCTCTTACCAGTTACCACTCACTGTTGCCATGAGAGTGTATGATGAGACCCCATTTTCTGGCTGCTCATTTTGAAGTACCCCATTATTCCTCAAAAATTAAAATCCCGTTCAGAAAAAAATTAAAAATCCATATCAGGCACATTCTGGCTACCACCTCGCAATTTGTGGGTCTACATTGTACAAGTCCACATTCTATGACAGAAATTTAAAAATTAATTCAACATTTTCTAGCTCCCATTTTTGTGTACTAGCTCCCAAGTACACAAGTCTTGTTAGAAGTTAAGTCCTATATTTATTTTAGGAAAAAAGAGGCACAATGTAAAATTAAAATTGCATCTTTAAATATCCGTTAGAAGTCATAGCTGAAACCAAGGGGTGACTGTGGAGTTTAGGATCCGAGTTGCTATAACAGATGAAACATCTACCTTTAACTTTTTACTTTTGTCACGATTGGGTGCAGACAACATGTCAAAGCCCATATTTCTTAAGTGTAACTTCTTTTTGCTCAAGTAAGGTGTCATGTATCAATTTGTCAACACTGCCACTGGTCAACATTTTGGTCTGTATTCTTTGTGAATAGAAAGGTTACATTTTTCAACTATAATAACGTGTCTTGTTTTTTATTTCGACTATTGTTATTTATTATCAACGGTCTCGGTCTCGGTCTCGGACCATATTGGTCTCGGTCTCGGTCCGCCTTGAAGGGGCTGGTCTCGGTCTCGGTCTCGGTCTCGAATCTTCAGGTCTCGGTCTTGGTCTCGGTCTCGGACTATCCGGTCTCGACTACAACACTGCCCTTTACTAGACCAGTCAGACTGGAATGGAGCGCGTGTGTGACGTCACTATTGAAGAAAAACAAGTCGCGCTTTATGAACGACTGTTTCGTGTACTGATATGTGCCCCGCGCCGAAAGCCCATACTGTCAGACGGCGCGGGCAATTTAAGGCGCGGGCAATTTAAGGCGCGGGCAATTTAAGGCGCGGGCAATTTAAGGGGTCTTATGGAATGTCATGAATGTGTGGATCTATCCAGGGTTACTGTCTTTCTCATTTGTATTCTCTTTACCAGTTTTTTTTTTGGGGGGGGGGGGGGGTGGGCTTTAGTCCTCGCGAGGGTATGCACAAAATGCATACCGTGTACCAGTGATGTAGTGCCTTGATGCTGGGCCTTGGCCTTAAGGCTGCCTTAAGGCTGGATTTTAGGGCCTTGGCCTTGGCCTCGAGGCTTGAGGGCAAAAGCCTTGGCCTTGGCCTTGGCCTTGAGGGTTCAGGGCCTTGCAATTTTGAGTCAAGGCTCTTCAAGGCCCATAGATTTTTGCATTTTCCAGATACATGTAAATCTGTTCGAAATGTTGCTGTTACCATTTTAATCGTATTACCATGGAGGAGGGAAGCACCCTATAGATTTGTGTGTTTTGGGCACACTTCCACTTTTGTAGCATCACATTTTGTTACCATGGTAGTAGATTTGCTGCAAAAATATTCCGTACACTTGTGGGGCTAATGAGATGATCACTTTAATTGCATACAATTATGGAATAGATCTGATTGTCTCCCTGATAAGTGCTAAAGATTTGCATGTATCTGTTTTAGATAATGCTGATATTTCTGACCATGTTGGGCCAGCAAATAAAAATTTCCTAATTTCCTAAATCAGTTTCTTGGATCCCCCTTTTGTTACACTTGGGAGAATTGTGTGTCAATATAGAAGTAAATCATTATTTTGTTTAGTTAAACCATATTAAAGACCTGAACTTATACTTTAATAGATACAGTGCAGTCATAAAACGGTGTAGGCCTATGCGAGCATGTTGATTGCAATTAAAGAAATGTTGTTCTTCGTAACGAGCAATTCGTGATGATAAGGGCGGATCCAGGGGGGCCAAAAGGGGCCATACCCCCCCCCCCCAAAAAAAAAAACCGAAACAATTTTTTTTTAATGTGACGTCGTAATAAAGGCAGGCAATGAGTACACCACCATCTTTTCCTCAAAAAACATCAGTTAAAATTGTCAGAAATTGCCTCAAATCGCACCACCGAGCATCTCGAATCCAAATTTTTTTTCGGGGCCCTTAAAGCAGGCCCGAAGCCCGAGCCATAATTTTTTGACCCACTTTTTGGGGGGGACCAACATTTCTTTGCCCCCCCCCCCCAAATTGTGTTCTGGATCCGCCCTTGTGTGATGATGTGTCACTCATGTGACTATAATTAGTTCTATATCAGTGGTCATTTCATAAAACAGGGCCTTGGCCTTGGCCTTGGCCTTGAGGGTTAAGCCTTGGCCTTGGCCTCGAGGCTTGAGGGTCAAAGCCTTGGCCTTGGCCTTGGCCTTGAGGGTTAAAGCCTTGGCCTTGGCCTTGGCCTTGAGGGTCAAAGCCTTTGCTCCAACACTGCCGTGTACCTGTCACTAAAGTATGCCAAATTGGTGGAGCGTTAGTACGGAGAGTGGGTCGTACTAATAAGCGTCAACACAGCGTCAACAGTCAACACAACATCAACACTGCCAAAACGCATTCTAAACTGACAAAAAAGGCATAGAACTGTAAAGTTTAGACTTAAAAGAGATTTTTGGTGGGTCAGATGTTACATTTCGTTTAAGAAAGTGGATTTTTTTTTCACGTGAAAAATATCTCTTAGGCAGCACTGCCGTTCAAGTTGTCCGCCATCTTACCTTCGCACGGAGCTTGGACTACACCATCTCAGATATGGGTGTGCAGGTTAAATGAAATTAACATGTTGTATGCGGATTCACACGTAATGGCCGCCCTTTGTTGATTTATTGCATAATGCTATCACCCCTTTGCGTAATGGTATCGTCCGCACTGCCCCTGCAACAAGGCTGCTGATTTCGAAACTAAACTGAGAGCCAAATTTCTTGAACTGAAAATTGCAATTTTCAGATGTTTATTTAACCTATTGATTTTGAGCCAAAATTTTATTTTTTGCCCATACTGTTCGGTTTGAACACTGGTTTTGTCAATTTGAATGCGTTTTGTAGGTGTTAACGCTGTGTTGACAGTGTGTTGACGCTTCTGCGTGTGTTGACGCTTATTAGTATGACCGCGGAGGGTACCAAAGTTCAACGCTCCACTCAGTAGAGCTAGGTTTTATTTATGATGGAAATTATGCGGTAAAACGGCGATGAACATGGCGAAGAACTTCTTTAACACGCACGTCTCTGAGGGCAAAAGGGTAAAGAAGTCACATTTTGGGAAAGATTTCCGTAAGGCGAAGTAAAAAAAAAACATGTTTAGCGTCCCCGCCCGCTTCCTTTTTAGAGGCCGCCTCCTTTTTTTTTTTTTTTTTTTTTTTTTTTTAAAGACAAAAATTGATAAATTTTAACGATCTCTGACGAAAGAAATCATATTTTTAGACTTTTATACCGTGTATAAAGCTGTGGAAATAGTCAATGAGTCCAAGTGGCGGCCATTTTGAAAAAAGCTGGTAACCATCTTGAAAAATAGCCCGGCCGCGTTGGCTTGAAAAATGTGTCGGGCGGCCATTTTGAAAAGAAAAAAAAAAAAAAAAAAGGGCCTCCTCCTTCCTTTTTGTCAAAGAGGCAGGACGCTAAACATGTTTTTTTTTTTATTTTGCCTAATACTAGGCCACCACTTTCATGACTTTCCTTTACGGTTATTTTTTGCATTTACCCTTCTCTACTCTCAGTCTCACCCTCCTCTTTCCTTTATTCCTTATTAATCAGTCACATACTTCGTCGAGAGTAAAAAAGTTGCAACCTGACGCCACTTCAGTGGTTGTGTACAAAGTCTATGGAGAGTCAAGAAAATTTTCTAAGTATTTCCTAACAAAATTGGGAATATTTCTCAGTCCCAAATTCATGTCTTATCATCATTTTTGTAACTTCATTGACATTGAGAAGATATATGAAGAAAAAAGTGACACAAGGTTGCAACATTTTTTACAAAACCTGATCCCCCTAGCTTGAGTAACTCCAGCTTAACAAGCTCATCAGGAATTCACATACATGTGAATTCCTGATGAGCTTGTTTACTCCTAGAACTATGAGGCTCCGCGTGAGCGGAGCGGAGTAGAGCTTGTTAAGCTCTAGACCCGTGAACGTGGCGTTGTATACAACGCCACGCGCTTCCCTCGGGTAAATACAAGCGAAAGCATTCTATCTTTTGATCCGCTACATATGACCATGTATAATTTCGCCCATGGGTGAATCACTTACTTGTTGGGCTTCCTGTGAATATACGCGAGTGTTGGATCTGTCATTGCCAAGAAATTTGATGTAAAATACGGCACAACTTTGTCACAACGAATGTTTCAAAATGATCAGAAATCTAAGACAGGCATGACACTCTGGTACCCCGAGTTCCGCATGCGTAAAACGGTTGGAGTATCACGAGTGGGTACCAGACTAACCGTCTTACATGGCAGGCTGACCGTAATACCATATATATTTCTGCTAAATCCACTTCGAAAGTCTGTCAAATTACCCAGTATAATTGCTGGTCCATTGTGCAAGGGTTTGTTTCAGGGATCTTTCAATAAATGAAGGTTTTTCAAACCAAATGTGCCATATTTCTCTAATCTTTTTCATTTTTCCTTCATCTTCATAATTCTGCCGAAAAAAAAAATTCTGCTGATTTTCTGTACAACTCATTTTTGTATGCAAATATTCTGTCAAATGTAGCCGAAATTCGGCTAGAACGGTCACTCCATCTTTGTAACCGCGGATCGCAATAGAGTCTTTTTACTATAGACTGAAGCGTGGCTATGTATATAGCCACGTTCACGGGTCTAGTTAAGCTCGAGTTACAAGCTATGATCCCCCTATGCTATGTACGGAGGGAAATGCAAAGAAGACAATCGTCCAAGTAGAAATGAAAATTGAAACCCAGTACGACGATAATTTTAATTACCTTTACAATCCTTGGTCGCAGAAGCCACGTTTTCTTCGCCCGGTTCCGCCATTGCCATTGGAAAATTTATAACCTTAATTATCATATCCATATAGCCGACACCCCGATTTAAAAGTTTATTTTTCTGATTATGAAACTTGAACTTTGAAGGCCAAAGCTAAAACACCGGCCCTCACCATTTATGCAGTGCGCCCTCTATCCGTAGATCAAGGACAGTCCACGCGTGATAAAACGCGCGGCATAAAAATCTTGTGATTTTTTGGGAGGGGGCAACTAAAAAAAAAAACACGCTCTTTAAAATTCCTACATTCCATTGCAAATTTCAATAAAGTCGGAGATTTGAGATAAAAAAAAATCAACCCGGATAGAAACGGCGGACATTAATGATTAAAAATGTCCATTATTTGGCTGGAATTGGCCACCCGATAATAAATTCTACAAAAATCCCAGTTTTAAATTTCTCCCTAAATTCCTAAATTGTTTGAAATCATCATGTCTTGAAAACTATCGAATTTAAAAAGTTTTAGCTTCTTAAACTGGGGCCTGAATGTTTCTTAAATTGGGAGCGGGGCACAACCCGGGACTCCAAATGGGTCCGCAAAATTTATGATTTTTTTTTTAATTGAAAGTTCTAGGGACCGCAAACATACTTGAGAGATAACAGGGACCTACAATCCCGGCCAAAATGGTTGGGACACTTGGACATAACCTTAGCCTCCAACAAGGGCGGATCCAGAACACAATTTTTGGGGGGGCCAAAAAAAATGTTGGTCCCCCAAAAAAGTGGGTAAAAAAAATTACGGCGTGGGGTTCGGGGCCCGCTTAAGGGCCCCGAAAAAATTTTGGATTCTAGATGCTCTGTGGTGCGATCTGAGGCAATTTCTGACCACTTTAACCAATGTTTTTTTGAGGAAAAGATGGTGGTGTACTCATTGCCTGCCTTTATTGCGATGTCACATAAAACAAAAAAAAATTGGTTTCGTTTTTGGGGGGGGGGGGGGGCATGGCCCCCTTTGGCCCCCCCCCCCCCCCTGGATCCGCCCTTGGCCTCCAACGGTCACCAACTCCCCCGCTGCCCCGGTCAATGTTGTTCTCCTTAGCGGATGGAGCACACACCGCGCAATGAGAGACAACATTGAGCGGGGGCTGGGGGGTTGGGGGCCCAGCGAAATTTGGCCAGGATTGTAGATTACGCAAATACATGTAGTGCTAATAAAACAGCATATACAATCAACCTTTTGAGTTTAACTTGTTTCCTCACGATCTTTTGTTTTATTTCCCTATTGTTTCGAGGTCAAAGATTCATTGAAGTAAAACACATCAAAATCGCCTAATCGTAAACACTGACAACTATACATCCAATAAGTGCACTGCACCTGCTGTATCGTTGGGGGCACGCACGCAACCCCTTAACAATTCCTAAAATACTCAAGAAAAGGGAAATTTTAATAGTCGATTCTCATTAGGTCACTTACAGGGCGGCATGATACAGGATCATTGTATCCCACCAAAAAGCTTGGATTACTTGGATTAAAGATTGTACTGATACTAAACACCCCGTGAAATTATTCTGTCTGGCTTGCTGTCATGTAAAAGAAATCAAGAAATGTAGGTGATTTCAAACCATCAGTCAATTATTGGAAATGTTATTTATCATAGTTTGCGAGAAAAGCCACATATGCAGGTTTAACTGTATTAGGAATCAAATATTCCTAAAAGTTTGGGATAATCATTCCTTTGGTAATTCCAGAAAAGCATTTTGACTATTTGTTTGCAATTTTTTTTGTTTTTTATATTACAAAATGTTTGCTTTGAAGGGGGCCATATTTTAGGCGCTAAATAAACAGGGTCAAACAATCATATTACGAGTTTACAACTTGACCAATATCAGTAGATTGTTGACAGTTACTTTTGTTAACAGTGCACTTTGTTGCCAACTTTTTAGGAAACTGAAATTCTCTGGGGCAGGGATGTGCTCGAGTCCATCACAAGTCCATCGCAAGTAAAACACAAGTCCAGTCACAAGTAACATTGGATGAACAATAACAAAGGGATGCCTTTGTCAAAGCTCAGTTGAATAGCTTGTGATTTGAGTCTGGGACTGCAGGACTCCTGATAGATTTGCAGGGACTTGTGATGGAGTGACTACATCCCTGCAAAGTTCGGGGAAATGTTTTCAGGCGTCAAAAGTTTTGGAGCAATTTTAGTCTTCAACTTTTTATTGTTATCGCACGTTCACTGAGGGTATATCCATGTCGGGAAATTGTACACCCCAACATGCGGTAACTGGATTGAGCATAAAATAGGGGTTAACACGTTGGGAATATTTTTGTACAGCCATAAAATTAAGAGAAAAAAACCCTTTTATTGCTTGCTTAGAAACAACTTTGCAGATTTAAGACTACTAAGAATGAAGGGAATGGATTGGACACAGCTGCTAAAAATGACATGTAATTCATTAACAAGACATTTAAAAGTAATAACTTAACAATTTCTAAGGCAAGAATTAGTCAGGAAAGTTTCTCCTGTAATTTTTTTCCCTGCACAAAATTAAAGAGTAAAAACACCAGCTGGAAGAATTTGATGAAAGAAAGATACCATTCAAATTCATAATTACACTCACAATTCTCTCTTTAATGAAAAGTTTTAAATATATATATATATATTTATATATATATAATTCATAATTTGAGGCAAACTAGACTAATTATTCATAAATAATTTCAATACTGAAAGACATCCTTTTTTCTCTCTATGACTCCAGATGGGAAAAAAATAATAATAATAGATTGGTGATTACTGGAGGTTTTATTGAAATTTGGTGAACTGATTTGAATGTACATTAAAAAAAGAATTGGCAAGTGCTTCAAATATGGCATCTATAGGCATCCGTCTAATGGTGGATCCAAACGCTCTCTTTGAAAAACAGAAAGGAAAAAAACACAATAGAAGCCTAAAAGGTATATTTATGACCCCCAGAGTCCGAAATCTCATTTTCTGATAAAAAAAAAATGGACCATTATACCTTCAGGAAGACTCTCCCTTCCTGTGAGTAACGAAAGAAAAAAGAAAAAAGAAAAAAGAAAAAAAAAACCGAACAATTTCAGAAATGGTTCACAATTTTGACTATTACAATCTTGATGCACAACGTTACCAATTTCATAAACTGTACATCAGTGGTATAAAACAAATGAAGCACATCAAAACATAAATGAAACGAACCAATTTTTACAGATATACATATATATATTTATATATATATAACATATCGGAGGTTGAAGAATTGCAAACTACGGAATCCTTCGTTACATGTATACAATTAGTCGTTTTACAAAATACCATTTTTTTTCTGGCTTCAAAACATAGGGTTCATTTTTTTAAGCACAGAATCAGTTTGTTCATGCACGCAGGTCCGTGAAACTTGAACCAGTTTATGAAAGAAAGAATCTTTCTCCCTAATTTGCAGCACGGCATTGATTCCAAATCGTTCATTAATTTCCCCCCCCCCCCACTTGTACAGTGGCAGCAATAGGACCACATATAACTGATTATTTTGAAGACACTGAAAACTGCAAGTATTCTTGTACACCATAAAAACAAAAAAATGAAACACCCACCAAAACCAACAATTGTCGAACGGCGAGACAAAATTCTGCTTTCTGTTCGCCTCCTTCCAACTGATGCATATGTTTTTGCTGACAAATAAGTAGCATTATGAAATTGGTCCCCAATCAGTCTGACGTTGGTGATCCCATTGCAATTTGCATATGCTTTGATATAACCAAAGATTTGCACATTTGTTGCAACCAGCACAATGTGGCATATGTCTAGTTCAGCCCCACTGGCAAATGAATAGCGTGGCTGTGTAAATACTTTCTTGATTATCATCCTGTGCAAATTTAACGCTATTGTTTTTCCAGGTGGGTTCTCCATCACAAATCTCCGTTCTTGCCATTGACTAGCCCTGCACTTCACGCCTGTCTTGGGTAGTACAGCATGTTACATCCATCTTGCTTTTTGACGCAATACAAAACCAAATGTTGCGGGAAGGGGGCGTACCAAAACACGCCCCCAAGAATGGAAAGCACTTCAGAGCATCTGACGAGAGGTACATATATTCACATATGGATACAAAACGATGGTAATAGTCTGGTGCCTCGTCACGCCGTCTTGTCAAAGTCTTCATCTTCCTCAGCCACAACAGTCTGGAGCGGGATCCACTGTGGCTTCTGACTCTCCTGGCGTCAAATATACGTCTCCGAAAATTCTTCCTCCGAGGCCGCCGAGTTCCGTTGGCCCCGGGGTAGAGACGCGGAGAGGGCCGAGCTTCCAACACCTACCGAGACAAAGGCGCTGTCCTCGCAGGACATGGTGGGCGGGGTCAGCTTGTCTGGACCGAAGGAGGACCTGGAACGCCGCGTTGTCGTGGGACTGCCGCTGCTGATGCTGCGCTCTGGGGGCTTGTTCTGCATGGAAGTAGGTGAGGATACGGTCTTGGCGCGCTGCGTGATGAGATCCGTTAAGTGACGTATCCTCCTCTCTCTCTGTTGATTGAGGATAAAAGCAAACCAAAAAACAATGAAGACCACTGCAAGAAACTGCTGCCACCATACATTAAGATTACCTTCTTACAAATCTCACAAGCGCGTGTACGGATACGCGTATGCATACGTTTTGCTTTCTGTAACCGTTATCAACCATTCTGTTGTTTTGCAAGTGTACGCATATGCATAGGTATATTGGAACCGTTACCAATAAAAGCAGTAAACAAACAATGACAGCCTCGTACCTATTCCTGCTTTGAAACACGGACAGTTATATTGACAACAATTCAACCTCTTTCAAATCGAATCACACAAGATAAAATAACTTCAGAAAGGAGGGTGTAAATCGGCAATTCACTTTGTGTTTCACACTGACGTATTTCGCGCCTTATATCCATGCTGTGTACACCCAAAGCAGATGGCGTTGCGTATGCGTCATACGACCACACAAGCTGATGACCTATCTGGAGCGCTTATCGTATCAGTTGGCTTGCGAAATCTCTCTAACGACCACTACTGACCTCTGCTATTTGTCTTTTAATCTCGATGTTGTCGGCTGATAACCGCTGATGCTTCTCCTCATCCTCCCTGCTGGGGGCCGCAAGACCCGGCATGTTTTTCGTATACATCCCGTCCGGGTTCTTACGGATGAAAAGCATCTAGTGGACAAGGTACCGGAAAATATTATTACTTGATTAACTATAGTTAGCCATCCATACTACCTCCCCTCTCCAAGAAGAAATCTGCCCTTAAAGAGGAAATTCTGAACGCTGGTTCAATGCACTGTAACCTTTATATAACACCTGACTAAATCCTCGTCATCTGATTGGTGGGTTGTTGATCACATGTCACTGAATTATTCGTCCCAACCCAGGGCCTGGCCGCACCGCAGAATTAGAAGTTCTATTCCACGGTAAATAGTAGTTCCATTGCACGGTCACATGATTCATGGCTCTGACCAATCAGATGACAAGGATTTATTAAGGTGTTGTATGACATCAGCATCATCAGTATAAAACAAAAAAATGAATGTTTCACATTCGTGCAATGGAAAGAATAATTTCATTTGGTGACAGATGGAATGTTCTATTCCACTCAGCTTCACCTCGTTCGTTAAATGGAACATTCCATCTGTCACCTCATGAAATTATTCTTACCATTGCACTCATAAACATTCATTATTTGTATATTATTTTTAAAAGCAATGCTTAAGAAGGCTTTTGAAACCTCAAAAACACACCGAGACTTTGTTTAATAAGTTGATCAATTTATGTTTGAATTGACATTTGAAAAATTGTATTTCTCACCTTTGGAACAAATGTTAAAATCAGCGTGATGGTTGAGCAGAAGATGACAGTGAGGGCGGCAAACCCAAATACCGCATCCTGCTGACTACGAATAATGATTGTAACAGGAGCTGTAATAATACACAAAACCTGCAGAAGGAAAAGTAAAGACAGTAATGATTGCAAGCTGTAAATCACGAAAACACGACAGTAGGAATTGTATCACTCAAATTTGGTTCAGTGGTTCTCAGGTTTATGTATTTGAATTCTCGAATCATTTGGTTCTAGTCAGAGTTACGAGTTATTTGATTCTAGTCTGAGTCTATATTTGTGTGTACCAGCATTAAGATGTTTAAGGTAGACTCACACAGTCTTTGATCATGGTCACTTTAAAAGAAAGGGAATTGGAGGACTACCTGGAGTAGCTAGGAATGCTGGAGGAGGTGAAAGGTGGGCCATTTCGAATCCTCGTCGCCAATATGTAGTGTACAAGGACGCGGAGAATGTTAACGATTCCAACACTTTTAATACTTCTCGTCCAACATGGCGTACTTCCCGCCAACACCTGCTAGAGGACGCTATATAGACACAACAATGGGCCTGTGTCCTCGGGCAAGCCATTTTACTGTAATAGCTTCTCTCTGCCCAGATGCAAATGGTGCCCAATTTGTAAGCCAGCATGGGAGACAGGAAGAATGCAGATACTGCAAAGATGAGCCTGCAAGGAGCTACTTCTGAACTTGTACGTTCATCTGTGATCAAGCGATACAGCCAGGATGGAGGGGTGGGAGGGGTGGGAGAGGGGAGGGGGTGAACTCACCGATACATTATAAACCGACATGCCCACATATCTAGAGTCATTCAGATCCCGGACGGTCATGTTCCTCGTCTCGTAGGCTAAAAATAACCCAAATATAAGCAGCAGACCGTTGATGGCGTACAAAATACCTGCATGGATGGATGGAGAGAAAGAAATGACACAATAGGCAACATGCTAACAAGCGGATGTGATATAAAAGCAGCTTTAAAAGTATTCGGGTTTGAATTCTCATTGTTTGGGGTGCTCTAGGGACATTTGTCAACCTTCTCGCAAAACCCTGTAGCTGTGTGGGCTTCTCACAAAAGCCAGTGCCATGCATGCACTGGTTTCCCTGTCCTTTCCTTTGTCCGTTCACAAACCTGTAGCGTCTGCGTGTATAATAAGAAACCCTTTTTAGCATGGGCACACAACAATGGCACTCAAATATAGTGGCGCGTGTGTATTGGTGCCCTTTGCTATTTTCAGCGTCAAGGGTGTTTTAACTGTGCAGAATCTTTAATACAATTGTTTTTGAGCAAAGCTTAACTTACAGGAATCAGTCCTTTCCTTGTATACTTGTCAAAACTCAACGACTAGTTCACTGAAATTTGCACATTGGAGAGATTGATTGCCAGTCATCCGAGAAGTAAGCATTTTGGGGGCAGTGCTTGTCTTCAGAAATCCGACCTAAAAGACCGACACGGTTTAAAACTTGACGATGAGCTAGGTAATCCAACGAACAGCCAGGTCCTTTTAAGGTGCAACCTTAAACACCGCCCAAACGATTTCCATTGGACGAGTGCTCTCCAGAGCTATCGGTATCCACTTTGGCGGCTAAATTTGCGCAAATAGGTCAATTAGGCGGAGTTTAACCGGCACAGATATTTACAGCAGCCCCATTAGAGAAATTCTCGTCATGTTGACTTTTTCCCAGCAATGAGGAGTCTTGGGCCGGGCTGAGCAGATACATGATCTTAAACAGGCCAATCAAACCGGGGAAGCGAGTCGGCGAAAAACAAACTCAAGCGGCACTTACTGGGGCAGTGGTTGTTGGTTTCAGGACAAATCTGATCTACTTTTTTAATTTTTTATTTTTGGGTAGAGAGGGTAACCTTTTCCTGAACTTAGAAATTCCCGAAGGCACTATCAACATGAGTGTCACTTGACACATTCACAACATTACTTTGCCAATAACTGTCCTGACAGAGTGCCTGCGGAGGTTTTGGTTCCAACCTGGCAAGATATCAATGTCAAGGGGACAGGGTAATGTGAACATTTTTGAATTCCACAGGATCTTGAATTTAGGGCGGCAGACATTTTCCACTTACCCAGCCAGATGGATAGATGGTTAGCCTCACAGTGTTCCAACTGGGGCTGTATCTCTAGATCCTCTTCGTAGTGCTCCTCCTTGTCAAAATCTTCCACCAGACGGTACAGAGGATCGATGATCTGCCAGACCGTCAGCAGGACCAAGTCCACCACCAACAGGACGCCGATCATCAGGTACATCTTCCAGACTTCTACTTTCTGCTCCAGGGGTGTGGGGAGGGAGGGGAGAAAGAGCAGGGGGAGATGTGGAGTTGGGAAGAAAGAAACACACATGTTTGAAATCACAGATTATAACTGAGGCTTTGACCTCAAACTTATTTCTGATTTGTTTTTTGTTTTGTTTTTATTTTGCAGTTAAGACAGAAGAAGACATTTCTGCACTCTTACAAAAGGCGGTTGTATAGCTTAAATGTTCGCTCAAAAAAAATTTCTACCTAAAAAGCATGAAAAACAACTTTAGACATGAAACAAAATAAATTTCAACATAGCTAAAATAGTATCTAACAGATAGTGAGATAAAACTGTAAACTTTTCAAGGCTTTTGGTATAGTCACGTCACTCACTCACGTAACTCCAATAATAAAAGACTTGTTCATTCTTTTCTTTTCTTTTTTTTGTGCTGAGAATGACAAAACTCTTGCACTGGGAAGAACGCCCTCTATTTAATGAAAAACCAAGAAGATAATTTGTACAAGTTGGCCAATGGGCAGTGACTTCACAATATTTTTTTCTGAATTCACAATCACAATGTGAAAATGTGTGTCCGGACAGATTGTCACATCAAAAGTAGTATTTTTAAAAGCATGATTCTAACATCAAACTAGGAAATTTAATATCTGATTCCTAACGTAAGTAGTGCAAAGATTCTAGGACATAAAAAAATATTTAGAAAGGAGAAATTTGCAATGGAATTTGAGCCTCAGGAGAAAATTCTTGTTTTCAGAAGGAATGGACCCTTGATGTTTACACAATAACCCAATGATATAAAGTGCGTATCATATTTTAGTAACTGCTGTGCAAAATAACGAGTCTTCATTACTTGGTCTTGTTATGATTTCTTGATCTCACCTGCAGGCTGATTTTCCGTCGCCTCCGGCGACCGTCTTCGCTCTCTGATTTCTCCTGAGTGACCAAACTGTGCATCATCCAGATCTTGCTGAACATGGCTCCGTAGCCGAGGGAAAACGCTACGGCCAAGAGCCAAGCGACCGACTGTTTAACAAAAAGATCAATTGAAGATTATGTTGGTTCAATTCTGATACAGGCAGAAGCCATATTGTTATCTCAGGTGATATTTTCTTGTTGAAAACCCTTATAAGGCCTAACAAGAATTCCATAACCAGGTTTTGAGCCGGGGGCAAAAAAGCTTGCAAGTTTTTTTTTTGTCAGAAAAGGTAACCCTTTAATATTTCCAGCTGCAAAAATATTTTGAAAGCTTTTTTCAAATATTTGTGCAAGGATACAACCATGACTAATAGGTACTTTTCAAAAGACTAGGAAACAAGGATTTTAATGAAATTTAATATCATTTGAATAATGAACTTAACATCATTGGATAGAGGACGTCCTGGCCTTTACCTTGTACATGTAGTTGCCTCTGTCTGAAATATTCAGTACATTTTTTGATAATTGACATTAAAAAATGGGTAGACTTTAGTTTGAGACACCCTGTATAAGGTACTCAGTCAATTTCTGATTTGTATGTAGCGTTTGCCATCACCTTCCTCCAACGGCATCCCATTAAATATGACTTCATCAAATTGCAACCTGATTACTATGTGACCTGCTTCTACTGACTTTCCCATGAGTGTGGGGTGTTCTGATGAGCTCAGTCAAGCGTGTCCTCATCATGGAGTGTAGTCTCGGGGGAGGGGGTAGGTTTTTGGGGCCTTGCTTTTTTTGGGGGGGGAGGAAGTTGGAACGTAGTGTCACGACCAAAGTGAAAAGCATGCCTACAGCATGGCAACATGATCAATCTTGCTGTCCGATGCAGTGAAAACACCACGGTCGATGGTGCGTGAATCGCATGATTTCTTAATAACCAACATCCTTTGACATTACCGGCATTCAACGGAGCTTAATACAGAGGGGCCTATATATTAACAGGGAATTCCTACCATCAGACATGAAATTATCATGCATGGGATGTGCCATCATGATTTAAGATTCAATATTTTATGATAGGTACAAGCATCCCATTAAATATGACTGCATCAAATCGCGACCTGATCACGACGTGACCTCCTTCTACTGACTCTCCCATGAGCTGTGGGGTGTTTTGATGTGCTCAGTCTAGCGTGTCCTCATCATGGTGTGTAGTCTCGGGGGAGGGGGTGGTAGGGGGCAGGGGGCTTGGGGGAAGGGGTGCAGAACATCAAAGCTAAGTGAAAAACATGCCTACAGCATGGCAACGTGATCAATCTTGTTGTCTGATGCAGTCAGAACGCAACAGCCAGTGGAGCATGAATAGGCCTAGCATGATTTTTTTGTTTCCAATATCAATGTAAAAGAACTCGGTCCACATTTTCAAAAGAGAAAATAATCCTAATTAAAGCCTGTGCTTTCATTGTTACTTGACTTACTTTCGATGTCCATTTGATATGCATGTAATTATTTTGAATGCGTAAAGTGCTAAATTGATTGCACACAAATGGAGAGGAAAGTAAGAATCTAAGGCCGCAACCTCATTGAGGTGTGCCAAATTCAGTGACGATTGGGTGCTATGGAATTATGTGCCGCAATTTCTAATTTGGATATGTGTTGGCAAACAAACTTGAATGTCTATACAAACAGAACTGAACGCCATAAAAAAAGGAATAAGAACCATAGAAGTAGCACCATGATCAACGTACTTTTGACAAACGAATATGAATGTATTTCTGACAAATTTGAGCTGGAAAACCTACGTTAAATTCTAGTCTGGACTTTGTTACTACATGTATTTAGAACAAAGCAAGCCTTAATAAAAACATTCAAATAGGGAGGGGGAATCAAACAATATTCATTTTTGGGCAGCTTAGTTTTTTTGGGTGGGAAGTTGATGCTTTTGATGGAAGTCAGGCTTTCAACTTATCACAGGTGAAAGCTGTTATCAGATGTCCCTATGCAATGGGCCTTATTTACGAGTCGGCCATATTGAATTGAAAGTGAGGTAAAATCTTAATTTGTGAAACTTGCAAAGAGAAATGAAAGCCAGTAAATTTCTAATTAATTCTAGTCTGCTTCAATGAATAATTTTAAATTTGTAATTAAAAATTCCCTAATGTTTAAAGCCAGATTAAAAAAAAAAAAGACAGTAAAATAAGGCTGCATTGTGCCTGCACATATAGTCTGGCGCCATCCATTGAACAGTTAACACTTAATGAGATACGTTCAGGGAACTCAACAAAAATGGCCAACTCGTGAATAAGGCCCATTGAGGCTCAATGGAGGCTTGACACTAAGAGGATGGACGGGGGTAGCTGGGAGACAGTGATAGTTGCATTATCCCCCTTGGCTTGCCATCGGTGCATGTTAAATTAAGCTAACATCCCCGCCTTATGTTGGCAGATTTAATTTGAGGTTCAATGTCCGTTGGACACAATGTTTGTCCGAACAGCCAGCCAACAGGCCGGGTTATAAAACACAAGGTAGTAAACCAAGGTGAAGGGCATAAGGGACATTCAGTTAGCAAAAGATTAGCATTAGGGCCCCCCCCCCCCCCCCCCATCAGAAAGTGGACGGATAGACTGCCAGGGGTGCTTGCGGAAACATGCAGGTGAAAATGCCAGCTTAATCAATGGGTCGTTGTTAGCGACGCCAATTCCTTCCGGCACGTTTGAGGTGCCCTCAGTCTGCCCGAGGTACGAGAAGGAAAAAAAACCCCCAAAAACAAAGAAATAATAAATACTATTAAACGGAATGAGCAGTTCGGCCAAGCAAAATGCTGAAATTGAGCGTGACAGATTAACATTTAAGCCTTCTTTTATTTTTTTGTTCTTAAAAGATGCGAAGAAAGAAAAGTCTGGATAACGATTCACACTATTGATTCCTCTTTGTGAGAAACAGGCAAACAATCCACCTTCAACCTTTTGTATCCAGCAACCTACACAAGTGACTGGAAAAGGAATTTGGCAGCTGAAATAGGAGGAAAGTTAAATGAGAAACAAACTGATAATACAAAAAACCCTTAAAAAACACCTCCCCCCCCCAAAAAAAGGGTTTATATAAACATTTCATGTCTGCAACTGTTGTCGATTCATTATCTGTGTTAGACGCCTGCCTTTTTTTATTATTAGAAGTATTAATATCAGAAGATATGCAAATCTGTGAACTTCTGAGTGAGATATGGAAAGTCGAAATCAACAATAATTGGTTATATAGTAATTGATAACAGATGATGATTGACAGCAGGGTTGATTAATGATAAATCTGTCCGTCATATTGTTGAGACGGTCATACCGAAATATCTGTCAATACAATTTTCTAGGAAATCGTCATTTCTACACATTACTGAAGATACTCCAAGGAAGTAATTAATATGCAAATACATCATATCGCCAAAACAGGAGGGGCTATGGAGCTCTATTATAGCTTTCCAACCATGAATATAACTCAATTTCACTTTTTGGAGACATAATACCCTTTTTTTTGTGGAGCCGGTCACGTATAAAGCTGCTTTCAGTTGCATACTTACGCTGCAGATCATAGGGAACTGGTCCTCACTGATGTACTGACCATCCAGACCCATAAGGAATACGCTCATTAATCCAATGATGCAACCGATAGCAGTCAGGTTGTTAATGTGGGGCTGAGAACAGCTGATGTACCTGCAAAAACAAACAAGTCAAGGGTGGATTTGAGGAGGCGGTTGGGGTGGCTAACTACCCCCTCAAGCTACACGCAATGTTGTCATATATGGCCTTCAACATTCAGCCTCATAGCCTTCAACATTCAGCCACCACATCCCATACTACCCCCCCCCCACCCCACCCCCGAAGAATCATGGATCTGCAACTTAAAACCCCACTTCATTCTAAATCTGTGAACGACAAAGATAAAAAGAACACCCTTTCAACTTCTGATATCCTCAGAACGCATTCTTTTAAACCGTTTATCATTTTAATGTTCTGCATCTTTAAAATGCTATTGTGCTGTAAACTTGTTAAGGTGAGGCACTGGAATGGTAATCTTGAGGCACAGGGTTCGATTCCTGCTGTCTTTCATTTTAATAACTTGTATCTTGAATGTGATGTTTTGCTTTTTAATTACCAACATAATTAAACTTCGAGTCAATTTTTGTTTTACTGTTGAAAAAACAAAAAGCACACCACATAATCCCCCACTTTTTTAATGGAATGACCCCTTGTTAAGTTGTTGTAAGCTCATGGTAAACATTAATTGAGGTTCTTTATTTCAAGGAGAATCTCTTAATTGAATATTGACTACTAAAATGGTATAATGCAAGGCGATTGTTATTTTGTAGGTGTTGAGCTGGAGTGGCAATCCAGAGAGCCAGTGATCGATTCCTGCCGACGGTCAAGCATCTCTCCCCAAGTGTCGCATTTTCTTCCAATTTATGGGTATTGGTATGAAGTATGCTTTAATTCAAAATTTGTTTTGTGTAACCCTTTTAACTTTGTAGGTGAAGCACTAAAGAGGCAATCTAGAGGCATGGGGTTCCATTTCTGCCAGGGTCAAGCATCCCTAAAGCAGGGTTAGTTTGTTAGCTTTCTTCCGATTCATGGATATTTGCACAAAATATGCTTTTATTTGAAATTTGTTTCATGTACATGTACGTGAAGCTCTGGAGTTGCAATTCAATGGCTCAGGGTTTGAATCCTGCTGGGGTCAAGTTTTTCTCCACCAGCGTTCTTTTCCCCCTCCAATCCATGGTCATTTGTGCAAAAATATGTTTTCACTTGAAATCTGTTTCACGTGGCCCTATAAATATTGTAGGTTTTAAAGCTCTGGAGTTGCAATCCAAAGGCTCCGGGTTCGATTTCCGCCGTACTTATCTTCTTACCCAGTGTGTCGGAAGCACATGTTGAAGATGATGCAGACACAAGCAAAGATGATGGCCAGTCCTGCCAGGACGCACACAGGGATGAAGAGGTTCTTAGAGATGACGCGTAACTGGGGCTTGGTGTCCACGCCATCCTTGGGCGGCCCGTTTCCTCCTGAAGGGGCGGAGCAAAAAGAGAGAAAGGAAGGGGAGGTTAGAGATTTTGATACACGCACTCCATTATCCAAAAATTATTATAAATAAAAATGAACAATGCTGTAATGACCACCATTAGGCGGAACATTTTCTGTAGAATTATACTGAGCATTGCCTATTGAAAATCACCATAACGAATGACCGCTATTTCGAACAATCTTCTGCAGACCATCTGTGCTCGTTATCACAAAGTTATACTGTACTGCATCTCTGCAGTTTTAATGAACTCTGTGTATGACACAGCATTGATTTTGTTGGGTGCAGCCGACTATAAAAAAACCTTGCAAAACATAAATTTATCACTCTCTGCCATGCTCAGCCCATTACAATTCAATGTGAACACTTTCTTTCCTCAGAAACATGTTTCCCTGCTTTTCTTTTGGCGACTGAAAATTTCACGTTGGAAGCCTTCAGGCCCTGCCATTCCTCGAAAAAACTTCAATGACTCTATTCGCAGCTATAGATCGTGCAGCAAAAGGTCATCCTTTGTCAGTGACAATGCTGTCATGAAGGCGTGATCGATTGCACCCAACAATGGACACAATGGTCTTTGATTGAGGAAGAGCATATTTCACCATCAATTACAGCCACCCGCATCCTCTTCGGATGAGGACAACCTTAAATAACACATCCCGAGAACAGAGAGAGAAAAAAAAAAGCCCGACCAGACAACCAACCTTGAAAATAATGAATCATCAGCAAATGATGGCGGAGGTAAACTTGTTCAAAGATTTACAGAGTTTGTGTTTGTGCACTATTAAAATATGCATATAAAGGACAGGCTTCTTCAGAAATATTTATTGTTCATAGGTAACTACCATCCTTGTTTTTATTACTGTTTGATTATTGAGGTAGAATACCGGTTCGGCAGAGCTCCAGAGCTGAAATAATTCATGACATTCGTGGATCAATCAACAGGGATCGCGTTGGGGCTTTTCTTGCCGTCCATCTTGTTATGTGGATTTTAACCCTAACATTGGGAAACGACTGTAGAATTGGTTTGCCAGTCCGTAATTAATTTCATTTCAGACAAGCTCTAATCGTAATTTAATGATTATAAAATGATTACAAAACTGGCTTATCTTCCCGTTGAACAGACCAAGAATGCTTCTACACGTGAACAATTGCTGATCAGTGTTTTAAGATTTTTGTTAAATTCTGAAATGCCGTATCTTGTTACTCCTAATGAAATGATGTTCAGGGCCATTTCACCTTGCGTTCACGGCAATTACGGCTCGCTATTGTACTAAATCAAATTACGTGCAATTACGTATTCATTACGCCTTGAAGATGGGGCCTATCGACGACCTCAAGGGAGAAGGTCGTCCTTTTTTTTGTACTCTGCTTCTTTGTACAATGCACTCCCGAATGCCAATGATGTAAACTCCAGGTTTCATAAAAATTAAACAAGAGCACATTTTCTCAGGGATGCTTTTCATACATCCCCATCCTCCAAGAAATAAAACAAAAATTAAAAAATAGGAGTAAATAAAATATGTAACAAATAAGGCTGAAAATTGCAACAGTTCCTCCAATGAACTGCTGGCAATGATCCTTTTCAGTTTTAATATTCTTTTAACTGAGTTTATAGAAATTTTCTATTGCTAATAAATAACATTACTACAATCTCCTTTCCAACAGGATTCTGACAGAAGGTCAACAACTGGCCAAAGTCAATTCCAGTCCCAACCTCCCATGAATCTCATCTAAATCTCTCCTCGGAACATTAAAACAAAGAATGACCATAAATATTTCGAAGACATCAAAATATGACGTCCGAAGTTAAACAAAGGTGATCTTACGATGTCCATGATTTTATTTTTTTTCGTTTTACTCCCCCCCCCCCCCCCACCTTTCTGAGGTTGAGGTTTTCAGTTGTAGCTTCCAGACCAGGTGTTTGTGTTTATTCTTGGCGGGCAGCCAACATTCCGGACCTCATCACTGACAGATGTTTAACCTGGGCGGCCAGGTCGGCCCGACCGGGGCAAGCGTGCCAGCAGGCGGTCCGTCCAACGAGCCCCTTTCATACATACACATGTTGAGCAAATGTTTGCTCCGAGCACCATGTCAATATTTTGGCATCCTCCTTGCAATGTTTGCAAGGGGATACGGGGAGCTGTGGCTATAACGGGAACTGATTTTGGTCATGTTTGACGTCCCGCAGTATCCAGTGAGAGACCTTTCACTTTTTCATCAGGATTTCCAACAACTTCTCTCTCGGAACCCAAAGTGATTTATTCAAAGCGCATGCTTTGCTTGCAAAAATTATCATCACTGAATGCCAAGGGAAGAATGCAAAATATAACAAAACGTAACTGGAGGTTCAACCTTGAGGTACCCCATAAAACCTCATAAAACCTCCAGGTGAACCTCAAGTTAATGCCTGTTTAATTTTGCATTCTCTTTAAAAAACGTTCTCTTTTAAAATGCCGGTTACTCACCAAACCAATAGCAAAAGCTGAATTGCAAAGTAAAGAAAAGTACTCCCAGGTGCATTTGAGAAAACTTTGTCGTACATGATCATCCATTTAACATGACAAGAGAACTTTTCCGGTTTGATATTCGTCACCTACTTTAACCGGCTTATTACACTCAAAGAGCCATCAGACATCATCAATGCCAACCTTTTTCTTAGATCGGTAATCTATTCAAACGGGAATGTCTTAATGCCTTTTTTCTTTCACATCACCAACACCGAATCAGCTCTAAAGAAAGAGCTAAACTATGTTTTAAATATACTTCAAGATGCCAGAATTGCACAAATTGGTATCGGGCTAGTATAATATCTCATGACATATGCTCAGTGAATAAAATGCTAAAAGGGTTCGAAAAATGTCTTCATCCTGGGGTAAACATGATTCATGTTCAGTCCGTTAAAAAAAATGTGCAAAAACGCATTTAGAAGCTCCAACAAGGGGAGAGATAATTGATAGCGACGCGCTGGGCTCTTGCTCTCCGTGCCCACCGGCATGACCTGCCAATTCATTTTTTTAATAAAGTTCTGATCGCGCACAACACGTCTGGGCTGTCTTAATGGGAGCGTGGGCTCCGCTTCACCAAAAATGCGAGCGGGGCGGATGGGTGAACATGTGACCTACAAGCCAGCCAGGGACAGGTGGGGTGAATGGCCTTTCAGTGTGCAACGCCAATATTTACAAGTACGGAGTTGACATGGTAGGTACAGTTGTACAGATAGGCAGTGGCGTCGCCAAGGGGGGGCCAGGGGGGGCACGTGCCCCCCCTGGAAAACCTAGTGCCCCCCCATCAAATGCTGGGGCCCCCTATCCTCTGCAAAATTCTGCGCGTTGTTAAAATCATTACCTCAAAAATAGCAATTTTTGGAGATATCTTCAGATCGAATTTAGCATCAAATGTGGCACCATTTTGCATCTAGCCCATCCTCCGTATGCGAAATTTTCCAAAGGGGAGGGGGGCACCCCCTCCCCTTAGACCCCTCCCCCAGGACGGCGATCCGTATCCACCTAAGTGCCCCCCCCCATCAAATGCGGGTGCCCCCCCTGTGCCCCCCCAGACTGAAAAGTCTGGTGACGCCACTGCAGATAGGTAATAAAGATATGGACCAATCCGGGCACGCTACCATTTTTATCGCGAAGGCCCCCTTCAATGGCGAAAGCATTGCGCTAGCTATTGTTCAAATATTCCATCACGGGGCAGTAGCTTTACACGATAGCGTGCACAATGGTTTCACTATTGAAGGTTGTCTCGTGTGTGTACTGTGATCACGTGATCACTTATTAAAAGGATCATATTCTCTTTGTGCATTTTTTTTTTTTGAAGCAACAAAATTGCTCAAAATCTTCAGTGGGATGCCTAACAACGAACCTGTTGAAGTTTCAGCTCAGTGGACACTATAATTTTTTAAAGAACCGTGAAACATATGCACAATATTTTTGGTCTCATGACTGGATTCCTTTGCTAACGCACGTAGAACAACTGTGCCATTTTTTTTCGGGCAAACTTTTTAAAACCACCTTCAATTTTTCTTTTTCTTTCGTTCGAAAACATCCCCGGCGGAATAATTTCACAGGGTATTTTGGACCAGACCTATCTGAACTTTGAGCAAGTTTTTCTTATTAAATCAGTACATGTTTTCCGGGGAAGTGACCAATGTTCCTACATGCTTTTAAGGGATACGTGCTCAATTGAATGTCATGATCAAGGGATCATACTCACCTGCACATCATGCATTTGGATATGGATATTAAGATATGGCACAAATTGGTAGAATTCTGTCAGAAAGGTGGACCGAATACCATTCAAGCAAAGGTTCCTTTTTAGTTTGTAGTCATGGGCTTATGTGGTATTTCTTCCGAACATAATGTTTGAAAGCAAAAATATTTCATCAAAAATCCTCTAATTTGCACTGTAAACACGTTGGGCAAAAATGGGTTGATATGTAGACCAACATTGGTCAACATATCAACAAGTTAAACTCTTGGGCAAATTCTTCCAAATTGTTGGAATTTTTTAACCAAATTGGGTCATTTCAAACCAATGTTGGGTACAATTATATTGCCCAACAGTGTTTAACCATTATTTTTTACAGTGTGACATTCCGTTGATAGCCAAGTGGCTTTAAATTCTAAAAATGTCACCAAAGAAGAGAAGACACATTCAAAACATCTTTCAAATAAAAATGGACAATCTTTTTTCACAATTTTTTTTCCAGGAACTTCCCCTCCCCCCCAAAAAGAAACACTTTAATACTCAAAATTTGCTGTTGGGTATTTGAAGTATTGTAATCCATGGGATTAAAGAGGCATCCGCAAAAGCCCATCCCCACCCCTCAAAACCCGTGGTGCCTCAAGTCCCTTAAGTAGGACAGAATCTACTCTTCAAACTTCATTCAACCAAAACATCGGTCTTCATTTTCTCCCCAGTTTTCTATCCCGCCTGACTAGATGATGGATTTCTCCTGATGGATTTATTCTTTCCTCTAGGGAGTCTTAAGTTTTTTCCCTTCGACGCCCAAGTCACATTCTGAGCATACATGTATTCTAATTTTCTCGTAGGCTTTTAAGATGGATCACCTCTCAATAAAATCCCCCAGAGATATCACGTTTTTATGCATACCTTCTGTCATCCTAGTTCTAGCGGTATCCTTAAAAAATACCCAATTCTAAATAGACTGGATGTGCATATCAGAAAGCATCTTACTACGAACCCTAACTTAAAGGGATATAGGATCATTTGCTTTTCATGCGTTTTGTTTGTTTCCAACAATAACACCACTCAAAATCCACAGAGGAATATTCAAAACCTAACCTGTTGAAGTTTCAGCTCAGTGGATATTGCACTCTTCGAGAAAACAGTGAAAATGCCTGTACAACCTTTTGACCTCAAAACATGATTTTGTTTATGGCACTCTGTATTTCTAAAATTAGTTGATTGACTGATCTTCGGAAATTGCCTACATTGAGACTCGTGATCATAGGGTCAGGGGTTCGAATCCAGCTGCTGGCCATATGTTGTGCCCCTGGTCAGGCCGCATGTCTACCTATTACTTGCCTCCCTCCACCCAGGAGTATAAATGGGTACTGGCAATAGTTCAGAAGTAAGCTGATGCCATGGCGTTCCATGCAAGGGAAATGAAATACTTTTAGTTGTCTCTTGAGCAGGAAACCGGAGATAGAACCCGCCCGATGAGCCATATTGGCTCAACATAGACTTTACGGTTGCTATTTGGCAACAAACTGAAGACTAACTCTCATTAAATTGCATGTTTCATGTTTCCTATGTATATGGAGAGTTGCAGTTCTTTATTATCAACTCTAACCTGGACAAGTTCACTGCTCTAAAGACCCAAAATTAACCACTCTTAATACGCAGCTGTCCTAGGCCAATGTCCCCTATCACACGACATTTCAATACCCCACAACCCCCCCCCCCCTCCTCAGGCCTTTGCAATACAGCAGTTTGTACAAATTGCGAGTCTACAACGCAATTACTGCAGAGACTACAAACTCATAAAATGACAAAATCAATGAACGCCTCCAGGAATTTTACCTTTTATGAAAAAAATCTCCCGCAATCCAAGTTCAGGCCCATCTCCTGTGCCATCTTTGAACCCCAGGCAGCATTACTACTAATGCCATACCCACAATAGCAAGTTGTTTGTTTAAATTCATCCTAATATTGCTTTTTGTTCATTTCTAAAAATCCAACAGAATCAATATGTCAATCTTTGCTGGTTTTTTTTTTGAAGAACACGCTGCTGTTTTGTTGCCCTTGTACATTATTTTTGTTTCTTTTTTTTCCGTGTCTTATTTTTTGAGGAGAAAGGAGCTTTCGACTACAGTAATCCCGCAGGCTGAGGTTGTTCTTTAAAGCATGCCAGTACAAACCAAGAATGGATCTTGGCAAAGTAGAAGGGGGAGCAAGATACGACAGTCGATACAAATTGCATTATGCTAGGATGGGTTCGGGCCACGGACAGCTGTTGAGCACAGGGCAAAGTCAATAAAAAGTGCTCTTCATTTTCCCCCAATGCACTCCTATTTAACAATTGCCCTGTGTGTGTTTCTGTCTGTCCAACCGTTTGCCACCCCTAGTCTCTCCCTGTTTGTCACCCCATCTTCTCTCTGTCTTAGTTTGTCTGTGTATCTACGTGTACGTCTGTCATCTAGAATCTCAACAATTGCAAAACTGTCAACTGTCAACTGTAAACTTAAAAAAAGACAATCTGGTTTTCTGCGGCAATAAAAAGGTACATAAACTCTCAGTCTTGCTGTCAAATAATCTTAAATGAAAATTGTTTGTTTTTTCAAACATGATATTATTTAGAAAAAAAGAAAAAGAAAAAAAAGAAAAAATTTGTGTCTATATTATCATTCATTTAAATTGAGGCAAGAAAACAAAAAAAACCCACATAATTTACATTTTGGAGGTGGAATTCTAAATGAAATGGACATCTGAATACACCATCTGCTCCACCCTAGAATGATGGCTAATGTTCCACAGGGGAAAAATCGCTCATTCAATTTATTTTGTAATTTAATCAAACAATAAATCAGAGCCCAGTAAAGCAAAGTTTTGACCTGTGAGACCTAGTTTTACAACCAAGACCCGGAAGGGAGAGCCCATGTATCAGTTAAGTGTAAAAGCTTCTTTTTTGTTTTTGGTTTAGAGATACACATCTCTAGATGTGTATCTTTAGGAGTACATTTAGAATGCATGTAGGTGCCAGAGATTACGTTGGGGGGGGGGGGGGGTGTTTTGGTCATGTCACATTGGCAACCTGATTAGTGCATTGTGGGAACTGTAAAGGATTGTGAAACGGGTATTGCTAACATCAACAATTTGTTTTTTCACTGATGACGGCATATGTGGTTATGCACAGAATCCCTGGTGAAAAAGTTGATGGAATACCTAAAACGTACCAACTACCTTTTGACTGCACAACTTCTTCGCAGCGAAATTTTTCGGTGAAAACTGAATTTTCCCATATATGTCGTGTACACAGAGCAGAATTACCATTTGTACATATGAAAAATTAATTAGCCATAATTCCGAAACCCTTTGACCTATAGTCATGAGATTTCTTGGGTATGTTCATGATAAAATGTTCTATGCATGTACCAAGTTTCAAAATTTGTCATCACTCGATGGCTGAGATCTTAGGGGGAATCCCCCCCCCCCCCCCCCCCCGGCTGAGAGATGGTCAAAATAACCCGGCCCTTTTAGGGTTAATGACATATCTTGTGTTCTTACCCCACCATTCCACTGGAACAAGCCACGTCAAGTTATCTTGCAGGGAGTCATAGTAAGCAATCTTATGATACTTTCCATCTGCAACAGAAATGAGTTGTCAAATGTTTACCTTATTTCAATAATTTCTCTACTTTTTCTTAGACCCATGCATGGAACCTTTACAGATGCATTCCCCATCTTGTTTTTAAGTTTCATCCCAAATACATAGATTCCTTTTCTAAATTGCTATTTTTCTAGCTGTACATAAAGTTATTCACTTTTGAATGAGCCATCGACCGAAAAAAATTAGCCCATGTTTAGTGACTGAATTATTACTTTACAAATTTGAATTGGCTGCCAGACAATAATTCCGTTCTCGCGGGGTAGGCTGGTACCCGCTCCACAGTCAGTATGGTTAACTTACGGAACGGGAACCAGTCTGCCCGCAAAGCGGATCTGTTTGTGCCCAAAACAAACAGCTTTTTTTTTTCAGAGGTTTGCAGACATCCAAGAGAGGAGAAAAGTGAGGATTTTTTTGTTGAAATAAAACATACAAGTTGAACATTTATTAATAGAAAAAACAATTTGATTTTGATGAAGAGCACGGGAACACAACTTTAACTCACTGACTGAAATGGGTCTAAAAGCTCTTCATAAACATACCTATCATCTGTTCAATTTGCGTTCTCGTCACACGGTCTCCTGTTGCTGTGAATGCCACCTGACCCTATAACAAAAAGAGCAAAATATGTGAATTATAGAAATATCCTGAACAATTCAGACTATCAGACTTCATCCAAAAAACAAAAAACAAAAAAAATAATACAAACCAGCCACCTTTTTCACATTTGGATGAATCAAATGCAATACTTGAATAAGGAACTCTAGACAATTATCAGAATATATTCTTAAAAAAACAACAACAATTGCATACTCTATTCCCAATGATCATTCTGGCAACTGTATATCTATACTCAAAAGCAAAATTCCAAAGTCCAGTCCTTTTTGCCCGGAGGACTTTTATCATTCCCCCCCCCCCTCAACAATGACTACAAGTGACCTTAATAAGAGTCCAACGCACTTGTTCGAAAATCCCCAAGATTACTGCCTTCTTAACTCATCGCAATTTCGCCTTGATAAAAAAAGCGAGAGAGAGAGAGAGACAGAGATATTGCCAGGGCAGAATGAAGACCCAACATTTTCAGACTGAAGAAAAAAAAAGAAAAAGGAAAAGAGAAGCTCCCCTTTCAAGCTAGAATTAATCCGACTTAATCCCATGGGGGACAGCAGAACATGGCTCAGGGGCTCAAAGGTGGGATTAAGGCTGGTCAACCTCTCGGCATGGATCAGGAAAAAAGGCAGCGCGGGGGCTGTACACAGGAGAGTTTTCAGTTTAATAACGGTCTCTGCTCGGCTGCGCTCCGACACACCGCTAGAAGGGCATTTTATTACTTTTTTATTTCTTATAGTGCTGGCTCCCGGCACTGATTTACGAGGATGTGTGGTCACGTTTGTGTGTCGTGTTATAGCGCTAGTCCCTGCTGACAATTCTCTCAACGGGTATGTTAAAGCAGAGGAGAAAGAGAGAGAGAGAGAAAAAAAAGAGGGAATTCTTGGGGAAGTGACCGTTCGTTGCCTAATTCATCAATACCGAGTCAGTGCGTCACCTCTCAACGAATGCATCGATACGATTACTTGATTTGATTCTGTACAGTGCCCATGCGACGGATGTCCTGAGATCATCCGGACATACTTTTTATTGGCGTTTGTGATGGGCACGCTTAGGGGTGAACGGGATGGGTCTACAATGGCATTTCAGTGTCTGGTCTGTGTTTTAGGGATCCTTAAAATAGTCAGGTTTTTACAGTTTCTTTTTAAATTGTTTAGTAATCTGTGGTATAAATGGCAATAAAGAGTTATCTGAAATTATTTATTTATAGTTGTCTAGAATTTTAGAATTTGATTGAAAGTTACTTTTTCATCGCATCTGTAAGAATGATATAAAAACTGTGTCATTCAAATCTATCTTCACTTTTACCACAATTTCAAAAACCTTGTATAAAAAAAATTGGCCTGACCCATAAACACTCCACAGAAGTCTTTACAAAAAGCATCAGCGTGATGAAATACGATCTAGATAATTTACACGATTTCTTCCCCCAAAGGCTGGATTGAATCGCGAGCAGCTATGAAGCCCGTATTAAACCCAAGTTACGCATGCAGACACGTGCCTCAGCGCCGTCTCCTTGTGGTTAAAACATTCCCACCCCTCCGGGCGCCAGTTCTTTCTTTTCTTGGCTTTCAATCCCCTCCCCCAAACCAGATCCCCGTGTCAATGATACCCAGTCTCTCATGTGAAACCCAATATAGGTTGATTTGGTATCGTCTTTCAGACAGGACGGCAATTTTTAGGGCAAAGTGGGGATGGATTTCTCCGGACGATTCATCGCAGCTGTGCCAAATTCAGTGGCGTAAATCTGTGCCGGCGAGTGGGGGGGGGGGGGGGGGGGGGGATGGGGATGACCAAAATCCTAAAATTGCCCGGCCGTGGAAATTCGAAATGCATGGGGGGGGGGGGGGGGGGCCTGGACACCACATTATACCAGGGGCATTCTTTAGGATAAAGCTGTATATCAAAATGTATACTCGCGCTTACATTTTTCTAGCTTTTGTACTTTGTTTTTCCACTGTTCAGTGCTATTGAACACATTTTAGTTGTTGGGACGTTTGGGAAAATACCTCAAAATCTGCATTTTTTTCTAATAAAAGGGGGGGGGGGAATATTCAATAGCCCATCCCCCCCTGGTCAAAAAGTGGGGGATATATGTGCTTTTTAAGTGCAACCTGGAGCTCTTACAATTCATTGCATATTTTGGGTGGCCATATTTCTGACAAATTTCTAATAGTTCTAAAAAAATCCAAAACGTCTGAACATGACCTAGAAATCAATTCATCACCGAGTTATTTAAATAAGAAATCTGTTTTAATGACCGACGACAATGTGTGACGTTTCCAACACAGCTCAATGAAATTATTTCCACCTAAATTTTTCACCGTTCTCTAGTGGGGAACATCCATCAATTATTCAGATCGGTTTCACAGCTTGTGTGATTAAAGAGTTCTCAGTCTCTTCCGTCACTTTGCTGGGAGTTTGCTTACATTTTTTCCCGTTGATATATGATCCAGCAGTCTCCAAGACTGCTTCCACGACCCCTTGGTATCATATTGCACTTTAGGGCCGACCTTCTTTTTTTTCAAGAAGAGGCCAATAGTTTTACACATGCTCAGACTGACTAATGTCCTAGACTAGAGAGGCTACACGGTGTTAACGCATTCGATTTAGTAATGTGAAACTTGGTATCCTTTTCACCAAGTACCTTTAAGAGTGTCTGTTCCCATTAATGTTACTTACAACTGAAGCAAATAAAAAAGAGAAAGATAAGTAGATATGCCATCTTCTTCTCAGTCCAAGCGTGAGTACTTTTTGCTAATGGACATTCTGCCATTTCGTTGAGGCCTACGCACACAAGACGTGAGCATAGCAAAAAGCATGCTAAGCTCAGGTGCAGAATCTGCTCTTAATAATGATGAAACAATAACAATATCTATGCGGTTTCCACTATAAAATACACTGAAGGTTGCCAATTTTTTTTCATGCTATTAGGTTCGTTGGTAGAGCACTGGTACGTTACTCCAGAGGTTGCAGGTTCGAACCTAGTGTATGAAACATCCGCTTGCACACAAGCGTCTATGATATGCGTGCAGATCCGGTGATTAATTATGCGAAACAACTGCGTCTTGACCTCCAGATTCCGACCATTGAGCAGGCGCCTTCTATCGGGTCTTCCATAACTCATTATTGTATTAAAACAGGGCAGCGAATTGACCAATCAAAAGGTTAATTCACATTTCAGCACTAGACGACGTCACAGTTTCCAAAGTCGACTCTGATTGGCCAGCACGTGGGATCGCATAAATTTGCATTGCACACATATATCAGATGTTGTTGCAGAGATAAAATGCAGGCTCCGTTGACCAATGGATGATATTCAGACAATTTCAAACCCTGCTTCAGACAATTTCTTTGTTCAACTTAGTAATTATTAATCAGCTTCACAGAAAGTTAAGAATCAATGTCCAAAAATAAAAACTCTAATTCTCAAAATGGTTTGGTGACAGCCCTTCCCAAGTGATGAGTCCCGAATGGTAATTTTCCCCCTCCTACTTACTGAAAGTCCAGGAAAGTTGGTGGTGTTGAGCGCATTGAAGATCTCATCCGCAATCTCCAAGTTACCGTAAGTGTAATTCTCTAACTTCAATCCACGGTCAGCAAGCCTATTGGCAGTTCTGCAATGATAAAAATACACAGGGGAAGATTAAAACAAAAGGGCTACACCAAAATGATTCTACAGTAAAGAACATCACCAAAAGTCCCAAATTGTATTTTCATATTCAAATTTTCATATTTCATAATTCAGTTCTTTCTTTTCATTCTTTTCAATTCTGCTTGAGATCTTGGTGTGGACATTATTTGCGTGAAAGCATTTGACAGTTCAAAAATTTCAATTGTGTATAATTTTTTTAAAGCCTGTTACCCAAAAAACCATAGCTTTGGTAACTTTCCCATTAAAGGGTCACAATTTAATTTTGCCTCAAAAAACACAAAAACATTGACAAATCTGGAAATTGCCATAATAGAGCAAGATGGCTAAGTTGGGAGAGCACCGGTATGGTATTCCAGAGGTCGCAGGTTCAAACCCTGCTCTAGTCAATTTCTATTATCAATTTCATAATTAATTTAAGTTTCAACATGAATTTAGGGCTTCGGCGCCATTCTGGCCATATTTTAACCCCAAAATATGACAAATCATAAACCATTTTATCAGTTCAACAATCCAGGGTAATAATACTATCAAGATTATGAAAAACATTATGAAACACACTGTATACCTACTACACTTTCTTGTGTTTTGAAATCACTTTTGCCAACAATAGACGATCCTTGTGACTAGCCCAATAAATAGTTTGTGTCATAAATAAATTTTCAGCTAAGGTGACAAATAATTAGTTCTTACTGGTTAAGGGCCAGTGCTATAGACCATATAGCATCGTATGCCAGTGGGCTCTCGGGGTAGCCGGACACTTGGGTGGGATTGGACACGTTCAGGGCATCGCTGATGCGAACTTCGTACTCATCAGAGGTCTACAAAGAAAAAGACAAAATGGCAATAACAGTTTTTGTTAATTCCAAATCCTGGAGTTTTCTCTTCCAAACATGACACCTCTGGGGGGAAAAAAATTCCACAAGTCAATGCACTGGGGCCACAGAACTATTCAGCGATCACTGGCTTTCTTCAGCTCCAGGGAAACTGTCAACATTCAAGCTGTCTGCCGGGGATTCATTTGTTTACCAAACTTGACCATGGTGTGTCGCTTCCGCCAAGCTTCCCAGCCTCAAATAAATCAAGGAGCCAAGCAGTGGTGAAATATTTTTCAATTTGGGGGAAATTTCCTGAACTGTCCGAAGTCATTTGCCAGAGCATTTGTCCAGCGAGAAGATGCACGTATCAAATTGTTTAAAGACTAGGACTCTGACTGACCAACGACCAGCGAGGAATGTACGAAAAATTAAAGGGGCTACGGCCGCAGCCATATAAGGTTTTAGATACGGAAGCCCTGATGGGCAGTTTGTAGGGCAGGACTGTACGGGTCAACTGGAAGTTCATTGACCGCTTTCGTTAAAAGATGAACTATGACCAAACTGACCATCTGCATATCACTGAGGTTGTGGCCTCAAAAGATAATACAAGATACAGAGATCTGCTTTGACGTGAACATTATTGTAATGAGTTTTTGTTTTAGTGAAGAAAAGGTTGAATAAGTCAGTAAGTAACTTTCGGGGGGGGGGGGGGAGAGGGAGGGAGAGGGGGGGAGGGGGGGAGGGAGGGAGAGGGGGGGGGGGAGGGAGGGAGAGGGGGGGGGAGGGAGAGGGGGGGAACCCCTGGCAAAAATCTTTGCTGAATGCCTTCTAGTACCAAATGCAGTTTCTTTTTTTTTTTTTTACAGATTTTCAGGTGACATCCAAATAGCTTTATGATCTGAAGAAGTTAATGAATGAAACATTGCCCGTGATATCCAGGGTCACTTTTGAGTCACTTTTGTTCCCATCCCCGTCCCATACTCTCCCTCCCCCCCAAAAATACTTTTTGAAGATCATTCCTAAAGGCATTGATAATCATATTCCTGTTCACGGAATTCCAAAGTGCCTTTCCGACAGGCAGCTTCAACAAAGCTACCTTGAAATGTGCTTGCCAGACCACGCACCAAGTTAAAAAATAAAAATTCACACCTGCTGCATCACTGTCACACATTAAACCATCCCTCATTGCGGCATTCAAAGCATGCATGTCACGCAGGTAATCATTGTTAATTAAGGCCAAAAAAACAAGTCTCCGGTTTCTGGTATGCGCGCGTGTCGCCGTAGCCATGCGCGTCGGCAAAATGAAAACGTTTTTTTTCCAATGAAAGATGATGTCTCAAAACCGCCAAACTCACTGGTTAGACTGGAATCCTGCTGCTGCACAATTTTAACGTGTTTTTAGATTGGGTTATGGTCGAGAATAAGCTTGATGTGGCCTCTCTGGACTCCCATATATTTGCACTAAGTTTAGTCGGGCACCATTTGCAGTCATCAGCCGACATTTGAAGCAAAAAATCAGGTAAAAAAAAAAAAAAAAAAGCCGCGTCGCCGCACCACTTTTTGGGCAAGCTCCATACCAGAAACCGGAGACTTTTTTTGGGGGGCCTAAAGCTCTTGTCACTGTCGACCTTCACCTCCGTCTCCCTCAAGCCCGACGAAAGATTGTTTTTTTCCTTTTCAGACTTTGATTCAAAAATGCAGGCACTCCAGTAAATCTTATATTTAATAAAACCCTTCATTTCTGCTTATCAATAAATCCATTTTCTGATCGATTATTTGACTGACCTTTGCACGTCAGACTGCATTTTCATTGCACTCTGTTGGACTTTAAAACGTAACTTAGTTTCTAATAAATTGACTTAGCTGATGGCATAGCTAATAAACTGAACTAGTTTATTAGCTTTGTCATCAATATTAGGTCAATCAAAGCAATTTGATAATAAGACATGGTCAACCAATTGGCAACCAAACGTTATTGCCTAACTGCATCCCCCCCCCCCCCCCCCCCCAAATGAATTGAAACAAAATTGACACTCCAACCAATCTACTAAGAAACAAATTACACACGGAGACGGGTGCAATTTCCCAAACAAACCAAGACAATAAATCAACTTCAGGCAATAACAAACGATCCTGCAAATCCATCTTCTGGCCAACGGACTACGGAAGCGAGTCAGTGTCGACCAATACAATCGTTTAAGCAGATGGATGACAGACGACAGGTTGGGCATCAAGTGCGCAGCCAAGTAAGCAACGACGTTATCAAACCGGGGATCAGATCAATCAAGCAATAAACAAGTTGCTGGATATGCTATCTTTTTAACCAGATCTTAAAACAAAGGCTCAAAACCCTAAATGAGTGGCGCAGAGATTGAGCTGGGTTAAAGGGAAAATACAACATTTGCAAACATCAAAAAACGAGATGATCAAATTATCACGAAATACCTTACTGAATTGTTAGGGACTGACAGTCTAAAGCATCCTTTAAAATCGTGGCTCCTGGTGTGCTGACATTATCAAGAAAAACTGTATTTTTCCAATGCTGGTCAGCCGACCTGGTCAGCCGAGCTGAAAATTGCAGCAAAAGCAAATGTTGTACACTCCCTTTAAGGGGTTCACTACCCCTAAGCGATGAATAAATACATAAAATAAAAACTAAGTAATGAAAAAAGAGATAGATAAAAGCACCAAAGTCAGGTTTTAAAGCTAAAATTTATGGTAATATCATGAGGGGAAAAAACAGACCGGAACAAGTGTAAACACATAACTACGTTATTACATACATTTGATTATCAGAAATAAATAGCGCCTCCTGTTGTGTGATAGTATCAAGCCCTCCCTCCATTTAAAAAAAAAAATCTTGTCTGATTCATCTTACCACCACCCTCCAGCACAACACCAGTCACTGAACCTGTTTTAGAAAACTGGGACGATTGGAAAGGACACTGAATAAGCTTTCCAATGATGTATAAACTATGGGAATTTGACAAAATCTGATGGAGTTATAGGTATTTACAATTCCCTATTTTCGGGCCTTGGAGTTTTAAAACTCGAGAAATGTGAATTCCTCAGCAATGCACATTTCTTTAAAAGCATTCAGAATGAAAGTTAGAGTGTACAATAATCACTTGTCTGAATTTATGTGCACAATGTTCATCAATATTCTATGTAAGGCCAAAAAAAAATAAGTCGGTCTCTGGTCGGCGCGCGCGTCGATTTTAATCATGCGCGTCAATCTTTTTTTTTCCCAAAATGTTCCGCAGTAGCTCCAACAGCGCCCTCTACTGCCGCACCTCCTCATTTTTTTTTACCAAAGAGCACCAAGGAATGGGAAATTGCACCACGGCAAATGATCGAGAGCACCAAAGCAAATTATGAAGGACACCAATGTACATGAGGACACCAAAAAAGCAAAATAGTACCCCACCATGTCTGTACAATCCAAGCTTGAAGAAAAAAAAAAAAAAAAGCCGCGTCGCCACGTCAATTCCGGAACTTTGGTCTGACCAGAGACCGAATATTTTTTTGGGGGCCTAATACAGGCTGTATCTTAAAATATGGCCCTCTGACTTCTGATTGGTTTGTGCTGTGGAGGGTGTCACATTTCTTTCGTGGTCATTTCCAGACAAACTTTTATAAATGAAAGTCTGTCTATGAAGTTTATGTACTTGAGTATGAATAGTCCCGCGATGCAATGCAGCAAATATTTTTATTGTCTATTTTTGGCTGGCTCCATTGCCATTCAAATAGGCAGCTGATGCCACGCTATTCAAGTTTAAAATCTGCCAAGTTTTTAAAGGAAGTAAAAACTGACAAAGAGTGGCTAGAGAAGTTTGGAAGCAATCCAAGGTTAGAAACTCTATCTTCCTCGATCTCAAGACCCGAAATAAATATTGCAACGTCCTTAAGCCAGGCCAGCAGCATTCCTCCCATAAGCCCTCATTACTGTTTCCTCTTTGTGCCTTTCTTGACACCCCCCCCCCCCAACCTCTCGGTAGGGATCTCTAACCAGCATTCTTACAATCTGACCCTCCCCTATCGCCACGGTGACCAGATGATGAAAATGCGGTAACCACGGCTCACCATCCCTAGTCTTGTTGATGGTGGCGGTGGGGAGAAGGAAGGGGGGTGGGAGAGAAAAAGGTATGCCCGGAACTCTAATTGGAATTACCTAGGGTATCTTTGTCATTCCAGTCTGTTGCCGTGCCTGATTATAGCCTGCGGCCATCTTGTATTTCTTACATAAATATTTGTTATGACAGTGCTTCAGGAGGTTTAGTTCTGATACAACAAAGTAATCAGGTTTGACATGGCGGGACCCATCCAAGATTGGATGAGCAAATTTATGAATTTCAGGAAATTGCATGAGTGGTAACGTTTCTTATCGCAAAGATTCCTGGGCATTGTAAACCTCAGCAGGCACAAAAGAGTGAACCAACGTCCCTCCTCAAAACTTGATAGCCATTTTGTTCTTTGTGAACTCTGCGTAAACGTGAAAAACAAATAAATGTAACGAATCTTTATTTTGTTTTTCACATTTCACTTTAACTGTTCACCAGACTCTTTTGAAAAGTTTCTTTTCTGTTTTCTAGTAGTTTCGTAGTGTTATTTACTGTGTCCTAAATTTCATCTTCTGTTCACTAACCAGTGGAGAATAATGTGACAGGATAAAAAAAAACTTTTGTCTTTGGAGAACATCCATTTTGCTGGAAACATCCAACTCTAAAATTTGAAAAAACGTGGTGCACTTGATTATAAACCACTTTGACGATCACTTATAGAGGGTTACACAATCAGTCGGGCGTCTCCTAAAATAAACCCTCAACTCCCTCGCGTCTGGCGGTGCAATTTGTTCATTCTGCAAGCTCGTTAACGGAGACGAGTTACAGGAATGCTGGCATGTCCCAGGGAACGTCATGTTTTCAAGCAACTTTCTGCAATTAATGCTTCTAACGGCAATCACGCCACTGCGCTTATGCTATCAGGTTACACATTACTTGTGA